GGCCACGTCATCCTCTCGGCCTTGGCCGCCTTCGACAACGTCCCCGCGTGGAACCTCCCCCTCTCGCTCGTCGGCCTCGTCGTCGTCCCGCAGCTCGCAGACGGCCACGCCGCAGAGTCGGTCCGCCAGGTCCGCCCGCTCGTTCGCTCTCCTTCTCTTCGCGCACTCGAGCTCACCTGTACCTCGCCATGCAGTTCGTCCTCGCGCTCGGCGGGTCGATCCTCCTCGACTTTGTCGTACGTCCCCATTCCCTCGCCTCCTCGGCTCACTCGCGCCTGACGAGCACTTCCCTCGTCGACAGTGGTTCATCACGCACACGACCACCTCGTCGGTTCGCCTCGTCATCTTCCTCAACTGGCTCCTCAAGGTCCGTTTCCCTCTCCCGCTCCCCTCCTTGCCAGCAGACCCGACCTGGCCATCCTCCCTCGCCCGCTCTCGCAGTTCATCACGGTCGCGACCGCCCTGTCGTCGCTCCGAGCGCGCGGCCAAGGCTCGTTCAACCTGCCCGGCGGCATGGGCGGCCCCGGCGGCTTCTCGATCCCGGGCGGCATCGCCGACCGCCTCCCGACTGGGTTCCCGCCCTTCGGCCAGCAGCAGCACCAGCAGCAGGAGAGCGAGACGGGTGCGTCGAGGCTGCCTTCTTCGTCCCTCCTCTCGCCGTCGCGATTCGACGCGGCGTCGACAGGTGGTACTTCAGAGCCTCCCCTCTGACAACTGCTCTTGCCCCGCAGTGTGGTCCGCCCCAGCTCAGCAGCCGACGTCGTACCAGCCTCGGTTCTCGCTCGACGAGGAGGCGTCGGCCGGCAGCGCGACGCCGCCGCACCAGGCCGCACCGACCTCGACCTCGTTCGGCGGCGGCGGCGGCGGCGCGGGCGGCAAGAAGGGCGGCCTCGCGGCGCACTCGGCTCCGCAGGCCGAGGGAGGGGGTTATCACTCGCTCGAGTGAGCGTGCGCTGTGCAGGAGCGAGCGAGACTGTGCAACGAGCCGAGTTGTCTTCGTCGTCAGGTCCGAGCGAGAGAGCGGAAGTTCAGGCCGGCTCACTCGACGTCTCTCGAATGTAGCTCGGCTCGCGATGGAGTACATTGAGCTGCTCGTCTGGCTCTCGCCGCCCGATAAATGTGAGCCAACGCGGCCTTGATCACCGCACAGTTTCCCCGCCTGTCGGACGACGCTCGCTCTCCCGCCTCACACGCTCTCGCCCGCCCGCCATGGCCTCGAAGCGGCTGCGCATCCTCCTCACCAACGACGACGGCCCGCCCTCGGGCCCCAAAGGCCACTCGCCGTTCGTCTACCCTTTCGCTCGCGCGCTCGTCGACGCCGGCCACGACGTGCGCGTCGTCGTCCCCTCGTCGCAGAAATCGTGGATCGGCAAGGCGTACCACATTGCCGACAAGTGCACGGGCGTCTTCTACTACCCGCCGGTCGGGAGCGACGACGGCACGGGCGGCGAGACGAGCGACCTCCCGAGGGAGAGGCGAGAGGGCGAGATGGAGTGGGTCCTCCTCAACGGCACGCCCGGTGCGTCCACGAGTCCTCTCTACCTCCGAGCCGAGAACGGACCTGACCGTTGCCCCTCCTCGACCAACAGCCACCTGCGCCTCGGTCGCGCTGCACAACCTCTTTGCGCCCAACTCGTTCGACCTCGTCATCTCGGGCCCCAACCTCGGCCGCAACAGCTCGACCGCGTTCGCCATGTCGTCCGGCACCGTCGGCGCAGCCATGGCCGCCGCCATCGTGCGTCCTCCTCCCCCACCTGTTCCCCACCTCGAGCGAGCACGCCCTGACCCTCTCTCCTGCGTCCTACAGTCCGGCGCAAACGCCATCGCGCTCTCGTGGGGGCTCATGGAAGGCTGGAAGCCGCCGCCGCGAGAGTTTGTGGACGCGGCGACAAAGGTCTCGCGCGACGTCGTCGAGCGGCTGCACGAGGTCGGATGGGGCGAGGGCGAGGGGCGCGTCGACGTGTACACGGTCAACGTTCCGGTGCGTCGTCTCTCGCTCGGAGCTTGTGGTCGACGAGACGGCAGCCCTGACCAACGTCTGCCTGCTGCCGGCCCCCCAACGCACAGCTTCTCCCGAGCATCCAGAAATCGCCCGAGGTGCGATGGACGACCATGGCCCAGACGGCGTACGGCCGCCTGTTCAAGTCGACGCCGCACCCCGACTCGACGACGAGCGCCTCACCCGCCGAGGTCAACAAGGGCGGGCCGGCCGCCGTCGCTGCGCCGCAGGGCGACAACGTCAAGCCGGCGACGAGCGGCGACGAGTCGAGCTCGAGCTCGAGCGCCAAGAAGGACGAGCTGCGGCTCAAGGACGAGCACCGCAAGGAGAAGCTGCACTTTGTGTTTGCGCCCGACCTCGGCGCGCTCATCAACCCTCGGCCGGAAGATCTCGTGCGTCCGCTCTCTCTCTCTCCCTCTCTCTTCCCTTCTCTCGTCCCCCGACGTGACTGACTCGGCTCGTCGCTTCCTCTCGCAGGTCGAGGACACGGACAACCACGCCATCTTTGCCGGCGCCATCTCGATCACGCCCATTCGGGCCGCGTTCATGCCCGCCAAGGCGCCCAACGTCCAGCTCCGGTTGTAGCCGCACCCTGTATCGACTCGCTCATGAAGCTCTCTCAGACCGTGCGCGACTCAAGAGCGAAAGCGAGAGCGAGAGAGAGAGAACGAGAAGGAAGAGAGAGGCGCAGGGCCCTCTCCTCTCGAGAGACGGGCACGAGCGCACAAGGAAAGCTCTACTGAGTTGCAGAGGGGGCAAGGACGATGCGGGGAGACTGTACAGCACAAGAGAGGGAAGAAAAGGGAGAGAGGTGCTCGTGCGAGCTCACGCCGAGAGCGTGTCGACGACGGCCGCACGCAGCTTCTCGGCCTCGTCGAGCCCGGTCCGGACGACGCCCTTTGCGCCGTCGGCCGCCGCCGCCGCCGCGTCGCGCGCCTTCTCCTCGGCCGTCTTGAGGTGCTCGGGCTTGGGCGTGTAGGCCTTCTTGGCCTTGACCTTGACCTGCTTGACCTCGGGCGGGTAGGCCCGCGCCTCGGCCTGCTGGAACTCGGCGCTCGCGGCAAACTCGGCCTGGATCGGCGCGAGGAGGGCGTTGATGGCGTTGATGGCGGCCGTCTTGAGGTCGCCCGGGTGCACCTGCCCGGCGGCGTACGCCGCGTCGAGCTCGTCGACCGTGCGGAAGTGGGCGACGCTGCCGCCAAACTTGGGGTTGCCCTCGACGGTAAAGACGGCGTCGCTCGGCGCGTCGGCGTGGACCCATGCGCGGGCCGAGGCGCGACCTTGGCCCTGGAACAGGTCGCCGATCGGGACGACGACGTGGCGGATAAAGGCGAGGACGCCGTTGCCCTCGACCTCGCCCGGCGCGCAGTGCGCCTTGCCGATCTTGCTCTTGACCGCTGCGGGGCCGTCGAGGAAGTCGATCTTCGAGTTGGGGTCGGACGACGACATCTTGCCGCCCGACAGGCCGGGCACCATCGAGTTCATGAGGTGCGAGCGCTTCTTGTAGCCAATCTTGGGCAGGTACTGCTCGGCGTACGTAAAGATCTTGCGCTGGTCGACGCCGCCAAACTGAAAGTCGACGCCGAGGTACTCCTCGTCGAGCGCCTGGAGGAGCGGGTACAGGAGGCCCGACAGGAGCGGCGACGAGACCTGCTTGACAACCTCGGCGCCGGCCTTGCGCGCATCGTGCTCGGACGTGATGGCCGCCAGCTTGTACTTGTCGAGGTTGTACTTGGCGTCGTACTGGTACGAGGAGCCGACGACGAACTTGAGCTTGTCGAGCGGCAGGTTGAGCGAGCGGAAGACGGCGATGATGAGGCGGCGGTAGTAGTCGACGCGCGCCTCGACGAGCTCGATCGGCGCCTTGAGGTTGTCGAGGAAGGCGTGGACGTCTGCAAAGGCGAGGGAGCCAGGGTCAGCATCGGCGAGGGTGAAGATGGAGGGGGAGGGGACGCACCGGCGAGCAGGACCTTGACCTCGACGCCGGCGGTGACAAAGTCGGCAAGCTTGCTGAGCGGAACGAAGTAACCGAGATGGGCTGCAAGGTCAGGGGATGATGAGGGTGAGGAGGGCGAGGCGGGGAGGGGAGGGGAGGTCCGAGGTCAGCTGTCGCTCTCTAGCGTGAGCTTGACCCGGCTCGACCGCCGTGGTCATGACTCGAAGGAGGAGAGAAAGGTGGACGCACGCCTGCCCGTCGGTGCCGTGCCCCAGTACGCGGTGAGGTCGCGTTCGTCGAGGAGGGCGCGGAGCTGCTCGGCGCCGAGCACCTCTGAGAGGCGCTCCGTGATGAGGGTGAACTTCTCCTGCGCCGTCCTGCTCGAGGTAGAGCCAGTTCGAGAGGTGCATGGCGCGGAGGGGAGGGCGAGAGATGAAGATGGGCGGCGAAAGAAAGGGTCAGCGGGGAGGCAGGGGAGAGATGCGCGAGGAGGCGACGCACAGCTTGGCGACAGTCGCAGGGGGCACGGGGAGCGTTCCTTCAGGCGCGTCGGACATCGTCTGGAGCGAGCGAGGGTGTGTGGGCGGCGAGAGGCGAGCGGACGAGTCGGCGGAGAGATGGAGTCGGCGCAGGCTGCCGAGTCAATCTCATCAGTCGCTCTCACTCGCAAGGGGCAGCAGACTGTGCTCGCTGCTCTCACAGTGCCAGAGCGACTCTCGGACGGGCGAGGGAACGAGAGAATGCGATGATTACGACGGTCGCCCTCCTCCGAGGCAGTTCTAGACGGCGAGACGGAGCGACCACGACGTGGGGGTAAAGAGGGGGGGACAGCAGCTCTAACGAACGACAAGCAAGAGAACGACGAGGGCGGGGAGGGATGTGGGAGGGAGAAACTGTAGTGTCTGCTCAGAGCGACTTCTTCTCGACGAGCGCAGCCTTCTCCGCCTTCTGCTTGGCGCGGTACGCGTGGTACTTCTTCTCGGTGCCGAGAAGCATGTCCCCTGCGTGCGTGGGAGAGTCAGTGAACGCTCGCTAGGACGGCGAGGCCGGCTACGACAAGGTCGAGCGGCTCGTGCGGGTGCGAGAGGGGAAGGAGGAGGACGCACAGTGGCGGAACGACGACGAGTAGCAGTCCATGAACTTCTCGTGGTGCTGCGGGTGATCGAAAGGGTCAGCTGTGAACGCCGAAAGGAGGCGTCGCTCGGGCTGGAGGGCGAGAGAAGGACGAGGAGGTCGACGAGGGGAGGAAGGGGAGAAGGGATGGGATGACGACGGCGAGGAGAGGGGGACGCACGTAGTCGTGGTGCTCGGCGCCGGCCCAGAACGGGAGGAAGTGGCGGAGCGACCAAGGGAAGTCGTAGCCGCTGTGCGCGTCGATGGCCTGGGCGAGGCGAAGGCAGATCCACAGGTACATGGTGATGATGTGCATGTTGCCGCCGCTAAGGTAGCAGTAGAGGAGGGGTGCGCCGACAGTGCCGAGGCCGAGCACGAAGACCCTGCGGGTGAGAGAAGAGTCAGGACGATCGGCTGAAGGGCCTTGCGTGTCCCGGGGCCTTTCTCCACTCCCTCAGACACCGCGCGAGGCTGCGAGGTGAACGTACTCGATAGGGTGAGCGTGTTCGGCCGCCAGGCCACTCGGGGCACTCCACTCATGGTGTCTGGGAGCGTGCAAGAGAAGCAAAGTCAGTGGAGGAGGTCTGGGGGTTGCTGCCACGCTCCCAAGGGCGACGGCGAGCCCTGCCGAGCATGCAGCAGCTCCAGAGAGTGGACTATCGACGTACACCTTGTGGACGTGCTTGTAGAGTGCACTGCGGGGCAGAGAGAGGGAGAAGACGAGTCAGGAGACGCGACCTTCTCAACCGACGCGAACGACGAGGACGCACCGGTGGTGCATGAGACGGTGCACGAAGTAGTGCCAGGTGTCCTCGATGAAGAAGAAGAGCGCGATCTGTGAGGAGAGAGTCAGCGGCCAATCTCGAGCGGGAGAAGAGGGGGGAGAAGGTAGGGGACGCACCTGCGGGAGCATCTGCTTCCAGAGCGACGGGAAGGGGACCTCGTAGGTCTTCATACCGGCCGAGACGGCGAGCGGGTGGAACAAGTAGATCTGGCGGCGGCAGAGCAGGTCAGCAAGGGCGCAGAAAACGACGCGAGAGAAGAAGACGCACCTGCGGGAGCTCGACAGAGAAGTGCGTCTTGAGGACCGCCTTGGTGCACTGCCACTGCTTCTCCATCGACATCGACTTGTCCTGTCGCAGAGGGAATGGGTGTGAGCGCGCGCCCGCTTCGGGCGGATCGACGAGGACCGGCGACGACCTCGGGGAGGGAGCTGGACGCACCTGCTGCAGCTTGTACTGCTTGAACCAGCCCATGTAATCGATGAGGATCCAGGGCACGCATCGGCCAAAGTAGACGACCTGCGAGAGGGACAGGGACAAGGTCAACTCGGTCGGCTCGACGCGACGACCTCTCGCGCTCGGGGGAGGGGGGAGCACAGGCGGCGCACCTCGTGCATGACAAAGCTCATGATGCCCGTCGCGAGAATCGGGTCGCCGATCTTGACGTACCAGCTCATCCACAGGCGCTCGAGCCAGTTGAGCTGTGAAGGGTCGACGGCCGAGTAGAACGACGCCGCCTCGTGCTTGGTCGTCTCGACAAAGTTGGTCACGAGCACGGTCGCGTTGTTGAACATCTGCTCGTAGACGGACGCCATCGTGAGACGTGGGGCGAGGCGAGGGTTGTTGGTGGCGAGGGGGAGATGGGAGGAGGAGGAGAGAGCTCGTGCGCTCGAGTCGAGAGACGGGTGCGAGGTGTGTGTCGCGGAGTGTGGGTCGATGTGCTGAGCGTGTGCAGCTGGCTGAAGCGAAGCCGAGCGCGGTAGGGCGAGGGTGAGGGAAGGTCGAGAGTTGGTGGGTCGACCGCCGGCGCGTCTCGATGGGGAGCGCTCGAGGCACGCTCCGCTCGAAGCCGCCGTCGCCGAGCTGAAACGCGAACCGAGAAGCGGGCGCGCCTGATTGGCTAGCCCTTTGGCAATCGCTCGCTGTCTCTCCCTTTTTCCAGCGAACTCTGCTCGACCCACCGCTCCGCCCTCGCTCTCCTCACACACAGACAGCGAGAACGGACGTGTGGTTGCACAGATGACGAAGTCGAACGACGCGGGGAGAACGCAAGGAGGGTATCGGGCGCGAGCGAGGGTTGGAGCACAACAAGCAGGCTCGAGGGCCGCACGAGGCGCCGACGAGGGAGGAGGGTATACAGGCGACGTCGAGCCGCACGCTCAGGACGCGTAGACAAAGTTGACGCGCGAGAGGAGGGCCGGGAGCGACGACAGCTGCGGGCCGTACCTGCGAGTCGGGGAACAGGGCGCTCGTGAGCTGTTGTCACGCGTCGGAAGGGGCAGAGAAAGGCGAGACGCACCGTATGGCGTTGTCGTACAGCTCGAAGAGCGGGAGCGCGACGATCTTCTGGTTCTTGGGCACCGTGAGGATCCCTGAGAGCGCAAAGGACAGGGTCAGTGCGCTGCACGGGGATGAGGGGGAGAGATTGGGACGCACGAGTCTCGGGAAGCTGGATGAGGTGCCACGTCTTGACCTCCTTGGGCTTGGTGATGTGGCTGCAGGCGACGAGGGCGAGGGTCAGTGCCGCGAGAGGAAGAGGGATGGGCGGTCGAGGGACGCACGCCGGCTTGTACGGGTACTGCAGGGCGGACAATCTTTATCAGTACGCTTCCATAGGCTCAAGGCGAGGTCGAAGTGGGTACGGGGAGGCTGGGAAGGAGAAGGAGAGGCGGGAGGGAGAGGGGAGAGGCGACAAGGACGCCGAGAAGGAAGAGACGAGGCGACGCACCATGAACGACTCGAAATTTGGCCGCCAGAACTGGCCGATGACGTCGCTGACCTCCCACTCGTCCGCTCCCGCGCCGTCCTCCTCGACCTTCATCTCGCCGTCGGCGGCGTCGCCCGGCGGGTCGGGCCCGAGGCGGAGGTGCATGCGCGCCTTGAGCCCTTGCTCGTCGCTCTCGTGCGGCTTGAGGTAGTCGCCGGGGAGCTTGAAGAAGGCCGAGCCGACCTGGGTCAGGAGGACGTGCGGGTGGCCGTGCTCGTGGACGAGCATGATGCCCTCAACCGTGCGGCGCATGCCGTACTGCTCGTAGTCGTGCTCCCTGCGGGTTCGTGCTCGGGTCAGAGTGATCTACGTCCGTGCCCCAGGCTCCGCCAGAAGGACTTCAGCCCCTGCCGCCCTCGTTGACTGACGAGGGAAGCCGGAGCGACGGCGGGCGGCGGAGGAGGGGGAGGGAGGAGGGGGCACGCACAGGCGCTGCAGGCGTGCGACGACCGAGGGGTCCTCCTCGAGCTGCTGGTCCTTGCTCGCGAACGGGTAGTCTGCACGGCGAGGGCGAGGAGGACGAGGGAGAGGGTCAAACTGATGAGGCCGCGAGGTGGGGGTTGGAGGTGAGGAACGAGGGCTCACTGCTGAGCGGGTACCTGCTCGATGGGTCGACAGAGTCAGCAAGAACGCGTGGAAGCTTGCGAGAGGGGCGCACAAGGTGATGGTGGTCGACATGGCGATGGCACAGAGACGAGGAGGTGGTCGAGCGGACGGCTTACAAAAGTCAAGGGGGCGGGCCAAATCTCAATACAAAACCGCTCGCCTTTCTCTCCCTCCTTCCTCTCACTCGCTGGTCGACCCTCGACTGCTGTGCGCGCCTTGCTGCCAGCTCGTTGCTCTCCTCCCAGTCTCTGCGGGCGGCCGACTCGGCCCCCGTCCGCTCAGCTCGTCCGCGGACATTCCGGCTCCTGCCCGGTCGCCATCCACTCGCACTCTGGCTCCGCTCGCATCGCTCGAGTGCTCAACCCGTCGCCATCTTGACGGCAGGAATGGCTCGCAGCCCCTCGCGCTCGTCGCGCCGCTCCTCCAGCTCCGACTCGCGCCTCTCGCAAGCCTCGACCGCCGTCGACTCGGATTCGGCCGCGTCCGACGAACCTCTTCGACGCTCCCGCTCCCGCGCCAGCTCGCGCAAAAGCCGCTCGCCGTCGCAGTCGCCACCGCCATCACGGTCCGGGTCGAGCGACAGCCGCAGCGCCTCGCCGAGCCCTGCTCGGTCGCCTGTCCCGTCGGGCTCGTCCAGCGACGGCCGCACCAGGAGCAGGCGACGGTCGCGGTCGCGCGGCACCGGCAAGGGCAAGGAGCGTGACGGGCGCGGCAGGAGCTCGAAGTGGCGCGGCGGCTCGCCGTCGCCGCCGCCGACCGACAGCGAGGACCTCTCGGACGCCGAGAAGGGTCGCCGCGGCGGCTCGTCATCCGGGTCGCGCCGCCCTTCACGCTCGAGGAGGAGCTCGGGGTCGACGAGCAGGAAGGAGCGCGAGGAGCGCGGGGAGCGCGAGGAGCGTGAGGAGCGCGAGGCGGCAAGGAAGAAGGAGCGGCGACGGCGGCGGGATCGGAAGGAGCGCGAGAAGGGCAGGGCGGACGAAGCCGAGCGGATCGCCAAGGCGCGACGCGAGAAGCGTCGCAGGGAAGAGCTGCACCGCAAGCGGCGGCACGCCGAGAAGGAGGCGGTCGAGGGCGACAAGGTGCGTTCGTGCACGACCCTCTCCTCCTCATCCCGACCCAGTCACTGACACACGGTCCTGCGCAGCACCACGGGCACCACAAACACAAGCCACCATGTCTACGTTCACGTCCACGAGCGCGAGCACGAGCACAAGCATAAGCACGGCCACGAGCACGCTCGTCGACACCGCCACAAGCACGACTCGCACCACAAGCACCACCACCGGCACCGCCATCACCCCGCCGACGAGGTGCGTCTCTCTGTCTCTCTGTCTCTCTTCGGAGCGAAGCTCGATCGTCCTGACCTCGAGGCCGCGTCTGCAGGACCCGCCGCCGTCGAACCGCAACAGCTTGCTCATCGCGAGCGTCATCGTCGTCGTTGCGCTCCTAGGCGCCGGTGGAGCAGTGTACTGCATCAAGCAGAAGTGACGAGGGTCGGCGCGAGCCTGTAGCGAACGTGCAACGCGCTCTCTCTTCCGTTTTTTCCGTCGAGTCGGCTCGCTCGGACCCTTTCAGGCGGTGCTCTCGCAGCGACTCTCCTCCCTCGCCAAACTCTCGAGGCGCACGAGCCTCTCACTTGTGAGAACGGCGTCGAGAGAGAAAGAGAAAGCGTCGTGCTGCACGTGCCTCGCCAGCTACGTCCTGCGCTTCTTGCCGCTCACCCTCGACTCGCCCTTGCCGCCCTTGCGCCGCTTCGAGCCCACCTCCTCGCTCTCGTCCCCACTGCTGCCTCCCACCTCGTCGCTCCCCTCGTCGTCGCGCGTCTCGTCGTCGCCCTCGTCGTCTCCGTCCGAGTCGACGAGGACGGCCCGCCCTTTGCCCTTGGCCTTGGCGCCGCCCTTGCCCGGCTCGGTCTTGGGCGCCTTGAGCATCGACGCCTTGACGAAGCCGCCGCCGCCGACGTCGAGGTCGACCTCGGGCTCGCTCGCCTCGAGCTCGAGCTCGTCGATGTCGTCCTCGATCAGGTCGTCCTCGTCGACGTCGCGCGCCTTCTCCTTGCCCTTGCGGCTCGCCTTGGCCTTGTCCTTGCCCGAGCTCTGCGCCTTGCTGCCCTTCTCCTTCTCCTTGCCCTTGTCCTTGGCCTTGCTCGTCTCGGCGTCGCGCGCCACCTCCTTCTTGGGCGCAGCGAGCCGCGGCGCCTTGACCTGCTTGCCGCCCTTGGCCTTGCTCGAGGTCGTGTCGGCCTTGAGCTCGGCGAGCGAGAGGCCGTGCTGCTGAGCCGAGGTCGTCAGGAGCTCGTACTGTGCGAGGTTGAGGGTGACATGGTGCGAGAGGGTCAGTGACGGGATATGGGGCCAGGCGATGCCGCGGGGAATGAGGGCGCACAAGAGGCTCATTGCGGCGAGCGGCGAGCTGTTTCGATAGAGGTACGTCAGTCGTGAGAGCGCGCGAAGAGGGCTGAAGAGGGACGCACCTTGACGTCGTCGGCGTTGATCGTCAAGCGCCCGGCGTGCCTGCGCTCCAGGCGGTCAGTACGGGATTGAGAGGGGAACAGATAGCGAGGGACGCACTTGGCGAAGCGCTCGAGGTCCTTGCCGAGCGTGACTGCAAGTGAGAGGCGTCAGGGCCCAGGGACGGGTCGCCGAGGGAGGGAAGGGCGGGACGCACGAGCTTGCTGAAAGACGACTTCGGCGAGGGAGGCGACAAAGTGCTCCGAAGCTGCGAACGGGAGCGAGAGCTCTGTGTGGCTGGGTCAGGGCGCGAGTCGACGGCAGAGAGGCAGAGGGAGGGGGAGCGTACCTTCCTCCTGGGCGATCTGCAGGACAAGGGCGTACAGAGATGGTCAGCGCTCCATCGTGAGGGGCGATAGAATGGGCTGGGAGCGCACCTTGGTGACCGTGTACCAGACTGCGGCCTTGAGGCTCTGTGAGGGAGGGGAGCACCGCCCCGGCCGAGCAAAGGGTCAGTCGAGACCCGATCAGAGGAGGGGAATTGGGCGCACCTGCTTCGAGAGAGCTTCATCGGCCTCGGTGGGCTTGCTCGCGCGGCCCATGGTGCAGTGTGGGTGGTGCTGGAGGCTGATGAGGTGGGGACGCGGGGTGGGCGGAGGTGGACTGGGCAGCGGTGGCGCGCAGCGTTCGGGCGATGGACGTGGGGGCCGATAGAGCTCTGTCGAGCACGCTGGTAGGTGCACTGCTCCGGCTCAGGGCTCGAGGCGAGGTGGAGAGCGGTGACACCTCGCGCGCCTCATCGCGGTCGAGTGTTCTCGTTCGCTCTGACACTCGCTCGCACCCAGGCTGAGCCTGTACCGGCCTTGCCTGTGCTCTCTGTCCAGCTCTGCACCTGTGCCCGGTCGCACAGCTCGCCCCGACGCGTGCCACCTCCGGCGCCTCCTCCTCGGCCTCACGTCCGCTCGACTCGCAGCGGCAGCGGTCCGCTCGACGTAAGCCCCGCCCGGCTGCTATCCACGCACTCTCCGCTCGCTGCGGGACAGCGTCCGTATCTCGAGCGGCTCCTGTCCTCCTCAGGCCGGGCCGGCGAGGTTTGCGCCCGCCTCTCGCAATCGCCGCTCCCCTCCGCTTCCTGCTCTTGCTCGCCGTGCACCTGCGCACGTCGCACTGCCGCCTTCGACGCGCCGAGCATGTCTGCCGAAGCCGCTGGACCGCCGCCTGTCTCTGCGCCTCCTCGCCGTGGGTCGCGTCCGCCGCCTGCGGCCGGCTCGCCCGGCTTTCGCTTCCCAGCCCCGCATCCCTACAACGCCAGCGCATCGCCGACGTCGCTAAGCAGCATCCCTGCCGATCTGGCGCACCGAGCGCCGTACCAGGCGTCGTCGTCGCAGGAAGCCCTCCTCGAGAAACCGGTCGAGGTGCGCCGACTTCCCTCGCACCCTCGCCCTCTCCCAGAACGCCGCTCACCCTTCTATGTGCACAACAGCGCCCCGCAAGACGACCCGACATGCCCAAGAACCCGCTCGACGCGGTCTCGACCTCGCCAACGCCGCCTCGCCCAGCTCGACCACCCGCCAGCCTGTTCAGCCACGACGGCCGCGACGGGCAGGGCCGCCGCGCCAGCAGGTCCATCGAGCATCCATCGAGCTCTGCCTCCCTCGACGCCTCTCGAGTAGCACGTCGAGCGCCCGCTCCGCTCGCCGAGTCGGCCGCACTCGCCGCGACTTTCCCCTCGGCCCCATCGTCGCACGAGGCCGTCGAGCTGCACGAGCTCGTCGACATCGCCGTCGACAAGAAGCGTCTCGGCGAGCAGGCGCTGCCCGTCCTCGCCATCGACGCGCCGCCGCGCTCCCCGGCCCGCAGTCGAGCGAGCGTGAGCGTCGCCGGCTCGACTCGGCGGCGCAGGACGGTCAAGAAGCGGGTTATCGTCGTCGTCATCACGCTCGTCGTCGCTGTGGCGATCGCAGTGGGCGTCGCCGTCGCCGTCTGGAGGAATCGGGCGGCGCAGGAGCGAGGTGAGGAGGAGGAGCGGGCGGGCACAGCGACGAGCGCGGCCGCAGGAGACTCGGCGTCGCCCTCGTCTGCCTCGACGAGTACGGCGATGCTATCGGACGCGGCAGTCAGGACGCGGGTCGACTCGTCCTTTCCCGCCGTCCTCGCGACCAGGGGCTCGAGCGCGGCGTCGCCACCGGCCTCCTCAAGCAGGACCACCGGCGCCATCGCCGCCGACTCGACTTCTCGACGCACCCGAATCGCTACTCGGGTTTGCCCACCGCCCGCCTCGAGTACCGCCGCCCCGTCGACCGCCTCCTCGCTGTCGGACGCCCGCTCGACCCCTCGCCGTCGAGCGTCGTCGGCCGTGAGCGCCGTCAAGACGCGGGCTCTCGCGTCGAGTGACGCAGCCTCGAGGCTGGTACGACGGTGGACGGCCGAGGCGAGGAGCACGGCGGCGGTGGACGAGGCGTGGAGCGGGTCCGAGCGGGCCGCGGCAACATCGGCGAGCGCAGCTTGAGCGGTTCGGCTCGTCGAGCGGCGCTCGATTCTCTGCGTCTTCGTAGCTTCAAAAGACGACTTAGAGCCTGCAACGACGAGCCTGGTCCGAGAGCGTTCCCTTCCTTCGATCCCGCTCGCGCTCTGAAGGCTTTCTCTCTCGCTCGAGCACCCTCGGGTCCAGCACAGTCGCTATACATTGCCAACGAGAGACTATACATGCACAGATAGACGACGAGAGGATGCGGCACGACAAGGGGAGGTGATAGGAAAGAGAGCGAGAAAGGGTCGGAAGGAAGGTCGGTCTAGAGCTTGGCGCGCGGCTTCTCCTCGTAAACCTGCACCTCGTGGCCCTTGCAGTCCTTGAGCATGCGCCGGAGAATCTTGCCCGCAGGAGATTTGGGCACGGCCTCGACGAGGACGAACCCGCCGCGGATCCTGCACGGGCGACGAGGAGAGGTCAGGTTCTCGCTCGCGCTCGAGGGAGAGAGAGAGAGAGGAGAGAGCGTGCGACGCACCACTTGTACGGCGAGTGCTTGCCCTCGATGTGCTGCCGCAACGCGTGCGCAAAGTCGTGCGCCTTTTTGCCGCCCTTGAGCACCTCCTTGTCGAACGGCATGATGTAGGCGCGAGGGTACTCGGTCGCGTGGTCGTCGTGGTACACGGACGTGACGCCGGCGTCCTGCACGAGCGGCGAGGCGCACAGCGAGTCCTCGAGCTCGGCGGGCGAGACCTGGAACCTGTCGGGGTCCGAGCGGGAGGTCAGGGCGGGCTCGACGACGAGGAAAGAGCGGGACGAGGACGCACCCCTTGACTTTGATGAGCTCCTTGAGGCGGTCGGTGATGTACAGGTTGCCCTGGGTGTCGAACTTGCCGACGTCGCCCGTGCAGAACCACATGTCGGGCGTGAAGGCCTCGGCCGTCGCCGACGGGTTGTTGAGGTACGAGATGGCGCACGACACGCCGCGAATCAGGATCTCGCCCTCCTCGCCAACGGTGACGGCTGTGATAGGGAGAAGGTCAGGTGAGCTCGGGGAGGCGAGGCAGAAAGAGAGAGAGAGCGTTGGACGCACGTTTCCCAGTCTCGGTCGAGCGGATCATGATCTCGGTGCCCGGGTACGCCGGCCCACAGCTGCCGAGCTGCTTCTTGAGGTCGTCCCACGTCATGCTCTGCTGCTGCGTCGCGCCGCCCGTCTCGCTCAGGCCGTAACTGCAACGCGAGCGGCTGAGTCAGTCTCGCTCGAACCGAGAGGAAGGGAGAGGCGGACGCACCCGATCTTGATGAGGATGCCGAGGCGCCTGTACACCTCCTCGATGATGCTCGTGCCGAGAGGCGCGCCGCCAGAGGTGCATCCTCGGACGGACGAGAGGTCGAAGCCGTTGACTGCGCGCTCGACCAAGGGGTCAGTGCTCGGGCCCGTCGGCGGGGAGAGGAGAAGAGAGGGGGCGCACCGAGAGGGCTCTTGGCGAGGAGGACGGCGATGGGTGGCGAGAAGTGAAGGTGCGTCGCTCGGCACTCTTGCGCCATCGTCAGGTACGACACCGGGTCGAACTTGCCCATCGTCGTCACGGTCGCACCGAGCGCGACGCCCGCCATGAGGACGTTGGCCCAGCCGAACTGCGGGAAGAGAGAGCGTCAGGACGTCGTCGAGCAGGCGAGAGAGAGAGAGAGGGGCGCACGATGTGGTAGAACGGGGGAAGGCCGACAAGTCGCTCGTCCTCGCCGAGCGTCGACGCGTGCCAGACGCCGATGAGGGCCGAGCCGATGGCCCTGTGCGTCAAGATGACGCCCTTGCTCTTGCCTGACGTGCCCGAGGACCAGAAGATCATGGCGGCGCGCAGGGCGTCCTCGCTCCCGGTGTACCGCGGCGGCGAGAACGGCTTGGGCGTGGCGGGGAGGAGGACCTTCCAGTCGTGGACGGTCCAGCCGCCCACGTTGCGCTCGAGAGGTGCGAGCGACGCCGCCGACGCGCCGTAGTCGTCGCCGTCGAGGTTGACGAGGAAGACGTTGCCGCGGGTCGCGTAGCTGAGCTTGGCCTGGAGGTCGGGCGCGAGGAGCTTGAACGCGGCCTGGAACGTGGCGACGCCTGCTGCGGTCGTGACGAGCGCGGCGGGCTCGGACAGGGTGAGGATGTGGGCGAGTTCGGGCGGGGTGAGGACCGGGTTGGCGGCCGTGAGGGTGAGGCCCGACGCGAGGACGCCGTACGCGAGGGTGACAAAGGGCAGGCAGTTGGGGAGGTGCAGGAGGATGGTCGGCGACACGATGGCGCCGCGGTTGACGCGCGGGTTCGAGGACGAGGCGGGCGCGGGCTGGAGGGCGAGGTGGCCGTCGGTGAGGGACGAGGCGACCGTGAGGGCGTCGCGGTACAGGCGGCCGTAGCTGAGGGTTGCGCCCGTCTTGCCGTCGCGGAAGATGGGCTTCTCGGGGTGGATGGGGCCGAGGGTGTGCGACTGGAGCTCCTTCGAGGTGGCCTCCCAGGTCGGCGTGCCCTTGCGGAACGGCTGCGAGAACAGGAACTCGAACGCCTGCGGGGGGACGCACCGGTCAGCTCCATCACCCTGCGCGTCCAGCAGAGAGAGAGAGGGAGGCGCACCGTGTTGGACGAGTGAGGGACGGGCGAGATGTCGGACGAGAGCGACTCGAAGCGGACGGCGGACGTCTCGAGGCTGGCCATGGCTGGGGCGGGTGCAGGTGCGTGCAGCAGGTGCAGGCTAGAGCTGGATCGACGACAGAGGCTCAGCGCGAGGTGCGCCGCTGTGAGCAGGCTGGGAGAACTCCGGGCCGACTCTCGGCAGAGGAATCCCGGTGCGAGCAGCCGGATCGCTCTCGCCTCGAGCCGCGGTTCAGTGGACCGAACAGGGTTACGGCTCGATCTGGTCAAGCTGGTCAAGCCTTCGAGGCAGCAGCCGGCGCCCACAGACGACGAGAGCGAGTGAGGCGGTGCAAGCTCTCTGTGGTCGCCGACTTGAACCTCATCAGCTCGTCGCTCCCTGCATCCACCTCGCCGCTCTGAGCCATGCGCGCACCGCTGCTGCACTTCGACCAGCTCGAGCCCTGGCAGCGCGACAACCCTTGCATCCGCACCGGCTACCGTCCTCTCTCTCGCTCCGTCTCAGGTGCTCTCCGCACCGTCGCCGCCTGGCACAACGAGTCGATCAACATTGTGCGTCCCTGCCTCTCCCCTCGCCTCCCACGAGCGACAAAGCTGACAGCGAGCGCGCACACAGTGGACCCACCTCGGTGGTGCCGCCGTCGCAGTCGGCACGGCGACCTACCTCCTCCTCGACTTGTCCCCCGCCGACTCGCTCCCACACACCCGCAAAGGCTGGCTCGCACCGTTCGCCGGCATCCCCTACCCGTTCCCGAACGCGGCTCAGCCGAGCGTGACCAGGGCAGACGCCGTCGGCTTCGCAGCCTTCCTCGTTTCGGCCACCTTGTGCCTTGGTGCGTCCCCTCTCTCTCTCCCCTTGTCGCACAAAGACACGAACAGCTCACTCACCCTCCACCCGCTCGACAGGCTTCTCGGGCCTCTTTCACACGATGCTGTGCCACTCGGAGGCGGTCGCCGTGCGCTGGAACCGCCTCGACTACCTCGGCATCGTCGTCCTCATCTCGGGCACGTTCGTTCCCGCCGTGCACTACGGCTTCTTCTGTACGTCCTCGACTTTCTCGGTCTGCGGCGCGCGAGGTGCCGGGTCGTCCTCCACTCACGCTCGCCCTCGAACAGGCGACGCGCACCTTCGAAATCGCTACATCGCCCTCATCTACACGATCGCCGCCGGTGCGCACCTCTTCCCCCGTGTGACAGACGACGAGAGAGACTGAAATTGCCTCTGCAGCGACCGCCGCCGCCGTCGTCTCGCCTCACGCCCGGACCCCCGAGTTTCGCCGGTTCCGCACCTTCCTGTTCATCGCCATGGGCCTCTCGGCCGTCTTCCCTGTCGGCCATGCCGTCCTCCGATACGGCGTGCGTCCCCTGTCTCCCTTTCTTCAGGTGCGACAGTCGAGGGAACAGTATTGACGACGTTCGACCGTGCAGCTCGAGGGCGCGTCAAGAGGGATCTCGCTCTTCTGGCTCGCGCTCGGCGGCGCGCTCTACATCGTCGGCGCCCTTCTGTGAGTCACAGTGACCGTCCCTCTCTTCCTCGTGCCGCTCGAGCCTGCGTCGGCCCTCTTGGCGTGCGCGGCCAGTCGAGGTTCGAGCGCAGGCTGGGCGACGTCTCCTCAAGAGGCACCTCGTCCTCTCCATGGCCGACGCCGCTAGATCCACCACTGACACTCCTTATGTCCCTCTCTCTCGTCGGCGCAGCTACGCCGAGCGCTGCCCCGAGCGCCTCTCGCCCGGTCGTTTCGACTTTGTCGGCGGCTCGCACCAGATCTTCCACGTCCTCATCCTCCTCGCCGCCCTGAGCCACTGGACCGCCATCGCCGAGGCGCACCGGTTCTGGCACGGCGAGATGCAGGGGCAGTGTCCGGCTTGGGCGCGGCCGCAGGATCTGTAGACCTCGAGGCGGGCTCGTTCCGCTCTCTCTCTCTCTCTCTCTCTCTCTCTCTCTCGATCGGTGTCCGCCGGCTAGACGTAGAGTGTACTGAAACGAACTTGTTGCATTCTTCAAGTATTGCGAAGGGGCACTGACAGACAGGGAGGGCGAGAGAGAGAGCGCGCGGGGGAAGAGAGAGACCTCGAGTACAGGGCCGGAAAGCGGAACGTCCTCCTCCTCGTTGACCTGGGCGAGTGGGGCGAGTCCTGCAGGGGAGCGAGAGGGTCAGCTTGGTGTGCCTCGTGCGTAGAGAGAGGTCGCCGAGGAGGAGCTAGGCTCACGCGCTCACGCGACGCTCCCCTACTTTGGCGATTCTCGGGACCCAGGGCGCTCAGATGCCGCCGCCAGAGCGCTCGACGATGACCGACAGCGGGCCGCCGTTGCGAGAGAGGGCGCGCTGGTACGCGAGGCGGGCGTAGACGCCGCCGACGAACGAGAAGGTGGCGCTGGAAGGTGGGCGAGGCGCGTGCGGGGACGGCGAGGGTCAGCTGGACTGCGCCGCGAGGCTCGAGAGGGTGGACGTGGGGGACGTACAAGGCGGCGAGGCGAGGGTGGGCGAGCATGGTGTGAAGGTGGAGCGCGGTGCGAGGTGGAGAGTGTGCGAGGGAGTGGTGGAAGGGAGGAAGAGAGAGGGAAGGAGGGAGAGGGCGCTGGACGGGGGGGAGCCCCGCACCGAGAGGTGGGGAGACGCTGAATAGTAGCTCGCAGTAAGCGTGCGAATAGGAAAGTCAAGGAATGCGACAGTGCCATCGTCCGACTCGGCTCTTCCTCGCCCTCTCGCTCCCTTCCGACCCCATCTCTCGCCCTCCAGCGCACGGCGCCGACCTCGCCCGGCTGCATGGACCCACTCTCGGCCACGTCCAAGGCCGCCGGCTGGAGCCTCCCCGAGTTCAGCCTCGAGGCCCGCCGACCCCGAACCTCTGCAACCACTCCAGCCCTGTGGTCCGGCCCTCGCCCCGTCCCGACCCTGTACCGCCCGCCCGACGAGGAGAAAGGCCGCGCCTTCCGCTCCAGGACCGAGTCGGCCTCGTCATCGACCCTGTTTGGCCCACCCGACCCCGACCACAACAAGCTCGACCCGGTCGTTCAACCTCTCGCCGACGCCCTCGGCGCCGCCCTGTTCTCCAACGACGCAGACGACGACGACCTCCTCGACCAGTTCCTCTCCGACCGAGGCGCCGCGCGCGACCAGGACGACTCGGGCTTTGTCGAGCAGGAGCCGCCGAGCTGGTCTCCGAGGTTCGTCCCGGCGCCCGTCCTCTCGTCGAGCAACGCGTGGACCGTCGCCATCGGCAAAGCCGTCGAGAACGCCGACGGCAACATCCAGCTCAGGTGCGCACCTCGTTCCCTCTCAAGCGCAGGCCGTCCCTCGAGCCCGGAGAGAGCTCACTCGCCTTCCCTCGTCCCGCAGCGGCCAGAAGCTCCGCGATGTGCCCAACGCCGTGTGGGAGCTGTCGACCCTGCGCTCCTTTACGCCCTCGAGCCCGTCGTCCCGGTCCTTCGCCCGCACCCAGTCGGTCCCGGCCTCCAAGCTCCCCTCGTCGCCCGCCCGCCGCATCTTTGGCCGCACGGCGACCGTCGCGTTCGGCTCGCCCGGCGGTTCGGCGTCACTCGCCGCCGCAGGCGCCGTGCCCGTCGTCCTCATGCTCTCGGGCAACGAGCTGACGGCGGGCGCCCTGTCGAACGCCCTGTGGTCGATCCCCAACCTCCAGGTCCTGTCGCTCCGCAACAACCTCCTCGACACGCTCCCCGAGGGCGTCGGGCGCCTCGCCGGCCTGCGCGAGCTTTCCCTCGCCGGCAACCAGCTCCAGTTCCTCCCCGCCGAGATCCTCGAGCTCGACAACCTCACAAACCTCACCCTCCACCCCAATCCATGGCTGCGCCCGCCGCCGGCACCGCCCGTCGCCCCGAGCACACACAGCGACGGCAAGGCGCCGAGTGCCGCACGAGCACGCCGGCGCAAGCGCGTCCTCGGCCCGCTCGTGACGCACTGCGTCGTGCCGTCCCTCGTCGAGACGTGCACGCGCATCCTCCTGTCCGACGCGACGCCGTCCCCGGCCCCGCCTATCTCGCTCTCGGCCTCGACCTCGTCGTCGTCGACCGCCGTGCGCCACATCCAGAACGTGCGCGGCGGCGTCGAGTTTGTCCGCGCCTTCCTCGACCAGCGCAACCTGTTCGCGCCGTTCCACTCGACCTTCTACCCGCCCTCGTCCCTCGCCGCCAGCTCCTCGTCCTCCTCCTCGTCCCTCTCTCCCGCCACCTCGTTCTTCCCTCGCTCCCGCCAATCGTCCGGCGCCGCCGCCGCGCCGCCGACGACGCAGCCGTTCGACCCGGCGTCGCACCAGTGCCGCTCTCCCGCGCACCCGCACGACGCGCGCGTATTTTTCCGCCCCGCCGTCGAGCGGCTCGAGTGGGTGTCCGAGGCGCGCCTGAGAGGCCGGGCGGCGGCCGTGCAGGGCGAGGGGGACGACGGCGAGGGGGAGGTGAGGGACGTGCCCGTGCGGTGGCGAGGCTGCGGGGCGAGGTGCCTCGACTGGCTCGAGCTCGACGAGGAGGACGACGTCTGCGAGGAGCGCGGCGAGCGGCAGGAGGAGCTTGCGTGAAGGAGCCAGGGCTTTTCCCTCATTTCGACTTTCTTCCTCTCCCCCGACCCTCCCTCTCGAGGCTCTACTCTGCGCAGCCAGCCCTGCAGCCTGTCGAGCACTCGACTCGACCGTGGCGCGGCAATGACTAGACGCGCTTTCCTCTCTCTTCTCGCTCTCGGGTCGACTCGTCGCTCAAGGAGAGAAAGAGAGAAAGAGGCACTGCGAGGTTTCGATTTCGAGGGACGGTGGAGAGGCGCAGACGAACTGAACGGAAGAGAGAAGGACGCGCAAGAGAGGGACGAGGTGAAGCTTCTAGACAGGCGAGCGGTATCGGGGAGAGAAGGGGAAAGGGGTCGCGAGGAGGGGTCCGAGAGCGATGCTCAGGCGTGCACGATCTCGACGACGAGGTCGCCCTGCGACAGCGAGTCGCCGGCCTGCACCGTGATGCGCTTAACCTTGCCCGAGACGGGCGCCGAGACGTTGGTCTCCATCTGCGAGAGGCGCGAGACGGAGAGAGTCAGTTCTCGAGACTTGACGAGCGCGCGAACGCCAAGGAGAGAAAGGCGAGACGCACCTTCATGGCCGACATGGTGGCGAGCGGGTCGCCGGCCTTGACGGTGCTGCCCTCCTTGACGAGGACCTCGACGACGACGCCGGCCATGGGCGAGCCGACCGAGCCGGGCTCCTTCGACGCGCGCTCGCGACGAACCTGGTCGATGGCGGCCGACTTGTCCTCAATCTGGACGAGACGAGCCTCGCCGTTGAGCTGTGAAAGGTCACGAGATGAAAGGGAGAGGACGAGGGCGAGGAGAGGGGAGGACGAGGGACGAGGACCGTGCGCGCAAGGAGGAGGAGCGAGTCAGTCATCCGGCCGCGAATCCTGCACCGTCGAGAGGCTAGAGAGAGAGAGAGGGAGAGTGGGCGCACCTCGAAGAGGACCTCGCGCATGCCCGTGACGGCGTTGACCGGCGACACGGCGACGAGCTTGATGAGGAGCGTCTTGCCCTGGTCGATCGGGACGGCCTGCGGGAGCGACGTCGACGAGTCAGGGTTGACGTGCGCGTGACCGGGAGAGGAGAGAGGTGGGACGCACAATCTCCTCTCCAACGGGCGGCTTCGCGAGGAAGTAGCGGGTCGGGAGGGTCGACAGGTCGCCGTACTTGAGCGTGAACTCCTTGAACTCCTCGAACACCTTGGGGTACATGCTGTAGCTCGCCACGTCGCACGAGGTGATCGAGCTGCCGAACTTCTCGACGAGTTCTGCGGGCGAGGAGGAGGGGCAAAAGGGGCGTTAGGAGGCGGTTTTTGGGAAGGTTCGACGGCACGACGACGGTGACGACGGCGACGGCTGAGACGACGAGAGGGAGTGGGACGCACGCTCGCGGACCTCGGCAAAGGGGTACGGCTCCATGCCGGCGCCCGGGCGACCGTCGATGCGCTGCTTGTCGCGGATGATCTTGGACCGCAGCGGCTCGGGGAAGCCGCCGACGGGCTGGCCGAGGAAGCCCTGGAAGAACTCGACGACCGACGACGGGAAGTCGAGCTCGCCCGCACGCTCGATGACCTCGTCCTTGGTGAGCTTGTTGGCGACGATGAACTGGGCAAAATCGCCGACGACCTTGGACGACGGCGTCACCTTGACGATGTCGCCGCACAGCTGGTTGGCCTCGATGTAGGCCTTGACGACGGCCTTCCACTGGCCCGAGAGGCCGAGCTGCTGCGACTGGAACATGAGGTTCGTGTACTGGCCGCCGGGCATCTCGTGCTCGAACACGCCCGAGTCGGACGAGCGGACGTTGGCCTCGAAGCACTGGTACAGGTGGCGCACGTTGGACCAGTACAGGTTGAGCGCCTGGATGTTGGCGTACGAGATGCCCGTCCCGAGCTTGGTCTGCTCGAGGGCCGAGCACACGGCGCCCATGGACGGCTGCGAGGTCATGCCCGACATGCTGTCGATCGCGACGTCGACGACGTCGGCGCCCGCGGCGGCGCACGCGAGCATCGACGAGACCGAGATGCCGGCCGTGTCGTGCGAGTGGACGTGGATCGGCATGTCGGGGAACTTCTTGCGGAGCGCGCCGACGAGGAGGGTCGCCGCCTCGGGCTTGAGGAGGCCGGCCATGTCCTTGATGGCGAGCACGTGGATGCCGCAGTCGACGAGCTGCTGCGCAAACTCGAGGTAGTACTCGAGCGTGTACTTGCCGTGGCCCTTGGGGTTGGCGACGTCGCCCGTGTAGCAGATGGCGGCCTCGATGACGCCGCCGGCCTTCTTGGCCGCATCGATGCCGAGGCGCATGTTCTCGATGTAGTTGAGCGAGTCGAACACGCGGAAGATGTCGAGGCCGTTCTCGACCGCCTTCTTCGAGAACTCGTAGATGGCGTTGTCCGGGTACGACGTGTAGCCGACGGCGTTGGCGCCGCGCACGAGCGCCTGGAACGGGATGTTGGGCACGAGCTTGCGCAGGGTGCGCAGGCGCTCCCACGGGTCCTCGTACAGGAAGCGCATCGCGACGTCGAACGTGGCGCCGCCCCAGCACTCGAGCGCGTACGCGTTCTGGAGCGCGTGCGACGTCTCGCGCGCAATGTTGGCCATGTCGATCGTGCGCAGACGGGTCGCGAGGAGCGACTGGTGGGCGTCGCGCCACGTCGTGTCCATGATGAGGACGCCCGGGTAGTCGCGCACGGCCTTGGCGAACGCCTCGGGGCCCTTCTCGACGATGATGTTGCGCCAGCCCGTCTCGCACGGCTTGGACGTGTCGAGCGGCTTGGTCTCGTCCTTGGGGTCGACGAACGACGGGATCGGGATCTCCTCGCGCAGGCCGGGCTCGCCCTGCTGGCCCTTGATCGACGAGCCGTTGACGGCGAGGTCGCCGAGGTACGACAGGAGCTTCTGGGCGCGGTTCTGCGACGTGACGAGGTTGAAGAGCTCGGGCGTGTCGTCGATGAAAGTCGTCCAGGTGCGGCCCTCGACGAACGCCGGGTGCGACAGGACGCGGAACAGGAACGGGATGTTGGTGCGCACGCCGCGGATGCGGAACTCGACGAGGGCGCGCAGCATCTTGCGGCGCGCGATCTCGAACGTGGCACCACGGGTCGTGCACTTGACGAGGAGCGAGTCGTAGTGCGGCGTGATCTGGGCGCCGGCGAAGCCCGACGACGCGTCGAGGCGGACGCCGTTGCCGCCGGCTGAGCGGTACACCTCGATCTTGCCCGTGTCGGGCTGGAAGCCCCTCGCCGGGTCCTCGGTCGTGATGCGGCACTGGATGGCGTAGCCACGCTTGGTGATCGAGTCCTGCGTGAGGCCAAGCTCGGGGAGCGACGCGCCGGCGGCAATCTGTGCGGCAGGAAGGAGAGCGTGAGTGTCTGCTCCCGAGTCGAGGATGCGAGGCGGCAGGAAGGGAGGAAGAGAGCGAGGACGAACCTGGATCTGGGCGGCGATGATGTCGATGCCCGTAATCTCCTCGGTGACGGTGTGCTCGACCTGGATGCGGGGCTGCAGGTTGTCGAGCGAGTCAGTACGAGTGATTCAAAGAAGGACGAGGGGGCGAGGGGGCAAGGGAGAGACAGAGGGAGAGAGAGAGAGAGAAAAGGGGTTCGAGCGCACGTTGATCTCGATGAAGTAGTACCCGCGCGAGTCGACGAGGAACTCGCACGTGCCGGCGTTGCGGTAGCCGACCTCCTTGGCGATCTTGACGGCGCTCGACAGGAGCTGCTGGCGCATCTCCTCGGGGAAGCTCGGGGCCGGGCCCAGCTCGACGACCTTCTGGTGGCGGCGCTGGACCGAGCAGTCGCGCTCAAACAGGTGGACGACGTTGCCCTGCGAGTCGCCGAGGAGCTGCGCCTCGATGTGCTTGGGCTTGTCGAGGAAGCGCTCGACAAAGACGGTGCCGTCGCCGAACGCGGCCTTGGCCTCGCTCACGGCCGACTTGAACGCGCCCTCGAACGACTCCTGGTCGCGCACGACGCGCATGCCGCGTCCTCCACCGCCCATGGCGGCCTTGATGATGACGGGGAAGCCGTGCTCCTTGACGAACGCGTCGGCCTCCTCGAACTTCTCGATGGCGCCGGGCGTGCCGGGCACGACGGGGACCTGGATCTTCTGGGCGAGCTGGCGCGCCTTGATCTTGTCGCCGAGGCCGTCGATGACCTGCGGCTGCGGGCCGATGAAGATGAGGCCGGCCGCCTCGACCTTCTTGGCGAACTCGGCGTTCTCGGAGAGCTGCGGGCGGCGACAGAGTCAGCAGCTCGTCCTCAACGCTCGCCAGTCGCCTCGACGGCGGCCCTGTCCGTCCTGAGGGGCATCGAGAGGGGAAGGAGAGGGAGAAGAGCGGGCGGAGAGGGAAAGAGGGGGGCGGGAGGGGCAAGGAGGAGGGGATTTCTCGAGAGCAGGACTCACGAAGCCGTAGCCCGGGTGGATCATCGTGACGCCGTGCTGCACGACAGAGAGGGGTCAGACTAAAGAAAGAGGGCGAACTGAGGACGGTGGGGCGACGCACGTCGAGAGCGATCTGCGAGCAGGTCGAGGGTCAGTGTCGTCGTCTCGGCAGCAACGCGGCATCTGGCGGGGCCTCCTCGAGAGACAGTGAAAGGGAGAGACACGCCTTGATGATGTCGTCCTGGGCGAGGTAGGCGGCGACGGGCGTGAGGCCCTTGCCGACCATGTAGGCCTCGTCGGCCTTGTTGCGGTGCGCCGAGTAGCGGTCCTCGTGCGAGTAGATGGCGACCGACGTCATGCCGAGCTCGTGGGCGGTGCGGAACACGCGGATGGCGATTTCCTGCAAGTCGCCGCGGCGGGAGGGAGGGAGAGAGACGGGTCAACTCGATGGTCCTCGTCGGCGGCTTGACCTGCTCGCCGCGCTGCGTGCTCCTCCCTGCCCTCGTCCAGCTGGACCTCAGGCTCTCGACCGTGCGCTCGTCGAGCTCGCGAGGCGGCGGCATCGCTCGGCGGAAAGGCGGACCGGCAACGGCGACTCACACCGCGGTTGGCGACGAGGATCTTCTTGAGGGGCTGGCTGCGGCCGACGCGGCGGAGCGAGTTGATGCTGGGCGTGCCACCGCCACTGGGCGATTGCGGGCGGGACGGCCTGCGGGTTGTCGACATCGAGGGCGAGGCGAGGGGGGCGGAAGGGGGACGGACGAGGAGCGAGGTAAGCCAACGGGGCACGGGGAGCGGGGCTAGGAGAGGAAGAGAGCGGGACGGACATGGGCGTCTTGAGCGAAGTAGGGTCGTCGGCCATGGTGCGAGGGCTTGAGAGGGAAGAGGTCGAGGGAACGAGGGGAGGACGGAGGCGGGCGGCGACCGGGGAGCTGATCGAGGCGGGCTAAGGGTGAGTGGTGGGTGTGGGTGCTGCGAGGGGCGGGTGGCCTGGTGAGCTGGTGTAGAACAGAGTCAAGGCGAGCGGGCTCACCGCGAATCTGCGAGGAGATCAAGCCCAGGACGGCGGAATCGATGCGGTCGAGGTGGGGAAGACGACGACGGACGGCGGCGACGAGCGAGCTGGCTCTCGGCTGTGCTCTGTTGGCGTGGATGCGAGAGGGTGGCCTGGTGCGGTGTGCTTGGTGTACAGCACGCTCGAGCAGCACAGCCGTGGCCGTCGAGATAGCGAACCGCAGGTCGGCCTCGTCCGATAAGTCGGTGACGCTCTCTCCCCTCGCTCTCATTTGATCTCGCCCAGGACCTGCTTCATTATGTACGAGCTGGGCGGGGCGAGATGGCGCAGCAGCAAGTGCCGCGAGCGAGGAGACAGGATAGCCGGCAGGGAACTTCGAGTTTCAAGACTTGCGAGAGCGCTCCCTCTCGCTCTCCTCTCGGCTGCTAAGGCTGGGATCCTCTGCATACTTGGTGCAGTACGAGCACACGAACCAGCGAGAGCACGCTGCTCGCGAGAGAGGGACGCGCCGTCTCGGAGTTGCGAACCGGCGGAAACGCGAGGCTCGCTCTCTTGCGGCTCTCCCCCACTGCCACAGCCTTGCGAGTCCGACCTAGCAGGCTCAGTGCGCGCTCACCAGCTATCGGCACGACCACCACCTGTCGGCTCTAGCCTGCGACGCGACCGCGCCCACCCTCCCGCTCCGCCTCCCGACCACCTCAGCTCCGCCGTCGCCCGCCCGTCCAGCCCGGCGCAGGCGCTCCAGCAGGGCACACGGCAGCATGCTGTCCCCGTCCTCGTCCCGCACCTACGTGCGCGTCGCCTTCCTCGCCTTTGTCGCCATCCTCGCGTCCCTCCTCACGGCGCGCTACAAGCTCGAGGAGACGCCCTACAACCGCCCGTACGGCAACGTCGTCTCGCTCGGCCACCAGGCCAACCAGGTCGCCTTTTCGCGCACCCCTTCCTCGCCCGAGGCCGCCAACGCGGGCCAGGTCGACGCCGCGACGGGCGACGGCGACGACGGCTCGGGCTACGGCGACGCGGACGGCACGTCGTCGTCTTCGTGGGCCGACGCCGACGACGACGACTGGGACGTGTGGGGTGCGGCGGCGTCCAGCACCGCGACCGCGTCGGGCTGGGACCCGCTCGAGGCCAAGACGGCGCCGTTCACCGAGCTCCAGGTCAAGACGTGCGTGCTGTCGCCCGGCCTGTACGACGTGTGCTCGCCGACGTCGACCGCCAAGGAGGACGCGGCGAGGGGCAAGTGGGAGCGCATCGACCGCGACGTGAGCAAGCAGGCCGGCATCTACTACCTCTACGTCTACGCCCGCCGCCTCCTGCCGGGCTCGACGGCCGACGTCATCACCGACCTGCGCCTGCTCGACCACCGTCCCGACGCCGACGAGCTCACCGACGACGGCCTGTGGGTCGAGGTGTCTACCTCGGTCCGCGACGGCGTCTGGCCCCGCATGAAGCCCCTCTTCCTCCACTACAAGCTCTCGCCCCAGGCCGACATCCTCGCCGCGCGCAAGGCCGACGGCAGCAACGGCAGCGCCGGCGACTTCGAGCCCATCACCGAGCTCGACGTCCTGTACGGCTCTAGCGAGGTCCACCCGCTGCCGGGCTTCGTCAAGGTCGAGCCGCCCGTGTCCGGCGGCGAGGACGACACCGAGCGTGTCGGGACCGGTACGGGCAAGGGCAAGCGTGTCGGCGCGAGCTTGGCCTACCGCAAGCAGCAGACGAGTGCGTCGCTGCCACCTCGTCCTCCTCCCTCTCTCTCTCTTTCCTCCTCGCCTGACCCACACCCTCCTCGCGCGCAGCTCTTTCGCCGTCGCCCGTCCTCCGGTTCAACAACTTTGGCAACTTCACGATCCTGCAAGCCGCCGACCTGCACCTGTCGGTCGGGCCGGGCGAGTGCCGCGACCTCGACGAGGTGCGCGCGATCGAGTGTCGGGCCGTCGGCGCCGACGTGTACAGCCTCAAGTGGCTCGAGACGGCGCTCGACATGGTCAAGCCGGACTTGGTCGTCTTCAGCGGTGACCAGTGCGTCCCTCTTTCTCTCGCCGTCGTCGCTCCGTCCTCGTCGCCGCCGTCACTGACCCAGTCTCTCCTCCTCGCGCAGGCTCAACGGGCAGAAGACGGTACGCTCTCGTCTCTCTGCCTCTCCCTGCCTCTCCCTTTCTTCTCACGACACGCTCGAGCGAAACTGACACAGCCTCGCACCCTCTCTCGCAGTCGTGGGACGCCCGCAGCGTCATCCTCAAGTGGGCGCCGCTCTTGTGGAAGCGCAACATCCCGTGGACCGTGGTATTCGGCAATCACGACGAGGAGGAGACCGACCTGAACCACGAGAAGCAGATGGGTGCGTCCCAGTCCTCATCTCGTCCTCGTCCCCCCTTCGACCGACCCGAGCACGGCAGTACTGACTCGCCCTCTCGCCGCGCAGCCCTCATGACCCGTCTTCCGCTCTTTGTCGGCGAGGCCGGTCCGACCAACGTCGCCGGCACGGGCAACTACGTGCGGTCGATCCGCTCGCCCGAGGCCGCTCGCGACGACGCGACCCTGTTCAACCTGTACTTCCTCGACAGCCACGCCAACGCCAAGAAGCTCACGCCCTGGGGCAACCCCGGCTACGACTACCTCAAGGCCGACCAGATCAACTGGTTCCGAGGACGCAGCTCGCAGATGCAGCCGCTCCTGCGCCCGTACACGCCGCCGCGAAAGCTCACGTCGCCCAAGAAGGCCAAGCCCAAGAAGAAGCCGTCCAAGAAGCCGTCGCACAAGAAGCCCAAGAAGAAGCCGTCGGGCAAGAAGCCCAAGCCGCACCGCCCGGCGACGCCGCCGCCCGAGGACGTCGCCGTCGAGTCGGCGCCCGACCCGCTCGCCGAGTACGCCTCGCCCGACATCATCGACGAGCGCTCGGCCTTTGCCGACACCAAGAAGGCCCGCCGCACGCTCGTCCACCTCGAGAAGCGCCAGGACGGCTGGTGGGACCGCCTCACCGGCGGCGGCGTCTCGACCGAGGTCGAGCCCGACGACGGCTCGGGCGTCATCGAGAACCCGGACGACGTCGTCGAGTTTGACGAGACGGACGGCGCGACGACGGCCGAGGACGGCGAGCTGTCGCAGGCGGCGGCGGGCGAGGACGGCTCGGCGACCGACGGCTGGAACTCGGACGCGGCGACGAGCGGCGACGACGCGCCCGTCGACGACTGGACCCGTCCGAGCGGGCAAGGCGACGAGTACGCGGCGCAGGGCGGCGAGGGCGAGGGTTACTCGCAGGCGGCGGGCAGCGAGGGCGATCGCTGGGCGGCGCAGGGCGACCAGGGCGAGGCGGCGCAGGGCGACGACGAGTACTCGTCGCAGCGCGAGCAGGACAGCGGGTACTCGTCGCAGGGCGAGGGCGCGGCGTCGTCGGACGACGAGTATGCCGTCGCCGAGGACGCCTCATCGGCGAGCGACAAGTCGTACGGCGAGGACGGCTCGACCTCGGGCTCGGACGGCACGGCCGAGGACGGCGCGCAGGGCACGAGCAACCCGCTCCTCGAAGCCGAGGAGGAGCTGCTCGAGGACGAGGGCTTCTTCGAGCCGACCGACGTCCCCGTCGGCCCGACGGCGCTCAACCCTCTCGAGGCCAAGCCCAACGCCATGGTCTTCTTCCACATCCCGCTCCGCACGGCGTACGATGCCGACATCGACGTGGCCCCGTCGGGCAAGCGCCTGCGGATCGGCCAACGCCTCGAGGGCGACGGCGCGAGCAAGACCGACTCGCGCTTCTTCGAGCAGGCCATCCTCGCCCAGGGCGAGCTCCCCGTCTCGCGCGACGACGCCGACACGCCCGTCGACGCCTTCTGGGACGGCGAGGCGTCGGCGCCGACGACGGGCCGGCCTGAGGTCAAGGTGCTCGCGCACGGCCACTGCCACATCTCGTCCGACTGCCGCCGCGTCAAGGGCGTCTGGATCTGCTTCGGCGGTGGTGCGACTGTGCGTCTCCCTCTCTCTCTCCTTCTCATTGCCCCCGGCTCGTCGTCGTCGGGCCTCGCACTGACCTGATCCTTCTCCCTCTTGCAGTACTCGGGCTACGGCAACCCGGCGTTTGCCCGCCGCATGCGTGTGTACCAGCTCAGCGACTTTGGCGAGCGCATCGAGACGTACCAGGTCACGGACGAGCGCGAGCGCATCAACTACGCCATGCTCGTGGGCGACGGGTCGGTCGAGGAGCAGTGATTCCCTCTCTCTTGGTCTCGCGGGCTCTTGTCTTTGTGTCTCTTTCATCGGGCCGGGTTGGAGGAGCTTGCTAGAGTGGCCGTGCATCGCATCCCTTTCGTCTGTGTCCCCGTCCCCCGTCCGTCGAGAGCGTGCAGCGAGAGATCCAGCCGCTCGAGCCTCTTTGTCGGAGGACGCACCGGCGCCGAACTACCTGGACGCTCGGGGGCGACGACGTTCGTGACCGTGCAGAGTACGAAAGCGAGCAGGAAGGGTGCAGGGACAGAATGATGGGCTCGTGCGCTACTTGCCTTCCTTTCCCTCTTTGTATGTTGTACACGCAAGTTGAGAAACTCGTCCTAAGCGAGCATTGGTGGTTTAGTGGCAAAATTGGGCATTGCCAGCTTCGACTGAATTGCCTAGCCCCGGGTTCGATTCCCGGCCAATGCATTTTTGTCTCGCTGGAATCTGCTCCTGCGGGCAGCTGCGGTGGTTCTTTTGCTTCTCGACGAGGGCGACAGGAGTACCGGCGTCTCGGCCTGCACGCTTGACCCTCAGGGGCGACCAGCGGTACGAGCGCCTCCTGAACCGGCCGCCGAACGTGCTGTTGCCGAACGGTCTCTGTCTGCCACCCTGCCCCGCCGCCATGCTTCTGTCGCTCGAGGTGCTGCTTACGCTCGCGCTGTGCGCATCAGCCGCCTCGCAGATGCCTCTCGGTCGCCCTCCTCTCCCCCACCTCGGCGACGAGGAGGTGAGCCCGTTTCTCGTCGGCTCACGGCGCCAGCGAGGCGCAAACGGCGAGGAAGGCGACGCGAGCAAGACGAGGACCTTCACGCCCACCAACTACACCGTCGTGCAAGACTGTGCGTCCTCGAGCCGACCTCTCTCCCCTCCCCTTCCTCGGCGAGGGCTCCGGACTGACCGGTCGCTCTCGTCCACCTTCCTCTGCCCGTTCCTACACCCTCTCGACCTTCTGGAACACGACGCGCGAACCGCAGTCTTTGTCCAGTCGCTCCCTGGCTTCAACTCGTCCGGCTTCGACCCCCTCACCTCGTCGTTCGGCCTCATCGACCGCTCGCCCTCACGATGGACCTCCTTCCGGCACGCCGTCGACGAGCTCAACCGCGACGCCGATGAGCACACGGCGTACAAGGTGTTCTACGTCGCGCGGCACGGCGAGGGCGTGCACAATGTCGCCGAGAGGGTGCACGGCTCGAGCGAGTGGAACCGCTACTGGTCGATGCTGAACGGCGACGGCAACTTGACGGTGCGTCTCACTCTCTCTATCTCTCGAAGAGCCTGTGTGCGTCACCCCTGACCCCCTTACTCGCTCGCAGTGGGGACCCGATCCGCTCTTGACGCACGTCGGCGTCTCGCAAGCCGAGCGCAACACGGCGGCATGGGCCAAGGAGGCTCGAGCCGGCGTGCCCTTGCCGCAGAGCCTGTACTCGAGCCCGCTCAGCAGGGCGATGTCGACGCTCGAGATCACGTGGCGCGACTTGCTGTTCTCGAAGATCGCGCCGGTCGTCAAGGAGAGCTTGCGGTGCGTCCCTCTCCCTGCATCTCTCGCTCTGCCGTACAGCCCTGACACGCTCTCGACGATCCTGCAGCGAGGTCACCGGCGTCCATACCTGTGCGTCCCGTCCATTCGTCGCTAGACGCACCCACCCCCCCTGACCTCCCCGTTCTTCCCCTTTTGGAGGCGACAAGCGGCAGACCAAGAGCTACATCCACAAGCACTACCCGTCGTTCATCTTTGAGGTTCCCTTCTCTGAGCACGGTGAGCCCTCGTCGTCCCTGTCTGCCCGTCGAGCGCAACTCACTCGCCGCCTCTCTCGACGCAGACCAGCGATGGAGCCCAGATTGGCGCGAGTCGGACCGCCAGGCGACCTTTCGCCTGCAGCAAGCCCTCAACGACGTGCGTCGAGACCGTTCTCTTGCCTCGTCGAGCGCTCCTCCCCCTCGCGTGACGACCTTCCTGACCCTCCTCGCGCCGAGCAGCTCTTCGCGACCGACACGTCGACCTACATCTCGATCACGGCGCACGGCGGCGCCATCGGCGCCTTTCTGAGGGCGTGCGGGCACCCGAACGCGGCGACGCTCGGCGTGCCCACCGGCAGCATGTTGCCCGTCGTCATCAAGGCGGTCGAGTGCGTCCCCGCCCTCTCTCTCTTTCGCCTCTCGCCCTCTCTCGACGCCCTCCCTAACTCGAGTCACGGTATCGCAGTCACAGGAGCGCACAGAACGAGCTTCTCGCCGGCGGGCAGAGCATCGCTGCGCCGCCGAGACCGACTCGAGTGCCGAGAGGGCCTGAGCGCAGGAGCGTCGAGCTGTGATAGAGCCGGTTCTGCAGACGTAGACTAGAATGTATTGCAGCACGTTCCGACATGACGAGTATGGACAGAGAGGGAGACTAAGGGACGAGAGAGAAGGACAGGAGAAAGAGAACGAGAGTGAGAGAGAAAGGGAGCAGGGCCGACGCTCGATCCCCTCGCCGCCTCGCGCCGCCGCCCTCGAGGCTCGACACGCTCCTCGAGAGCCACGAACGGACCCGACCGAGCCGCCTCACCGCATGCCCGCCGCACCCGCCGCCGCCGCGCCGAGCCCGCCCATCGACCCAAACACCTTGCTCGCGAGGGCGGCGAGGATCTGGGCTTTTTGCGCGCCGTCGAGGTCCTTGAAGACGGCGTACACGGCCTTGCCCTTGGCGTCGCGGATGGCGCCCAGCTTGGACCCAGCAAAGCCGCCGACGGCGGCGCCGGCGAGGTTGCCCGCGATCTGTGGACGAGGGGGAGAGAGGGTCAGCTCTGGGTGGGGAAGGAGGGGAGAGGGAAGATAGAGAGAAAGAGAGACGCACAAAGCCGAGAGTCGCGCCTGCTGCAGCGCCGGACCAGGTCCACAAGGGCAGAGCGCGGTTGACCTCGGGACGGAGCATCTCCTCGAACACGTTGCCGAACACGTGCTCCGGGTCGGGCCTGTCGCCTGCCGCCGAGTCTGCGTCCTCGTCCTCGTACACGTCGTCTTGCGCGCCGCCTGCCGCCGAGGGCCCGCCTGCTCGCCCGGCGCCAAAGTAGTCCCACCAGTTGCCGCTGTCGCCGGCGTCGTCGGTCCAGCGGGACGAGTTGGCGCGGCGCAGCTCGTCGTAGGCCTTGCGGCGCTGGGGCTCGCTCAGGGTGTAGAAGGCGTCGGCGACCGACTGAAACTCGGCCGTGGCGGCCTTGCGGCGCTGGTCGTTGGCGGGGCCGGCGGGGATGCGGTCCGGGTGGCAGCGGAGCGAGGCGCGCTTGTAGGCCGTCTTGATCTGGTCGAACGTGGCGTCCTCGCTGACGGCTGCAGGGGTGAGGGGAGGGTCAGCGGGTGGAATGAGAGAGTGATCGAGGCTGTTTGAAGGTCGGCGAGGTTGGCGCCGGGTGGTCGGGGTGGGTGGTGGGCGCGGTGCAGGACCCTCGCGCGTCGTCGCCCACGTGCATCAAGGTGCTGCAGAGCGGTGTGCGAGGGTCCACGTCGTCGCGGTAAGGTGGGACGAGGCGGTGCAGGCTGCGGGGGAGGTCGAGCTCGCAAGGGGAGGGTGCGAGGGCGGGTGGGCGAGGAAGTGGGACTTGCCGAGGATCTTGTAGTAGTCGGGGAAGGCGGCCATGGTGAGCGAGGCGAGCGTGGGAGGGCAGGAGGAGGGTGGCCGTCATCGGCTCAAGTCGCTCCTCGAGCCTCCCCTCGAGCTTGGCCGCCCTCCGAGCTCTCTCGCGCTCTCATCTCCCTTCGCCCTCAGCTCGCTCCACACACCATGGACGACAAGTACGACGACATCCACCCGACCCCGATAGCCTCGACCTCGCGCCCTCGCTCGACAAAGCCCCAACAGGGCAGCGACGACGACGTGCGCGACCCCGCCGCCTCGGACAACGACCACGACCCGGACGACGACGCGTCCGACGACGACGACGACCCCATCGTCCGCCGCCTCCCCGTCTACTACACCCCGCACTTCCTCGAGTCGCTGTGCCTCCTCCAGTACCCGGACCGCCCTCCTCACCCCGACTCGGCCCACCCTCTCGTCCCGCCCGCACTGCGCCCCGACTGGTCCCGCGACCCGGACCCGACAGCTGGCCGCCTCGCCGCCAAGTACAAGCCCAACACGCAGCACCTCGAGCTCACGTTGCCCATGGAGAAGCACCCGGACCGCTGGAACGAGGACGAAGCGCACAAGTACGCCGCCGGCGTCGTCGAGGACCGCGACCGCCAGCGCGAGCGCGAACTCGAGCAGCAGGGCAAGAAGGCAAAGGGCCGTCGCAGGCGCAAGGACGCCGGCGCCCACGAGGACGAGGACGAGCAGCGGTACCGCGAGGAGAAGGAGAGTCGCCGGCTCGACAAGATGGTCTACGCGAGCACGGGCGTCCCCGAGGTCACGAGCTACCTCGTCGGCGTCGTCAAGAACGGTGCGTCCCTCTTAACCCCCTTCCCGTGCGCGATCCCGCCTGACCTCGAGCTCTCCCCTCTCCAGACGCGCTCCACCTGAACCCGGTCAACCAGACGTTCCAGCTGCGCCCGTCGCTCACCTACCTCGACAACCTGCTCGCGATCGAGCGCCGCAACAAGCGCCTGGCGCAGCAGAACGACGACGACGACGAGTCGGACGTGAGCGACACGGAGCTCAAGAAGGAGGCGGCAAAGGCCGTCCAGGTCCAGGTCAAGCAGCAGCTCGCGCAGCAGGAGCGCAACGGTGGCGCGCCGGGCAGTGCGGGACAGACGGCGGCCATGATGGTCAGGGGAGGCAACGGGCGCGCCGGCGCGAGCCTGTTTGACCCGCTCCGGGCCGAGGAGGCCGAGGAGTGGAAGCCCGTCAAGCACTACCACGCCAACGTGCGTCCCCTTCTCTCTCTCTCTCTCTCTCTCTCTCTCTCTCTCTCACTCCCTTCGACCCCGTCCTGACGCTGCCTGGCACCGCGCGCAGACGAAGGAGGCCGAGGGAGCGTTCAAGCGGTTGCTCGCCGACCCGAGCAAGAAGTTGACGAGCACGACCAAGCCCAAGGAGTACCTCGTCGGCTAGCGACGAGGGCGTTGCAGTACAACTCGCAGAGCACCTCGCCTACGCCGTGTCGAGCGAGCGAGCGAGAGTGACCTTGTGCTCAGACCTTTCCGCTCAGTCCTCCTTCCCCGCTTTCTCGTCCTCCGCTCGGTCTTCCTCCCCCTCGACCTCGTCTCTCGCCCTGGCACCAGCTGCCGCCGCTGCAGCACGAGCGAGCCCATGGCCACGCCCATCGCCGCCCTCTACTCGCGCCCTCGCAGCCCGTACCTCGTCCCGCCGCCGCCCACCTCGTCGCCGCCTCATCCGCCCATCGACTCGAGCTCGGCCGGCCACCTCCCGACGCCGCCCCGGCCAGGCGAGCGGCCCTCGCCCATCAAGCGCGCAACCCTGTCGCTCGACCCGAGGCGGGACGACCCGTTTGCGGCACACTCGCCGGCGCGAGACGACGACGGCGAGGCGGGCGGCGAGGACCTCGGCGGCGAGGAGTGGGCCGTCGACTCGGCGCTCGACACGGCGCGGCAGACGGGACCGCAAGAAGCAGGACCAGCCGAACGCCCGCGCTCACGAGCCGCCGCCGCCGCCGACCAAGCTCCTCCCCTCGACACCTCGGTCCGCCGCCGCAGCTCGACCTCGTCCTTCTTCCGCTCCCTCGTCCGCCGACCCTCGCGCACCACCTCGAGCGCGAGCACTTCCACCACGCCCTCCCCGTCCCCTGCCGCAGCCGCCGCCGCCGCCGCACCGGGCAAAGCGCCCCGCCGCGCGCGCTCGTCGGTCCAGCTCGAGCGCATCTCGGCGCCCCTCGCGGGCAGCGCGCGCGGCGGGAGCCTCCGCGTGAGGGGCACCGTCGAGCTCATCAGCGTCCAGGAGGCGGTCGAGCGGCGCAGGTCGTGGGTCGCGCAGGAGCCGCAGGGCGAGGGCGGCGGCGGCGGCGGGCACGGCGGCGAGGACAGCGCGCAGGTGCACGCGCAGGCGCTGAAGGAGAGCTACGGCACGCGCAGCCTCGGACGGCGAGGGTCGCTCGGCAAGCTGTTCAGGAGGACGGCGGGCGGCGAGGGCAAGGAGGGGGACGGTGCACGGCTCGACGACGACGAGCGGCCGCCGACGCACTCGCACAAGGCGCTCAAGGTGCTTGGTGGTATCGTCGGCTCGATCAAGGGCGATGAGCGTGCGTCCCGAATCCCTCGTCGCTCTCTTCTCGTGAGCACGCACTGACCCTCCTCGTCGATGCAGATGCGGCCGACCTCGACGAGCGCGATGTCGTCGGCCTCGCCCTCACGACCGACGAGCCGACACGCCGCATCGTCCCCGACAACGCGCGCTACTCGTTCGCGACCCTCAGCTCGTCGGTCGGCTCGATGCGCTCGCGCGCCCTGGCCTCGACCGCCTCGTCGGTCCGGTCGCCCTCGATCCGCCGCCTGCGAGTCGGCTCGAGCGGCACTACCCTCAGCCGACACGCCGAGGAGACGGCGCACGATGCGCCGGGTCCTGCCGCGAGTCGCCCGCCGTCGGCCCCGCCGACTGCACCTCTTCCCGCGCTTCCCGCCGCATCGGCCTCAACTACCTCCCTGCCGCGCTTCAACGTCACCGCCCCGACGCCGGGCACTACGCCCGCCTCGCGCCGCACCCGCATCGACAGCCGCCCACCGCTCCCGCCCGGCCTCGCGCCGGAGCCCGAACCCGGCTCGCCGCCCTCGCTCGCGCAGCAGCGCCGCTCCCCGGCGGCGACGAGCGCACCGCAGGCCGTGCGTCGCATGACGAGCCACGCCTCGACGCTGCGCCGGGAGCAGCAGCACGGCGCCCCGCCGCAGGAGCAGGCCCGAGCGCACGACGAGTCGCAGCGCCCTGCGCGCACGCCGCGCTCGAGCGCGCGCACGACCCGCTCGGTCGAGGACGGCACCATACAGGAGTCACCGCACCTGCGCTTCGACGACGGCGGCGGCGCGAGGTCGGCGCGCTCGCGCACGGCATCAGGCGTGTCGGCCGCCGACCGGGCGAGCCGCGGGCCCATCTCGTCCGCCGACGTGCGACGCTCGGCCCTGCGCAGCGGCGGCTCTTCCTCCTCGGCGCCGCACCAGCCGCCGCCGGTGCGGGACCCGCTCGCGTCGCTGTACCTCGTGTGCGGCTTGTCGAAGGAGCCGAGGACGTGGAGCGAGGCGGACAGGGTCGAGGACGAGGGAGCGGGGCAGCAGGGGGAGAGAAGGTGGAAGGCCGAGGTGCTCGGCGTCATGGAGGGGTCGAGAAGAGAGGGAGAAGGCCGCGAGGAGGAGGCGGTCAAGCGGCTCGAGCGGGACGAGAAGGAGCGGGTCCAGGCCAAGGCGCTCAAGGTGCGCCCCTCATTCCCTGCCTGCCCATCGTCGACCCATTACTGACTCTTGCCTTGTGCAGCTCGCCTTCGACCGCGACGTCGAAATCATCGTCTCGCCGACGCAGCCGTCGGCGACCACGTCCTTCTTTTCCTTCACGACCCGTCGCCCCTCGCGTTCCGCCTCGTCAGCCGCGCCTGTCGAGCAGCGCTACCACTGCGTCTCGCTCGTCGTCTGGGCGCACAGCGACCACGCCACCGCGGCGGCCATCTCGGCGCTCCTGCACGAGCGGTCGCGGCAGACGACGCGGGCGCAAGTTGAGGCCGAGACGATCAGGAGGGCGGCCAAGGCGGCGAGGGCGGGCAAGCGGCTCAGCAGCCAGCTTCTCGAGCGGATGAGGGGCGAGGAGGAGGAGGAAAGGACCGCGGGAGGCAGGACGACGCCTGGGGCGGCGAGCGAGTCGGAAACGGAGGGCAGGCGTGCGTCCTCATGCTCTCTCCCTCCTCCTCGGAGCTCCTCCGGTTCTGGTCCTGACGCAGTATCGCCCACAGCCTCATTTGACCTCGACGACGCGCCAGTCATGCCGTCGCCGTTCCCGTTCGACGACCTCGACGACGACCCTCTTTGGCTTCCCTACGCCATCGTCCTCGTCTCGACTAGCCCGATCTACGTGCGTCTCACGTTCTCTGTCCTCTTCAACCCAGACAGGCATTGACCAGATCGTCCTGCAGACGCTTATGAGCGACGTCGTCCGGCTCTCGTGGGCGCGGTACCACCAGGACCTCACGTCGCACTCGCTCCAGATGGAGCGCCTTCTCAAGACGCCTGCGCTCGCTCCCGGCGAGAAGATCCGTATCCCGGTCGGCGTCGAGCACGAGCAGCGCGAGACCTTCTTCGTCACCGTGCGTCCCCTCCTCCTTCCTCCTCGCCGAGCCGTCTCGCTCACACACCGACGCTCGCAGACCATGCCGGGCAAGATCGACTGGTCGACCGCCGTCGTCGCAAGCAACTACCCGCTGTGGCCCGTCTTCAAGGCCCTGCACGCCGACAACCTGCTCACGGTCGCCGAACTTGCGCTCGCACCTCTCGGCCGGGTAGTCTTCCTCAGCCGCCACCAGATCATGCTCGTGCGTCCTACTCTCTCTCTCTCTACTCTCTCTCGCCCCATCTCTGACTCCTCGAGCCGTGCAGAGCCTCGCGACGATGACGTACCAGAAGATCCTCGAGATGCGCGGGTGGAAAGGGCTCGCGTTCCCGACGGTGCACTTTCGCGACCTCAAGCTCTTCCTCGAGGTGCGCCTCGGCCTTCTCCCTCTCTTCCTGTGCACGAGCCGCTCTGACACCCGGCATCGCGCAGGACCCGGGCCCATGGCTCCTCGGCCTCCCCCTTTCGTCAACCACCTCGCCCCTCCTCGACTCGCTCTCGCCCGATATCGTGCTCGTCGACCTCGACAACAACCTCGTCTCGTGTTCTCGGCCGTTCCCAGGCGCCGTATCGACGGGCTCGACTCGCGACAAGGCGCGCAAGAGGCTCGAGTCGGCCGTGGGCAGCGTCGGGCGGAACGAGGTGCCGCTCGAGCTCGTCGAGGCGTTCCCCGGTGGCCGCTTCAGGCCTTTCTCAATGGTCCGTCTACTCTCACATCTTCGACGTGGCAGTCGAGGGCCGAGCCTGACGTTGCCGTCGTCTGCAGGTCGAGGTCGAGGGCGAGGAGCGGGAGGCAGAGAGGCTCAAGCCCGACGCGTCTTGGCGGGTGCGTCCTCCTTCCGCTGCGCCCTTCCCTCTTCTTATCCCGGTCCTGACATCGACGCCCTCGCCGCAGTGGGACGAGTCGCTCGTCCTGAAGGAGCTCGACGCCATTCTCGCCGACACGCCTCGGGTCACGGTCCTCGGCCGCATCCTGCGTCGCAAGGCGCCGCCTCGCAAGAGCATCGACCTCGACTCGAACCTCAAGCAGGTCCAGGCCGTCGTGCGGTCCGTCCCCTTCCGTTTCCTGAGCCTTCTCCTCGGCCCAAGACTGACGGCTCGTCGACTGTCTCGCAGTGACCACGCCGCCAGCTTTGTCGAGCAGCGCGACTTCCTCGAGGCCGAGGTCAACAAGGTCAACCGGCGCCTCCACGTCCTCATGAACCAGAGCGTCGAGTGGTCCCGCTCGTTCGCCACCTTCAAGGAGGTGCGTCCTCTTCCCCTCCCGTCGGGTCTACGTTCTACTGTCTCGATGGGGACTAACTCTTCCTCGTCCCTGCAGTTCTCTGAACGCGCGACGGTCGAGGCGGCAGAGCTCAAGATGCGCCTCGAGCGCGAGCGGCGCGAGGCCCGCCGCCTTACGGGCCAGCTCGCCGCCGACCGCGAGCACCAGGCGAGGCTCGAGGACAGCCTCGAGGCCGTCGAGCAGGCGCGAGAACAAGCGCTTCAAGAGTCCGTCCCTCTCTCCCGTCCCTCGAGCTTTACTCGCACGCCCTGACTCTTCTTCTCGCACAGACTCGCCCGCGTCGACGCCATGCGCCGCGACCTCGAGCACCACCGCGAGCTCGTCGCCCACGAGATCGAGGCCATCACGCACGGCGCCGACGACGAGTCGAGCTCCGTGTACCGCGCCGTCTACTCGCGGCTCGAGGCGATCTCGCAGCGCAGCGACACGCCGTCCTTGCGCTCGTCCTCCTCTTTGTCGACCCGGCCATCAAGTCGCCTCGCTCGTCAGCCGTCCTACCTGGCCGACCGGCACCCGAGCATCGTCGAGGAGGACGAGGAGGACGAGGCGACGCTCGGCGACGCTCGCGAGGTCCTCGAGGACGAGGCTCGGCTCGAGTCGATGCGGCTCGCGCTGCAGGAGACGCTGCGTGCCGTCTCGTCACGCCTTTCGTTCGCCCTGCAGCAGGCGGGCGAACTCGGCGGGGCCTCTGGCGTCGCGATCGGTAGCTCGCCGTCGTCATCGCCGGTCGACACGTCATCCCCGTCTCGCTCCGCCGAGAGCGACGCCACCGTCGTCTCGTCGGCCGCGTCGCCCACCGCCGTCCGCCCTCCTACCTCTCCCGACGTCGGCCCGTTCGACAAGCCGCAGCCGTTCTCGCCGTCGGGCGCTCCTGCCCTCGGCTTCCACCCCAAAACCCTCACCCTCACCCCGCCCGTCTCGCCCGAGCTCTGCCACGGCGACGAGTACGTCGTCGGCGCAACGATCTCGGCGTCGCCGTACGTCACGACGCGCCCGCACGGGCAGCGTCGCTACCGCGCCCGAGCGGGAGGGCACGTCAAGGAGGACTCGGCCGGCGGCTCGTCCTTCAAGAGCTGCAGCAGCGGCGCATCGGCGTCGATGACGCCGCCGGCGCGCTCGTCGCTCCAGTCGTTCGCCACCTACTCGACGCCGACAGCCGCGACGCAAGGTCACGGCCGCACCTCGAGCCAGGCGACGGGCACCTCTCGCGCGACGCCGACTTTCTCGCGCTCAGCGTCGGCGATGTCGCTCTCGCGCTCGCAGTCGCAGACGGCGTCGCACGCGCACTCGCGCTCGCCCTCGGCGCTGTCGCAGCTGTCGTACATCTCGTCGCCGTCGCCCGGCGCCGCGAGCGAGACGGACGACGCCGACTCGTTCGTGAGCATGAGCGACGGCGGCGGCGCCGACGAGTCGCTCGCGAGCCTCGAGGACTCGGTGCGGGACGGGGGAGGGTTCGAGCTCGAGGACCTCGCGGCGCACGCCGCCTCGCCAACGCCGCAAGGCCGCAGCAAGGTCGCCAACGGCGGCGGCGCTCACCGGCGGCAGGACTCGTTCGCCATCGACGCGCCGCCCGTCGCCTTCTTTACGCGGTCGTCGTCGCTGCGCAGCGTCGTCGGGCGAGGTGCCGGTGCTGGCGCGAGCCCGACTCGAGGAGGACGGGACCGGGGCGAGGCGGCGGACGAGATGGGGAGGGTCCGAGCGGTCGTGCGGCGGTACGAACAGCGAGCTTGAGCATGGCTTCCAATCGAGCGTAGCTATGCGAGACGTGACATCTATTCGCTTTCGTCGTCGTTCCTCGTGAGAGAGAAAGCTCTCGAGAAGGTCGGCCGAGGTGAGGAAGTTTGCGCCCTCTCTCCGACTCACAGTCGAGCGTCGCTGCTAGCCTAGGCAGACGGTCGAGCGACGAAGAAGCGGCGAGCACACAACTCGGCTGTCGAGTGACCAGAGGCCGGCTCGACCGCCGCGGTCGCTGCCCCCTCTTCCTCCTCCTCGCAACGCCGCCGAGCGACCGCTTGGAGCGCGGAGACTCTCTGCCGTCGCACTCTCTGTCATCGCTCCTGTGTCCATGGGCCATTGAGCCGGCCGGCGTGGCTCGTCGTCCCCCAGTTGCCCTCTCTCCTCCCTCGCACGGTCCCTCTCTCTCTTGTTCACGTTCGTGCTTCGTTAGCATTTCCTTCCTCCTCTCTTTCTTTCCTGTCTCCCCCTCTTTTCCTCGTTCCTTGCTCCCCTTCTCTCGATACCTCTTCCCGCCACACGCCGTCGCTGCGCCTCCTCAAGCACCGAGCGCGGCGACGGGCTCCCTCGGTGCCCTCCCTCGTCGTGCCGTTGTCGCATCCCTTCTTCCTCATGCACAGCCAGGTCGTCGTCACTGCAACGAGGGCCCCGTCACTGTAGTCTTCTCGCGCCCAGACCGAGAGGACGGAAAGGAGGAGGTCAAAGCGCGATCAAGCGTGCGCATTGCGAGCGAGGACAGAAAGGGCGGGGCTTGCTCGAGGAGGGTGCTACAGAAGGGGTACAAGGGGAGGAAAGGGAAGCTACGGGCGGGCGAGGGGCTGCAAGAGAGAGAGAGAAAGGTCGACTCGAATTTGAGAAGGTCGACTTGCTCGAGGACAAAGCGCTCGCCTCGTCACCCGCCCTGACCCTCGCGCACGAGCATGCGCAGCACGCCCGCCAGTTCCTCCGTGACGGCCGCCTCGCGCTCCTCGCCCAACTGCCGCAGCATCTGCTCCCTCGCGACCGCCGTGTGGACCCTCGCGGCGACCGTCAGGGCGCGGTCGTCGGCCTGCGGGCAGTCGGGCCCGCCCGTGCGGTCGCGCACGAGACGCTCGGTGAGGAAGCGGATGTGCGACGCGGGCGACATGCTGCGCTCGAGCGAGTGGACGGCGGCGCGGTAGACTGCGGGCGAGAGTTTGAGAAGGTCAAGGTCCGGCTCGAATGGTGGCGCGAGAGGAGGGAGGACAGAGGACGCACAGTCGAGCTCGCGTTCCGTGTGCCTGAGCGTCTCGAGGTCGACGAGCTGGGCGCGCTCGCGGCGCTCGGGCGTCGTGAGGAGGACGCCCGAGTCATCGGCGCCGGCGGCGTCGAGCATCGTCTCTGGGCTGCTCTGCGGCGTCGCGATGCGGCGGTGCAGGTCGATGTCGTGGCGGATGTCGCGACGGTGGGGCATGTAGAGCGTCTCGCGGTTCTGCGCGGCGTGGCGATGCGACGGGCCGGCGGCGGCGAGGTGGTCGGTCGGGAGGAAGACGGCCTCGGAGCCCGTCGGGTTGGCGGTCGAGGTGCTGTCGGCGCAGAACATGACGAAGATGGCGACCATCTCGTTGACGACCTGGTCGCGTAGGAGGAGCGTGATCTTGAGAGGGCCCGTGTCTGCGACCGGGGTAGGGCGCAAAGGACGGGCGCGAGGGCTCGTAAGCACGGGTTCGAGGCCCACCGGTACCTCGCGCTCGTGCTGAGCACGATACGGAAGAGAGCGGGAACGCACCGAGGTACCCAGAGAGGCTCGTCGGCTTGCCATGCTCGAGCTCGCACCTGACGGGCGCGTTGGCTCCGTCGCACACGAGCACGCCCGCATCGACCGCGGTTGGGACGGCACGGTCGTCGCTCCACACGAGCGTCCACGGCTGACCTGGCGCGAGCGGCGCGGCGTAGATGCCCTCGACGGCGTGTGGCGCGTGCGGGTTGACCGAGGACGAGAGGGGCTGGAGCGGCGTCGCGAGGAGGGACAGGTGGGCCGAGAAGCCGTTGCAGTGGAGCGAGGCCATCGTGCGTGGTGCTCGGTGAGGCTCGAGAGAGCGAGGGCGAGAGCAGCGACGAGAGCGAGTGAGGGGAAGGAGGACAAGAGACGAACGGCTCGCAGCTTCCCCGCAGGCTCGAGCGCTCGCTCCTCGCGCTCTCAAGTCGGCCCATCTCGCACGCAGCTCAAGCTTGTACGCCAGATAACGACGACTGCTACACAACAACAAGCGTCCTCGGACCTGACCCCCGCTCACTCGCTGTCGCTCGGGTCGGCGTACGACTTCCTCCTTTCGGGCGCGCTCCTGCTCCTCGTCTTTGGTCCTTCGACGACGAGCGGCACCTCGTCGTTGTACGGCGTCACCCTCGGCGTCATCGAGGCCTGGTCGCGGTACCGCTCGAGCTCGACTTGGGCCGCCGGCGGCAGGAGCGCGAGGACGTCCTTGGAGCGCGACAGGGCGTCGCCGAGCTGGGCGCGCTGCTCGGGCGTCATGATGTCGGTCGCGAGCTGGAGCGAGGCGCGCAGCAAGTCGAGAGGGGCCGACAGCGGCGAGTAGAGGGCGTGGGCGTCGTGCAGCGAGGGTCCTGCGAGGGGTCCGAGCGCGCGAGCTCGTCAGGTCCGGGTGCTCGGGCGACATGAGCGAGAGGTAGGCGGACGCACCTGCGTCAGGAAGCACGCCGAGCTGCAGGAGGTGCTTGCGCGAGGCGTACTGCCACGTAAAGACGACGACGGGGTGGTCACGATCCATGAAGGCGACGTCCTTGGTGTAGAGGAGGCCCTGTCTGCGACGCGCTCGGTGGGTGAGCGTCTGTAACCCTCTCTCATGGGGCAGGAGAGTCAGAGAGAGCGGGGACGCACCCCAACTCGGTGCCCGGAAGGAGCTTGCAGGCGTAGATCTTGAGCGACACGCTGGCCTCGCCGACTTGAGCGAGGTCCTCGACCTCGGCTGCGTGTGCGGGTCGTCGTCAAGAGGCGGATGATGGGGAGGAAGGGGGGCGAGAGGGAGGGGACGTACGGCCAAAGCGCCCGTCCATGCACCAGTGGCTTGCGCACCTCGCGACGCCGTCGCCGATGGCGTAGATCTTGACCCAGGGCTGCACCGCGACGAGGCTGGAGTGTGTCAGCATACGCCCACGCCGACGCACGCCGCCCTCGAACGTGGCGGCTCGAGGGAGAGCGAACGGGCGAGAGAGCGAGGGACGCACCGTCCCTCCCGGGCAGAACAGGTAGCTCGCGTACGCCTCGAGCTCGCCGACGGGGCGCAGCGTCTCCTCGCGCGCAAAGAAGACGCGAATGGGCGTCTCGGGGCTGTGCTCGACCCAGGCGACGCGCTCGAGGTCGGTCGGGGCCGAGGTGCAGTGCTCGGGCTCGAGGTGGCGCGAGGCGGGCGTGCTCGTCGCGGGGAGGGCGACGAGCGAGGCCGAGAAGCCGGTCGGCTCGTGACTGTGTGTGTCGCGAGGGGCGGCGAGGTCAGTTGGGGCGAGGCGAGCCGGGGGAGAGGAGGGAGGAGGAGTGCGGGGTGGACGCACAGCATGGCGGTAGGACGGCTTGGGCCCGGCGCCCGGCGCAAGGTGAGTCTGCGGGTGGAGCGAGGGGTAGAGAAGCGACCGAGCCCGAGTGGGCGAGACGAGGCGAGGTGAGAGGAGGAAGGAAGAGCGAGGGCGACGAAGAGACGAGCGACACAGGGTCCGAGCCACCTCCTGCCCTCGCCTCGCCTCGAATCTCGCTCGGGGTCGCGTGCGACAAGGCTGTGCAGGCCCACAAACTGCTACGCCAAGCTGCGCCACCCTCTTGCCCTCGCCCTCCTCGTCCTCGTCCCTCCAGCTCAGTGCCGCGCCCGCTTGGTCGACACCGTCGACGACGCCACCGACGCACTGCGCTTGTTCTGCAGACACAGGAAAGGGTTCGAGTCAGTGGCAGTGCGAGGGAAGGCAGAGCAAGGCTCTCGAGAGAGAGAGAGAGACGAGGACGCACCCTCGCCGCCGCGCCCTTGTCGCCGTCGTCGTCCTCGGCCTTGATGCTCGCCGTCGCCGGGTCCTCGCTCTCGCCCCTTAGCGCCGCCCTGCGCTTCTTGACGAGGCGAATCTCGGCCTGGATGCGGTCGACGGCCTTCTTGAGCTCGACCATCTGGCCGAGCGCCGAGTGGAGGTCGTCGAGCTTGGCCAGGTTGGCCTTGGTCGGCATGACGAGCTGCGTCGAGATGCCCGTCTCGGCGAGCGCGAGCGACACCTTGGCCGCGATGCCCGACTTGACGGGCGCGAGCCGCGACGACCGCACCGCGATCGACGGCCACATGGACGCCTTGGGCGCCGCGACGGTCGGCGCCGGGTGACGCTCGACGCCGAGCGCAGCATCTGCGAGTCCGAGGAAGTCGATCAGTGAGTGCTCGCTCGAACGCCGTCGCGCAAGAGAGGGAGGGAAGGGGCAGGGAAAAGTCGGGGACGCACCCTCTGCCGCCGTCGCCCTGCGCTTGCTCCCCTCGCCCGCCCACCCCTCGGGCAGCGCGTTGGCGCTCCCGACATAGTCCCACCCAGGTCCGCCCTTCCTCTTGCGGTCCGCCTCCCTCGCCGCCGCACTCGCGCCCTTTGCACCGCCGCCGACGCCGAGCTGCACGCCACCGCTCGAGCTGACGCCGACGCCCTCGCGCCCGCCGACGAGGTGCAGGAGCTCGGCGCGCTCGGCGGCGACCTGGTGGTAGTTTTGCTCGATCCGGCGCGACTCGAGGTACAGGAAGTCCTCCTCGGCGATCTGGGCCGCCGTGCGCGACAGCAGCGAGCGCAGGTACGCCTTGCGCTCGAGCTCGCGAGCTGTGTCGGATGGCGAGGTGTGAGTCAGTACGGCGACTCGACGACGAGGCGGGGCGAGAGAGGTGGGACGCACCGAGGTCAAAGTTGAACACGGCGACGGCTTCGGCGCGCGCCTTGTCGGCCTTGTCCTTCTCGACCGGGTCGGACAGCTCGGGGCCGGGTCGGTTCTGCGCGAGGGCGCGGCAGCACGCGTAGTAGCGGTCCTTGAGGGCCTGCGGGCGAGGGACGAGACCGGGGTAAGCTCTTCGGCCTGCCGAGGAGAGGGCGCAAAGCGAGAGGGAGAGAGTGGGACGCACGTCGACGTCTCGTGCAGGCGAGAGCTCCCACCGGTCGGCCATGACGATGAAGCGCAGGTCGTACAGCTGCGCGAGGTGGAACAGGTGGTCGGTCTCGTCCTTGCTCCAGCCGTCAACTGCGGAACGTGCGAGGCGAGGGGTCAGTGCGCGAGTCCGAGGAGTACGAGTGAGGAGAGAAAGGGATGGGGACGCACCTTGGAGCCAGCGGTGGTACTCGTCGGGCGTGTACGAGAAGGGCTGGCTGCTCGTGTTGAACTTGGCAAACTTGGTGTCGGGGAGGCCGTCGACGTAGTTGGCGGGGAGGTCCTTGGCCCAGTGACGCAGGACGAGGCGTTTGCGGGCGTCGTGCTCGGCGGGCGAGCGGTCGGCCTCGACGCCGACGGCCGGGTGGGCGCGCGAGGGGACGGTGAAGCCGACGTGGTGCCAGCGGACGGCCGGTGCGCGGTCGCGCTGCTTTGTGCGCTCCTTGAACTTTGGTTTGACGGGCTGGGCGAGGGCGAGGGTCGGGGCGTTGTCGCCGATGAGGGCGAAGAGCTCGCGGGCGATGCCGCCGAGGCGCTTGGCGGGCGGACCTGGCGGACCCGAGGGTCGAGACGACGAGGCGGCGGGCTGGAGGCCGGGGGTGGGAGCTGCACCGAGCTCGAGGATGTCGCGCACGTCGCGGCTCGTCATGGTCGGGGTGACGGGAGACGGACGGGGGAGAGGGCGGAAGGTGAGGAGGAAGAGGGGGAGGTGTGCGAGGTCGCGTGGGGGATTGCGCGGGTGCTCGGGGTACTTGAGGTGCGAGTGAACAGGCTGGAGAGGACGGTGGTGCAGCTGGTGGGCCTGGTCGTGGCAGGAGGTGGACGAGATGAGGGCGAGGTGATGGGGTTTGATGTGGACGCGTCGGCGGGCGTGGGTGGGTCGGCCCAAGGTGCAGTGTCGAGATACAGTGGCGGCGAGGTCGTACAAGCTGGTCGCGCAGGCTCTCAGTGGGCGAAGCGGGCAGGGTTCGACGCGAAAGAGCTGGCGGTCCACCTCGAGCCAACCTGGTGCGCATCCTCGGCACCTTCCTCGTCGCGCCTCTCGGGACTGTCTGTACGAGGCAGTACACAGACAGAGACTCACAGAGGGTGTGTGTATTCGCAGCTTTGCAAAAGACGCAGAGGAGGGGGAGCTGTCGCTCGCTCGCCTCTGCTCGTCTCTGCTCGTCGACGTCGGCTCCTCTGTGCTCTGCTCGCCCACACACTGCTCGCAACCAAGATGCCCATCGACACGAGCAACGACATCGTCACCCTCTCTCTCGGCACCTCGTCCGTCAAGGTCGCGCTCAAGGTGAGCCCCTCGTCGTCTTGCACCGCCTCGGCTCGGCCGTCACTCGCCCCTCGCAATCGCCTGTTCGAGTGCAGGGCGGTGTGCAGGCACAGAGTGCAGGTGCGGGCTCGCAGGGGCGAGCCTGCCACCCTCGCAGCGGTCCTCGACTGACCTCGTTCGCTTCTCCCCCACCTCCTCGCCTTCCCTCCCTCGCTCCGCCTGCACCCTGTCCGACCTCTGCACGCCTCCCACTCGCAGGGCGCGACCGTCATCTCGTACCAGCACGACGGCCGCGAGCGCCTCTTCACCTCGGCCAAGTCGAACCCGTCCCCCTCGGACAAGGCGGCCGTCCGCGGCGGCGTCCCCATCTGCTGGCCCATCTTTGGCCCGCCCGACCTCGACAACCCGCTCTATGCCCAGCTCAAGCAGCACGGATTCGCCCGCACCGGCATCTGGCACCTCGAGGACCACCACGCCGCAGACGACACGGCCGACGGCGTAAAGGCCACCTTCAGTGCGTCCTCCTCTCTCTCTCTCGCCTCGCCCTGTGCAGCCGACTGACCGCCTCACGCACCCCGCAGAGCTCGAGCCGACGCCCGAGATCCAGGCCATCTACTCGCAGCCGTTCCTCCTGCGGTACACGGTCCACCTGCGCCCCTACACCCTCTCGCTCTCGCTCGCCGTCACCAACCCCTCGTCGGCGATCGCCCCGCTCCACTTCCAGGCCCTCCTGCACGCCTACTTCCGCCTCCCCGACGGCGTCACCCCGCCCGAGGTCCGCGTCACGCCCCTCGAGTCGCTCGCGTTCGTCGACAAGGTGACGGGCGGCGAAAAGGGCAAGGAGACCGAGCGCCGCAAGGTCGTCGACGTCGATGGCCCCAAGGGTGAGGTCGACCGCGTCTACTACCGCGCGCCCGACCACCTCGAGCTCGCGTTCCCGACCCCGACCGCGAGCGCCTCGGGCTCGGCGACCGACGTCCTCAAGGTGCACAAGACCAACCTGCCCGACGTCGTCCTGTGGAACCCGGGCCCGGAAAAGGGCGCCACGATCGCCGACATGGAGGAGGGCGGCGCGGGACGGTACGTGTGCCTCGAGCCCGGCCGCGTCGAGCCGTTCGAGGTGCTCGAGCCGGGCTCGACGTGGGAGGGCGGCATCGAGCTCTCGTTTGCGTGACTCGCCGGCGGGCGCGAGCGAGGGAGCGAGGGGGGACGGGCGGGCGAGGAGAAGAGACGAGGAGCGAGCGCGAGGTTGTAGCGACTTGGCGCGAGGCAAACACACTCTGCGCCTTTGCGAGCACTCGAGAGAGCGCGTGTACAGTCTTGTCGAGGCAGAGAGGAGCGCCTCGAGGCGCGCGACCGAAAGCTGAGCGGCGAGAACCACCTCGAGGAGCGAATCGAGGACGACGACGACTCAGCGGCCCACAGGTGTCGGCGCCCCTTGTCTCGCTCAGGAAGGTCTCTAGTACCTCTATTGCGAGAGACCGAGGCACAAAGAGTCCGCAGGGGGAGCGTCTCTCGCTTCGCCGACCTCGGACCGGGAATGACGAGGGAGGAAGCCAACTTGCGCTCTTCACGACAAAACAGCTCGGGAAATGCGCTCGATTGCACCGCAGACACCTCCTCGTTCGATCTGGCGCGAGCAGAAGACCTCAACCCTGCTAGATCAAGAGCTAGCGTTTGAGCGAGGGTGCGCAGGATCCCCCTGGTTTTAGCAGGTGGCCGGGCGCACGGGCGCTCCGCAGGGGTGCGCGCCGTACGAGCGGCTCACCAGAAAGCGCCCGTTGCCCTCAGGGGCACGTGAGGGCGGGCGCAGCCTCGTAAAGACCCGTCCGCGACGACTCGACTCGCTGAGCCGCCGGGCCGAGTGCGACGACGAACAAGAACTCTGAGCGGTCTGGGAACAATCGAGAGGGACGATAGAGCTATGGGGGAGGGAAGAGCGCCGTCGCGCGGCGCAGCAAGGGCGCGAGGGGAAGCTTTCGAGGCCGAGAAGGGGGAGGTGCCATCGAGGGCGCGACTAACCTGCGGCGCGAGGTCGAGAGGGTCAGTGCGCGTCTCTGCGAGGAGCACAGACCCACATGAAGGTCCTGCAAGGGAGAGAGAGAGTGCACGGAACGTACAAAGGACAAGACGAACCGCCTCGAGGACAAGAGCCCGCCTCGCGCCGCCCAGAGAGCCGCCCTGCTCTCCTTGCGCAGCCGTTCCGCCTGTAAGGTGACCGAGTCAGTCCATCGGGACCCCTGCACCGTATCGCGAGGTGGCAAAGGGGGCTAGGGAAGAGGGAGAGGGGTGCCAAACACGGGGAGGCGGGGAGGAGGGGGACGCACGAGTCGCCCACAGCCCGCGCAGCGCGGCCGCCTGGCCCAGTAGTGTCCTTGATGCTGCGATAGTCCTCGACGACGATACCCACAGGCCCATGAGCCGTTGCCACCAGTCGAGAGAGGTCGGACGACGCGAGTTGCTGATGAAGATGTGACGCGCCCTGCGCCGGCGGCGAGCGCTTGCAGCGGTGCGTATGAAGCAGAAGAATGATGCCGAGATGTGCAGGTACCGACTCGAGCCAGTCTGAGCGAGCCCAGTCGTGAGGGCCGAGGGGTGGGAGGGGAACGAGGGACGCCAGTGCCGAGCAGACCTTGGACTCGAGGCTACGCTCCCCACAGCGGTCGCCGCGCTTTCTGCCGCTTCGAGAGTGCTCTCAGTACTGTACAGAGTGGCCTCGCCGACCGGCAGACCGACAGGAAGAACGTGCTCGGCCTGGACCTCGACCGACTCGAAGACCCAGCCGAGGAGGCCAGCTCGCGCTGTACACGACAAGTAGCTCGGGAAACGCGCTCGATTGCACCGCAGACACCGCCTCGTTCGATCTGGCGCGAGCAGAAGGCCGTAACCCTGCTAGATCAAGAGATAGCGTTTGAGCGAGGGTGCGCAGGACCCCCCTGTTTTTAGTAGGTGGCCGGGCGCACGGGCTGGCCCCGAGGGGCGCTGCCGTGCGCAACGGCTCACCGGGGTGCGCCCGCTGCCTGTCGAGGGCAAAGAGGGCGGGCGCGGCCTCGTCAGACCCGTCCTCGACGGCTCGGCTTGGGCGGCCGCCGGGACGAGTAACTTTCACGGGGCGGGCAGCTTGGACCGCCGGGGCCCGCCCATATCCTACAAAGGGCGTGTTGGGGTCGACAGGGGCCGTCGCGAGTGGCAGGAAGGGTACGAGGGGAAGCTTTCGGGGACGAGAAGGAAAGGGTGCCATCGCGGGCTCGTCTAACCTGCGGCGCGAGGTCGAGAGGGTCAGAGCGTGCTTCAGGGCGGCCTGTAAGCCCGCCTGTAGGCCTTGGGGGCAAGAACGAGAGCGAGGTGGACGTACAAGGATGCAGATGAACTGGCTCGAGGTCGACAGCGAGCCGCTCGCCGTGAAGAACGCCAACCGCCGCTCCTGCGCAGCCGCTCGACCTGTGTAGGGACCAGGCGAGCTTCAGTGACCACCTGAGTCGCGTCCTCGCGTCGGCAGGTGGAGCGGGAGGAGAGGGGGAGGGGGGCCAAACAGAGGGAGGCGGGGAGGACGAGGACTCACACGTCGTACGAGGCTCATGAAGCGCTGCCGCCTCGGTAAAACGCTCCTTGACCCTCCCCGAGTCCGTGATGAGGTCGCACGCCAGTCCACAGGTCGTTGCCGCCATTCGACAGAGGTCGCCCACCGCGGGTCGCTGATGAAGACGCGACGCGCTCTGCGCCGGCGGCGAGCGCTCGCAGTGGTGCGCATACAGCTCGTAGACGTTGCTGAAGTACGTGAGCAGCTGTGCGAGGCGCGACTCGGCGGCCCAGGCGAGAGGGGGTGCGGTGCGGATGGGAGATCGAGGGCGGGCCGAGGACTCGCTCGACCGGCTTCGCTCGCCTCTCCCTCTCGTAGTACGACGATGCTAAGGACGCACGGCTCAAAGACTCGTTACAGCGAGAAGATAGTCGACAAGGAGACAAGGGGAGAGGAGGGGGCGCATCTACAGCTCTAGAGCCTGCTTCGAGCGGTAGTGGAAGACGACGTCGCCGCCGCTCTTCCACATGCAGTGCCGCACTGTCGCGAGCGTCATGTGCACCGGCAGCACCTCGCCGTTGCACAGGATCTCGATGTCGCGCTCGGGGACGAACACGTCGCCGTACAGCGTGCTCCCGACGGCGGGCGAAGCGTGCGCTGTTGGCGGCGCCGACAGGTCGCCGCCGTCGACGATCGAGGGAGCGCGAGACGGCCGGCGCAGGTCGAGCTTGTCGGCGACGTAGGCGCACACTTTGCGGATGCGGAGAGACCGGTTGGCGGTGAGGCGGGCGTTCCTGCGAGTGGGCGTACGACGGTCAGGACAGGCTCGAGCGCGCGCGCGAGGGATAGAGAGAGAGAGAGACAGAGAAACGCACTGGTTCGGGAGCTCGGGAAGAGCGTGATGATCGTCGCCCTTCCACGGCTGGAGCACGAACGACTGCGAGAGGAAGGGGGGAAGCGGGGGAAATAGGTCAGTGACGGCCGCGAGCGACGAGGGGAGAGGGCGAGGCGTCGACGTACCACCTTGAGCGCGTCCTTGACGTGCGTGCGGTTGCCGAGGAGGAAGTCGAGGAGCCAGAACGGCGCCTTCTGCTCTAGGACCGACATGTCCTCGTAGCTCGTCCCGACGAGGCCGCGGTACTTGACGCTCCACGCGTCGCCCGTCTCCTCCGACAGGATAATGGCCATGTCCGGGTCGTAGTTGATGCGGGGCGCGTCGACGAGCGGGCACGGCGCGAGCGGGTGCGCAAAGACCGTGTCGAGGATGGCCTGCTGCTGCTGCTCCTCGAGCGTGCGGTTCTGCGAGCGAGGGACGGGCCAGGAAGCGCGACGTCAAGATCGAGTACACGTGGCATAGGAGAGGCGAGGAGAGGGGGGAGAGAGAGAGGGGACGCACGTCGGCGGGAAGAGCTTGCGCGACCGGCGTCGCGAGCGGCTGCGACTCGGGCGCGGTCGACGCCTTCTTCGAGTTCTTGCCGAACGCGCGTAGTCGTCCCATGATGGTGCCACCTTGTGCCGGGAGCGCAGGACTCGTCGCGGTGGGCGTCGGCGGCTCGTTGGAGCGGATCGTGCTGCTCGGCGTTGCGAGCGGGAGGTTGAGCGGGCTGAGCGGCTCGGGTTGGGCAGGCCGCAGCGAAAAGTAGTCGCCCTCGGGGCGGTCGAGCGTCGGCGTCCTGCCGCCGGACGGCGTCGCGAGGGCGGCCATGGGCGTCTGGGCGAGGGGCGACTGCGGGATGGGCGCGAGCTCGGTATTGCCGAACCTCGGCGAGGCGCCGGCGGCGGTCGGGAGGTCGGGCAGGACGGCCTTCTTGAGCGCCGGCGTGGCGAGAGCGATCGTCATGCCCGGCGTGCGCGGACCTTTGGCGCGAAGAGGTGCGGCCGAGGACGGCGTCGGGAGGCCGGCGAGCGAGATGAAGGCGGGCGCGCCCTCTCGCTGCTCGGTGCCGAACAGCGCGCTCGGCGGCGGGATCGTGTTGGGGACGCGAGCCGCCATCTCGGCCTCGATGAAGCCGTCGAAGAGCTGCCGCAGGACCCACTTGCCGAGCGAGATGCGGTGGTCGGGCGGGTAGTCCTCGGGCGGGCCGACGCCGCACTCCTCGATGTACGACTCGGCGTCGAACACGCGCGCCTCCTCGAGGTGGACGGCGAGCGCGCCCGTGCGCGTGTCGCACTTGCACCAGGTCGCGATCGACACCTCGCCCTCGGTGCGCTCGCGCACGTACTCGAGCAGGTCGTACCCGCGCTCGACTCGCCCATGGGCAGCGTACGCCGAGCCGGCGTCGGACGGCCGACGCTTCGCGACGGCGTCCTGCAGCTCGTCGCGGCTGAAGACGCCGATGCACGTGCCCCGGACGATGTCCCACAGGGCGACCTCGTCCTCGGTGTCCTGCGTGAGGGCGTGCTGCCGGTCGTTGAGCAGCTCGCACCGCACGAGGCCGTACCCGCCCTCGATGACGTCGTCCGGCGCCGAGCGGAGCGGCGTCGCCTCGGCGGCCGACTCGCGCTCGAGGTACTCGCGCTGCGCGATGTTGGTCGCTTCGGGCGCCGTGTCGGCGAGGCTGACGGGACGGCGGTACGACGACGACGACCCGCCGACGAGCTGCGGGCGCGAGAGGGCGACGCCCGAGCCCGACATGCCCGACACGGTCGAGTAGATGGTCGCCGCGTCCGGGTCGCGATGCCGACTCGCGAAGGCGGGCGCGAAGTACGTGTCCTCGGGGAGGGTGAGGGGCACGAGCGAGTCGTACGGGATGTCGCGGAAGGTCGTCGGGTTGGTCGAGAGGAGGTGCTCGAGCGGCGGGCGCGGCGACGAGATGAGGGACTGGCGGGGCGTGCGGAGCGAGGATGGGCGGTGGCTCGAGCCGAGGTGGAGCGAGAGGGTCGGGCGAGGTGTCGGGGAGGAAGAGGTGCGCCCGAGGGGGGACGTCAAGCCCTCGAGGAACGAGACGCTGTGCGGGCCCGGGCGGTCGCGCTCCGGGCTCGACGGCGTGATCGAGATGGGCGACGAGCTCGTGCGGTCGTCGAGCGCGACAGGCGAGTCGGTCGCCCGGTCCTCGGGCACGGCGAGGTCGCCGTTCTCCTCGGCGCGGCGCAAGATGGCGCCGGCGCGCCGCGACTTGAGCGGGACGTCCCGCCACCGCTTGACGCTGCTCCCGCCCGACGCCGTCCAGACCCAGCTGTCGTCCTGCGCGACCATCTGCGTGATGCCCTCGTGCCCGTGGCGGTCGCTCGGGTCCTCGGGCCCGTCTCGCGACAGGAGGACGCACTCGCCCTCGGCCGGCTCGCCGGCGCCCTCGAAGTCGATCTTGCACAGGTTGCCCGACCGGTCGCCGGAGTAGAAGACCTCGAGCGACGGGTGCTGCGAGAAGAGCGACCAGACCGAGTCGGCGTGGTGCGAGAACGTGTGCAGGCACTTTTGCGCGGCGAGCGACCAGAGCTTGACGGTCGAGTCGGACGACGCCGAGAGGAGCTGTGTGGAGGTGTGCGACGCGCAAGATGTCAGCTCACTTGCTCGGCCCGTCATCGTCGGCGGCCAGGAAGAGAGGAGGGAGCTGTGGACGCACCCATTTGCCGTCGTCCGAGAGCTGCACGGCGCGGATGTTGTCGCTGTGGCCGCCGAGCCGCGACACCTGCTTGCGGCTGCGCGGGTCCCACACGCGGACGACGCGCTCGGGCGTGCCGGCGGCGATGAGCGAGCCGGACGGCGTCGTGCCGAGCGAGTAGACGGACCCGGGCGGACTCGGCAGCTCGACTGCGGGCAAGAGAGGACGTCAGGACGTGCTTCGAGAGAGAGGGAGGAAGGCAAAAGAGAGGAGGGAGGGAGAGAGAGGACGCACGCAGAGCAGCACCTGCACGTCCCTCGCCGACGTCCCACAGCTTGATCTTGCGGTCGAACCCGGCGCTCGCGACCCAGTTCGAGTCACGCCCGGTGGCGAGGCACCGCACGTAGTCGGCGTGTCGGCCGATCGGCGTCGGCGTCACCTGGGCGTGGTGGTCGTCCGAGTGCGGGCTCCACGCGAGGACGAGCGAGTCGGACGAGACCGAGACGAGCGTGCGGTTGTAGTTGGCGAGGACGATGTCGTTGACCCAGTCGGTGTGCGACTGGATGCACTGGCGGAACTTGGCCTTGGGCGGCGCGCTCTGCTGCTGGACCGCGTCGGCGTCGACCTCCCACCGGTCCTGGACGGGCAGGTGCGAGCCCGGCGTCGCCTGCTTGGTCGTCGCCGCCGACGAGGTCGACATCGTTCGAGGCTTGTGCTGGACGAGCAGGGCGCCGTCGTCGTCGTCCGAGTCGAGCGCGTCGTCGTCATCGTCATCGCCGTCCTCGGCACTCGCCCGGCCGTAGGCGCGCTTGCGCCGCTTGGTCGGGAGGCCGAGCTCCCACGAGCACAGGAGGCCGTCGCGCCCGCCCGTGTACAGGATGCCGCCGGGCGGACCGCCGTGGTCGAGCGAGGTCGAGAGGTCGAGGGCGAGCGCCTGGACGGCGAGGCGGTGACGAGGGTGCGACTCGCTCTCGTGGACGTACTTGTGCCGGCCGTCCTCGGCCTGACGGCCGGTGTCGACGTAGAGCGGGGCGGACTGGCCGCGGCGCGAGACGGTGAGGGGAGGGAGGGCGAGGACGGGTGGGGGAGCCGAGGGCAGGGGGAGGACATAGGACACTCGCCGCGGCGACGGGAGCGGTAGGGGTGCGGCAACCATGACGAAAGGTGGCTGAAGCTGCAGGTGGATCCAGTCAGCGAGTGTGGAAGGAAGACGAGGACCCCTACCCGGGGGAGCTGATGAGGACGACCACGACCACGAGTACCGCACAGGCAGACCTCGCGCGCACTCCTGGCCCCACCTTGAGCCATCCAAAGCAAAGCTCGCGTAGCTCACAGCTGCCTCTGGGCCGTGCTGGCGGCACGAGACGGGCCTCGCTCCCCACGCCCGGCGTCCGTCTCCGAGCTGCCGCCGCCTCCAGGGACCAAGGGAGCTGGACAGGGGGTGGCGGGAAAGCTTGGACGCACCTGCTAGCTGCTCGACTGGACGCGAGCTGGCTGGAGCGAGTCGGTCGCCGTCCTCGGCGGCGAGCGGATCTCGGTCTCGGCCTTGGAGCCGTTCTTGGGCGCGCCGGTCGTGCTGGGTCGAGTCGGGGCGCGATGCGAGACGTAGGGCACGCCTGCGAGAGGTCGCAGTAGGCGCAGGCGAGGGTGCGACGAGTGCGGAGTGCGAGAGGTGCCCCGCTCGAAGCCATTATCGACTCGAGCCTCGAGGCGCATCGAGCTCTCGAGCAGTCGACGCGCGAGGAACAGGCACACAAGGAGTTGCTCGAGCTACGTGCTTCTCAACGAGCCCCCTTGGCCGCCGCCGCCGCCGCTCTTGCCCGCAGCTCCTTCTTCTTGCCTCGCTCCTCGTCGGCGCCGCGCCTCGCGCCCCAGTCGTCGACCGACCCGTCCGCCATGACGCGCTGTTGCCGCACGAGGATCTCCCACCCCTCCTGCTGCCGCTCGACGGGCAAGTAGCACTTGCGGTGCGGCGGAAACTGCGCGCGGTGGGCCCGAGAGGTCAGTGCGGGCTCGGACGGGCGCCTGCTCGCAGGTCGCGGCGAGTGGACACAGGGGCGCGAGGAGAGGGAGAGAGGGAGAGAGAGAGAGACGCACCTCCTCGACAGGAACCTCGGGATGCTCGGCGAGGTAGTCCTCGAGGTAGGCAAAGCCGCGCTTCTTGACGAGCGACGTGAGGACGCGCGAGTCACGCTTGAAGAAGACTGCAGGGGCACAACAGACGGTCAATGACGGTCCTCGAGTGCCGGGAGAGGGCGAGAGAGAGTGGACGCACGCATCGTCCACACCTTGGCGATGTCGGGCAACGGCGGCAAGCCCTGCTCGACGCGCTCGGCGCTGTACTTCTTGACGTCGGCGTCGACGTGCCGGATGAGGGCGGAGATGAGGAGGCTCGTTGCGTCGAAGATCTCGCCCGTTGGGTCCTGCAGGAGGGCAAGGGGAAAAGGGTCAGGGCTCGCTGTGGAAAAGAGGCCTCAAACCGAGCACCGGGACGCACCCAGGGCAGGACGATGCAGAAGAAGAAGTTTCCGACGAACAGCTGCGAGTTGAGGGCTGTCAGTTGTCGGCGCTGGAGGCACTATCGCTCGAGACGAGGAGGGAAAGGAGGAGACGGACCTCTTGCTCGGCGATGATGAAGCCTGCGACCTCCTTGCCCTCCTTGAGCACGACGCCGCCATGCTTCTGCTTCTGCTCGTGAGGCGGCGGTCCGTCAGGCTCTGGCGAGCCCGTAGGCGAGTCCTCGGGCGTCTGGCGCGACGGCTTGCGCAGGTTGGGCGTGCAGGTGCGCAAGGCGAGGTAACGGCGGATGCCCGTCTGCGGCTCGATGTCCTATTCGAGAGGAGGGAGCTCGGTGAGGTTCGCCGCGAGGGAGGGGAAGAAGAGGAAAGAGGGGGACGCACGTGGCGAAGGAGCGGGTCGAACCCGAGCCAGCCCATCGTCGCTGATTGCTGGCACTGCTCGTACGTCGAGAAGACCGAGCCGTCTTGCTCGAGCACCTCGGGGATGCACAGGCCTGCAGGAAAGGAGAGAGGGAGAGATGGGAGGAGAATCGTCAGGACAGGCTCGTGCGCGAGGGCGACGCCGACGACGAAGAGGGACGGGACGGACCTGCGAGCATGCCGTTGACGAACATGGACTTGAGCGTGTCCGAGATCTCGTCGACCTCGTCGCGCGGGATGTCCGTGATGCGGTAGACCGAGTACTCCATGGCGGGAAAGGCGCCGAGGCGCTGATGCTTGAGCGAGCACGTCTTGCGCTGCGGCGGGAACAGCTCGGCGCAGCGCCACTTGCCCGTCCCGGCCCTCGACCCGCCGCCGCCGCCGCAGTCCGAGCAGCGCTTGTACTTGACGTCGCACGCGGCGCAGACGATCTCGATCATGAAGTCGATCCGGCTCGACGGGTCGGGCGCCTCGAGCGGCAGCGGGAGGACGCCGCCGATGGCGATGTCGCGCAGGCAGACGTCGCAGGCGATGGTGGCGCTCGCGTCGTCGAAGCGCTTGTTGCGCTTGCGGAACGTCGCCTTCTTGGCCTTGCCGTCCTGCGGCGGCTCATCGCTCTGCGACGTTCTCGACGACGAACAGGCGAGGCACGTCAAGACCTGTACGAGCGAGAGGTCAGGATGGACTTGGCGGCGACCGGGAAGAAGAGAGAGAGGGACGCACGGCGGCATGAGGAACGTCGAGCTCGGCACGCTTGCCTCGCAGGATGAGCTTGGCGAGCGGCTGGGCGCACGCGATACACGCCGTCGGCAGGTCGACCGTGAGCTTCTTGTCCGGGTTCTGCGACACCTTGGACGAGCGCCGAGCGGCTGGCGGCGAGGCGGCGCCGACAGCCCCGGCGGGCGCGGGGCGCGTGCGCTTGTTGATGGACGACGGCCCGGCGAGCGCGTTACTCGAAGCGCCGAGCGGCTCGTGCGACACGGTCGCAGGAGGATGGGTGGCGTACGACGCGACATGGCCGCTGACGGGAGGAGGGTAGGTCGAGGGAGGGTAGGTCGAGAGGCGCGAGTGGTGGGGCTGGTCGTTCTCGGCGAAGGCGGGAACGCTGCTCGGCGACGGGTCGGAGGCTTGCGTGCGGACCCAGAACGACGCCGCCGAGGCGTCGAGGGAGGGCGTCGCCGAGTAGGTGTCGTAGAGAGAGGGCGAAGGTTGCAGAGGAGAGGGCGAAGTCGTCATGTGCGGGAGCAAGGCGTAGTGATGCGGCGGGTCGGCGAGGTGCTGAGGCTGGTACGACTGGTAGGGCGGGTGCGCTCGCGCCTGCACCTGCTGCTGCTGCTCCCACGACTCGGGCGCGCCGAACGAGTCGACAGGCGGCGGCGGCGGCGGCGGCGGCGGCGGCGGCGCGCTCGGGTGCCACTGGCTCGGGCCGACGGGCTCGTACGCTTGAGCTGCGTGCCCGACGCGCTCGAGCGACTGCCCAAAGTCGTCGCTCGCCGAGCGGAGCTGGCCCAAGCCGGCGACCGCGTGCTGCGACGCCGAGTGGCTCGACTCGACGCCGTTCCAGCGCGGGTAGTCGGCGTGCGGGGTCGGTCCATATGCTGACGACTTGGCGTGAAGTTGGTACTGGTCGGGGAAGGGCTGAGGACGGGTGGGGAGCACGGGAGGTGCCGCGGGAGGGAAGTAGGCGAAGGCGGACGAGGCTGGCGGCGGCGGCGGCGGCGGGTGCGAGCCGTACGCCTGGGCGTCGTAGGCCGGCGCATAGGGCGCAGGCTGAGGCGTGTACGGCGTCACATGGCCCGAGGACGACGACGAGTACGAGCCGCCGGCGTCGAGGTGAGGGCGCGGCAGCGGAGCGTGCGGGTCGTCGCGCTCGTACGGCGGGTAGTGCGGGTGCTGGAGCTGGTGCTGGTGGTCGAAGTGGTGCCCCTGCGAGCCGAGAGCGGTCCACCCTGGGGCGGCGTCAGTTCATGGACTCGGTGAACGGAGCGAGATGATGAGCCGGCTCGCCTCCGAGTTCTGCTGCATCTGTTCGTGGGCGAGAGTCCACGGTGGACGTCAGTGACCCTGCGCAGAACGAGAGAGGCGCTGCGCCCCCTCTCCCTCCTTCCTCCTCCTGGGGGAGACGGCGGACGCACCTGTCGCGGTTCGGCAGCCCGCACGGTTCCGAGCGCCGTGGCCCAGCCCTGCTCCCTGCTCTGCTGCGCGTGCGAGTCGCTCGCCCAACCCGAGCCCGGTGCCGAGTTGTGCATGCGGTGGTGGTGGTGGTTGGTGGTCGGGAGGGAGAGCGAGGTGGGGGAGGAGCAGCGCAGCTCGAGAGGTGCTTCTTTCGACTCGTCTGGTGAATGCACAGCCCTCCACGGAAGCCGGCCCTCGTTGCCAAAGTCGACGCGCGTTCGCTGCCCCGAGCGAGCAATTCGGCGGGGCAGGGCCAGGGCGCACCTCGTACAGCACTCTGCTCGGCGCCCTGGCGATCTTCTTCTTTCCAGCATGCGCGAGAGTGTTGCGACGTCCGAAGCCCGCTCAGGCTCTCTCCCGTGCGCAAGAGACAGCGCGAGACGGGGAGGTGAAAGGGCTCGTTTCAACGCTCGCTCCTCCTCCTTGCCCTGCTCCTGCGACGAGCTGCGCCCCGATCCTCGTCGTCGCTCTCCCAGCTGTCGCTGCCGCTCGCCCGCCGTCCGTGGCGACGGCGACCCCGTCCTCTGCCGCCGGCGCCGGCGCCGCTTGAGTCACTTGCCCCGCTCGTTCACGCTCTTTCCGTGTCGGAGCCGGCGTCCGAATCAGTCGACGACGACGAGGTGCCGAGATGGCTCGACTCGCCGTGCCGAGAGTGGATCGTGTCGCGATAAGAGCGAGAGCGAGGGCGAGGCGAGGGGCCCGAGCGGCGGCGCGAGGACGAGGAAGGGCGGTGGTGACGGCGGCGCAGCGGTCGATGCGGCGGCGACGAGGACGGCGTAAGCAGCCGTTGGACGACGGCGATAGCGGCTGAGCCGAAGTAGACGAGCGCAAAGAGGGCTGCAGCGCTGCGGGCGAGGTCGGACCCCGAGTTAGTTAGTTCTGCGCGGCCTCTCTTTCCCTCCTTCCCTCCTCGGGCATCGAGAGAGAGGGGGCACAAGGACGCACCCGTAGAACGCGTTGAGCAGGACCTTGTCCGACACGCCGTACCGCTCGAGGCCGAGGTGGACCTGATAGAACTGCGGGCGAGGAGCGGCGCCTCGAGGTGAGCGGGCGGACTCGCTCGAGTCCGTCGCGGGCACGAAGGGGACGAGGGGACGCACCCCGGTGCAGACGAGCGTGACGCCGAGGACGATGTGAAGATAGCCCTGGATCGTTCGTGGCGGAGTCGGACCGCTCGAGCCGCGCAAAGCAGCGCTGCGCGACAGGTGCGCCCACAGGCCGAGCAGGTCCTGCGCGACAAGGAGGCCAACGAGGCAGAACCCGACCGTCTGCGTGCGTGCGGGGCAGGTCGTCGGTCAGGGAATGCGGGAGGGGGAAAGAGAAAGAGGGAGAGGGCGGACCTTGTGCGGGTACGACAGGCCGCCGCCTCCTTTAACCTTGACGGCCCACAACGCGAGCACGACCGCCGTGAGCGTAAGAGGCGTAGTGACGAAGCCCTGCCTGCCGGAGCGAAGGAGAGTCAGCGCGTCGACCCTCCCAACCCCGACAACGAGAGGAGAGCGAGAGCCGGACGCACTGCTTGAAGTGGAGCGGAAAGAGGACCCGACCCATCGGCCCTCGACCGAGTCGTGCGTATAGCGCGCCGAGAGGAGCAAAGAAGGCCCTGGGATAGAAGGAGAGAGGCGAGTGAGCGCCGGTCGCTCGCATCCTGGGAAGGCGACGAGGCAGAGGTGGACGTACCAGGCTGCTGCGGCGCACACGCCGTGCACCGTGATGAGCGTCTTGTACGACGGGCTCGAGCTCGACGAAGTGGCGCTGTCGCTTGTGCTCGCGCCCGACGAGGTCAATGACCCGCCGCTCGAGCCCTCTCCCGCTCCGCCCGTCGCCGCCGCCGTCGCCGCCGTGCCCGTCTCGTCCGCTGCCCCCGCGCCCACAGTGCCACTCGCCGACCCACTGCCTTGGCTTGCCGAGACGGACGCCGTCGTGCCCTTTGTCGAGGAGGAAGCCGACCCGCCGCTCGAGCCGCTCTCGTCGACCTCGACGGGCGACAACGGCGGGTCGATGGGCGCCGTTTCGGCGGCGAAATTGGCGGAGAGGTCGACGTAGCTGTGACAGAGGGAGAAAGGTCAGTCGGGGCGCTTGTGGTCGAGGAAAGGGAAGGGGCAAGAAAGAAGATGGCTCACGTCCCGCCCATAGCGCTCAAGGCATGCTGCTTGAGGTCCGTGTCCTGCGCCGAGTCGCCCGGGTTCGTGTCGCCGTATGCGTAGATGAACGGCTGCGTGTCGACGACGTCAGGAAAGGATTGGCGGCGAGATCGACCTGACCCGAGAGGAGGAGGACGCACCTGGTTGGCCTTGTTCTCGAGCCCAGCCACCTTGCCGCCGTACTTGTCGCCGTCGTCGAGCGCGAGGAGCCGCTCGAACGTGACGACGCACGGCTTGTCGGCCTTGTCGGCGCTGCTGAGCGAGGGCACGACGCGCACTTGGCCGCTCGAGTCGGACGACGGGTCGTCGGTCGAGGCCGAGCCGACGAGGACGGGCATGACGGTCGACGAGGCGGTGCGGTGCGAGAGCGTCCAGGTCGAGTCGCCGTTGGGCCAGAGAATCAGGATGTCGCTGCAAGCGGTCGAGGTGGGGAGGAGGAAGGGGCCGCGTCGCTCGCCGTCAGTGACTGTTCGCCTCGGGCCCCGACTGAAGGTGAGGGGCAAGAGCTCACGCGTCTGTCATGGCCGTCCCTCGCCCGACGCCCAACCAGCCGACCTCGCCCATCTCCTTGTCGACCGAGAGCGACACAAGCACCGCCGTCTCGTTCGCGACGACCGTGAGCTGGTACGCGACCGTCGCCAGCGACTGGCCCGTCGCTGTGCCGCCGAGGTAGTCGACGAGGTCGCTGCTCGACACGGCGGCCGAGGCGAGGCGAGCTTGTGCGACGAGGACGAGGCCGAGGGCGACGAGAGCGAGTCGAGGTGGACGGCGAGCGCGACCGCAGGGATACAGGCCTCGAGATGGGCTCATAGCGCAGCCTGTGCGCGATGCCCAGCAGCGGCGAGAAGCGGGAGCGAGAGCGACGAGAGAGGGAGAGCAGCCCGAGGCGGACCGTCCGCGGACGCGCGGACCCCTCGTCTCGCCGGTCCGTCGCTCGAACCCTCCGATCAAACGTGCGCGCCTCCTTACCGGCGCCGAGCGCCGATCCCCAAGCGAGATGAAGCAGAGGCGGAGAGAGAGAGGGCACAGAACAAACGACGATCCCGATTGCGCTCACCCGCCGCGACCCGTGCACGACGACGACAGCTACGACGCCATCTCGGACACGTTCTCGAACACGCCCTTGAGGTTCTCCTTCCACAGCGAGACCTTGCCGTCGCCTGCGAGCGCGTGCACGAACCCCTCGTCAGAGGCGACTTCGAGGAAGGGGGAGAAAGAGAGAGGAAGAGAGAGTGGACGCACCGCTCGAGACGGCGAGCACGTTGCCCGCGACGCTCCAGCTCACGCGCCACACGACGTCGCCGAACCTGCCCTCGCCCTGCTGCTGCTGCCCCTGCTGCTGCCCCTGCGGCGCCGCGTCCGTCCCGCTCGGGTCGAGCACCGCCCTCGTCCACGCGCTCCTTGCGTCCTGCTGCGTCCACACGCACACGGCCTTGTCCTGCCCGGCCGAGGCGAGGTAGGCCTTGCCGACGCCGACCGAGGGGGCCCACGCGACGTCGCGCACCCAGTCCGAGTGGCCCGAGAGGATGTGCTCCGAGGCGTCGGGCGCCCACTCCTTGGTCGAGTCGCTGCGGGCGAGAAGCGGCGCGATGGCGACCGGACGAGAGAGGGGAAGTGGGCGAGGGAGGAGAGGGCGAGTCGGGATGGGACAGGGAGCGGGCGAGTGAGCGCCGAGGAGAGGAGGCGGCGTCGGGGCATAGGCGAAGTGACGAGATAGGGAGAGGGAGGGACAGGGCGAGAGGAGGAAGGAAAGGAGGAGCGAGTCAGTCAGGGTTCGTGACGAGTTGGCGAACGGGAAGAGAGAGGGAGCGGACGACCGACGCACTTGTACGCCCAGATCTTGACCAGCCCGTCGCACCCTCCCGTCGCAAAGCGCTTGACCTGCTGGAGCGCCTCCTGCCCGTCTGCGCCCTGCCCCTGCGCCGCGCCGCCGGCCGGTGGTGCGCCGCCCGCGCTCGTGAGGGCGCCGATGCCGACTGCGGGTGCCCAGCTGACCGAGGTGACACCCTGGGTGTGGGCGGGGAAGAGGGACGCCTCCCAGGTGCCGTCGTCTGCGAGAGAGCGAGTGCAGGTGAGCTTGGGTGACGACGAAGCGAGGGTGAGAGGAGAGAGCGAGGACGTACTGTTGAAGGTGAGGACCGAGACCTTGCCGTCAGACGAGGCGCAGGCGAGAATGGGGCCGAGCTCGTGCGGTGCCCAGGCAATGGCGTTGACTGCGTACATGGGGAGGGAAGAGGGAGAGGGAGAGAGGGTCAGTCTCGGTCGGCGGGGAGGACAAGAGGAAAGGGGAGAGGAGAAGGCGCACCGCTGGCCGTGTGGAGCAAGTGCTCCTTGACGTTTGCCCAGCCCTTGTTCGGGGCGTCGTTCTCCTTCCAGATGAGGACCTTGCCGTCAAACGAGCACGAGGCGAGGATCGAGCCGAACGACGGGTGGGCCCACGCGAGGGCGTGCACGGGGCCGTCGTGGCTGCAGTCGGGCGGTTGCACGAGTAAGTCAGTGAGACTGTGCGGTATATCGGCTTCTCCAGGAGAGAGGAAGAGAGGCGGGACGTACGCCTGGAGCGAGTCGGCGAGGCGGTACGAGTCGTCCGCCTCGACGTCAAAGATGCGGATCGAGCGGTCGGACGAGGCGGTGGCGAGTCGACGACCGTAGTAGTCGAGCTGAGCGTCGTGCTGCGCGTGCGGGTGGGGGACACGGTGAGCGAGTCGGACGTGGAGAGATGAGGAGGCGAAGAGGGACGAGGGGCCGCACAATCATGTCGGCGTGACCGGTGTCGACCTGGACGCTGGTGGGAGGGACCGTCATGGTACTGTCGAGCAGTCTCACGAGCCAGCAAGGTGGAGCGGGAGAGGTGGAGAGGGAGACCCTCGTGGACCTCGTCGCCCTTGTTGCGCGACCCGCAACCACTCGCTGCACATCTCGCACAGGCTGCCTGTGCCCCTTGACTGCTTCTCTAGCCACCGAGTCGCGCACCCGTCCTTCAAGCACCGCAAACCAGAGCCACCTCGCTCACCTCGCCTCGCCTCAACCTCGACCACCATGCCCTCGTCGCCTCGCGTCCGCGCAGACCCGCAAAAGGGACAGCGTGACATCAGCTTGCACGGCTGGACCGTCACCTCGACCAAGCGCCCAATCCTCTCGATCCCGGAATCAGACGCGTGCGTCCGCCACTTCTCCTCCTCCCCACCTCGTCTCGCACGCTCACCCTCCCTCCCACACAGCGCATCGGCCCAGCTCGACCTCGCCCTCCCCGAGATCTGCTTTGGCAACAACTCGCTCGCGCTCCACCATGAGCCCTCGGGCTTCACCCTCGAGTGGAACACGCTCGACATGCTCGCCGCCGTCAAAAAGGGCGACGGCTGGGACGCGCAACCGGGTGCAGGCGCCGTCCGCGTCGCTCATGCCGACGAGTGGTCCAGAGGGTACGTCTCGCCGCGACGCCGAGGCCCGCGCCCTCCCCAAAAACGAGTCAGCCGACTGACATGCTCTGGCGCGCGTGCAGACAAGCCGCATCCGGTTCGACCAACGACCTGACCGTCCAGAAACCTTTCGACTGGACATACACGACCCTCCATCGCGGCAGCATCACTTCCCCGCCTTCGCGGTCCTCCACCACCTCCTCATCCGCGCTCCAGCCCGTGTGGCTGCCGGCCCCGCCGTCGCACCCGGGCATCCCGCTCGCGCTCCTCGCGCGTACCGACATTCCGATCCTGTTCTTCGACGAGGTCCCCCTGTTCGAGGACGAGCTCGGCGACAACGGCATCGCCGACGTGACGGTCCGGGTCGTGAGTCTCTCCTTTCCTTTTTGCTCCCTTCTCTCGCCCTCTCTTCCGCTCCTCTCCTCTCCAATACTCTCCCCGTGCCCTCTCTATTCCTTGCACAGCCCAGAGAACTACGCCTGACACCTCTCCCTCCCCCACAGCGCGTCAACCACCAGTCGCTCTTTGTCCTCTCGCGCTTCGCCCTCCGCATCGACGGCGTCCTCTTCCGCCAATTCGACGTGCGCCTCTACCACGCGTTCGGATCGGACGAGCTCGTGCGCGAGGTCAAGGGCCGCGAGGCGCCGTACAGCGCCGTCAGGGCGCGCCTCACGGGCTCGGGCTCGGCGGGACTTGGGCAGCAGCAGCAGCGCGCGCCGGCCACAACGGCCTCGCCGTCCCTCGCCTCGCTCCGCACGCCCTACGCGACGAGCTCGGCCCGCAACGGGCGCACAGCGTCGTCACCTCTCGGCGCCGTCGGCGCCCCGTCGCTCGAGCCTCCGTCAGCGGCAGCGGCAGCAGGAGCGGCCGACCTCACGCCGCTGACCGACATCAACTGGGTCGCGCGCGTGCTCGACGAGCTCGCGCTCGAGGACGGCCTGCGGGGCGTGAGCGTGCGCGGCGGGGAGGGCGAGGGGGACCGTGCGGAGGCGGCGGGCAGGCGAGGGCAAGGAGGACCGGGCGAGGGGAGGTGGGAGGGCCTGGGCACGAGGCTCGAGGTCATGCGGGCGCCGTGGGCAGCGCGAGCAGGGGAGGGCGAGGTGGCAGCAGGACCGGGCGCGCAATGAACGTGCTCAGAGCGCTCTTTCCCTCGGACTCTGCTCCCTCAGTCTCTCTCGCCCAGACGCAGCGAGACGCACACAGCCGAGGACAGAGAAGAGAGAATGAGAGCGTTGCACGGCTCCAGACCGCCAGCTCTACGTCGCCTCGCCACCCTCCCACCTCGCTCCCTCGCGCGCGCTCACTCACACCTTGAGCTGCTCAAACTTGGCGATCGCCTTCTCGAGCTCGCCAATCTCGCTCTTCCACTCGTCGACCTTCTGGCCCTCCCGCTGCTGCACGTCGGCGGGCCGCTTGTCGGCGTAGGTCGGCGCCGCACGCTGCTTCTCGAGCTTGTCGAGCGCCTGCTGCGCGAACGCGAGCCGCTTCTGCGACTTGGCGATCTCGGCCTCGGCGTCGATGACTCCCTGCAAGACGTACGGGGCGAGCGTCAGGGTCCTGGGACAAAGAGAGAGAGGGGAGAAGCAGAGAGAGGAGGAGGAGGACGCACCTTGAGGAGGAGGAACGCGCTCAGCTCCGAGCTGACCGTCTCGCCGACACAGCCCTCGGGGAGCTCGTCCTCGCTCTCGACGATGCGGAACGCGGCGCAGCCCTTGATGAGGACGCTGAGCGCGTCCGTGTTGGCGCGCAGGGTCGCGGCGAGTGCGGGCGTGCGCGCGAGGAAGAAGACTGCGAACGGGCGAGCGAGGACGACGACGAGGGGACGCATGAGTCAGTAACGTGCTCATTGGCGGGAGAAGGAGAGAGAGAGGAAGAGAAGAGGACGGACCCTGCAGCTTCGAGTTGATGCCGTAGCTCGTCGAGATGCTCCTGCTCGCTCGGACCGCGCCGAACGCCAGGTCAAACTCCTTCTCCTCCTGCGCAAAGTCGCGCTCGGGCTTCTTCTCGGGGAACCGGGCGAGCATGATCGACTTGGTCTGGTCGGTCGGGCGCCGGGGCAGGCGCTGCCACAGCTCCTCGGTGACGAACGGCATGAACGGGTGCAGCATGCGCAGGCCGTTGTCGAGGACCGTGTAGAGCGTGTTCTGCGCCGAGCGACGCGCCTTGGCGTCGGGCGCGGCCGGGTCGGTCGTGAGCTTGATCGCCTCCTGCAGGGCCGGGCCGAAGGGGGCGAGGTCAGTTCCCGTCGTTTCTCGCGCACGAGCGCACTCGAGCGTGAAAAGAGAGAGGCGGACGCACGATGTAGACGTCGCAAATCTCGTACAACCAGAACGAGTAGGCCTCGCTCGTCGCCTGCATAAAGTTGCGGTCCTCGAGCGCGTGGTTGACCTTGTCGCTCGCGAGGTCGAGCTTGTGCAGGATCCACTTCTCGACGAGCGACTCGTCGCCAGTCGGCTGTGCGACACGAAGAAGGGGCAGGAATGTCAGTACGGCGGACACGAGGGGAGGAAAGGCGAGACGAGGTAAGGGCGCACCTTCTCCGAGGCGGTCGGGACAAAGTCGCCCTCGAGCTTGAGCATGGCGAACCGCGTCGCGTTCCACAGCTTGTTGCAGAACTGCAGGTCGAAGGCGAGGGAAGGGAGGCAAGGGGTCAGGAGGCGGGCCGAGAGAAAGGCAACGAGGGAGAGGGGGAGGACGACGAGCGCACCTTGCGGTAGCCCTCGACGCGCAGGATCTCGAGGTTGATGTCGCGACCGGTCGACGAGTAGTTGGCGAGCGCGAACCGGAGCGCGTCGGTGCCGCACTGCGGGATCCCGCTCGGGAAGTCCTTCTTCTGGCCCTTCTCGGCGAGCTCGACCTCCTTGGCGGCGAGGTTGCCCATGCGCAGCTGGGCGTGCAGCGCCTCGAGCGTCGCGCCCTCGATGACGTCGATCGGGTCGATGACGTTGCCGAGCGACTTGGACATCTTGCGGCCGTGCGCGTCGCGGATCATGGCGTGGCAGAAGACCTCGTTGAACGGGACCTGGCCGGTCAGGTAGATGCCGAGGAGGACCATGCGGGCGACCCAGAAGAAGAGGATGTCCCAGCCCGTCTCGAGCAGGCTCGACGGGTAGAAGTGCTTGAGGTCGGGCGTCTGCTCGGGCCAGCCCTGGATCGAGAACGGCCACAGGCCCGACGAGAACCACGTGTCGAGCACGTCGTCGTCCTGCTCGAGCGTGAACTTCTTGCCCGGGAACTTGGCGACGGCGCGCTCGTGCGCCTCGTCGGCGTTGCGGCCCGTGACCCAGAAGTCGTTCGACTGGCGCTGCAGGGTGTCCAGGTGTCGTCAGGTCACGCTCGTCGAGGAAGAGGGAGGAGGGGTAGAGAGAGTGGGACGCACGTCCTGCTCCTCGCCCTCGATCTTGACAAAGTAGGCCGGCGCACGGTGTCCCCACCACAGCTGGCGCGAGATGCACCAGTCCTGGATGCCCTCGAGCCACCGGTACCAGTCGCCCTCGGACGTCGCCGGGCGGATCTTGAGCTCGCCGGCACGGGTGCGCTGCAAGAGGGCGAGGCGAGGAGGAAAATGGGGAGGAGGAGAGGCGGTTTGGGAAGGTCGTCAAATTCGCGGCTCGACCTCGAGATGAGGACAGAGAGCAGGGACGCACCTCGATGGCCTTCTCGGCGAGCGACTTGCAGCTGACCCACCACTGGGGCTTCATGACCGACTCGATAAAGTCGCCGCTCTTGGCGCACACGGGGATGCTCATCGGGTTCTCGGCGTCGCCGACGTAGAGGCCCTTCTTCTTCATGTCCTCGACGACCTTGACGCGCGCGTGGAAGCGCTTCATGCCCTCGAACTCGGGGCCGGCGTTGCTGTTGAGCGTGCCGTCGTCGTTGAGGATGTTGATGAACTCGAGCTGGTGCCGCATGCCGACCTCGTAGTCGTTCGGGTCGTGCGCCGGCGTCATCTTGACAGCGCCCGTGCCGAACGACATGTCGACCGCGATCGAGTCGGTGATGATGGGGATGCGGCGGCCGAGGAACGGGTGGATGGCGAACTTGCCGTGCAGGTGCTGCGGGCGGCGGCGGCGACGCGAGGTCAGTCGAGGCTCGCGCGCAGGCCGTAGGTCGTAGGAGGAGTGAGAGAGGGGCGCACCTTGTAGCGCTCGTCGTCCGGGTGAACGGCGATGGCCGTGTCGCCGAGAATCGTCTCAGGACGGGTCGTCGCGATGACGATCTTGTCGTCCGAGCCCTCGAGCGGGTAGGCGAACGACGTGATGACGCCAAACTCGAACTTGTCCTTGAGGTCGTAGCCCGGGACGTTGAGCATGGTGCGGCCGGTGAGGACCTTCTGGTCGACCTGCGGGCGGGACGACAGAGACGGGTCGGCTCTCTCTGCTCGCTCGTGCGACAAGAGAGGGAGACAGAGAGAGGGAGCGCACCTCGAGGTTGCTGAGGGTCGTGTTCATGGCGACGCACCAGTTGACGAGGCGGTTGGCGCGGTAGATGATGCCGTCGTCGTGCAGGCGGACGAACGTCTCGGCGACGGCCTTCGACAGGGCCGGGTTCATCGTGAAGGCGACGCGGTCCCAGTCACACGAGACACCGAGGCGCTGGATCTGGTTCGTGATGCGCGACTGGTACCTGCGAGAGGGAGAGAGAGAGGTAGGGTCAGTGACTCGCTCTCTCGAGACGGCGCTGCAGGAGAAAGAGAGACGAGGACGCACTCCTCCTTCCAGGCCATGCAGCGCTCGAGGAACTTTTCGCGACCGAGATCGTGGCGCGACAGGCCCTCGAGCTTGGCGAGGCGCTTCTCGACGACCGACTGGGTCGAGATGCCGGCGTGGTCGTACCCGGGGACGAACAGGGTCGTGTAGCCACGCATGCGGTGCCTGCGAGGGGCGAGCGAGGTGTCAGGGCCCGCGAGAGACGAAAGAGAGAGGAGAGACAGGAGGACGCGCCAGCGGATGAGCGTGTCCTGGAGGCCAAAGGCGAGGGCGTGGCCGATGTGGAGGCTGCCCGTCACGTTGGGCGGCGGCGCCGGGATGACAAACACCTTGTCCGGGTTGACCTTGGACCAGTCGAGCTCTTGCGGGTCGGTGGCGCCCTCGGAGCGCGGGAGGAAGTTGGGCTCGGCGTCAAAGTGCGAGAACTCGGTCGGGTCGGACGAGGGGACGGCGGGGACGAAGAAGCTGCACTGGCGCCACCACGAGTACCACGCCTTTTCGACGACGTCCGGGTTGTAGCCGGCCGCCATGGGGTTGGACAGGTCTGCGAGGGGAGACGGTCAGGGCGGGCTCGTCTCGTCTCGGCTCGGAGGCTCTCGCCGGCGGCCTTCTTCTCGGGGCGTCGACAGAGGGGACAGGGGACAGAGTGGACGGACCCTTCTTGTCGCCGGCGGGCACGTCGACGTAAGGCGGCTCCTCGGGCGCATCGTCCTTCTTGACCTTGTCCTTCTTGGCGGGCTTTGCGGCGCCGTCGGCGGCAGCGGGCTTTGGCGGTGCGGGCTTCTGCTGCTGCTTGAGGGCCTTCTTGGCGGCGAGGGCCTTCTCCTTCTCGATGCGCTTGAGGGCCGACTTTGTGAGAGGCTGGCCGTTGGCGTCGAGCTGGACGTCGGTCGCGGTGGCCGGGGCGTTGACGTGCGGGACCGGAGGTGCGAGTGCGGGTGCCGAGTCGGACATTGTGCGAGTGGTCGAGGGGGAGGCGGGAGAGAGACGAGGAGGAGAGATGAAGATGTAGGGCTGGCGGCGGGTGACGACGAGCGAGTTGCGGGCTAAGAGGCGGAGCGGGCCTGGGAGCATGCACTGGGGCAAGGGCAGGTGCGGCAGGGACTGGCTCGCGTGCGGGTGCCGGAGAACGAGAGAAGGAGCAGAGTGAGCGAGAGCTCCTCCTCGACTCAAGCCAGACCACCAGCCTCGACCTCGACGCGGCCTTTGCTGCGACACGGCCGCACTCTAGAGCAGCCACACTCTCCTGCGCCCGCTATGCTGCGCCGCGTCAAGCGCTCGTCGTCGTCGCCTCCTCCTCCTCCTCGTCCCGCCGTCCGGCCTCACCTCCCACCGCCCGCCGACGACCTCGACTACGACGAGCTCAACTTTCTCCCCTCGACCTCGCCTCCGAAACCTCGCCCCCAGTCCCGCAAGCGCCCCGACCCTCCCCCTCCTCGACCTCCTCCCGCCGCACCACGCCCCGCTTCCCGCTCCTCGTCTCGCACCACCACTACCACCGCCGCGGCCCCCGCTCCAGGCCTCAACACGCCCTCGGCGAGCCCGCAGGCCGCGCGCCGACCCCCCACGCGCTCCCTCGGCGTGACGAGGCGGGCGAGCGACGGCGCGCCGAGGACGAGAGCCGGCGCGGCAGCGCTCGACGAGCGTGACTTGCGCGGGCGCGCAGTCGGGCCGAGTCGCCGTGCGTCGTCCGGGACGAGGAGCAACGCGCGCACCGGCGGGCGCGATGGGCGGGGCGAGGAGGACGACGTTGCAGAGCAGCGCCTCGTCGACGAGCCCTCGCCCGCCAAGCGCCGCCGCTCCGACACGCTCAGCAGCCGCAAGGGCCTCGTCTTCAAGGGTCCCGACGTCGACGTTGACGCCCCGCGTCGCTCGCGGCAGCGCGGCGAGCCGCACGACGGCGGTGCGCGCGCGTCGACCTCGTCGAGCCCGGTCAAGGCGCCGTCGCGGCCGAGGAGCAGGGTCCTCGTCCTCGTTGACGACGAGGAGGGCGAGGACGATGCTGGGCACGAGGACGAGGAGCTCGTGAGCGCGCCCGCGAGGCGCATCAAGCCCGACCCGGACGGCGCGCCCGCTCTCGAGCTTCGCGCACCTCCACCACGCGCACGAGCAGCGGCGCCGAGCGCAGGGCCGAAACCGGCTCACCCACCACCGTCGCCGAGCTCTGCGTCGCCCTCTCGCGCACTGTCCCTCGGCGGACCCTCGACCTCCTCCTCCTCTGCCTCCTCGACCGCCGCCCGCCGCGCTCACACCCCTTCTACCGCATCCTCCGGTCCGCCCACCGTCCCAGCCTTCCTCCTCTCCCTCCCGCTCCCCTCCCTCGCGCGCCTCTCCCCCCTCCTGCACGGCCTCGGCCTCTCGTCCGCGCTCGACCTCGTCCAGCTCGCCGCGCCGTCGCCCGCCGCGCGCCGTGCGCGCGACAAGGTGCTCGAGCGCGTCGACGCCATGGACAGGGTGACGAGGGCCGGGCGGACGGAGGCTGAGAGCGAGGGAGAGAGAGGCGGCGGCGGCGGAGCGGGAGGGGTCACGGCGTGGGAGAGGATCGTGCTCGACGAGGAGCTCGACGAGGTGTGGCGCAAGTGGGGAGGCGGGGCGAGTGCGACAGAGGGTGCTCAGGCGTGACGAGGAGGAGCCTGTCGCTCTGTGGTTCGGCTGTACCTCGATGTTGTAGCTCACGGGCGTTAAGAAGGTCCAAGCGCCAAATCTTAGTCTTTGCCTCGCCTGCGCTCGTTCTCGTCTCGCTTTCTGCTCGCAGAGACTGAGAGGGAATGGGCGGGCCGAGAGGTTGCACGACGAGCCCTCTCAGCTCCCACCGCTCAGCTCGTCCTCCCGCCCCAGACGAGGTCCTGCTTCGGGTCGGGCGTCCTCCCCAGGTCGCCCCACGCCTCGGGGTCATCCCTGCGCCGTCGCTGCGCCTTGTCCGCACCGTCTCGCCCGTCCTCCTCGTCCGACTCGTCGTCCTCGCCGACGTCAAAGACGGCGACCGTCTCTGCGTCCTCGCCCCTGCGCCCGTCCCGCCCCGCCGCGTCGCGGTACCCTCCCTCGCCGACCTCCTCGTCGCCCTCGTCCTCGTCCTCGGCGCCTCGCTGACCCGCGCGCCGCTCCTCGAGCCGGATCGCCCGCCCCTTGCCCTTGGCGCGGCGGTACCGCTCCCTCCTGCGCGCCTTGCGCCAGTGCACGACGCCCCACACGAGCCCGCCGACGAGCGCGAGCAGGACGACGAGCGCCGCCGTGCGCCGGGGCCCGTACGTGCGCTCGTGCTCGATGTCGAAGCCGCCGTGCGCGAGCGCGTCCTTGTCGCCGCTCAGGGGCGAGGACGAGCCGTCGAGGTCGGCGTCGAGGTCGAGGGATGAGGACGACGACGACGACCCGGGCGAGAGGGCGTCGAGGGCGCCGGCGAGCGTCGAGCCGTTCGGGTGCGTCGCGCCGAGGATCGTCGCGGCTTCGGACCCAACGCGCGAGGGGATGCGCGCAGCTGAGCCGGCCGAGTGCAGCGTGTCGACCTGCATGAAGCGGACTGTGTGCGGCCATAAAGTCAGTCGGTCGAGTACGGCAGCACCGCGAGGGAGGAAGGGAAGGGAGCGAGAGGACGTACGGAGCATGTCGTGCGCGGCGAGCGGCTTGTCGAGCGGAACCTGCACGCGCACAGAGTCAGACTCGTCGCTCCGGCGTCGAGCAAAGAGAGAGAGAGAGAAGACGAGAGGCGGACCATGTGGCTCGAGTTGCTGAACTCGACGTAGGTCAAGTTGCGCGCCGTCGTCCACCTCCCGGCTTTCTCCTCGCCGACGGTCCACTCGAGCACCTCGGCATCGCCCTGCGCACCCATCGGCTCGTCAGTGACGGCACTGGATCGAGGCAGGCTCGAGGAAGAGGGAAACCGTCGACGCACAAAGCCCTTGTCGCCGTTCCACTCGAGCTGCGCGACCGCCGCCTCGATCCCGATCCCGGCGCACATGAGGTCCTGGTCGCCGGCGTACAGGAGGACAGGCATCTTGGCGAGCAGTTCAGGCAGGAGCGCGACCGAGGGCGCCGAGTTGGGCGTCCAGAACTTGCTCGCGACGGGCTGCGAGCAGTGGGCCCACTTGTGCGGGACCGTCGTGGCGTGCAGGGCGGCGATGACGTCTTGGCGCTGTAGGTAGGGCAAGAACCGAGAGTCAGGACGGGTCTCGATGCGCTGAACGAGGGTGGAGGACGGGAAGGTCGAGAAAGAGAGAGAGTGGGGACGCACGTGCAGGTACTTGGTCACCTCGGCGAGCTCGTGCGGCCACGGCGTGCCGCACGCAAAGTACTCCCTCGTGTCGTACGAGTTGAGGCACTTGCCGTCCTTCATCGTCGCCGCGCTCATGACGCTCAGGATGGCCTCGCAGTCGGGCACGAGCACCATGCCCTTGCCGCCAGCGCCTCGGGCGTCCATGGCAGCGAGCGTCGCGTTGCACTTCTCGGTCGCGGCGAGGACGTTGCGGTGCGCCTGGGTGCCCTTGCGGAGGAAGCCGTTGCGCTCGAGGTAGGTGAGGTAGGCCGGGTACTGCTCGCGCGGCGAGATCCAGCCGTTGCCGATGAGGAGGCCCTTGAGTCGAGTCGGGAGGAGCATCGTCTTGTCGATGGCGTCGGCGATGTAGGGGATGTACTGCCCGGCGTACGACTCGCCGGCGAGGAAGGTCTGCAGGCGAGGGAGTAAGTGACGGTTGCGAGGGAGGAGGAACAGGGATACGACGTACATCCATGTTCGAAAACTCGGGAAAGACCTTGTAGAAGTTGGCGAGGAACATGACGACTTGCTCTGCCGCCGCGGGCAGCTCTCGGACGTCGTCGCCCTTGGTGACCTGGCGGGCGAGGGAGAGTCAGTGCGCTCGCTCGTCCGACGATCTTCGACAGGTGGACGCCGCACGAAAGAGAAGCCGGTGCCGGCCGGTTGATCCACTGTGTGCGAGAGAGCGAGAGTCAGTGTACGGCTCGAGAGGGGACGAGGCGAGGAGGAGGACGCACAGAAGAGCACGTTGGCGTACTCGTTCCACGCTGTCGACTCGACCAGGTTCAGCGTCTCGGCGTCCTTGTTGACCTTGACCGGGCCGAGCTCGATGAGGGCGCCGTCGAACGAGGAGCATCCGGGGCCGCCGTTGAGCCTGCGAGGGTGGAAGGTGGATGAGCGGGCGGCCTCGAGTGAAGGACCGCGCACGGCCGGGGACGCACCAGATGACGAGGCGCTCGCGCCTGGGGATGTGCTTGTTGCGCGCGAGGAGGAAGTAGAGCTGGGCGTCCGAGGTTGAAGGTGGGGGAGCAGAGGGGAGGAGGCCGGCGAACAGGGGTAGTTGCGCACCCGGGGCTGCACAGGCGCTTAGTCAGCTCTCCTTCTGGGTGGATAGGCAGAGAAACGACCACGCACGGAGACCTGGGAGGCGAGGAACGAAGAGGTCGCTCGCAGTCGGGAGCGAGGTCGACGTCCGCTGGCGCTTGTGCGGGCGAGGCTGGGCTGACGGGTCGGCGTTGCCGAACGCTGTAGCATCGAGCGCGGACGGTGCTGCCCTGACCATGCGAGCGCGGCGCACGGGGGGGAACCGTGAGGAGCGACGGAGCTCCCTCGACACGAGCGACCACGAGGCGGTGCAGCGCGACTCTTCTCTGTCTAGGGCTCGGGCACACTCGTCATGTACGTCTCGATGGCAACGCCGCAGCTACAAGTCCTGCCGTCGCCAGACGTCGCCGTCCTGCAGCGGCTCAATCCGGTGCACCTCGCCCTCGTACTCGAACGTGCCTCCTCCTCCCTCCTCGTCCAGCTCGAGGCTCTTGGCAAAGTGCTCGATGACGAGCGACGACCGCAGAAGCGAGTAAGGCCCGTAGCGCGATGGCGCGTCTCGTCGTCGGCGCGCGCCGGCCGGCGAAGGGTGAAAGAGGTAGCCAGTCGCCGCGTCGACGCGCAGCGCTTGCGGGTCGAACGGCAGCGACAGCAAGCCTGCGTAGCGAAGCTCTGTGCGTCGAGGAAGAGTCAGTCGGTAGTACGGCGACGAGGCGAGAGGGAGAGAGAGAGGGAGCGCACCTCCGTCCTCGAGAGCCTGAAAGACGAGGCCGGACCCTGCTGGGTCGGGCCTGAGGTAGTTCATCTCGCCCTGACACGGGCTGACGAACTCGTAGCCGCCGGCGCGCAGCCGTCGCGCCTCTGCTGACCCTTCATCGTGGGTGTCGTTGCGACGGAGGCGGGTGAAGAAGGTGTCCAGGAAGCGGGCGTCGCGAAAGGCGGTGGCGACGTTGCGGTGCTTGCTGTCGGACAGGTACAGCTGGCCGTTCCAGTCGACGTCGTACAGGTAGGTGCGAGGTGGGGCGGGCGAGGTCGAGATGCGTCGACGCCGGGTCGGGGTCGAGGTGACGAGGGCGTGGGCGCGCACGGTGCAGCTATGCACGCTCGCACATGCTCGCAAGGGTGCGAGTGCGGTCATGGACGGCAGGGCCGGCGTGGCCGAGCTGGTGGTGGAGCTGGAGAGTGAGGGAGCGAGGCCGCCCTTCGTCCTGCGCCGGTTCACGTGCCCGGTTGCGGCTAACCTTAGGCCGCGGCACTGGGCAGACTAGGGGCGAGGCTGATCTGCACGCGGTGGAGGCACCCGGGCGTGGGTCGATGCCGACCAGTGGCCGAACCTCGAGCCGCGCTCGCCGTCATCGGCGTTCGCGAGAGGGCACAGCTTTCGCTCAGCTTCCCTTCCTTCAGCCCCGCCAGCCTGCTCCCAGCTTGCCAAGCCCTCTCTGCGGCTGCCCGCTACCATGCTCGCTACCCAACGAGTCGAAGAGCCGGCATTGCCCGCCGTGCCCTCGTACCCGTGCCCCTCGCCCTGGACGGCAGAGGTCGACCAGATCCGACAACGCTTCCTGTACGAGCTCGACCACCCAGAAGACGGCTGGGTCGACCTCGGCGAGCGCGATGGCGTCCAACTTTGGAAGAAGTGGCACGACAACGTACGTCCACCTCCTCCTCGTCCCCTCTTCTTTCGCGTGCGCGCGCCTGACTCTCTCTCCCTCTGCGCACAGGATGAGAGTGCGTCCTCGTCGTTGTTCTCCTTTCACGTCGTCTCTCGTACTGATATCCTCGACCGTGCAGATCCGGTCCCGTGGGTGCGAGGCGAGACGTTCGTCGACGACGTGACGCCCGACGCCTTTCTCGCCGGCGTCGTCCAGATCCCGGGCATGCGCAAGCTGTGGGACCCGCGCACCGAGGCCGGCTTCATGCTGCAGCGCTTCAACCGCACCGAGGTCCTGTTCTACGCCGTCGCCAAGGGCAAACGGTTCATCGCCTCGCCGCGCGACATTGTCGGCGTCCAGCGCGACTTTGTCGAGGAGGACGGCAGCGCCCTCATCCTCCAGACGAGCGTCGAGACGGACCGCGTCCCGAAGCAGTCGGGCCTCAAGCGCGCGACGCTCAATCTGAGCGGGTGGCACTTCCGGCCCGAGGGCAGCGGCATCCGCATCACCTACATCCTCTCGATCTCGCTCGGCGGCATGATCCCGAGCGCCGTCGTTTCGATGGCGACCACCGAGAGCCCGATGTGCACCGGCCGAGCGCGCGACGCCTACTACAAGTGTGCGTCCCTCTCTCCCTCTTCGACCTTCTCTCTCGGGTCGGACGCTCACGCCTCTCGCTCTCGCAGACGGTCACGCCCCGTACGTCCACCACGACCCGAAGCACGAGCCGACGACCATCTTCCAGAACGAGGCGCTCGACACCGACAAGCGCGTGTACCGGTGCGGCGTCACGACGGGCTCGTGCGTCGGCGAGGTGTTCGAGATCCGGTACGACACGAAGCGCATGCACCAGGGCGGCGTCGAGGCCGCCGTCGAGGGAGCAGGGCTCGAGTTGAGCGACGACGGCAAGGGCACGGTCAGGGTGCAGGTGACGGCGGCGGGCGAGAACGCGACGGTCGTCCTCTCGCCGAGGTAGTCTCGCGAGCCCTCTCTCTCCCTTTCCTTTTTGCGTTCCCCTGTACCCGTTGTACGACCATCTCTCGCACCCGCATCTATGGCTGTAGTTCTAGTTGTTCATGATCTCTCTGCATTGCCTCAGTCTCTCGCGGTCTCTCTTTGCGCCCGAGAGATGCGGTCGAACGGGCACGAACGACGAGTTGCATAATGAGACACGCCGCCATCGCGGCAGAGAACGAAAGAGAGGAAGCACAGGACGCAAAATCTCGCGCGAGTAGAGTATAGGGCGGGCTCGAGGCGAGGAAGAGGATGGCGACGAGGTCAGAGCGTAGCGACCTTGTCCTGCACGGCCTGGACGAGGGTCGATGCCGCCGCAGGGTTGCCGAGCTGTGCGAGGACGTGAAGAGAGTCAATGAGGGCCCGCAGGAAGGAGAAAAGAGAGAGGGGACGCACGCGCAGCATGTAGCTCGTCGGGGTCGAGCCCTCGATGACCGAGAAGCGCACATACTTCTCGCTGTGCACCTCGATCGAGAAGGCCTTGAAGAGCGGCGCGTTGAGGAGGAGGCGGTGCGTCGCGTCGGCGCGCATGACTGCGGACGAGGTGCTCGTCAGGGCCGAGGTCGGGAGATGCTCGAGAGAGGGGAAGAGTGACAGGGGACGCACGCAGCCTCGCGCCCTTGTTGCCGTCGTCCTTGTTGGTCTCGTTGAGCTTGAGGTTGCCCGTCCCCCTCTCGGCCCACTGGCCCTCGTTCATCGCGTACAGCTTGCACCGCACGCTGTGCAGCAGCCGCTCCTCCTCCTCGCCCGTGACCGTCTCCTGCTTCGTGTAGACGACGCGCTCGGGAGCGTCGGCATCGTTCGGGGCGCCGGCGGACGCACCGCCGGCGTCGGCCGAGGACGAGGCGTCGGCGGCCTCGCCGCCAGCCGCGCTCGGCTTGGCGGGCGTCGGCGGGACACTCGAGAACGCCGACGGCGCGGCCGAGAAGGCGCTAAAGGCCGACGCGCCGCTCGACTTGGTCGCCGAGGCGAAGCCGCTCGACGCCGAGAAGGCCGAGAACGGCGACGCCGCCGCGAGGTTGGTCGTCGCCGCCGACTTGGTGAACGGGGTCGTCGGCCGCTCGCCGGCAGGCTTGACGTCGGCCTTGAGGTCGCTCGCCTTCGACGTTGACGTCGCGGTCGAGCTCGAGGCGGAAGGGGTGGCGGGAGGTGCGGTCGTCGAGAGGAAGGGCGAGGCGGTGAACGCCGACTTGGCCTTGGGCTTCTGCGCCTCGGCGGCAGGCTTGGTCGGCGTCGAGAGAGAAGAGAGCGGAGAGGCGGACGAGGCAAAGGCGGAGAAGGGCGAGGCGGTCGACGAGTAGCTGGCGAAGGTCTGCAGGGGCGAGAGAGGGTCAGGGCCGCCCTGAACACGCAGCAACGACGCAAGGGAAGTGGACGGACCGACTGCGGCTTGGGCTCGAACGGTGCGACAGCCGTCGACGGCTTGGGCGTCTCCTCGGGTGCGGCGACGGCCGCCTCGGCAACCTCGCTCGCGTCGTCGGCGATGCGCTCGTCCTGCGCCTGCACCTTGGCCGCCGACTCGCCGACCTCGGCCGCCACGTCCGCCTTGGCCTTCGACACGCCCTCGCCGACACCGTCCTCGACGTCCTGCATGTCCCGCTCGTCCTCCTTGGCCAGGTTCTGCGCCGACTTGCCGACCTCGGCCGCGACCTCGGCAATCTCGACGTCCTTCTCCTCCTTCTTGTCCTGCTCGTCGCCGAGCTTGGCCGCAGAGGCAGCGACCTCGTCGGCAACCTCGGCAATCTCGACGTCGGCGTCGTGCGCCTCGCCCTCGTTCTCGGCCGTCTGGCCCGGCGGCTTGAGCGCTTGGACGCGCTCGCGCAGCTGCTTCGTGTCCTTGCCCTCGGTCGCTGGCGGGACGACGGACGAGGAGGTGTTTGTCGGCGTCGTCGGACGAGAAGAGGCTGCGGCCGCGGCAGGAGGTGGGGAGGTCGCACGGTCGTTGTCCGAGACGATGTCCTCGTCACCCTCGACACGGCTGTAGAACGCGAATGGTCAGACCCAGAAACGCACTCGTGCAGATCGGCGGTCTCTGAACGAGAGCGCCCGCCCATACGAGGAGAGAGAGCGAGACGCACCCCTTCTTGGCGACCGGCGTGCTGCCGGACAGGCGCTTGCTCTCGTCTTCGTCGCCCTGCAGTGAGCGAGCAAGATTCAGTACTGCTCACGCTGGACGAGAAGAGCGCGGCACTGGTCGGTCGACCTCGTCTCCTGAGTGCGAAGAGCAGGCGGCGCACCTTGGGCGTGGACGGGTCGAGGGCTGCACGGGGCCGCTTGTGGCGCACGAGCTCCTCTGTGGAGCACAGTGAAGCGGTCAGTGACTCGCCCTGGGCTCAGAGGAGAGAGGAGAGCCGGCGCACCTTGGGCAGCGGCGTCGGCGGGGGTGCGAGGAGGAGCCGCGCTCTCGGCGGCTGGAGGAGGCGCAGCTCCCGGTGCAGTGGTCGCAGATGGGTCGTTCTCGCGCTCTGACTCCATGGCGGGCGCAGCCGATGCGAGTAGAGCTGTGAGAGAAGCGCAAGATGCGACGTCCACCTCGTCGCTGGTGGGCGGGCGACCGCGAGCGAGCCTCTCTCTCAACTTGCACGAGAGGGACCTGGACAAGCTCGCACTGGATCGATGATGCAGTTACAATGCACGACACGAGCCAAGATGATGGCAAAGGAGACGACAGATGCACCTTGCCCCCCCGCACCAACCCTCGCCGCTCACCTCCCTCAGCTCTCGAAGAAGGACAGGTCGTCGAGCGACAACGGCCCCGACGACGCCCGCTGCACCTGCGGCTGCGGCTGCGGCGACGGCGTGCGCGCCTTTGCGCTCGCCGCCAAGGCGGGCGAAAGGGCGGGAGCAGGCGCAAGCGGCGGCGCGACGGCCGCGGGCGACGGCGTGCGCTTCTGCTGTGCGACAGACGCGCCCGTCGCCGCTGGAGGTGCGTCGATGCCGACGAGACGGGTCAAGGCGAGAGGCTGAGACGGTGGCGGCGGCGGCGCGAGCGGCATGATCGGGGTCGTGCGCCCGCTCGAGGCCGACATGGGCGATGCGGTCGACATGCGCACCGGCGGCGAGACGGTGAGGCGTGGCGGGGGCGAGATAACGCGGGCACGAGGGCCTTGCGAGGCCGCGAGACGAGACGCTGGCGCAGGAGCGACGATGGCGGGCTGCTGCTGCACTCGAGCGGCGCTGCCGGCGGGTGCGGCCACCTTGTTGCCCGTCGAGACGGCGACCGAGTCGAAGAAGGCGTCAAAGTCGTCCTGCGGCGACGACGCTCGTGGTTGAGGTGCGGCGGCGACTGCTCGAGGCGGGCTGCCGAACGAGGCGACCTGGGCGGCAGGATGAGGGCGTGACGACAACGACGGTGAAAGGGCGGATCGGGACGATGATGGCGCGGTCGGTGGAGGGGGAGAGCGAGTGAAGGAGGGAGAGGCGACGGGTCGAGAGGACACGGCGGGCTTGGGAACGGGGAGGGCGCCGAAGCTGTCGCTCAGCGGGTCGAACGGGTCGAACGCGCTCGACGACGCCTTGGCCTTGACGCTCGATGTCGATGGCGCGACCGAGAAGGCGCCGAGCAGGCCGCCAAAGTCGTCCTCGGGCGGCGCACTCGGGACCCGCGACGTCGACGACCCGCGCGTCGACGAGCCGAAGAAGCTGCTCGGCTGCGAGGCGGGCGGCGGCTGGTCGTCCTCGTCGTCCTCGTCGTACTCGTACATGCTCTTCTTGACGTGGGCCTGCGCCTGCAGCCTCGCGACGAGGCCCGAGTCGCCGAGCGCGTCGAGGTCCTGCACCCGCAGGTCGGGCGCCGCCTGCCGCTCGTGCTGCTCGCCGCTGTTGCGGGCCGACGTCGACGTCGACCGCTGCGGCTCCTCGGACGCCGGCGCCTTCTTGCGCCCGAAGATGCGCCCGAACACGGACGCCGGCTGCGGCTCGGGCGACGTCGTGCGGCCCGACTCGCCCTGCTGGACCTCGTCGACGCCGAGCGAGTTCGGGTCGTCCTCCTTGCCCGGGTCCTCCTTGCCGGCGGCGACACGGCTGAGCCAGCTCCTCGCCGTCGGCCGCTCGGCGTCGCCGCTCGCGCGCGCACCCTCCTGCTCGGACGACGGCCGCGCCGCGGCGTTGGCGAGAGCTGCGGCGCTTCGAGCAACGTTGGCCGAAGTCTCCTTGGCCGACTCGACGGCCCGGGTGGCGGTGTCCTCGGCCGTCTTGCGGAAGCGGAAGATCGACGCGAGGCCCGACTTGGCGGCCGGCTGGTCGCCGTCGGCGGGCTTGTCGTCGGCGGGCTTGCTGCAGATGGGGATGGCAGTGTCAGTGAGGCTTCGAGGGATGGTTGGACAGGAGGAGAAGGTGGGCGCACCCGTCGGTCGTCGTCGTGTCCGGCTTGCGCTCCTCCTCCGGCTCGATCCCTGCCGCCTTGGCCTCGGCGATGCGCTGCTTCTCCCTCGCCTCGGCCTCGAGCCGCATGCGCTCCTCCCACCCTTGCGAGCTGCCCCACGCGTCCTCGCCCTGCTCGCCCTTCTGCGCCAGCTCGACGCTCTGCCGGCGCGAGACCGCCGCCGACGGAAACAGGTCGCCGAGCGACGGCAATGGCGGCTCCTCGTCCTCCGGGTCGGGCCCTTCCTGCGCAGGGCCCCAACCGTCGTCGCGCGAGTCGTCTGCGGCGGGCGAGTCCGGCGCGGCGATGCGCAGTGCGCCGACAGGAGGGAGGTCGGGCTCTGCTCCGCCCCACCCGCCGCCGCTGTCGTCCGGCTCGGAGCCGCGGTCGTCTGCTCGGGCGGTCGAGGCGTCGAGCGAGTCGCGAGGGAAAGATGGGAGGTCGAGGGCGGTGGGCGAGAGCGGCGGAGAGGAGCGGAAGCCCGCGGGCGAGGAGGGGGAGGCGACATCGGCGGCGGGTGCGCTCGAGGTGATGGTGGTGAACTTGGGCAGCTCTGGCGAGTCCGGCTGCCACCCACCGGCACCGCCGTTGCTGTGCGGGAGCGCGACGCCGTCATCGTCGTCCCGGTTGCTCGAGGTGAACCCGCCGGCGCCGCTTGTGTGACCGCCGCCGAACGCGCCGGGCACGTAGTCATCGACAGCACCGCCCCAGCCGCCATCGCCGTCGTCTTGCCAAGTTGACGCCGAGAACGAGGACGAGGCGGCGAGCGGGGGCGAGTAGGTGGAGCGGCGCGGGGACGGCGGGCGAGGGGCGAAGGTCGGGAGGTCGTCCGACGCTGATGCGCCCCAAGGTGACGGCTCGTCCATCGTCCGAGCGTGAGACGAGAGAGCGAGCTCGAGTGGGGAGGCTGGCCGACGAGCGCGAAGGTCCAAGGTGAAGCGAAGGCTCCCCTCCCCTGAGTCCGCTCACTTCGGACAGCTGTGCGCCCGAGCAGAAGAACAGCCTCTCGCGCGAGCTAGAGCCGTGCCACTGGGTCGGCTTGCACACGAGTAGTCTCAACCGTCGCGCACGCATCTACTGCAAGAGGTCCGTGCGCCCGCAACGACCCAGCCGCTCGACTCGACCTCACCGCCGCAGCGCGCACTGCAGCGCCTCGACGAGCGTCTCAGTCTCCTCCGCCGACAGGTAGTAGAACAGGCGCTCGTCGCCATCGTTGAGCGTCGCCTTGAACGCGTGCGGGACGAGCGCCTCCTCCGGGTTGGACGTCAGGCGCTCGATGTCGGCGACGGCGAGGCTGTCGACGGGCACGTCGGCGTCCTGCAGGCCCAAAGGGTGCGTGAGTCGGTGGGCGCATGTCGAGGAAAGAGAGGGCCAAGGGGAGAGACGACGCACTGTCTCGCTCTTGAAGAAGTCGAGCCTCGAGGCGGTCAGGCGGAAGTAGCGCCGCTTCCACAGCTGCGGGTGCGACGAGGTCAACATCTGTGCTCGAGCACGACGAGAGAGAGGGGAGAAAGTGGGGCGCACCATCGAGCCGCCGCCCTGCACGTTGACCGTGCCCGCCAGCATGACCTCGCCGGCGTCCCTCTGCCGGACGAGGCGCGACCGGCGCGCCTCGACAGCCCGCACCCGCTCCTCCTCGCGCAGCCGAGCCTCCTCCTGCTCGCGCAGCTGCTTCTCGGCGCGCTGCCGCTCGATGAGGAGCCGCATCTCCTCCTCGGCTCGCCGCGTCCGCTCCTCCTCCTCGACCCTGGCCCGCTCTGCCTCCTCGACGAGTCGTCGCTCCTCGGCGACGCGCTGCTCGTGCAGGACGCGCTCCTCCTCGGCGCGACGCACGGCCTCCTCTCGCCGCGCGAGCTCCGCCGCCTCCTCAATCCGCTGCCGCTCCTCGTCCTGCACTCGTCGCGCCGCCTCCTCCTCGGCCGCCCCACGCCTCTCCTCCTCTGCGACTCGCTCGCGCTCGAGCTCAGCCTCGGCCTGCCGCCGGTACTCCTCCTCAGCAGCGCGGCGGGCCTGCGTCTCGTCCTCGGCAGCGGACCGCGCGCGCTCCTCGCTCTCGGCTGCTCGCCGCACCGCCTCCTCCTCGTCGCGCGCCGTACGCTCCTCTGACTCTTGCCGAGCATGCGCCGCCGCCGCCTCGGCGTCGCGCTCCCGCCGCTCGCGCTCGAGCCGAGCGGCGTCCTCCCTCCCCTCGAGCTCGAGAGCGCGCGTGCGCTCCTGCAGCTCACGCTCGCCGCCGTGCGCGTCGACCGTCCCTTCTGCCGAATACGGCTCGGGTGGCGGAGCGCGCGCGACGCTCGCGTCGTCCTCGGCGACGTCGACAGGAACGCCCTGGGCCGAGAGCGCGTGCCCGGCGAGGGACGGGTCCGACGCCGACGCGACGAGCATGGCGGCTGCGGCCGACTCGAAGATGCCGCTCGCGTTCGGGCTCGCGGCGAGGAGGCCGGGCGAGACGGGCGGCGAGGCGGAGGACGGGCGGACCTCGGGCGGAACGGTCGGGTCGGCGCGAGGGGCGGTCGAGGCGAACGAGTCGTACAGGGGCGTCGCGTGGGCTCGCGGAGGAGGTGCGTCGCGTCCAGGTAGGTGCCCGGCGCGGGAGCCGAGGGATGCGCTGGCGAGGTGCGCCGGGTACCCAGGCGAGAACGACTGGTCGAGCGAACGGCGTGCCGCCGAATCAGGCTGCGCGACGACGGCGGTCGGCGCGCTCTCGTAGCGAGTCGGCTGCTGGCTCGTCGCAAAGGTGGCTGACGTGCCGGCCGTCCTTGGCGACGAGGGCTTCTGCCCGTGGCCCGAGACGGTGCTCTCGGGCACCGATGGCCGCCGTACCGAGCCGGCGGTGGACGAGTGCTGGCGCGAGGTCGAGGTCGGAAGGTGTGGGCTGATTGGCGGGGACGCGGTGCGAGGGCGGCTCGTGGACAGGTGTGGCTGGTGGAACAGGCGGATGGCGACGGCGTCCGGCGAGAGGTCGACGGGCGACGAGACGCTCAACGTGGCCGTGTAGCCCTGAAAGGCGTTTGCGACAGTGCGCTCGTGCACGAGAGCGCGCGCTGCACGGAGGAAGGGGTCAGGTGCACGGTCGTGTGAGAACTGGTCCGGCGAGACGCACCTCGCTTGACGCCGCCGACGGCGTGAGGGATCTGGCTCCACAGCAGGACCTTGCCCTCTACCGACAGGAGGCCGAACAGGACGCGATTCGGGACCTGCAAGGCGGTGCTGGGAGAGTCAGTCGCGGCAAGGTGGACCGTGGGTGCGGAGAGGGACGTACGAGCTGAGCTCTCAGCTCCTCGAGGCCGTGCGCGCCTCGTGCGGCGAGAGATAGGCGTGTCGGGGTCGCATAGTCGAGTACGAGCCTGCGCAGGGTCGTCGTCGAGGAGAGTCAGGCGGGCGAGGGCGGCCTCGGAGATGAGAGCCCGACGCACCAGTTTACTGCTCCGTCGGGGCGCAGCAGGTCCTCGTAGGCGGCGCACAGGGCTTGGTCAGACAGGTCGAGCGCCATGGGCACTGGCAGCTCAGCCGGTGAGCGGGTGGTCGAGCACAGAGGCCGCTCTGTTGACCGTCATTGACCTCGACTCGAGCGAAACGTCTTGCTTGCGCCGGCTCTCTTTCGCTCAATGCAGCGGTGCGGGCCAGACTGGCGTACTCGAGAGTCAGGCTGTTCCTCTCGCTCGCTGCTTTCGAACTCGAAACCGCGCGCCCGTGCGCTCTCTCTCCTCGCAGAGCCGCCGCCGGATCCTCTCGCGCCCGCCGTCCAGCGACTCGAACGAGACGCAATGGTCACCTCGACTGCAGCGAGCACAGCGAGACGGACGAGCGCGAACCGGCGCAAAGGAGGCAAGCAGGGCGGCGGGTAGACTTCATTGCTCAGGCTTGGCTACAGCTTGCTCTGGCGGGTGAGCGCCGGCGGGTCCTGCCACACTGGCTTGCGCTTCTGCTCGAGGGAGAAGGGGAGATCGCGGAGAGAAGGTCAATATCTGACTCCTGCCAGTAAGGAAAGGCCCGACCGAGCGAGGAGAGAGAGCGAGGACGCACCTCGACGAAAGCCTTGAGGCCCTCCTTGAGGTTCTCGCCGACGTACAGGCGCTCGCTCTGCTCCGTCTCCAAGGACTTGATGACCACGTCTTGCAGGCTGTTGCCGTCGCGCGTGAGGTTGACCTGCTCCTTGGTGACCCAGACGGCCTCGGGCGAGTTGTCGACAATGTCGAGAGCCCAGCGCAGAGCGGCGTCCTGCACCTTGTCGGCGGGGACGACCTCGGTAAAGACGACGTGCTCGAGGAGGTTGGTCGGGATCGGGTTGCCCGTGAGGAGGTAGGGGACGAGTTGCGGCGAGCGGTGGAACGCGTTCGGGATCCCGCCGACGCCGGCGACGACGCCGCGCTTGACCTCGGGGAAGCCGACCTTGATGCCCTCGGCCGCGATGACGATGTCTGTGTCGGGCAGCGAGGGTGAGTAGGGGTTCCTCGCAGGGTCGAGGGGCGAAGAGGGGGCAAAGGAGCGCACCGGCGTTGGCCATCGCCTCGGCCCCGCCGCCGAACGCCATGCCGTTGAGCGCGAGGATGAACGGCTTCTTGCTGCGCCTGCGAGCGAGCGAGCCGAACCCGTGGATGTTCTTGCGCATCGACGCGCTCGGCGACGACGAGGTGCCGGCCGTCTTCTGCCAGTTCTTGAGGTCCTGCGCGCTCGTACGGACAGCGTAAGCATCGTCTGCGTAGATTAGGGAGGGGCAGACGCACCTGACCCGCACAGAACGCCCGCCCCGTGCCCGTGAGGATGAGGCACCACAGCTCGTTGTTCTCCTCGAACCAGTCGAGCACCTGCGCGGCGCGACGACGTGGGTCAGCTCGTTGTCCCGGCTCAGGGGAAGGAGGAGTGGCTGCTCACCTTGCGGATGTCCTCCTCGAGCGCGTCGGTCATGGCATTGAGCGCCTCGGGGCGGTTGAGCCGGAGGCGGAGGACCTTGGGGTGCGGGTAGTCGACGACCAGGTGCGAGGCGACGGAAGGGTGCTGAGGCATCTTGAGCGTGTGCAGCAGCAGAGTGCGGTAGCGAGTGTGAAGAGAGGAGGAGGAGAGCGAGCGGCGGCCAAGCGGAGATGTGGGGCGAACCGGCTCGTTCGGCCGGCCGGCCTTCGCTCGAGAAGCCTGAGCAGTGCGCGACCGGAGCAAGGAGGACGAGAGCTGCTGCGGTAGTTCTACGCAGCAGTGAGGACCGCGAGAGGCCGGGGCGGAGCAGGCGAGCCGAGCCGAGAGCGCGCACGAGCCTCGCGTTGAGAAGGTCGCCTCGTCCTCGCTCGCTCGCTCGCTCTCGCACGGCGCACATGCTGCAGCCGCGATACCGTAGGCAATACAACACCGCACAGACCGTCTAGTCATCGGCTCGTCACGCCTCGGCCCGCTTGGCCGCCTTCTTCGCCCGCTTGGCCTCCTTGCGCGCCCGACGCTCCTCCTTCGACTCGCCCTCGCGCCCGGCCTCCTTGGCCGCCTTGCGTTCCTTCTTGCTCGCCCGCTCGGCCGCATTCTCCTTGGCGTCGTCGCCCGCACGCAAAGCCGCCTCGCCCTCGCCCTCGCCCTCGACCTCGACCTCGGCCTTGCGCTTCTTCCCCTTCTTCTCCTTGCGCTCCTTCTTGCCCTTCTTGGGCGCATCCTCGCCCGCCGTCGCCGTCGCCGTCGCCGTTGACGCCGCCGAGTCCGTCGGCGGGACGAATGTCGCGCCCATGCCGCCGCTCTGCGCGCCGACGAACATGCGCCCAAACACGCTGCCGAGCCCGGCCGCGACGGGCGCCGCCGTCGGCGTCTCGTCGCTCACCTTGAACGGGTTGTGCGCTGCCGAGTGGACGCGGAACTCGGGCGACGGCGAGCGCTCCTTGCGCTTCGACTCGGCGCGCGCGAGCTTGCGCGCCGCCTTGTCGGCGCGGCGGGCGTCCTTGTCGGCGCGACGGGCCGCCTTGGCCGCCTTCTTGGCCGCCTTGTCCGAGCTGTCGTTGGTGGCGGTCGAGGCGGATGCAGGGTCGAACGTCGCGGCGAGCGAGGTGGTCGTGGCGCTCGCGAACATGGGCGCCGCGCCGGCGCCGCCGAGCGAGGTCGTGGTGGTGGTGGTGGTCGTCGTCGTCGTCGTCGTCTCCTGGACGGCGGTGGCCGAGTTGCCGCGGGCAGGCACGGCGGGCCAGCCGTCGGCGCGCGGGCCGTTGACGGCGAGGACGGGGAGCGGGGTCGAGGCGCCGCTCGGGGCGGGCGAGGACGAGGCCGAGGTCGATGGCGAGGGGGCAAGGCCGAGGATCTCGGCCATGGCGGACGCGTTCGAGGCGGTGGCCATGCGCTTGGCGCGGAGGTGCTTCGAGCGGGCACTGCGAGGGAGCGAGCGAGAGGTCAGGTTCCCGCCGACGCGAAGAAGCAAAAGGAGAAACGCCGGACGCACGCCATGCGCGGGTTCTTGAGGATGGCGAGAGCTGCTGCGCTCGGGGCGGGAGCAGCGACCGGGGCCGGCGCTGCGACGGCAGGCAGGGCCGAGGTCGACGGCGTGGGCTCGCCGTCGTCCGAGTCGCTCGAGTCGCTCGAGACGTCCGACGACGATGCCGACGACGCCGAGCTCGCGCGCTTGCGCTTCTTGAGCGGCTGCTCGGCGAGGTCAGGAGCCGGGCTGGCCGACGCCGACAGCGAGCCGTTCTGCTCCTTGAGCTTGTTGAGGCGCGCGAGGAGGCTGCCAAACTCGCCGCCGCCGCTGCCGCCGCCGGTGACGCCGTCCTGGGGCGTCATCGAGCCGGCCGTGACAAAGCCGCTCGTGATGGGCGTCGCGGCGTTGGCGCCCGTCGCGGAAGGGACGCCGAGGGCCTTGAGGGAGCCGACGACGGCGGCGGCACTGCCGCGCTTCATGCCGATGCCGAGCGTGTCGTCCTTGGCGGTCGGGATCGAGGCGATGCGCTTGGAGAAGACGGAGCCGCCGTTTGCGAGGATGGCGGCCTGCGACTGGGCGTTGCCGAGCGTCGGGGCCGACTCGGGGTTCCAGCCCATCGAGGCGAGGAGGCGGAAGCCGGGAGCGCTCGTGTCTGTGGGTATAGTACATGGTGAGCTGTGCTGCACAGCGGCACGTGTGCCGAGAGGGGAGGGAGGAAGGCGGAGCGGGGAGGAGCTCACCTTGAGCCCAGCGGGTGTTGCGCGGGTCATCCTGGATGCGCTGCTTCTTGGAGGCACCTGCGAGACCCATGGCTGGCGGATCTAGCGGCTTTGTACAAGCTCGAGCGGAGAGCGGTGGAGCAGGAGGCGAGAGAGCGAGGGGAACGGTCGACCAAGCTCGCTTGGGAGGCGGTGCCGTCCTCGAGGAAAATCAGCTGTCGCGTGTGTTGGAGTGGTGAGAGCGTTGCAGTACCCCCCAGCACCTTACTAGCCGCACGAGAGAGCTGTGGGACGAGCGCTCGAGGGGAGACGCGCCTCCTCCCCCATCTCTCGCCTCGTCCGCTTGTTGACCCCCCTGCACCGCCCTCGAATCCGACCGAGCCCACCTGCGCGCCGCCTGTCTCGTCTCCCGACAAGCGCACCTCGCTCGCGCATCGTCCCCCCGATCCAGCCCCTATCCAGCCGCGTCGCCCGGTCCTCCGCCCGCATCCACCTCGACGACAAGCCGGCCATGTCGCTGCGCAACCCGAACGGCGGGCCAAGGCCGATGAACGCGCCGCCAGCAGACGCCTTCTCGTACCGGCCTCTCCAGCAGCAGCAGCAGCCGCAGCAGCAGGGCCAGGCCGGGCAGGGCGCCGGTCAGCCTCCCGCCCTCGGCCAGCAACAGCCGCAGCAGCCGCAACCAGCGCACCAGCACGCCCAGCAGCAGCCCACCGGCTTCACCAAGCCTGCGCCCCTCTCGCTCGAGCAGAGCAAGGCCGTCGCGCGCACCCACTACTCGGCCCTCAAGGGCTGGCTCACCAACGAGGGCGCCCTCTCGTCCGGCTCGACCAGGACGTACGTCCCCCTTACGTCCTCTGTCTCCTTCAAAGACACTGACACAGTCTGCCCCGCCCCCGCAGCAACGCCCGCGACAAGCTCACGCGCCTCACGCGCCAGCAGTTCCAGGAGCTGACGACCGACGTCTACGACGAGCTCATGCGCCGCATCGACGACTCGGCCACCCCGACAGCAGGACAACGTGCGTCAACTCCGCCCCTCGTCCCCGCCGCACCCTCGCACTCACGCTCGCCCGCCCGTCCTGCAGAACCCTTCCTCGCGGTCCGTCCCGACTTTCACCCGAAGCGCAACCAGGCGCGCCAGAAGCTCGCGACGCTCCCGCTCTCGCGCTTCCGCGACCTCGCGAGCGACATCTACTTCGAGCTCGACCGGCGGTACCCCGAGTTTGGCGAGGAGGACGACGTGCGTCCCCCTCCTTCCTCCGTCTCTCCCGTCGACTCAGCGTCGCAGCCTGACTGACGACCCTTCCTCGCACGCAGAACGCCGGTGGACAAGCCTACAGCACACCCCAGACGCACTTTTCGCCGCACTCGCGCACGGGCTCGCACGCCTCGTCGCAGCAAGCCGCTCCGGCGCTCACCTCGCCTCCTCCGCCGACCAACCTGAACGCGCGCCGCGCACCGACGCCGACCTCGGCGACGTCCCAGTCGTCGGCCCTCCCCGTCGGCAACGACGTCGTCGTGCCCAACAAGAGCACGATGCTCGTCGAGGACGAGCCGATGTGCTCCCCCTCCGCGAGCGGGCCCGGCGCCGGCGCCCAGTCGCTCACGTCGCCCACCTCGGCCACGTCGCCGCCCGTCCCGAGCCCGACTGGCTCGCTCCACGCGCCGCGCAGCCCCTCGCCCGGCGCGGCGGCCCAAGCGCGCCCGAACGGCGGCGCCGCGTACGGGTTCGGCGCGTCGCACTCGTCGTCGTCGCTGCCGCGCCCGGCGCCGCCCGTCCCGACCGTGCGCGAGGAGGACGAGCGCGACGAGGCGTACGGCGAGCGGAGCGAGGCGCTCGCGAGCCCGCCGGCGGCGCGCGCGCAGTACGGCCAGGGCTCGAGCGCCGGCGCGGGCTCGGGGCAGGGGCTCGGGCAGCAGGGGCAGGGGGCAGGGCTCGCGCTCGGCAACAGCACGAACAGCCGGGCGAGCGAGGTGAGCAGTAACGGGACGAGCAGTCGGTTCTTCGGCGGGTACGCGGGCAGTAACGCGCCGAGCGAGGTTGGCGGCGTGGGCAACGGCGGCAGGAGATCGGTGCGTCCCTCGCTCTCCTCTCTCTTCCTCGTCGTACGGCGGGAGCGGGTACATCACGCAGGAAACTGACCTCGTCGTCGCGCGCAGTGGGAGAACGAGGCGGCGGCCGACAAGGTCCGCGCCGAGTACGAGTACAAGCTCGCTCGGCTGCAGAACCGGGTCGTCGATCTCGAGCGTGACGGCGCGTCGGCGGCGTCGGCGCAGGCGACGAGCGGCGAGGGCGAGAGGCGGGTGCGGGAGCAGCTCGAGGACGAGCGGAGGAGGTGGGAGCAGGTGCGTCCCTTCTCGCCTTTCCTTTCACGTCATCGCGTGCAGGACAAGACTGACTCGTCGACACGCACGCAGCGGTTCGAGGAGCAGCAGGCGCAGCTACGGTCGCTGCAGCGCGACCACGACTCGCTGCAGGCTCGCGGCCCGTCGCCGTCGTCGTCGTCGACCCGCTCTGCCGGCACGAGCGGGCTCGACGCCCAAGTGCGCGCCCGCCTGCACGAGGCCGAGGAGCTCGCGGCCGAGATGCGCGGCGAGGTGTCGAGCCTCGTCGACGAGGTGCGGCACGCGAGCGAGCGGGCCGACGAGCTCCAGCGCGAGGTCGAGCGCGAGCGGGAGGCGAGGGAGCGGGCCGAGAAGGAGGCGCAAGAGTGGAAGGAGCGGTGGCAGGCGGCCAAGCTCGAGCTGCGGAACGTCAAGGGTGCGTCGCTCAATTTCCCTCGCTCGTCCCGGTCGTGCCGCCCGTGCCGCACTTCTGGGTCGGTCCAGCTGGTTGTTGAGCGACGACACTGACACTCGCGTCCCTCGCAGCGACCTCAATGCTCTTCACGTCGTCGATCAGCGTCGACGCCGACTGGCTGCCCGCCTCGTCCGACGGCCTCATCAACGACACGTCGATCGCCGCCTTCCAGACCTCGATCGACGACCTCCTCCAGGCCGCCCGCTCGAAAGAGCCGTCGTCCGTCCTCCCGACCGCTCGAGCCGTCGTCCAGGCGTGCCAGAAGGTCGACAACGACGTGCAGGCCATTCCTCCTTCTCGCCTCGCGTCGCTCCCGCTCTCGGAGCAGGACCTCGTCAACTCGCTCAAGGTCAAGGTCAACGCGACGCTCTCGAACCTCCTGACGGCGTGCAAGAACCACGCGACGGGCTACGGCGTCTCGCCCGTCTCGCTCCTCGACGCCGCCGCGTCCCACCTCGCCGCAACCGTCGTCGAGCTCGTGCGCATCCTCAAGATCCGGCGCACGACGGGCCCGTCGTCTTCCTCGGCCGGCCGAGGCGGCGCACTCGACCCGTCGTCGGCGTTCGGCATGCGCGCCGCCGCCGCGCGCGAGCCCATGCCCCCTCTGCGGGAGGACGTCGGCGCCGGCTCGCGCCTGTCGCAGGGCGGTCTCGACGACGCGCACTCGTCGCTCCAGGGCCTGTCGATCTCGGTCCCGTCCGTCGAGACGACGCCGACGCCGACCTCGCCCGCACCGCCTCCTCCGCCCGCCAAGGAGCAGCCGTCCGCCCAGCAGCAGCAGCAGTCGCGCAGCCGCATCTCGGGCGGCGTGTCGTCCATCTTCGGCAGCGGCGGCAGCGTCAAGAGCGCACTCGGCGCCATCGGCTTCGGCTCGGACCGCGGCACCAAGCGCAACAGCGGCGGCTCGGTCCGCTCGCGCTCGGACGCCGACACGCTCGCGGGCGCGAGTGCAGGTGCGCGCTCGAGCGTCGCCGAGTCGTTCTCGCAGCCGCACGGCGTGCAGCAGCAGCCGTACGGCGGCGAGGCGCACGGACCTCCTCGGCCCGGCGTCAACGGCGCCGGCGCCGCCAGCTCGCGCGACTCGTACGGCGGCCGGCCGTCGCTCGACAGCGACGGCTCGGGCTACGGCGCACGAGGGCAGCAGCAGCAGCAGGCCTACGGCGGCGCGTACGAGGGCGAGCAGCAGTACGGCGGGCCGCGCGACGAGCCGCAGCAGTACGGCCACAGCGAGTACCCGGCGCAGGGCTCGTCGCAGCCGTACGGCGCATACGGCGACGAGCAGCGACGAGACGGGTACGGCGATCGCGCGTACGACGACGGCGCCGAGGTCGAGATGCAGCAGGGGCAGGAGCGAGACCCGCAGGAACTGAGGGTGCGTCGACGCTCTCTTCCCTCCTTCTCTTCCCCATGACCTCTTCACGGGCGCACGACATACTCTCGCTCTCGAGAACGTTATTGACCCCTTCTCTCGTCGTCGTCGCAGGCCTACATCGAGAACCAGACCGAGGCCATCGTTCACTCGATCCAGTCGCTCCTGTCGGCCATCCGCTCGGGCGCCCAGTCGTCCGAGCTGCAGGAGAACCTCACCCAGATCATCACCATCGTCTCGTCGATCGTCGCCATCTCGCAAGAAGCGCTTCCTCGGACCCTCACGCCCGCCGAGGAGGACGAGGGCTCGGCCATCCTCCAGGACCTCACGACGCACTGCGACCAGTTGAGCGAGATGCAGAGCGCCGACCACGCCGCACCGGGCGCCTTCAACAAGCAGACCAAGCAGGCCATGGCGGCAGCGTCGTTCGGCGTCGCCAAGAGCCTCAAGCAGCTGAACGCGCTGTTGAGCAGCGCGGCCGGCGACGAGCCGTGAGTTGACCGGCGCGTCAGGGCAGGAGGGCAGGAGGGCAGGAGGGCAGGAGTCTGTAGCGCGTCAAGTTATCCTTGTCTGTACGCGTCGCTGTCGCAACCACTTTGGCGACTATTCTCGTCTCGAGCCAGCTGTTCTCGCTCTCGCTCTCGGCTTTCGCGTCGCGCTCGAGAGACGCTTCGTCTGTACAGCTTGCTCGATACGTCGCTCTCAGTTACAAGGCTGAGCCGGGTTCCCTCACTTGGCCCGAACGACGACAACCATCTCCTTGTTCTCCTGCGTCGCACGGACCTTGATGACGCCTGCCGCCTCGTCAACACTCGTCTCGACACCCTCACCCTCGACCGAGACGTTCACGCCTCCCTTGTGCAGCTTCTCGCGGTCAAAGACGACCTCGACCTCGGCGCCGACCGTGCGGGTCGAGAGCGTGAGGCGGTACACGTCGTCGACATTGCGCTGGTTCTGCACGACGAGGTCCTTGGCCGAGAGCGACGACCGGCGAATGAAGGGAGCAAAGCCGTCTGCGAGAGCGAGAGAGCGAGGGGTCAGAGAACGGTCGCTCGAGGAGGACCGAGCGGGAGAAGGTCGGCCGACTCACGCTTGTAGAACGTGTCGCGCGCGGTACCGACGCACATGGGCGTCTCTGTCGCGACCTTGTTTACGATGGCAGATGGCATCGAGCCGTTGAGCGCGACCTTGACGACGTACGTGACCTTGGTGTCGCTCCCGGCCGCCCTGCGAGAACAGCACGCAGCGACGAGGTCAGTTCGGCTCGACCCGACACGGCGCTCGCGACGACTCACTCGACCTTCCACCCGCCGAGGAAGAGCGTTGCCCTCGTCTTGCCCTTCTGCGCCGGCACGAGGTCGTCGACGCTCGTTTGGACGAGCTCGTACCCGTCGCCCGTCTCGAAGATGCGCGACGCGCCGACAATGTCGCGCCCGCTCACGACGAACGAGAAGCCCTTGGTCGTGCTGTAGAACGTAAACTCGTCGGGCGAGTAGCTGGCGACGATGCCGGACGTGTCGAGGCGAGCGTCCCACAGGCGGCGCAAACGGTCGCTCGTGACGACGCCAAAGAGGAACTGCGAGGTGCGAATGTCAGCTTTGCGCCTCTCGAACAGAGCACGCAGGAGGGCGTACAGTCTCTGGAGAGACGCCCTTGACGACAGTCACGCCTCGGACCGTGTTGGGTGCGCCTGCGAGGAGAGAGGGAGATGTCAACGAGCGCGTCGCAAAGGGGCTCGTGCGGCGAGAGCGACGCACTCGAGTCCTCGAGATCCTTCTTCGCGCCCAGCTCGACGTCGCTTTTGGTCTGGCTGTCCCACTCGACGTCGCTGCTCTGCAGCTGCTCGTGAAAGTATGCGCGCGCGACGTCAAGCTGCTTCTGGTACGGGCTCGCGGTCGGGTAGTTGGGGACAGCAGGGCGTTCAGGGAGGAGGGACGACATGGCAGCAGCTGTGTCGAATGCAGGACGAAGGGGCACACGCGACAAGGGCTCTCGAGCGAGCCGGCGAGCGTGGCCGTGCGGGGCTTCCCCGATGAGCGAGAGGCACAAGGTTCGTCCAAAGCTTGTCCAGACCTCGAGCCGAGCCCGGCTCGCAAGGCGCAGCGTGAAAGCGACAGCCGGCAACTGCGCAGGCAATCAAGCAAGCCTGCGACTCGAGCGGAAGAAGTTGGCGCCCGAGAAGGGTCCGCTTGAGAAGGTCGCCGACAGCCGGACACGGACCGCTCTGCGCCGACGCAGTGGCATGGCAGGACGCGAGCTTCTACTGAGGGCGAGGCCGCACGATGACCGTCACGTTGACGCCGCCCGACTTGGTCGTGACCGTCAAGACGCCCTCGTCGTCGTCCGAGACCTCGGCCCCCTCCTCCCCCTCGACCTCGACCCGCACGCCGTCGGCGTACATGCGCCGCCGGTCGTACACGATCTCGAACGACTCGCCAGCCTTTTCGGTCGTCGTGAAGATGCAGCGGTACTCGCGCGGGTGCGTGTTGAGGCTCGGCAGAGCGGGCGGGTCCGAGAACGACTCGGTCTGGAACTTGATGGCGGGTTCTGCGGCGCCTCGAGGGATGCGGACGTAGGGAGCGTGACCATCTGTGGGTGTCTCGTGTCAGTCGACGAGCTGCGGCGAGAGAAGGGCGGGCGAGAGACGCACATTCTCGGAAGACGTCGCGCGCTCGGCCCGTGCAGAGCGGCGTCTCGGTGGCCACCATGGTGACCATGGGCATTGGCATCGAGCCGTTGAGCGCAATCTTGACGATATAGCTGCAGAGTATGGAGAGAGAGAGTCAGTGTCGAGGCGCAAAGGGGTCGACGAGGAGAGAGACGAGCTCACGTGACCATGAGGTTGTCGCCGTCGGGCCTGCGAGGAAGCGCGAGGTGAGAGACGCACAGGGTAACGCAGGAAGGAAGAGGACGAGGACGTACTTGAGCTGCCACCCGCTGAGCGTGAGCGTCGCCCTCGTCTGGCCCTTCTGCTCGGGCGCCCACTCTGGCTCGTCGACGCTCGTCTGGATGACCATGCGCTCGCCCTGCGGGTCGCCGTCCTCGGGCTCGACGTTCATCTGGGCACCGCAGATCGAGCGCGGGTAGACGATCCACGACATGCCCTTCATGACGGTGTAGAAGGCGAAAGTGGTGCGGTCGTACCGAGCGAGCATGTGGCCGTCCTGGAAGCGGGCGTCCCACAGCTTGCGCATGCCGGGCAGCTGGATGACGCCGCCGAGGAACTGCGAGGTATCAAGAGCTCTGTCAGCAGCTGGGCCTGGCGAAGGACGAAAGGGAAGAGGAGGACGTGGACGCACAGCTGCAGCCGAAACGCCCTCGACGGTCGTGACGCCCTTGACGGTCGGTACTGCATCTGTGATGGCGGAGCGAGTCAGAGACGAGTCGCACGGTGAGGAGGGACGGCGGCGAGAACGCACAAGGATCCTGCGTGCGGCGGAGGTGGGGGGTCAGCGAGTTGGGGAGGGGCACAGGGAGGGAGGAAAGGCGATGGACGCACATTCGGGTCGGCCTTGCTCCAGAGCTGGACTCCCTCGCGCTCGCCCTGCTGCTCCCAGTCTGCCTCGGGGCTCGCGAGCTCTTCGAGGAAGAGTCGCCGAGCCTCGTCGAGCTCGTTGGCGTGGGAGCTCTTGGTCGGATAGTCGGTCACGGCGGGTAGCGCAGGGTGGTGCACGGTGGCCATGGTCGTGGTCGCGCGAGCGTTCAAGGCTTCAGAGCGTGTGGAAGAAGAGGGAGAGGGAGAAGTCGCCGTCGCACAATGCAGATCGTTTGGCGAAGTGGGGAGGCGTCGAGTCTCCTGCCGCTCCCCTGCAAGCTCTGCTGCACCAATGCGAGAAAGACAAGCATAGCGAGGGAACGCTGGGCGAGCGCGACCCGCTTCGACTCGGGGTCCGCTGCTCTCGGCCGCGAACGGACGAGGAGCGCGCTCTCTCTCCAGACGATGCAGAGCGACGGTCAAGCTAGATAGTGCAGCTCGTCGAATCGCAGAAGGCTAATAATCTACAGCGCCACCGCTGCGCTCAGGCCGCGAGAACAAGGCCACGCTCCGTCTCGGGTCGACCTTCTCAACGTCGGCTCGCCCGACTTGCGCCACTGCGCCGACTCGCCGCACTCGCCGCGCTCGCCGCACTCGACACGCTCCCACGGCGAGCGTACTTCTCGTCCTCGCTGCCGCTCCCGCTCAGGTCGGACGAGGAGCCTTCCTCGCTCGACGAGAGGAGAGCACGACGGACGCGACTGCTTCGACGGCCCAGGGCGTTGTAGCTCTCTGCAGAGCGTGGAGGACCGTCAGTCAGGGTCGCCTCTGAGGAGGAGGAAGAGGCGGAGAAGGAGGGAAACGAGGAGAGGGACGAGTGGACGTACGCGCAGGGTTCTTGCCCGTGCCCGCTCCCGCCGCCGATTTGCTCGTCGCCGCCTCCTCGTCGCTGCCGACAGGTCCTGTCGCCGCCTGCCCCTGCTGCGCCGCCGCCCGATTTTTGCGGCGCATGACGCAAAAGGCGACGACCGCGCCGCCGATGAGGAGCGCGGCGACGCCGCCCGCGATCACGGCGAGCATCGTGTTGCTCAGGCCAGGGACGAGGCCGCTTGACGTCGTCGAGTCGGTGTCGCTGTCAGGCGCGACGCTCTCGTCGTCTGCAGAAGCTGCCGACGACGCCGAGGAGGAGGCCGGGGTCGAGCTGGAGCTGGCGGCCGCCGACGTGGCCGACGAGCTCGCGCCAGAAGGACCGCCCGTCTCGACGCCGCTCTGCTCGGCAATAGCGCTCGACACGTCGATCGACAGGGCCGAGGTGGCGGCGGCGAGGCCAGTCGGGACCGTGGTCGGGGCAGATGCGGTCGGGCCGCCGGCGGACTTGGCGCCCTCGCCGGATGCGTCGGCGCTGCACAAAGGGACGACGTCAGGTCGATCATGGCAGAGGAGCAGGACGGAGAGGGTCGGACGCACCTCGCTGTGCCGTTCTGCGCGCCGTCGGTCGAGCTCGACAGCTCGCCCGCCGAGTCGCCGTCGCCGTCAGGGCAGAACGTGACCGTGAAGCCCGGGGCGTCCTCGCTCTTGCAGATGTAGGTGACGGTCGACTGGCCCGCTCGGGCATCTTGCTGTCGAGGGAAGGAAGGGAAGAGGTCAGAGCGCGCTCGAGAGAAGACTGAGTGCGTGAGGACGCACAAAGTAGGCTTGCGCGTTCGGGCACGCCTCCTTGAAGTACGAGTAGTACTCGATGAGATCGGGCGTGCACGACTTGGCGTTGGCGTAGTCGTTTTGCTGTTGCGAGAGGCGGGAGAGTCAGGTCGTGCGGTTGCGGCAACTCGAGGACAGGACGAAGTTGCTGATTTATATTAATTTTATTGTTCAAACATGAGAGCTTAGTACGTGAAACATGAGAGCTTAGTACGTTAGCGAGTCCTGGAGCTTGACCTTGTCGTCCGGGCACGTCGAGAGCTTGGGCGTGCAGGCGACGGCGTCGCACCCTTTGCCGGCTGGCTTGATGCCGATCGGGACGCCCCAGCCGCCGCCGTTCGTGAGCCCGTAGGCGTCGTACTGCTGCTGCTGCTGCGACTGGAGGCGGATCTCGGCGGACGTGGCGCCGCCGCCAAACTCGTTGTCGGCGCACTGGAGCGCGTTGTCGATACAGGCGCCGGTCTGCGAGTGGTCGAGAGCGCCAAGTCGAGACGTCAGTACGGGTCTGGAGAAGAGAGAAAGACGAGAGACGCACCACGCAGGCGAGCGTCTTGTCCGAGTTGGCGATGCAGCCGTGTCGGCCCCCTGCAGGTCCAGCATTAGTGCGATACTCGTCATGGCGGCTCGAGAGGAAGGAGAGGGACGCACAGATGCGCCCGATCCAGTCATTGGGGACCGTGATGGCCCTGCTCGAGCCGGCTTTGGCCTCCCAGCCTCGGTCGTCCTCGTACGCCTGCTTCTGCTCGCCGAACGGCACCGTCGCGGGCCACACGGGGTAGCTGCACTGGTTGACGACCTTGATGGTGCGCTGGGCGGAACTGGAGAGGGTGCGAGGTGAGCTCGAGGACGAGGCGAACGAGGGAAGGAGAAGAGAGAGGAGGGCGCACCTGCGGCCCAGCAGAAGGGCGAGTACGGTCGCTGCGAGAAGCACGTAGCGCATGTCGAAGCTCGAGAGCGGCACAGAGCAAGATGGAGAGTCGGAGGAACGAAGAGCGAGGACGCCAGACCGCAAGCTCCTCCTCGACGAACGCGCCGCGGACCCTCCGAGGCCTCGCCGCGTCGCCGAGGGCTCCTCTCCTCTCGCGTCTCACCATTTGCCGCACGAGGCCAACTTGCTCGACGCTGCACTCCTCAGTACGGCATGAGCCTCGTCCGCTCCGTCAAGACCTCCTCGCCCGCCGCCTCGAGCCGCTCGGACCCGTCCTCCTGGTCCTCCCCGCCGTCGTCGTCCATGTCCGACAGGACCGCGCCGTCGAGGAGCCGGTCGATGTCGACGTGCACGCGCAGGCCCTTCTCGAGGAGGAGGTGGTGAAAGTCGCGCAGCTCGCGCGAGCGGAAGACGGGGCGCATGGCAGGGGAGAAGGGCCGCAAGTAGAACTCTGTGGATGGTCGACGCGCATCAGTATCTCCTCGACGAGGCGAGAGCGATAGAAAGAGAGAGAGACAGAGACGCACCCTTGCACCAGGGGCACTCGCGCAGGGCGCGGTAGATGAGCGACTTGGCGCGGGCGAGCTCGCCGTTGCGGACCTCAAAGTCGACGTAGAGCGCCCAGACCGACGCAGACGACCTCGACCTGCGAGGGATGACGAGTCAGAAGGAGAGAGAGGACGAGTGAGGGTGAGAGAGAGGCGAGCGTACCTCGGATTGTCGACGGCGCGGTCGAACAGGTTGCGGACCGCCCAGACGTTCGTCGAGCGAGCGTCGCGGTGCAGCTCGGCAAAGATGGCGAACAGCCAGCCCTCGCTCGTCGCCTCGCTCTCCTTGAGGACCTTCTCCTCCATGAGCCGGCGAAAGTGGTTCTCGATCTTCATGCGCTCTGCAGGGTCCGTGCAAGGTTCGGTCAGGTCGGCGGCGAGGACAGGACGACGACGACGACGACGACGAGGTGAAAGAGGGACGCACGCTCGTTGTGGTAGAAGAGGGCGAGGAAGATCGAGTTGTTCTTGAACTCGCCGAGGGCGCGCTCGAGAAGCTCGCGCAACTGCGCCGGGCGGTAGCCGCCGCCGACGACCGAGTGGCGGAACAGGAGCTTGGCGAACATCATGAGCGCCTCCTCGTGCTCTGCCGAGCCCGTTGCGCCGGCGCAGTCGAGGCGGAACAGGTGCCGCTCGAGGACGTCGCCGGCCGCCGCCAAGTCGCCCGTCAGGTACTGCAGGAGGGCGAACGAGAAGGCGAGGTGGTTGCGGTTGCGGACGAGCGCCTGCGTCGCGTGCGGCTGGAAGGCGGCTTCGAGGTCGTGCGTGTAGTGCTGGCGCGCGCGCAGGAGCTGGGGTGCAGAGGGCCGAGCATCGAGGTCGGTCGAGGCGAGAGACGCTGCGGGGGCCCACGAGTCAGTAAGGTCCCTGTCGAGAGAGACAGAGAGAGGGAAAGAGAGACGCACCGAGATCGACAATATCCTTGCTCGCTGCGGCGACGAGCACCTTGAGCGCGACGACCGTCCTCCCATCCTCCCACTCCATCTCGGCCCAGGCTCGCCACAGCAAGGGCCCTTCGATCTGGTCCTGCGGCTTGAACGAGCGGTACATCGAGAGCGCCGTGCAGTAGACCTGGCGAGCGTCGGTCGCCTTGCCGCGCTGCCGCTCGATGCGCGCATAGGCGTCCCACAGCGCGAGGTCGTTGCGGTGGTCGCGCAGGACCTGCTTGGCGAGCTTGACGGCGCTGCGAGGTCGAGGCGTCAGGTCCAGTCGTCGATAAAGAAGGAGAGATGAAAGAGGGACGCACGCTTTTGGGCCTTGAACCGCCTCGAGCGAGAAGGCGTCGAGCGTGAGGAAGGTGTCGTCGGGAAGAGCTTGACGAAGCAGGGCGAGCGCGTTCCTGTGGGCGATAGAGAGTCAGCTTTCTGCAGTTGCAGTAGAATTGACGAAGGAGGACGAGTCGAGCGCACCTCGCGAGGTCGAGGTCGAGGTCGAGCAGGTCCTCCTTGCCGAGCGTCTTGAACCACCCGGGGCTCGGCCCGCCGAACAGGGTGTCGACCGTCGCCGGCATCGCCTTGAACGGCACGTTCCACGGCGCCTTGAGCGCGCTGTCGCGCTCAGGCTCCATCGCCTCGCCGCCGATGATGCCGAACGGCGCGCCGCTCGACCTCGCCGGCCAGTACCGCCGGAGCAAGCTCGGCCGCTCGACGAGCTCCGAGTGCACGAACGGGTCGGTCGTGAACGGCGTCGAGGTCGGGACGTCGGGCGGGACGAACGGGAGGCCGAGGAAGGCGAGGAAGGCGTAGGCGAGTTGGTGCGTCGACTCGGGCGACGACAGGAGGAACAGGAACGGCTTGACGTCGTCGAACAGGACCACGCGGTACGGGTCCTCCGAGTCGTCCATCTCGACGTCGGTCGCACGTGCAGGACGGCGAGACGAGGCAGCTGCGGCGCGCTCGGCGAGTGCCCATCGCTCGTGCGGTCGCAGGCTCGCGTCCGTCTCGACGAGGGCGACGGCGGCGCTCGACGACTCGACGGGCTCGGGCGGCAAGTCGTCCTCGGTCGTGGCACGCCAACCTTTGGCGCCGCTCTCGCCGATGCGCGGCGCCTCGCCGTCCCAGAACGACTCGAACGCCGAGAAGACGCGCTCGCGCCAGGGCATCGTGCGCTCGTACTGGAGGCGCTCGAGGTCGGGAGGGCGAAGAAGGTTGAGCTCGACGAGGGCCTGGAAGGCGGCGAGTGCGCGCTCGGCGAAACCTGGGCCACAGGGAAGGGGTCAGTGGCGTGTCCTGGCGGGCGAGGAGGACGATGGGACGGACCGGCTTGACGGAGCATGAGGCAGAAGCGGAGGAACAGGTAGATGGCGTTGCTCTCGAGCATCTCGCGACCTGCAGGAGGTCAAGGGTGTGAGTAGGGGGACGACGGCGTGTGAGGGAGACAGAGAGAGAGAGAGGACGCACCGCTTGACCCAGGATCCTCGCCTTCCATCGCGTCGACGAGCACCTCGAACGACTCTGCGAAGACGCCGACGACGTCCTTGACGCTGAACGTTGCCCACGTCGTCTGGCGCCACGACACGTACTCGATCCACAGGCCCGTCAACCTCGGGTGCTCCCTCAACGCGTCCTTCCACCTCGCGAGAACGCGTTGCGGCTCCTCGACCTCGGCGGCGGCGCGCAGCTGCGCGAGGATGAGCAGCTCGGCCTCGGCGTTGTCGGGCACGGCGAGGGCGCGCACGAGGATGGCGAGCTTGACCTCGGACGTGCTCGCGCGCTCGCCCTTGCTCAGCGCGCGCTTGGTCGACGACGCGCCGCCGGTACCGCCTGCGAACGACGACTGGGCGATCTCGTCTTGCAGGTCGACGAACTCGAGCCACCGGGCGACGTCGCGCGGGTTGTCGCGCAAGGCGCGGTCGAGCTCGATGTTCTTGCGCCGCAGGCGCTCGGCGTGCGACTCGCCGCCGCTGATGCCGAGGCCGGCGAACAGGTCGTCGTCCGACTCGGCCGCGTCGGCGAGGTCGGCGGGCTTGATGAGGCCGGCCACCGAGCGATAGTCGGTGCCGTCCTCGTGCTCGAGCCGCTCGAGCTTCTCGGCGGTCGTGCGCTCGCGGTCGAAGCCTACAAAGTCGACGCCGTCGTCGTCGGCTGAGGCGAGGAAGGGGTCGGGAGGAACGGCGGATAGCGCGGGCTCGCCGAGAGCGTGAGGCGAGGAGCGAGGCTGGAGGGTGAGGCGCTTGGTGTTCTTGTCGGTCAGGTGGCGGAAAGACGACGAGTCGGTGTAACGAGGTGTCTGTAGGGGGAAATCGAGTCGGTACAGCTCGTCCAAGACGAGGCGAGGGTGTGAACGTACCCGGAACCGGTTCAGGGGCGAGATCTCGACGCCTCGGCCGGTGTAGGCCGTCTCGCGCGTGATGCGCAGGCCCTCGTTGAGCCCGACAACCCGCCCACCGCCGAGTCGACGGTACTTGGGAACGTCGCCTCGATGTAGGCCGCCGTACCGCAGGTTGTTCTCGTCGCCTCGCCGCGACTCGTAGAAGAGCGGCTTGTCCGACGCCGAGTCCTCGTTGACGCGCGAGCTGCGGACCACCACGGGTAAGGCATCGTCCTCGCCGCCGTTGAGCGCCTGGACGAGCTGGTACGGCTTGCTGCGCTGTGGGCGGCGGCAGGTCAGTGAGATGAACGGCAGGGGCAGGTGTGGGGAGCGAGGGCGCACCTTGGGGCCATAGTCGCTATCCCGCTCGAGGTCGCGCTCCTTGCCCTTGCCCTTGTCCCTGCTCCTGCGCTCGTCGTGCCGCCGCCTCGAGCCGTCGTCGTCCCGTCGCCGCTCTCGCTCGCCGTGTCGCCGCTCGTCGCGGTCGTCCCGCCTCGAGCGGTGCCCGTGCTCGCCGCCCTTGCCCCGCTCACGCTCGCCGTCGTCCCGCCTGCTGCTGCCCGCTGCAGGCTTGCGCCGCTCGTCGCGATCGCGGTCGCGGTCGTCGTCGTGACGCCTGCGCGACGAGGTGGTCGGGCGGTCGTCACCCCCGTGTCGCCGGCACGACGATCGCGACTCGCTCGCGGATATGCCGAGGTCGGTGCCGAGGTTGTCGAGGAAGTCGGTAGCCCTGGAGCGCTTGCTGGGCGGCGGCGAGGTGGACCTCGGCGGAAGAGGTGGGGACGGGTAGGACGAGAAGGCGGGCGCTGGGGGCTTTGGCGGGTGCGTGTCGGGGAAGGAAGAGAACGAGGGCGGTGGTGCGCCTCCCGCCATGCTCGCCTGGAGCGAGTGGTGTCGAGCAAAGAGGCGGAGAGCTCGCCAGCTTCATCAGCTCGACGCAACTCTCGCTCTCTCTCGACAAGGCGCGCACGATGGCCAGTCCACGCAAGCGCACTGCGCTCGTGCAGTACCCGCCCTCGCAGGCCTACGTCGTCGAGTCGCTCCGCACCGCCTTCGCTCGCCAGCTCCCCGACTGGTCGCTCCTCACTTCGCCCGCTCCAGACGGCACCAAGCCTGACCTGCAATGGTCCGACTATGACGAGCTCGACTGGGACATCGCCATGGACGACCGCACCCAGCTCAACTCGTTCGCCATCCGCAAAGCGTGAGCCCCTCTCCTTCCTCTCCTCCGCCCCTCTCCCTTGCTCTCGCGTGCGCTGAACTGACCCACCCGCATCCACAGGCTCATCCGCAAGAGCAACCTCGCCCACACCATCGCGATGTACCTCTCGAAGAACCCGGACTCGCCCTTGCGCCGCGCCGCACCACCAACCTTCCACTTCACGTGCTCGTTCGCCGACGAGCTCGACGAGCTGCTCATGGACGACCTGTACGAGGTCGACCAGTCGTTCACCGACGCAGATCAAGGCGGCGAGGGCAAATGGTGGATCCTCAAGGCCGCCCTCGCCGACAAGGGCAACGGCATCCGCCTCTTCAACTCGCGCGAGACGCTCGAGGACATCTTCCAGGAGTTCGAGCCCGAGAGCGACGACGAGGAGGACGACGAGGAGGACCGCGACGAGGCCGACGAGCGACCAGAGCAGTCGAGGGCGGCCATGTTCGGCGCCGACACTCGAGTCGACGCGACGCAGCTGCGAGAATGGGTCATCCAGGTGCGCCTCGTTCTCTCTGCCTCTCCCCTCGTGTCTCGTCTGACTCTATTCGCCGCACAGGAATACGTCGCATCGCCTCTGCTGCTCGACCCGTCGCCGTCGTCCAATTCGAGCGGGACCAAGTTCCATCTGCGCGTTTACGTCGTCGCCGTCGGCGGCCTCGCCGTCTACGTCCACCACCCCTTCCTCGCCCTGTTCGCCTCGTCCCCTTACACCTCCCCCGCCGACACCGCCAACGAGAGCGGCGAGTTCGACCTGTCGGCCCACCTCACCAACACCTGCCTCCAGACGAGCGTCCTCGGCGAGCAGGCGCCGGCCATCTCGGTCTCGACGCTGCAGGGCATGCGGGACAAGGTCGTCCTCGGCGGCCCGCACGAGGGCGAGAAGCTCGGCGAGGAGCGGATCGGGCTCATCGAGGAGGGCGTGCGCGAGGCGGTGCGCGAGGTCTTCAAAGCGGCGGTCGGCGCCGGCTCGTCCTTCCAGGTGCGCACGACGCTCCCCTTTATCTGCTCGTCGAGCGTCGGACTGACTGTCACGGCGCACCCAGGCCTTGCCCAACGCGTTCGAGATCTTCGGCGTCGACTTCCTCGTCGACAGCGAGTTCCAGGTCTCGCTCCTCGAGATCAACGCCGTGCGTCCCCTCCCTCTTCTCTTTTCTTGCCCTGTCCTGACAATCACTTTGTTCTGCAGTGCCCCGACTTTGGCCAGACCGGCGCCGAGTTGCAGAGCATCATCGACCACCTGTTCTCGTGCACGATCGACGTCGCGGTCAAGCCCTTCTTTGCGCGGCAGCGCGAGGCGGCAGAGTCGAGCGAGGGAGCCGAGGAGCTCGTAGATACGCTGGAGCGGCTCGAGGTCGGCGGGACGAGGGGCCTGCAGGAGGTCTTGCGCATGGAAATCAGCCGCGCCTGGTGAGCGAGCGCGCTCGTTCCCCTTCCTCGCCTCGTCTTTCTCGCCTCTCCTCTCTAGCCTTTCTCTGCCTCGCTTGCTTGAGCTTCTTATCGTGGCTTTACTGCTTCGCTTGTGCTCTCTGCGCCCGCTTTGAGCGTCGCCTCGTCGGAGATTCCGACTCGGACCGTCATCAGCGCTCGGTGCCGCTATTTCGGGTCCGGCATCCCGGGTCCGCCCCTGCGTCGCTCGTCGCTCAGGGGATCACCTCGGCCGACAGCGCGACCGCGAGACCGTGCGGGCGCAGCTCGGGGATTCCGACAGCCGGCAGCTCGTCCTCCGTGACGACGACCTCCCTCTGTCCTCTCTCTCCCGTCCATCTCACTCAGAGCGACATTCTCGACACCTCCTACCGCACGTCCACACTCGCAAGATGAAGTTCCTCGCCCTCGCCGCCGTCGCTGCCGCCCTGTCGTCGCTCGCCTCGGCCGTCCCGATGAAGCGCGACGACTCGTCGCCCACCAAGCCCGCCTACACGGGCACGCTCGTCTCGTACACGCAGTCGGTTCCACTCGGAGGAAACCTGAGCGTGGCCTACGACGCCTCGGTACGTCGTCGCTGTCCTCTCATCGCGCTTTGTCCTCGTCCTCGTCGACTCGACCTGACCTCTCTCTGCGCCGCACACAGGCTCAGAGCGCCGTTCCGCACTACGCTGCCTCGATTATCGGCGTCGACCTGGGCCTGCAGGGCCCGGCCCCCATCGTCGTGTCGCCGAACGACTTCTCGCCGTTCGGAATCCTCAAGCTCGCGACCGGGCTCGACACGGGCGGCCCCGGCGGTTGGGTCAACACGAGCATTGCGCTCCCGAGTGCAGTCTACAAGCCTGGCGAGTACTGTGCGTCCACCTTCCTGCATTCCTCGAGTGCGGCCTGAGCGCGGCCTGACCTGCTTGCCCTCGCAGTCTTGATCGTCACCGAGGACCAGCTCGCCGTCTACGATTCCGAGCAGCCGGTCTACCGCGTACAGAGCTACAACGTCTCGGTGCAGGTGACGGCCGCCGAGTAGACGAGCGCCTCGACCAGCAGCTCGACTCGATTTCGTACCTCCTCCCCGTCGTTCCTCCCTCCTTTCCGCCTCGTAGCGCCTGCCTCTCGTCCATGGACGCTCTCTCTCGATTCCTAGAGTCTGCAATACATTTCAGTCCCTCAACGCGGCAGGCGTACGTCTCTTGAGAGCGGTCTGTCCTCGAAAGGCGAATTGCTCCCGGCTCGGCGCTGCTCACGCTTCACCAGATCTCACTCTCGTTCTGCCCCGTGCTCGTGCCTACGCACATGACAGACCGGGCAACGGAAGCTCCGACTCGAGAGCGCCTTCGTTGGTCGCCCGTCGTCGACGTCGGCAGCGAGCCGCGCTCAGGCCCTTGCACCGTCATCGTGCAGCTCTTTGCGGCGCCTCTCGCTCTCGCGGAACCTCCGTGCGCGCTGTAATTAGCCATCAAGGGCGTCTGCACCTCATGAGCGCGACTGTCGAGCGCGGTGCGGGCGATGAACTCGCGCAGATCCCTCCACTTGGGAAGGTCGACAGCTCGGGCGAGGAGCCCTTACGGCCTGCGTCGCCACTTCGGTCTGGAGCTATTCTCGAGCGACTAGCGCATGAACGTAAAGTCAGGCTTGGCTTACGCAACCGGTCGACCGGAAAGTCCGTCTGCGCCGCAGAGCCGGCCGAACCGAAAGGAAGAACGTCGTCGCTGTCGCACCTCGTCTGCTTTCTCTTTCTCTCTCTCTCACTCGACCTCGCCCAGTTCGCACTTCCCTCTCACACCGTCATGAAGTACATCGCCCTCGCCCTCGCCGCCGCCCTCGCCGCCGCCTCGACCCTCGTCTCGGCCGCGCCGACCAAGCGTGGCTTCTTCCCCCAAGACGGGCCAGCGTTCATCGGCCAGCTGCTCTCGAAGCCGGACGAGATCAAGCTGGGCGAGAACTTTACGATCTCGTACGACTCGAACGTGCGCCGACTCTCGTCCTCGTCCTCGACGTGCACGGGCCCTGACTTCTCTCTCTCCTTTCGTCCTGGCTCGCGACTTGCAGGACCCCTCGCCGGACCCGCAGTACCCGTCGTCGATCCTCTCGTTCGACGTCGGCATCCAGGGCCCGGCGCCCATCTACTACTCGAGCGCGTTCACGCCATCGGGCATCCTCGAGCTCGCCAACGACCTTCCCGGCCAGCAAGTCGTCAACGCGAGCCTCAAGATGTCGAGTAGCGCCGACCCGGGCGAGTACTGTGAGTCGACGTCGTCGCTCTGGGAGCGGGCGCCTGTGTCGAACCGTCGCTGACCGTCGCCGTCGTCCGACAGTCCTCATTTTCACCGAGCACCAGCTCGGTGTCTACGACCCTGAGCAGCCCGTCTACCGCGTCCAGAGCTACAACGTCTCGGTGCAGGTCGTGCAGTAGACCCGCATCGACCTGCGCCGACGCCAGGGACGAGCTGAAGGCGGGCAGAGCGCCGCGCACGAGCCTTTTCCTCCCTCCTCCTCCTCACTCAGACTTCCTCGCCCATGTAGCTCTCTCTCTCTGTCTATAGTCTCCTATGGACGCTCTTCTCAAGCGCCATGTGCCCCTCGAGTCTGCAACACGTCGTTCCGTGCCCTCGTTCGCGAACGATCCTCGTGCGAGAGAGCAAGATGCGACGCGAGAGGTCGCAGGGCATAAGCGCGCTCTCTCTCTCTCTCTCTCTCTCGTTCGGCAAGTGCGAGCGAGGCCTTTCTCTGTGAACTGGAGCCGGAACGACGAGCGCGAGTACGGCAGGAGAGAGGGAACGGCGTTGCACGATCGGGATCTATGACAAGGAGGGACGAGAGGAAAGAGTGTTCCGGACGCCGCCTGCAACCGTGCTCGTCGAGGCACGGCCGCGAGCTGAGCTAGTAAGGCGTCAAACGAGGCGTCGGGCACCCAGCCGCTCCGGAAAGAACGAGGCTGGGCGATCGCTCTGCCCCCCCTTTCCCGTCGCTCCGCTATGAGACCTTCCCGGAGGTTGGTCAGAACGGGCGACATAATAAAGGGGGCGTCGAGGGTCGAGGGTCGGGATCGAAATGCGGGCGCAGGAGGCGGGGAGCGAGAAGCGAGAGTCGAGCAGGTGGAGGAGAGGGAGGGGACGCGAGGGCATCTGCTGGGGGCGAGCTGGTTAGTGAGGGCGGTCGGCAGGGTGGATGGAGAGGGTGAGCGCACCAGCAGGCCCTCCCTTGCGCGATGCTGGCAAGAAAAGTCGCGATCGAGCAATGCAAAGTTTCGACGACGCCCTCGTCGCGAGAGCGGCTTGAAGGCGGCGGGCGATGGGTGCAGCGAGGTGCACTAGCTCGTGCGAGGCGGTCGGGGAGGCCAGAGCTGCATCTCGAGGGTTGTGGGCGAGAGCGAGTGGTGAGGAGGAGGTCAAGGTGCGAGGCGACGAGGCGGCTCGTCGTCGTGCTGATCCGCTCTCACCCCTCGCACTCTAACCATGCTCGAGAGCATCATATCGACGGCCTACGTCGGCCAGTACGACTTCTGGGCCGTGCCCCTCGCCCTCCCGACCTCGCTCGTCACCGCCCTCCTCCCCCACCCGACCGCCTCGCCGCTCGCCCTCCTCGCCCCGCAAGAGGTCCAAGCCGCGTCGCCGCGCATCCCCGACCCGGGCGAGGGCCACAGCTGGGTCGTCGTCGAGGCCGGCAAGCAGATCAAGACGGGCGTCGCTTGGGTTCCCTTTGGCCGCTCGTCGTTCCACGTACGTCCCCCGCTCTCTCCTGTGCCCTCGCGAGCGAGCACCTCGCTGAACTCGAGTCGAGCACGCAACAGGAAGCCAAGCTCGAGGTCCCCTTCCTGCGCCACGAGCAGACAACGTCGTCGACCCCGCTCACCCTCAAGTCGTCGCTCCTGTTCAACTCGCGCCTCATGCGCTTCTCGTCGACGCACCTCACCGGCCTGCGCTCGCACCGCGCCATCTGCATCGAGACGGACGACTCGTTCGAGGCCATGGACTGGCTCCGCATCAAGGTCGACGGCGAGGTCGACGTCCCGAGCGACAAGAGGTGGTCCGAGGACCTGCTGCGCTCGGTCGTCGCCGGCTACTGGGTCGGCCAGAACACGGGACACACGGCGACAAAGGTGCGCTCACCGCCCTCCCTCTCTCTCTTTCCTTTCGCGGGCCGGACTGACCTTCTCTCCCCCCCCTTCCCGCAGTTCACCATGTCGTCCCTCTCGCCCGTCCGCCCTCTCAACCAGCTCCGCGTCCGCCTCAACCTCCCCGCCTTTACCCAGCTCCCGCTCGACGACGTCAAGGCCCTTCTCGCCGGCACCGACCTCGCGATCGAGGACAACGGCTGGGTCGAGCTCGAGGCGGCCGGGTTCGCGCTCAGCGAGGAGACGCACATGCAGGTCGCAGCCCTCTCGTCGATCTAGTTCCCCCACTTCCTCGTTCTCTCTGTTCGTCTCTGTAGCTTGATAGTCTCGCCGTGCCCGTCGTTCCTGTTGATGCTCGTCCACATTTCGCTCTGCAACTCGTCCTCGTCTACAACGCCACCTGGTCCAGCACGACCCTCCGACAGTTCGCCTCGACTCGTACTCCTCTTAGCTCCGGATGGTGCGCTTGAGCGGCCGAGAGGCGAACGTCGAGCTTGAGATGCAGGGCGTGCACGACGGCGAGAGGCTTGAGCGCGAGGTCGTCGATCGAGAGGCTGTGCGGGTACGAGAACGAGAGAAGGCGCTGTCTACGGGTCGACGAGAAGTCAGTCATCGCTGGCTCGGAAAAAGAAAGCGAGACGAGCGCACCTGGCGCCGCCCTCGTCGACTAACACCGCCTCGACCACGACGAGCTCCCGCCCACCGAGGCAGTTCGGCCCCGCCGACTCGCCGAGCGTGTACGCGACCGCATAGTCGAGGAGGACACCGACGAGCGGGATGAGGTCGTGCGGCCGGTCCGGGTTCGGGAGGTTGAGCGAGAGGAAGGAAGTCGGTGTTGGGCAGGCGAGCGAGGTGACGAGGCTGACGAGGGACGGCGGCGGGGTCGATATCTATTGAGGCAGAGTGTCAGTACGCCTCTCGAGGTATGCGAGAGAACGAGACGCACGAGCAGCGGCTCTCGGCCGCCGACGTCGACGAGCGTGACCTTCTCGAGTAGCCGTTCCTCGAGCAAGTCGCGATTGACGACGAGCGTCTGGCCCGACACGGGCTCATACAAGACCATGAGGTGGACATTGCGGGTCTGCTGGAACGTACGAGGGTCAGCCACGCCGGAGTGAGAGGAAAGAGCGGACGGAGACGCACCTCGAGAGCGTTTGCAAGCGCCCGCGCCTCCTTCTCCGATAGTAGACACGAGTCGACGAGCGCCGCAGTCCTGTTGCGGACGCACCGTGAGCTCTTCTCGCTGCGAAAGAGGGACAGGAGGGGACGCACCGCAGCCCGAACCAGACTCCGACGAGGTCGAGAGAGAGAGCGGCGACGACACGAGGCTTGGAGCGAGGCAGCGCCTTGCCGATGGCCTTCAGGAGGGCTGTAGGTAGCTGTGCAGCGGTGCTCATGTCATCCTAGCGTGCAGGAGAGAGATGGCGGGCGTGGACCTGTGTCGCATTGAGCGGGAGCACCTCGCCGCTCCTCTACACGCTCCCCCTCGAGGTCAAAGGGCCATGCAGCGGCTCCGAAAGGCTGGCAGATACCTCGTCGGCACAGTGCAGGTGCGCCCGCACTCCCCTGGTCTCTCGTTGTGGATCTCGCTCATCAGTCTTCCTCATCTCCCTCCAGGTTCTCTGCGGCGTCCACCTCTTCAACGAGCACGTGGCCGAGATCCGACCGGTACGTTCACCCTTCCTCGCCTCAGTGCACCCTCTCTCGGCGTTCAGCGTCCTCGGCGAGCGATACCCGCCAGTTCTCGGTCGCTCCCGACCCGAACGACTCGACTCCCTCGCACCTCGTCCATGTTGCTATGGCCCTGCGCGATGTGCACAGACTGACGGTTGATGCTCCCACAGTGCGCCGGCGCCTCCATGTACCCGACCCTCGCCGACTCTGGCACCCTCGTCCTTCACTCCCGCCTCGCTCTCCGCCTGTCACCTCTCGCTCGCGGCAACCTCGTCACGGCCGTCTCGCCGCTCGACCCGGCGCACCAGGTCCTCAAGCGCGTCATGGGCCTCCCCGGTGACGTCGTGTGCGTCGACCCGACCGGCGAGAGGAGGCTCGCCGACGTCGAGTGGTGCACGGTGCCGCCGGGGCATGTGTGGCTCGCGGGCGACAACCAGAGCAACTCGACCGACTCGAGGGACTATGGACCGGTGCCGATGGGCCTCATCAGGGGCAAGATCGTCGCACGGGTGCGTCGCTCTCTCTCTCTCTCTTCGTTTCTCGCGAGCCATCGTCCCGTTCTGACGCTCTCCCTCTCTCTCTCGCGACAGGTCTGGCCCAGCCCCGACTGGCTCAACACGACGTTTCACAAGGTCGACCGAGCATAGCCTCCACCGCATCACCTTGCTGCATGTGCGTCCTCGTCTTTCCCTCGCGACGTTTCCTTCTCATTCCTCAAGCCGACTCTCACTCTCACTCTCGATCTCGCTCGTGCGCAGCCTGTCTGTTGTATCATTACGAGATTGCAAACTAGCACAGAGTACACCGATGAATCCGAGATAGAGAGAGAGAGTGAGAGTGAGAGAGAAGGTACGTCGAGAGAGGGAGAGAAAGAGGACAAGAGGGGCGTGCGAGAGGGAGGCGCGGACGAAGGAAGTACTGCAAAGAGAGGGGGAGAAAGACGAGAGACCGCCGTCACGAGCTGCTCGAGCTGAGCCACGCCTGGCTTTTGGCGACGAGCCACAGGCTGTTGTCGGCCCTCCACACGAGCCTCTCGCTCGGCGTCTTGCCCGTCCAGGCCCTCTGGTCCCTCAGGACGACCGCCTGCTGCGCCGTGAGGTACCGCCCGCACGTGTCGAACAGCTCGCGGTCGAGACACGCCTCGTGCGCCTGGTCGACGTCGTCGGCGAGCGCGACGAGCGTGCGCTGCGTCGTCGCCGCGCCGGCGACCGACGTACGACGGCGCGCCGACTGGCTGCGCGCGAGTGCTGCGGCCGAGCCGCCGACATGGGGCGACGCCGGGACGAGCGTCGTCGAGATGGTCGAGATGATGCGCTTGGTCTCCTCCAGGAGGCGCCCCGCCTGGGCGCCGTTGCGCCGCGTCATGAGGAGGAGCGCACGCGACAGCATGTCGCTCACGAGGAGCTCCATCCTGCGGCGCACGATCTCGGGCGCCGAGACGGGCGGCGGCTGGCGGCCGAACGATGCCGACGATGACGGCGGGTTGATCGTGATCGTGAGGAGGCACGGCGAGTGGTTGAGGCGCGAGACGGTCTTGCCGGCCGCCGGGTCGCGGTACGCCGCGTTGACCTCGAAGACCGGCGCCTCGTCGGGCATGTCGTCGTACGCGTCCTCGTACAGGTTCGAGCTCGAGGCGGCAAAGTCGTCCATGGCCGACGGGTTGACGCCGGCTCGCGACAGGAAGAAGGCGTCGGTCGCCGTGCTGTACTCGGGCGCACGAGGTGGCGGAGCCGTGCCGTCGCTGCTGCGCTCGCGCTGCCCGGCCGAGTCACCCGCAGGCCCGAGCGACAGCTCGACCTCGACGATGAGGTCGCGCCGCTCGCCGAACGACAGCGAGCCGATCTCGACGTCGACGTCGGTGCCCGTCTTGGAGACGATGGCGCCGGGCGATCCCGACACCTTGCGGACGCGGAACCAGCGCTTCTCGGGCACCTTGATGTGCAGCCGCACGTTGGTCGCCGCGATCGACAGGATGCCGCCGATGGAGCCGGCGAGGGCGTCACGCAGGTCGTCTGTGAGAGAGAAGGACAGTCAGTCTTGTGAGAGGAGGCGCCGAGAGAAAGAGAGAGGAGACGCACAAAAGTCCTTGACGAACGTGTACGAGCCAGCCGAGTGGTTCGACAGGAGCCACAGGCTGCTCGGGTCGTGTGAGCGACCCCACCCGAGGGTATGGATCGGGACGCTGCGTGGAGAGGGGGCGAGAGTCAGGACCGTGAGAGCGAGAGAGAGAAAGAGAGAAGGAGGGAGAGAAAGGGGGCGACGCACTTTGCGGCCTCGCACCGAGCCATGACGAGGTCCATCTGCTGCTTCTGCGCGCCGTCGCGCCCGTCGTTGAGGAGAACCATGCCCGTCAGGGCCGACTTGACCTTGCGCTGGAGGACAATGTCGAGCGCGAGGTTGCACGCCGTGACGACGTTGACGCGCTCCTCCTGGTGCTCGAGCATGCTCGTGAGGCCCTCGGGCGCGCACCCGAGCTCGCGCACGACCTGGTCGAGGCGCGCGCGGCCGTCGAGCTTGCCGACGGCGACGAACGGCGTCTTGCGCAGCGAGGCCCGTGCGCCCTCGCCCGACGAGTACGTGACGATGCTGAGGCGGGTGCGGGGCCCGACGTGCGCGACGACGAACTCGAGCGCGTTCTTGAGGATGTCGAGCTTGAGCGTGCCGGTGCCGGGAGGAGGGATCGACAGGATGAGCATGAGGTCGAGGGGCGTGAACGACCTCGGCGAGTCGAGCGACGAGACGGCGCCGGCGTAGGCGCCTCGCTGCTGCTGCTGCTGCTGCTGGACCGACGACGAAGAGCCGTAGGGCGACGTGTTGGCGTCGCCGTACCCGGGCGCGCTCAGCTCGGCGAAGCGGCCGAACTCGTCCATGGCGCCCTCGTCCTCCTCGAGGATGACCGATGCCGACGGCCCGACGCTCGTCGTCGTCGTGCGCGAGTAGCCCGAGAACGTCGTGAGGTTGCTCTGATCGGAGCTCGAGATGTCGCTCAGGACGTCCTTGCGGTCGCGCAGCTGGTGGTGCATCGACGCCGACGCGGGCGTCTCGGGGAACGCGGCCGACGACGGCGGCGACATGGCGCGGCGGTTCTGCGCGACGAGGTGCTCGATCTGACCACGCCACACCTCGAGGCTCGTGCGCTCCTTGAAGAGCATGACGAACTCGGCGAGCGCGTCGTCGTTCATGATGATCGTGAGCGACAGGTCGTCGCCGCCTCGCGACGTGTCGGCGACCGAGCGGATGTGCCGCACGTAGACGCGGCCCTTGAGGCGCAGCTTGTCGCCGCCGCCGTCGCCGCCGCTGCTTGTCGACGTCGGCGAGATGGCCTTGCTCGCCGCTCGTCGCCGATCGTCCGTGACGCACAGGATCGCCTCGTCGAACAGGTACACGGTGAACTCGCGCGTCGCCGTGTCCTTGCGGACGTGGATCGTGTCGTACAGCTTGAGCTGCCCGAACTCCTCGGGCGAGTGGCCCTTCCAGTCGGCCATGCGCGTCTGGAGGTCCTGGACGACGGGCGCGAACGAGGACGACGCGACGCCAGTCGCGCCGTAGGCGTACGCCGAGTAGACGGATGACGTCGGGGAGCGGTCGCCGGAGCGCAAGGAGGAGGACGAGGGCGCTCGACCGGAAACAGGGAGGGGTGCGGGCGGCGGCGCTCGAGTCGGCGGCGACGAGTCGGGTGCCGACGACGATACGGCGGCGGCGAACAGGTTGGCGAACTGGGCAGGTGGCGCGTAGCGCGACGGCATCATGACGCTGACCATGCACGTCAGGTGCTGCTTCTTGTCGCGCTCGTAGCTGCGCTCGACCGACGGGTGCTCGGCGCGCACCGTCACGACGGGCTTGACGAGCTCGGCGACGCCGTCAAAGCTGCTGCTCGTCCCGGTGCGCGAGCCGCCCGAGACGGTACTCCCGCCGCCGGCCCACGTCTCGCCGCTCCCTCGCCGCCCGGCCGTCAACGTGCTGCCCGTGCCGCCCGTGCTCGTGCTCGCGCGCAGGCCGGCTGGCGGGCTCGAGTAGCCGAGCGGGGCCTGGTACAGCTCGTCGTCCTGTGCGACGTCGCGTACGGGCGGGCGCTGGTCGAGGTGAGTGCCGCGACTGGACGAGCGCATCTTGAACGATGGCGCCGGCTCGGTCGCCGAGGGCAACCCGCTCAACTTGGCGAACTCTGCGGGAGCGTGTGCGTCAGATCATGGCGTAGAGTGAGGAGAGAGGGAGAAGGTGGGCGCACTGTTGGTCTTGCTCGGCCCGTCGCCGCCGTCGCCAACCTTCATGTCGCGCCTGCACACGCCGCACAGGCCGAGGCTGCCCGCCGTCTTGCTCTTGGCGCGCTGCACATCGCCGTACACGGCCTCGAAGCACGAGTGATCTGCAAAAGATAGCGCGAGATCAGTGCGCCGTCCGCCAATTGTGCGAGAACTGGAGGAGGGAGAGTGGGACGCACGAAGGCGGTGGCCGCAGACGGGGACGACGTGCGGCTTCTCGCCAGCTAGTCGCAGCGAGAGGAGCTCGAGGCAGATTGGGCACGAGTCCTCGTCCTGGCGGTCGTCGAGGACGGACGACGACATGAATGGCGCGGCGTGCGGTGCTCGTGCGGCGGCAGCGGCGGTGATGCGGGTGGCTGGTGGCGAGGGAGGGGGCGTCGCTAGCAGCGGTGCAGGGTGGCGGCTGGTCGAGGCGGACGAGGACGACGTGGTGCTGATTGAGAGGGAGCGAGTCGCCGAGGCGGACGGCGACGAGGTGGAGAAGGACACGGGGGTGCGTGCCGCGGTGAAGGCCGGAGGTGGAGGCCCGCACCGCTCTAGCGCCGGCTCTGCTGCGCCGGACGAGCTGGCGCGCGGCTTGAACGGCGACGAGGACGAGCCGGCGAGAGGCGGCGACAGCTGCGAGTCGCTCGACGACGACGGCGTCATGGGCCAGCTCGCGAGCGTGGTCGAGTTGCGGCGGCGGTGCGAGAAGAGGCCCATCGTCGCGCGGTCGCGGGGCGCGAGCGGAATGAAGGCGAGGCGCGGGCGGGATGAGGGAGCGAGAGAAGGAGGGTGGGGCGAGTTGGACGACGAGGTGCACTCTCGAGGCGGGCTCGGGCGAGGCTGTGGCCGAGTGAGCGGGTGCTGTGTCAGTCCTGCGCCGGAATGAGAGGGCGCTCGAGGCAGCAGACGCACCTGGGCCGGCGCGAGAGGCTGCGGGGAAGCGGGCGAGGAGCGTTCGAGGGAGAGATGCGCGTGCGCGGTCGCGTCTCGCTCGTGCGTCTACCGCGGCGTGGTGCAGCTATGTGGGCTCGTGTTGGAGCAGGCAGCGCGGCCCTGTGCAGCCTCGTACGACGCCGCCCCGCCGAGCGTTGCCAGCTCCTCCTCGGACAAAGGGACGACCGCGTCGCTCGCGCTCGCCGGCAGCCCCGGACAGCCGGCTCTGCCTTTGTCCCCAGCTTGCGAGCTTCTTGCCACGCGAGCGTGCTGACCAGCGGTTGCCCTCGGTCGCACGGCTCGACGAGGGAGAGGACGACCTCGAGTTCTCCGACACCGCTCAGGCTCGCTCTCTCGCTCGCGACGACGGGAATGAGAGATGAGATAGCACTAGCAGACGTTGAGAGAATGCAAAGGACACGTATGCTACCTCGTCGAGTCGAGTCGCCCCCCCCTCTCCTGCCGCTCCGCTCCTCCTCCCCCACCACTCTCTCACTCGCTCGCTCGCGCCGCGCCCGCTCACGCCGGCACGAACGCCTCGGCCGGGATGCTGCCCTGCGCGTGGAGCGCCTGGAACTGGGCGAGCGCCTGGTGCGGGTCCCACCCGTTCTGCGCGAGGCACATGTGCGCGAACGTGTACGTGAGGCGTGTCACGGCCTGGAGCTGGAGCACGAGCGACTGTTGTTCGTCCGTCTGCGGGCGAACAGGATGGCCATGGTCAGTGGGGGCGACGAGAGGGACGAGGAGAGCAAGAGAGAGGGAGAGGCGGGACGCACGATGCCCTCGGCCCGCTCCTGCCCGACGACCGGCACCGCTCCTCCTGCCGCACCGGGCACCGCTCCACCGCCCGCCGCGACCGCCGGATCGACGCCGACGCCCGTCGCCGCCGGTGCGCTCGGCTGCTTGGGCGGGCGCGGGACGCGCGGCTTCGAGAAGGCGAGGTCCGAGTAGCCGCGCAGCGTGAGGACGTCCGACACGATGATGCACGACCAACCGGCGGCGGCGGCGCTGCAAGCGAACAAGGAATGTCGTCAGTGTCGTGGGGAAGGAGAGGAAGGACGCGAGAGGACGAGGCGGGACGCACGGAGAGCCGGCCGGTGTCGGCGCGAGGATGAAGTTGCGGTCGAACGAGCGCACGCCCTTGCTCGGGACTGCGAATGCGGCACTCGAGTCAGACGACCTTCACAAGACGAGTAGCACGAAGAGAGAGAGGGAGAGAGGGACGCACACTCGGTAAACTCGCCGTGCACGCTCGCAAAGATGACGACCTCGCCCGGCGCGCCCGGCTGCGTCGGCGCGAGCAGGCCGGGCATCGTCCACGAGTCCCACACGAACTTGTCGCCCTTCTCGAGCGGGTGCTGCGTCTTGGGGAGCGTGACGATGCTCGTGATGACGGCCGACGGCGTCGTCTTGAGGGTCGCGACGAGCTTCTCTGCGAGGGCGAGGAGGACGATGGGGTCAGTGCGCCGGCTCAGGGACGCCGACGACGCAGAGAGAGAGAGAGATTGTGGACGCACCGGGGCTGCGCACACGAGCGAGGTTCCTGCTGCCCTCAGGCGTGAGGTACGTGCTCCAGTCGAGCTTGTGCTGGCTCGGGAAGCGCCTGTCGCCCTTGGCGCCGACCTTCTTGGCGCGAGCCCGGACCGGGTTGGCCGTGTCGGCGTAGAACGAGAAGGTGCACAGGGGCGCATAGGCCGACAGGAGCGAGGGGCGGTCGTCGTCGAACGCCTTGAAGAACCTGCGGGGGCGAGTCGAGGCGTGAGCGGGCGGTCGGCGGCGACGACGGCGCTCGACAAGAGGGAGGAACACAGACGCACTTGGCCAGGAACTCGCCGACGAACCCTCGTGCGCCGTCCGGGTCGCAGAACCCGCCGGCGGTGCTGTCGACCGGGAACACGACCGGCTCGCGCTTGGTCGCCTTGGCCTTCTCGCTCTTGACCTTGGACGACAGGCCGGGTCCTTCTGCGCCGAACGTAGGTCGCTCCTGGTTGACCGCGAAGGCTATGGACGGGTCGATCGGCTGCTGGTCGAGGGTGCGGAGGGTGGCGAAGCGGCGAGCCATCTCTCTGCGCGCGTACGGAGAAAGGCGAGGTCAGTGCTCGTCCCTGAAGAGTCGCAGGAAGGGCAGGAGGAGCTTCGACGTACTTGGCGTAGGTGTCTGGCTGACCGCCCGAGGCGACGACCGGGTTGCCCGTGAGGACGAGCTCCTTGAGGTTGCGCCAGCCCTTGGGCTGCTTGTCCTTGCGCTCCTTGCCGACGAGCGGGCTGAACGGGTCCATGTCGCGGAACGCCTTGATGCCGTTGCCGGCGAACGACACGTTCTCGATGTTGGGCAGGTTCGAGGTGAGGAGCCAGGGCGAGAGAGGGAGGAGCGAGGTGAGGTCGTTGTTGGCGAGCGAGAGGGACACGATCTGCCGGGGGCGAGAAGAGTCAATAATCCGGTCTCAAGACAGGGAGAGAAGCGACAGAACGAGAGGAGGCGCGACTCACGTTCGGGAAGAGCTCCTTCGAGAGCTTCCACATGGCCGGCGCCATGTTGGTCGGTGCGCCGGGTTGGCCGGGCGCGAGCAGCTTGTGCTGCTTGAGGATCGGGTCGGCCGCCATGTTCTCGAGGTTGAGGAGCTGGGCCTCGTTCGAGTAGCGCGACAGGAGGAAGAGGCGGAGCGTGTCGATGGTTGACTGGGTCGGTGCGTCGGGGCCCTTGCCGCTCTTGCTCGAGGTCGGGGCCGAAGACGCTCGTCCCGGCTTGTCGGAGAGGAGGCCAGGCGCGTTGCGGCCGTTGCGGTTGGGCTGTTGCGGTGCGGCAGGAGAGGACCAAGTCAGCACCGCCTCCTTCTGCAGGCGCACACACGGCTAGTGACCGCGCTCGCCGACCACCGCTCAAGCGACGTCGGTCGGTAACAGCGAACGCTCCCTGGCCGCCTCGACAATCTCGACCCTCGCCGCGTAAAGAGGAGAGAGGTGCTCACGCGCTCGCCCATGGGACCGCTCCTGCCCTGCCGGCCCCTCCTGCGCGCCGCCGCAGCGTCGCTGCTGTCCGACATGCCGACGTCCTCGTCCATGTGGGCCGCGCCGGCGCCCCTAACGCCCTTGCCGCGCGCGGCCGAGCGCGGCGAGCGTCCCGCAGGACCGCCGCCGCCGCCGTTCGAGGAGCCGCTGCCGGACGCCTTGGGCAGGGCCTTTGCGAGGAGGGCGGCTGCTGCGCCCGAGGGCATGGTGTGTCTGGCGGACGGGTGCAGGTGGGTGTGGGTGCGAGTGAGGCGGTGCGGCTGAGGGGACGGGGGAGGAGGCGAGGAGGGTTGCGAGCGCGAGGGGAGGGTCGGCGGGTGGGGTGTGCTCGGTGCTGTAGGCTGTTGGAGGCCTGTCGCAAGCACTCGAGCTGGTGGGACAGCTGGCGGCGAGCAGTGAGTCGGAGTGCGAAAGGCAGGCGGTCGACGGCTCCGCGCCGCTCGTCTGCTCTCTTTGTGCAGAGCGGCTCCTTCTAGCATGCGTACAGAGTACTCACACGATTTATCCAACTTCGCACGAGGAGCGGCAGAGGGTAGCTGTCGAGTCGGCGCGGCGTCGACCTCAGCTCGACTCGAGACGGCCTTGCTCGTGCGCAGCAGCCTTAGCACAGCTGTATAAAAGCTCTCAGTACAGTGCACACCTTCGTACGAGCCGTGTCGAGCGAGAGGCTCGGTGGTGTCGCGCTCGCTCTGTTCGGCCGCGCCTCTCGTCCTTGAACCTCGTCGGCTCGCTCCACCAGCTCGCGCCCTGAGCAGGCCTGCATCCCCTACACGCCCTCAGCAGAGCCCTGCACCGCCAAGAGTGCACCCCTACCCGCTCCCCATCCCCCCCCCTCACCCTCTTCGCCTCGTCGCTCAACAACCACCGGCCGCCGTCCGTCGACGCGATGTCGAGCTCGATCTCGGTCGCCGGTGCGTCCACTCCTGTCCACCTTGTACCTGTCACTCGCAGCTCACCGTGCCCGCACACGCACCACACAGTCCGCGTGCGGCCCTTCTCGGACAAGGAGCGGCTCCTCGTCAACTCGCAGTACGACGTCGGCCCCGCCCTGTTCACCGCCGATGGTACCGCCTCGACCTCGACCGCACCGACTTACACGACGCCGCAACCCTCCCGAGGCGGCGCCGGCAACCTGCGCAAGGTCCTCAAGGTCCTCGACGACCGCATCCTCGTCTTCGACCCGCCCGAGACCAACGCCGTCGCCTCGTTCCAGCGCCAGATCCTCCCGATGCAGGGCAAGAAGACCAAGGACATCCGGTTCTGCTTCGACCGCGTGTTTGACGAGGACTGTGGCCAGGAGGAGGTCTACGACGGCAGCGCCAAAGCGCTCGTCTCGCACGTCATGGACGGCTTCCACTCGACCGTGTTCGCGTACGGCGTGCGTCCCCCTCTCTCCCTCGACCTCTCCTGTCCACACCGACGGCGAGAACACGGGCACTGACTCGCCCTTTCGTCCCCCTCACAGGCCACCGGCTGCGGCAAGACGCACACCATCTCGGGCTCGCCGACCCAGCCCGGCATCGTCTTCCTCATCATGAAGGACCTGTTTGCGCGCATCACGGCCAAGTCGGACGAGGTCGACTTCTCGCTCACCGTGTCGTACCTCGAGGTGTACAACGAGACGATCCGGGACCTGCTCGCGCCCGAGACCGGCGTCCTCCAGCTGCGCGACAGCCAGGACGGCATGGCGACGCCGGCAAACCTGAGCACCAAGGAGCCGACGTGCGCCCACGACGTCGTCGAGTGGATCACGCTCGGCAACACGAACCGCACCGTCAACTTTACCGAGGCCAACGCGACCTCGTCCCGGTCGCACGCCGTCCTGCGCGTCACGGTGACGCAGAAGCCCAAGGCGGGCGGCCTCACCGACACGTCGACGTCGGCGTGCCTGTCGGTCATCGACCTCGCCGGCTCGGAGCGCGCGAGCGTCACCAAGAACCGCGGCGAGCGCCTCAACGAGGGCGCCAACATCAACCGGTCGCTCCTCGCACTCGGCAACTGCATCAACGCCCTGTGCGACCCGCGCAAGCGCGGCCACGTCCCTTACCGCGACTCGAAGCTCACGCGCCTCCTCAAGCAGTCGCTCGGCGGCAACTGCAAGACGGTCATGATCGTGTGCGTCAGCCCGTCGAGCTCCCACTACGACGAGACGCACAACACGCTCCAGTACGCCAACCGCGCCAAGGAGATCAAGACCAAGGCGATCCGCAACGTCATCTCGGTCGACCGCCACGTCGCCCAGTACTGCCAGCAGATCATGGAGCAGGCCCAGGTCATCGAGCGCCTGCGCCGCGAGCTCGGCGACACGTCGACCGCGTCGTCGAGCGCAGACGTCGCCGCCGACGAGCGCGCGGTCCAGGGCGCGCTGCGGCAGGTCCAGGCGGCGTGGGACGCCGGGCGGACCAAGCGCGCCGCCGCCGCTCGCGCCGACGCCGAGAAGGACGTCGTCGACGGCGTCGTGCGCTCGCTCCAGCAGTGGCAGCTCGCGGCGCTCGCAGGCGTCGACGCGAGCGCCAGCAGCGGCGCGGCGTCGGCGGCGAGCATGATCAAGCAGGACTGCCAGGGCCTCGTCGCCGACCTCCTCGCGCGCACCTCGGCCCTCCGCACCGACGCCCTCGGCGCCGACTCGGCCATGGACGGCTTTGCGCGCGCCGTCCTCGCCGCCAGGTCGTCCCTCGCCCACGACCGGCCCTCGGCCGTCCCCCTCCTGTCCGCCGAGCTGCGTGCGCTCGACGCTCGTGCCGAGTCGGCCGCCGCCGAAGCTCGCGCACACGGCGTCCGCTCGGGCTTCGCGACGCAGGCGCAGGCGGCCAAGCGCATGCTCGACGCGCGCTCGAGGGTGAGCGCGGCGCTCGACATGGCCGGCGACGAGGCGGCGGCGGGCGCGCTCGCACGGCTTGCGCAGAGCGTCGACAAGGCGAGCGTCGAGGCGCTCGCGAGCTTTGCGGGCGAGACGTCGTCGCCGTCGCAGGCGAGCGGCGCGTGGGCCGGAGCGGCGGGAGGAGGAGGCGTCAAGCGGGACCAGGGCGCGCGCTCGCCGTTCACGAGCTCGGGAGCGGGGCTCGAGGCCCCCTCTCAGCTCGGCAAGGTCCCTCGTTCGGCGCTGTCGGGCGTCGGGTCGGCGCCGACGGGTCTGTACGCGCCGTACCAGCCGTCGCCGATGCGGGCGAGGAGGAGCCCGGGCGTCGTCGGCAAGGCGCTGCCGAGCCCGGTCAGCAGTGCGGCGGCGAGGAAGGGCAAGGGCGTGCAGTGGGCGGACGACGTCGGCGAGGAGCTCGAGGCCGTCAAGTTCAACTCGCCGGCACCGTCCTCGGCCTCGTCGGCGTCGACGCCGTCGAGCGGGCTCGACTCGTTCCCCGCCATCGCCGTCACGAGCCCGAGGACGCTCTCGTCGCAGTCGTGGACGGTCCCGTCGACGTTCTCGTCGACGAGTGACGCATCGACCGCGGCCGACATCATGGCGTCCAGGGCCCGTGCGCAGCGCCCTGTCGCTCAGCGCCTGCCCCTCCTGCCTTCCGTCTCCGAGTCGCCCGCACCTTTCTCCTTCCTCTCCGACAGCGGCGGCGACACGTCGATGGCGCCACCGTCGCCCTACACCTCCCGCTCGCCGTTCCACGACCTCGGCAACACCTCGAGCGCCGGCCACGGCGAGGCGTCCTTCTCGATGGCGCCCGGCTCGTCGGGTCTCGCCGCACCTATCGTCGCGGCCAAGCCGCTCGCCGCCTCGGCCTCGTCGTCTACCGCGGCTGCAGGAGGACCGCCGCCGACGCCGACTTTCCGCGCTCGTCGCGCCTCGCACATCGGGCCTCTGCGCTCCGACAAGGCGATCCGCCGAGCATCGCTCAGCCGAGGTCGTCCGTCGCTCTCGATGTCGGCGCCGTCGGCCGTCGCTCCCGCCGCAGGCGACACGTCGCTCCCGTCGGCGGCGCCACCTCGTCGACCCGTCCGCATCCCTGGCACCGGCGGCAGCCTCACCGTGCCCGGCGCTGCATCTCTCCACCCACCGCCGTCGGTGCGCAAGTCGCCCCGCAAGCTGTCGCGCCCGTCCCTCGCGCCGTCGACTCGCCGCCTCTCGACGCTGTCCTCGGCTCCAGGCGCAGCGGCCGCCCTCGCCGGCATGCAGCCGACGGCGCCCGCACCTTTCGCGTTCGGGCAGAAGAGCGCGGCACGTCTCGCGGCGAGGAAGGAGGCGAGGCTGAGCGGCGGGAGCGCCAACAACAGCGGCAGCGGGTCGAGCCTGCTCAACGGCGGGCTCGCGGCCGTCAAGAAGGAGACGGCGCCCGCCGCGACGAACCCGTGGCGCTGAGTGCGCACGCTCTCTCCGATCGGAGCGCTCTCCTCCCCTTTCCACCTCTCGTGCCCTCCCCATCCACCCACACTCGCTCTCTTTCGCCTTTCTACATCCGTGCCCTCCTTTCTCCCACCCCTGCAACCACCTTTGGCTCTGCCGTAGCTCTCATTCTCGTCGCAACGAACTGTCTCTCGCTCTCAATCATGCCTCTCGCTCTCGAGAGAAGGAGAGAAAGCGACTTGAGAAGGTTGAGGAAAGCCTCGAGGTTGCAAAATGCACGACGGGAGCGGGCTGTTCGGCTTTTGGGTGTCTAGGGGTGCCACGTAACAAAGAGAGAAAGGTGCACTGAGGTGAATGAGGGGAGGCACGACGAGGAAAGGGAAAGAAAGATGGGTATGTGCGCGCGCCGGCGCCTAGGCCATCTACTTGGTGTCGAGCTGGGCCATCTTGCCGTCCTCGGCCTTCTCGACCTGCTCGAGCGACTGCTCGTCGGTGAGGCGGACGTTCTGGAGGAAGCACGCGAGGACGAGGCCGACGGCGGCGAGGCACGTGCCCGTGATGGACAGGATGCGCTGCGCGTCGCCCTGCGCCGTCGCCATGGCCTGGCGGATCTCGGTGCCGGGAGGGTACTTGGCGATGAGCCCGATCGGGTTGGTGTAGGCCTGCTTGGCGATCGTCGAGTTGCTGATGAGCTCGTTGAGGCGGTTCGGGACCGTGTTGGTCCAGATGCCGCCGCCGATGGCGGAACCGACGCCTTGCGACAGGTAGAAGACGGTGAGGTATCCCGCAGTGATGGCGGCGAGGTGCTCGTGCTTCGAGACGACCTGGATCGCGGCCTGGACCGGGAACGAGATGCAGCCGCCGCCGAGGCCGCGAACGATCTGTACGGCGATGAGGTCGCCGCGGGTTGCGCCGGCGCCGCGGTACCGGATCATGAGGCCAAAGGCGAGGCTAGGAGGAAGAGAGAGAGCGAGAGAGCGTCAGTCAGGTCGAGGAAGAGCGCGCTGGGACGAGGGAGGAGGCGAGACTCACACGTCGATGCAGAAGCCGGCGATGATGATGGGCTTCAGGTAGCGCATGTAGCGGACGACGATGCCCATGGCGGCGGCCGTCAAGGTCGAGGTGAACGACGCGATCGAGCCGATGCGGGTCGCCGACAAGGTCGACTGCTCGCCGGCGACGAGGAGGTAGGTGTAGCTGCGACGTGCTCGAGTGAGTCGGTGTTCGTCTCGAGAGAGCGCGTCTCGAGAGAGCGAGAAAGAGACTTGACGCACAAGTAAGAGCCGATGACGCCGCCGGCGGCCGGGTACAGGACGGCGATGAGGGCGCAGATGATGACGGTGCGGTTGGTGAGGAGGCGGAAGGGAATGAGGGGGTGACGGGCGCCGAACCGCTCCCAAAGGGCGAAGGCGACGATGCAGATGCCGCCGACGGTGAGAAGGGCGATACAGTGCGCTGTAAAGTGGGCGAGATCGAGGTCAGGAAGAGGCCAAACGCGACCTTCTCAAACGGCGAGAGGAAGGGGAAAAGGGGCGTACCGTCACTCCAGTGCGAGCCCTTGCCGTTGGCGATCGTGACCGTGACGAGGACCATGCCGAACCCGGCGACGAGGAGGAGGAGGCCGATGGCGTCGAGCTGCCAGAAGACCGAGAGCGCCTTCTGGGCGAACGTGCGCTGAGGACCGACGTGAGCGGGTGCCGCACGGGCCGCAGCTTGGTCGGCCTTCTGCTCCTTGGTCTGACGCATGGTGTAGCCGAGGATGAACATAATCGGGAGGGCGAGGACGGGCGTCAAGATGGCGAACATGCCTGAGAGGCGACCATCGACCGGGTGTTCCAGGGAGGGCGGACGACAAGAAGGCGACGCGGCGAGGTTGAAGGAGGAGCGACCGGAACGACGATGGCGGCGAGGGAGGAGAGGTGGACGAGGAGGGAAGGGAAAAGGAAGACTCAGGGTCGGTCGCTGTGAGGCTCGAGAGGTTCGAGGACGACGCACCGATGCCCCAGCGCCACATGTTGGCGTTCTCGTTCTTCGAGCCGAGCAGCGACTGCGTGATGTTGCCCGAGACCCAAACATTGATGACCTGCGAGGCGAGGAGCGAGGGAAAGGGAGGAAGGAGGGGAACGAGCGTGAGAAGGTTGTCGCGGCGAGGAGGTCGGGGCGCCACGGGGCGCTCTCACTCGCCGTGGAGACGTCGAGGAAGGACTCACACCGGGCACGGACGGCAGGATCGAGAAGAAGAGGCGGTTGCGCGTGCTCGAGATGTCCGAGATGATGATGTTCTGCAGCAGGAACAAACCGGTGATCCCGAGGATGTAGATCGAGTTGCCGACGGCGTAGGCGTAGACCGACTGGGCCGACGCGACGACGATGTAGCCGAGCGCGTACAGGAAGACGCAGAGCGAGTAGGCCTCGAGGCGACCGGCGCCGTCGGCAATCTTGGCGATGGGCGGCTGCGAGACGGCCTGCGGGTGGGTCTCAACGTCAGGGTCGCGTACGAGAGGACGACAGGCGAGAGAGGGCGCACCTGAAAGACCGACTTGATCGACGAGATGGTCGTCAAAGTCGAGTGCGCCGAGAAGGACACGCTCGTCGCGGCGGTCAGGTAGCTGCTCGACGTGTACTGGTCTGCGACGAGGGGAACATGCTCGAGGTCAGTGTCGATGCTGAGGACAAGAGTAGAAGGCCCGAGGCGACGTTCGCGAGCCAGGTCGGGACGCGCACAGAGGGAAAGGTCGCCTCACTGAGAGACATGACATAGGCGAGGAGCGTGAAGCCCGAGTAGAGCAGGATGCGCCACTTGGTCGACAGGCGCGAGTGCAACGCCTCCATCTGCTGCACACCGCGAGACTTGGCCGTGACGACGGCGCCATGTCCGACCTCGTACTCGGGAGCGGCCGTCGAGGAGGGCGACGTCGACGAGCTGTCGGCCTTCTCGTGGTCGACCTCGCTCGGTGACCGGCTCAAAGGTGGAGGAGCAGCTGCGGCAGACATGGCGACCGGGAGAGAGGGGCGGACGAGGACGAAGATGGGCGAGAGCGGTAGGGAGGAGGAGAAGGGAGGGCGAAAAGCGCGAGCGATGGGAAGCCCTTGTCAGATACCGCGGAGAGGTCTCGGAGCCCGCGCCATCAGAACTTTAGCGCGATCGCCGGCTCGGTGCCAAGGGTCCACTCCCCGACTCACCCCGCGGGCGCAACTCTTTCCGCTCCAGCTCGCCGCGCGCACCGACCGCGCTAGCTCGTCCACATGCAGCTCGGCCAAGGAGAGTGGCCGCACGCTCCACGAGCTTGCAGCAAGCGCGCATAGTCGTCCTCGTTCTCGCGCTCTCGTCCTCCTCCTCGTCGACGCCCGGACGGCCAGTCGGCCGACCTCGGTGCCCAGCGGTTCGGGTGCCACTTCGGGCAGCAGCTGTGCCGCGGCCGGGGGCCCGAGAGGCAAGTCGGCACGCGAGAACCGAGAGCAAGCAGCGAGCGCGACGGCGAGCCACGAGGAGAGGTGCGAGCTGCAGCGGGGTGGCCGGGCGGCGACTGGTTGCCTGTGCGCGAGCTGCAGCGACCGGTACAGTGCCCACCCGAAGCCGCCGCGAGCCACCCGATGCACCGAGACGGCGAGAGAGAGGGCAAGCCGGTGCTCGGCGAGGAGGAGGAGGAGGGGTGGACGACGGCAATGCGGCAGCGGTGCGCGCTGTGCCGGGCTCGAGAGCGGCTGCTGCGCTGCTCGAGTGCGAGCGCAGCCAAGCTGGTGGAGCGAGACGAGCGGTGTCGAGCCGCCCGTCGCGAGCAGCCGGCGACGAAGAGCAGCACCCGCCCGCGGCTGCCCACGAGCGCAGGCCTGTCCCGAGACGCTCTGCACCCACCTGCACGGCTACCACTACGCCCCAGCTCGCCCGGCCGCACCCGCCGACGCCCTGCGCCGCCGTCTACGTCGACACGTTCCCGCCCCACAGCCCGCCAGCCGCAGCTCGCGGTACCAGCTCAGTGAGCAGCTCAGCACGGCGTCATGAGCACTCAAGACTCGCCGACGCCCCCTCCACCGCCGCCGCGGCGCCGCGTTCCACCTCCCGCCTCTCCTCCTCCTCCCGCCTCCTCATCGCTCGCCGCCCCGTCCAGGCCCTCGCTCTGGGAGCGCGCGCGCTCGTCCACCGTCGGCGCCATCGACGCTGCAGCAAAAGGCGCCATCTTCACGGCCAAACCTGCTCAGGTGCGTCCAGCCTCTCGCTCCCTCCTCCGCCGCCCCACCACTGACCCCTCGCTCGCCTGCAGCACTCGGAACCCGAGACGGACGACAACCCGTTCGCCCCTGCATCCCTTCGTGTCGAGTGCTCCCGTGCGGCGCGCATCCTGCGCACGTTCACGCTCGACGCCGCCGACCTGCCCGCCGAGGTGTCGATTGCCGACCGCCGCAAGAGCCAGCTCGTCCTGTCGCGCATCCCGCAAGAGGCCCTCGCCGCTGCTCAAGGGCTCGTCATCCTCACCGTCGGCAAGAAGGGCGTCATCGGCGGCGGCTCGAGCGGGAGCGGCGTCGTCCTTGCGCGGCTCAAAGACGGCAGTGCGTCCTCGTCTCTCTCTCTCTCTCTCTCTCTCTCTCTCCCCATGCGTCCTCTCGCTGACTCACCTCTTCCCGCACAGCTTGGTCCTCGCCTAGCGGTATCCTCCTGCACACGGTCGCTGTTGACGACGAGCCGCCCGAGAAGGACGTGCGCCCTCGTCCCCTACCTCGAATCGCCTCGAGCCAAGGTCCTGACTCGCCCTTGCGCTACGCAGATCTACGACGCCGTCCTCGTCCTCCGCACCGACGTCAGTATCGCCGCGTTCTCGCGATCTCGGGTCGTCCTCGACGACAAGATGGCTTTGAGCGATGGTGAGCCCTCTCTCCCGTCTTCCCACTTCTCGGCCGACGACAGGACCGCCCTGACGGCGCACATCCTGCAGGACCTCTCGGCAACGGCATGATGTTGCAGGACGGCATGCAGGACGCTGCTGTCTGGTCGTACGTCAAGAGCAGGACGCTGCACGGCGGCGTCAGCCTCGAGGGGCGAGTCGTCCTCGAGCGCAACGAGGAGAACGAGTGCGTCCCCTCTCACTCGAGCTCTGGCCCTGTCACATCTCCTGACACTTCTTCGACGTGCGCAGGCGCAGCTATCGCGTCAAGGCGTCGGCGTCGCACATCCTTCGAGGCGACGTGGCCAAGCCCGACTGGGCCGATCCGCTCTACCAGACTGCTTTCGCTGCCGAGGGTGCGTCACCTCCTCTCCTTTCGATCCTCTCGACGATGCCTGACACCTCGTGCCGCAACAGGCCTCGACTTTGAGCCCTACTCGATCCCGCAAGGCCCGAGTCCAAGCGAGTGCAACTACGAGCCCCCTCGCTCGGGCGATGCTTCCCCCGCCGAGGCGTCCGCCGACGCCAACGCGCCGCTCCTTCCGCCACGCACCAACCTCAGCACGACGACGCCGTCCCCGACCCGCATCTCGCCCGCGCCGTCCTTCCTGTCGTACTTCTCCCGCTCGGCGTCGGCCGCCTCGTCGCACTCGTCGCAGTCGACCGCCACCTCGCCCGTCTCGCCCGGCCAGCAGCGCCGCCTCCCGAAGGAGGACCTCGACGACGACGACCTCGCCGCTCGCCGCGAGATGGAGGAGGCCATGCGCTCGTTCGGGATCGAGGACCCGGACGTCAACGCGCGCTCGCGCGCCGAGGACCCGCTCCTCATCGTCGAGGCGCGTCCTGCCGTCGACCAGGACGTCGGCGAGGGCGATCCCGAGGCGGCCGACGAGACGGCGACGACGGGCAGGACGGGCACGGCGACGCCGGACTTGTCGACGAGCCCGGGCAGCGGCCTCCTCAGCGACGAGGTCGAGCACCCGCCCGACTCGCCCGGCGCGCAGCGTCCTCGTACCGCCGGCGACGACGTCGAGCAGACGCCGACGGTCGCGCAGGGCGAGACGATGTCGCGCCAAGGGTCGAGGCGCAGCGTCGTCGGCGACAAGCCGCCCGTCCCGCCGCGCCGCACGCCGCGCATCGGCACGACGTCGGCCGCCACGAGCCCGGCCATAACGCAGGGCGAGGCGCTCGTCGAGGAGAAGAAGGGCGACGAGCAGGTCGTCGAGGGTCCGAGCGGGCACGAGACGGCGGCGCCTGTCGTCGAGGAGGAGCACGCGCAGGGTCGCGCCGAGGACGTCGATGCGGCCGCCTCGAGCGATGCAGCGATGAAGGAGCAGGACGAGGTCGAGGGGGCCGAGCAGGACACGGCGGTTACGGTCGAGGGCGACGACGCTTCCGTCGCCGCAGGGTCCAGCGCCGGCGCTCACGACGACGACGGAGCAGCGCAGCTGCACGACGAGGCGGCTGTCGAGGGTGAGCAGCAGGAGGGAGCGCAGGGCGAGGCCGGGCAGGAGGAGCAGGCCGAGGACGCCGGCAGCGCGCACGAGGAGAAGCGCGACGAGCAGGGCGACCACCATCACTAGACCTCTCTCGCGCTCTCTCTGTCTCTCCTGTGTAACTATGCAGTGCGTTGCTTAATCGAGGGCTTCGTTGCAAGAGAATGTCGCTCCCAAACGGACGAGCCCGACTCTGGCAGAGTTTGTCCGGCCTCGTCTTAGGAGAGCTTGTGCGTCTCCCGGCCTCGACGCGCCTCGCCGCGATGCACCCGAGGGCACTGTGCGAGCGAGGACAACCCACGCGCAGAGCGTGTGGGCGCGAGGAGAGCGGTGTCAAAACTTGAAGGAGAAGCAAGAGGCTCGCCCGCTCGCGCTGCGGGGTCGTCGCGTCCGAGTTGAGCTCGATCCCTCGTCCTCCTCTTTTTTACAGGCCAAGGCGACGAGCAAGCCCGAGCACTTTATGCTAGCCGGCCGGATTCTCGCTAAGCTTGACGAGAGAGAGCGAGGCAGCGACAAAGCTCGAGGTTGAGGAGACGAGACTCGGAATTGCACGCTCGAGCCTCCTCGAAGCTGGAACAGACGCGGGAGAAGGGGCTTTACTGTACGATGCTGGCGAGAGGAACGAGGGGAATGTGCATGCGCAGGGAAGGAGGAAACAGGGAGGGACCGCGAGAGGAAAAGGAAACGGCGACTGGAGGTGCAGGACGACGACGATGACGACGACGACGACAGTTGCAGTACTCGACCTTGCCGGCTCAGCGCTTCGAGTAACGACTCGTGAGGAAGCGTGCGCCGAAGATGGTGAGGAGGCAGTTGAACTGCAAGGGACGAGGGTGCAAGGGGTCAGTGCGCTGCTGCCGACGACGACGGCGCCGGTGGGAGAAGAGAGAGGAAGACGAGGACGCACGATCGAGTACATGAGGAAGTAGACGAGGTACAGGCCCCGGTCGCTGTACGTGATGTCGAGCCCGTCCGTGAGCTGGTCGCCGACCGAGTACTGGCAGTACTGGCACGCCGCCGAGTCCCCTGGGTTGCGCAGGTATCCTCCCGCCGCGCCGACGTACGCGCCCATCCACTGCTCGCACGACTGTCCGCCAGGAGGCTCGATCGTACGGAACTCGCCATCGAGGCAGGTGATCTCGAGGTCGTGGAGCTCGTTCGTGACGAGGCCGGCGATGAGCCAGGTTATCGGGTTGAGGTAGTACAACCAGGCGCGGAAGAAGCCCGGCATGTCGGGCTTGGGGATGGTGACGCTGTGGGGGAGCGGGTGGGTCAGTTCAGGGTCGCTGAGGCACCGCCAGGGTCGGGCGACGACGACCTCTTCATCGCCAAGGGGAGACGCAGACGCACCCGCAGAAGAGCGAGAAGATGACGAGAAGGAAGGGGTTGGTCATGGCGGCGGCGTAGATGGTCGGGGCGAGAGCAGCGACGGCTTGACCCCTGCGGCGAGGAGAAGATGCAACTTGAGAAGGTCAGTCGGCGCTCAGGAAAATGAGCTCTAGACGGGAGGTGACGCACATGGTGACGGCGAAGAGCTCGGTGAGGAGGGCCATGGCAAAGGCGTAGCCCGCACGAGTCGATTCCATGTTGAAGCCGGCCGGGTAGTCTGCAAAGGGGTCCGAGCGGGTGAGCGCTCGCTCATCGCCGCCCGACGCTCCTCGGCGCTCGTGTTGAGCACCGAGGACGTCGAGAAGAAGAAGACGGTCGTCGCCCAAGAGGGAGGAGGACGCACAGATGAGGAGGAAGAAGACGACCGAGCACAGGAGCGAGTACGGCATCTCGGCGGCGAGCTGGCTCAGGGCGAACACGACGGGGCTGTACATCTTGCTCGACGCCTCGCGGATGTACGTCATGCGCGACATGATGAACATGGGCTCGATCTGCGACATGACGACTGTACGCCGCGACGAGAGGGTCAGTTCTCGTCGTCGCGCAGACAGCGCCCGCCGTCGGCTCGAGGCGTGCGGCACGATGCCCACACATGCTCGAGCCGAGGAATGTCTCTCGCGCACGCGAATCGAGGCGAAAGGAGGCGACGCAGGGCGAGGGGAGGCGCGGGACGGGAGGGAGACGAGGGAAGGCTGGGGAGGAGGAGAAGAGGCGGGACTTGGACGCACTGGCAGGCACGACCGAGTAGAAGAAGATGACGAAGATACGGTATTGCAGCGCCGCCACCGAGTTCTTGAGGTTGAGGAACTGCGTGTACGGGCGGCGAGCTTGTCAGTTTCGCGGCGACGACGGGCGGGCATGCGGGAGGGACGACGCACAGTCAGGCCGACGACGAGCGCAATGGTGATATGATTTAGACAGCGAGTCCACCCGTAATCAGGGGAGCGCCAGAAAGCCATGAACGTGCGGCCCGAGACGATCTTGAGCTGAGTGAGGAACGGCGTCGAGTACTCGTTCTTGAGCGACGGGTCCGTGTCCTCGGGCATGGCGAGGCCCTCGGCCTTGAGCTCCTGGATGCGCTGCTTGATGACGGCGAACTCTTCCGACTCGTTCCACACGTCGGCCCAGTCCTTGTCGCCGACCTGCTTGCTCGAGCCGGCGCCGATGGCCTCGAGCATGTCTGCGGGGACAGTCAAGGGTCAGGACGAGAGTGATAAGGAGAAGGAAGAAGGAGAGAGGGCAAGAAGGAAGGAGGGCAAGAGGTGGGAAGGGAGGGCGAGAGAGGAGAGGGAAGTGAGGGAGGAGGAGGAGGAGGGGAGAGGACGAGAGAGGAGGACGCACACTCGGCCGGGTTCGCGTTCTCGGGGCAGTGCGCGCCGTGCTTGGCGAGGTAACTGCGAAGGACGTGCGAGTCCTTGCCGATCTCGCCCTGGTACACCGTGCGGCCTCCCGCCTTGAGAAGGAGGAGGCGGTCGAAGTTCTCGAACAGGATGGCGTTCGGCTGGTGGATCGTGCACAGGACTGGCAAGCCGGCAGCCGCCAACTTGCGCAGGAAGCGAACGATGTTGTAGGCCGACTGGCCGTCGAGGCCGGAGGTCGGCTCGTCGAGGAACAGGAGGAGCTGCGGCTTGGACGCGAGCTCGACGCCGATCGTGACGCGCTTGCGGCCCTCGACCGACAGGCCAAAGCCGGGGAAGCCAATCATGGCGTCGGCCATGTCCTCGAGCTCGAGGAGCTGGATGACCTCCTCGACGTAGGCGTCCTTCTCGGCCTTGGGGACGTGCGCCGGCTGGCGCAGGTAGGCCGAGTAGCGCAACGCCTCGCGGACCGTCGTCGTGTGCTCGTGGACGTCCTGCTGCTCGACGTAGGCCGTACCGCGCTGGAACTCGCGACCGGGAGGACGACCGGCAATGAGGCGGTCGCCGCCGATGACGCCGACCGTCTTGCGGTTGGCGAGGACGTCGAGGAGCGTCGTCTTGCCGGCACCGGACGAGCCCATGAGGGCGGTGAGCTCGCCGGGGCGGACGTAGCCGTGGACGTGGTCGAGGAGCTGACGGTGGCCGCCGGGAACGGGGACGGTGTAACTGCGAGACGAGGACCGAGCGCATCAGTACGAGAACGACGACACAGGGGACGGGCAGGAGATAGTCTAGGCGAGGGGACGATGAGGGGAAAGAGGGAGAGAGCGAGGGACGCACGTCAAGTCCTCCCAAGTGAACGACTTCTTGGTCTCGACCAGGCCAGACAGGTCCTGCTCCATCTCGCCCTTGCGGAACGCCTGCTTGTTCTTCTCGAGCGCCTCGTTGAGCGCCTTGCGCTCCTTGTTCTCCTTGGCAAAGACGTTAATGGCGGGTGCGCCGGCGCCATGGTCGAGCACCTCGGCGAGGAAGGCCTGGATGCACGAGAAGCCGAACCAGAAGACGATCGTGATGCCCCAGTTGCGCCACTGCTCGCTCACGTTGTAGTCGAAGGCGGCCGAGATGTAGGCGCGGCCGGGGACGATCGGGTTGCCCGCCGTGGCGCCGGCGAGCGTGCAGACCTGGTTGGCGCCGAGGGCGGTCGGGTACTGCGGCAGTGCGCCGCCGAGGCTGTTGGGCGTGATGTAGCTGCCCTCGCACAGGAGGTCGATGCGCTTGAACTGCAAGGGAGGGAGGCGCGGCAGTCAGTCTTTGCGACGCTGGTATTCTCGAAGACCCGGGCAATGGGAGGAGGACGCACCTCGTTCTCCATGGCGGCCGAGAAAGCAAAGTTGAGCGGGTTGACGTAGCTGAGCCAGAACAGCCAGCGCTGCTGGGCAAAGATCGGGATGAGGTAGCCCGAGTAGCTGCAGTTGGGAAGGTCGGCGAGGTCAATGACGGCGTCTCGTGGGAGAGGATGGCGGCTAGAGAATATGCGACGCACCAGATCATGATGGTGATGATGACCGACGCGAGGCGAGAGGCTTGGTCGTAGTTCTGGCACAAAGTTCCGAGGAGGCGGAAAAAGCCGGCGAGCGCGAAGTAGCCGCCGAGGACGATGACGTAGAACTGCGGGCAGGACAAGCTGTGTCAGTCCACGCTCTCGAGCTCGAGGCGAGAAGAGAGAGAGGCAACGAGAGGCAGAGGAGGGAGGAGAGATGGCGAGACGGCGGGACGCACCGAGAAGAAGGCTCCTGCAGTCCTGGCGAGGCCGCCCATGAAGTAGATGATGATCGAGAAGATGAGGATCTGGGCCATGTTGTTGGGGGCATCGGCGAGCGTCATGGCGATGGTCGTGGCGGCGGGCCGGTAGAAGGCGAACTGCTTGTGCCGGTGAGCGATGGCGCGGCCGAGCATCTGGGTCGGCAGCTCGTTGAAGGCCTGGAACCTGTAGCGACAACGACAGGGTCAGACCGTCGTAGGGCGAGAGGAGGAGAAAGGAGGGGACGCACGAGTTGAAGAGGAGGGCGATGAAGATGGCGCCGCCTCGGGTGAAAGCGCCGGCGGCCGTCTGCGGCATGTTGAGGTAGACGGCGCCCGAGATGATGGCGACGACGATCGAGGTGACCCACGAGACGACGAGGTCGACCTTGTCCTGTGCCTTGAGCTGGAACTGGCGGACGACGAGCGCTTGGACCTGCGCCGGGAACGACGCCGTGTACTTGCTCTTCTTGCTGACGCCGCGGCGCTTGTCGTTGGCGACGGCCTCGCGGAAGTCGTTGCGCGTCTTCTCGTCGGCGTTCGAGGCGGCCTGGAAGGCGTCGCGCTCGGCGATCATGCGGGCGTGGATCTCGGACTTCTTGAACGCCGCCTCGAGCGCCTCGGGCGTCGCCGGCACGTCGGCCTCGGTGCGGCCTGGAGCGAGCTTCCGCTCGTTCGGGTCGGTGCAGCCGGTGAGGTAGTCGGCCGAGGTCTGTCGAGGAAGGTCGGCGTAGCCGAGCGACATCTGCGAGGGGGGGCGCACGACGTCAGGTTCGCTCGCTCAGGGGCCACACGCCGAGAGGTTCGAGAAGAGGACGCACCATGTACTGCCTCGCCTCCTTGGCGGGGCCGAAGAAGACCTGGCGGCCCTCGTCGATGACGAGCACCTTGTCGAACTGCTCGTAGATGCCCTCGCCGGCCTGGTACAGCGAGACGAACGTCGCCATCTGGTGGACGTCGGTGAGGACGCGGAGCGCCTTGGCGTAGTCGAGCGCCGTCGAGGCGTCGAGACCGCGGGTCGAGTTGTCCCACGAGGCGACGCACGCCCGGGTCGCCATCATCTCGGCGATCGAGACACGCTTGCGCTCGCCGCCCGAGACGCCGCGCACGAACGCGTTGCCGACCTTGGTGTTGCGCGTGTGCGGGATGCCGAGCATGCGCAGGAAGAGCTCCATGACCTCCTCGTTGAACTGCTTCTTGGTCTTGCCCGGGAGGAGCTTGCCAGGAGTCTTGACGCGCAGGGCGAACAGGAGCGTCTGGGCGACGGTGAGCGTCGCCGCGTGGTCGTCGTCCTCCTGGTTGTAGACGACCTCGCCGCGGTAGCGCTTGGCCATCTCGTCGGCCGAGATGCCGCCGTACGACACGTCGCCGTTGACGGCCATGTAGCCGTGGCGCTGGTTGGCGATCGTCTTGAGGAACGTCGAGCAGCTGCAGAAGAGTGTGCACGAGGCGTGTCAGGGTCTGATTCTCTGCGAGAGAGGGAGAAAGACGAGGCTCGAGAGGTCGACGCACCCGGAGCCGGGACGACCGAGGACGAGGCACATCTCGCCGGGCTTGAGGCAGCCGTCGAACTCGTGCAGGAGGTTCTTGGGCTCGCCGGCGAACTTGCCGGTGAGCTTCATGTACTTGATGACGGGCCACAGGAGGGCCTCCTTGACGGCGTCCGGGAACGTGCGGATGAAGATCTGCGCGCGCAAGGTCGAGAGGAGGGCGCGCGTGCGGCGACACGGTGAGAGAGAAGATGAGGAGTCGTGGGACGGAAGGAGGCGGCAGGAAAGAGGGAGGGAAGGACACGAGGGAGATAAAGACGAGGTCAGCGCCGCACGAGACGGGGCAGGGCAGGGACGGGCGCGAGACGCACCTTCATGCCGCCGGCACCCTGCACGTTGTGCTTGGTCCACGAGACGCCGACGACCTTGCGCTTGAACCCAGCGGTGTCGTACTGGTCGGCCTCGCCGCGCAGGTACTCGAGGAGGTCAAAGTCCTCGCTCGTGTCCGAGCCCTCCTTCTCGCGGTCCTTGACGCCCGTCTGCGTGCGGTGCTGCGACGAGCGGCGCGACAGCTCGCGGCGGAGGTTCTGCAAGTTCGGCCAGGGAAACGATCAGCGACGGTCGCTCGAAGGGAAACGCGCCGGCGGCGTCCAGCTCGCCGTTCTCGCTCGACAGCTCGACTCGAGAGAGAGACGGGGCGCACCTGGAAATCTGCTTCAGCGTTCTTGACGTTGACGTGGCCCTCGTCGCGCGAGCTGGTGCCGGCGGCGAGCGTGTCGGTCGAGCCGCCGTCGTGCTGGATGCGGCCCTCCTCGACCTGCATCATGTCGTGCTGAGGAACGACGCCGGTTGCACCGACTGCGCCGACAGGTACGGCTTGCATCTCGGGCGTGCTCTTTGCTGAAGGTGGCGAGGTGGGAGAGCGAGGGCGATAAAAGCGAGGCGAGGTGGAGGTGCGGCGCACAAGGCGGGCGACGCGCGGCTCGGCGACGCGCGGTAGTGGTAGTCTCGAGTGAACTGGTGAAGGTCGACAGGCGAGACCGGCGCTCGCGAAGGTCGCGCAAAGGGGTCGACTGGACGGTGGCGAGAAGAGTCGACTCCGAAGCTCGAGTCGAGCGACTCACGGACGGCGCGATGAGCTGAGCGCGCTCGAGCCGAGCCAAAGGGCCGAAGGGCACGCGGGTGCGGACGAATCGACTCGTCCCCGCGCGCCGGCGAGCACACGGATCGGTCGGGCCGGCGATCACTTTCCCACTTGCGCTTCTTCTCGGCGGCCAGCTGGCAGCTTGCAGCGCTTCCGCGACACTCGCGACGTGGTACGGTGAGCCACAGCTCTCCCTGCAGCTCTCTGTGTTCGAGCCTCGCGCTGTGTGGCCGTCCCGCGTCGCGCAGAAGAGACAGAGCGCTGGACGGCGACGAGAGGTCAAAGCGCGAGCCGAAGTCCGAGACGGAAGCCCCGCTTCCGTTGGATGCTTGCGCCGGAACCTGCGCAAGCCGCTCGGACAGCGCAACGGAGCTGTTGCGGCCCTTTGCAAGTCGAATTGCGAGCGAGGGTCGGACGAGCATGCGAATCGCCTCAGCGACCCTGCGAGACGGCTGGCTAGCCCGCCGAGGCGGCGATGCTGACAAGCCAGACCGCTTCGGACACGGCTCGCTCCTTTACGCCCTTCCAACGAGGGGGACGGCAGTCTCACGCGCGGCGAGGAGGACACGCAACTTGAGAAGGTCCCGCAGGCCGGGTGCTGTCTGCCACGTGCAGAGCATCGCTGCACTCGAACGTCGTCGCTCAGACGCCGTTCACCCCCGTTCGATCAGTCCCGGCCGGTCGCGGGCGGGGGCGTCGCGGGAGAGCGGCTTTCGTATGTCGGAAGCTCCGCGGTGTGCGGTCGAGCCTGGACGGTCGCCGGTCCGCCCGCTTTCTTCTTCTGTCTCGCTCATGGCCGTCACACGGTCCGTTCGCCGTCTGTCATCACGCTCGTCTTTTGACGACGTTCGCCTCGGGGGTCTCGAAGCGGGATCGAGCTTTCTTTCGTCTCTTCCCGCCCGCGCCCGCAGAGCTTTGCTTGCTCTCTCGCTCACGTCGACGCACTTGCGAGCGAGGTATCGAGGTCATGTCGGTGCGCCTCCTTCGCCTGTCCTGTCGAGAACGGCCAGTCCGCGACGCTCAGACCCTCTCCGTCTTTCCGCCCCTGCACTCAGCATCCACAGCCGCTGCACCTCAACACGGCCGGCCCTATCTCGGAACTCATCGCACAGGTGCGTCCAGCCACCTTCCGGCCGATACGAAGCGGTACTTGTCGGAGAAGAGGCGGTCGCACTTGCTGACCTCGCCTTCTTCCCCTCGCCGTCGCCCGCCTGCAGCACGGCATCGCTTGGCCGGCCAGGGCACCGTCGTACGAATCGCTCATCGTGCAGCTCACCCGAATCTCGAACGCCGTGTCGCCCGCCGGCGAGTGGGCGTCAGGCATCGAAACCGGCTTCTCGGAGGACGACTGCGCTCGACGGTCGGCGAACCAGCGCAAGGTGCTCTCGCAGGTCCTGACAGCTCTCGAGTGCGGCGTGCGAGACTGGGCGGAGAGGGCGCAGCAGCCGTTCCCCGCCAACAGGCTCGTGCGTCGCCTTCTCTCGAGGTCCGAGCGAGCGAGCGAGCGCGACGACGACGCTCACGACCCTCGTCTCCCGCAGCCGCAGACGGCGACCGTCCTCCTCGACATCGTCGAAATGCTCGTGCTGCGCCAACGCGGCGCTCAAGGTCTCGCCGACAGCGTCCTGGTCCGCAAACCTCTCGCACTCTCTCTTTCCGCGCGCCGCTAACTCTCTCTCGAAATGCGCAGTTCCACCTCGGCGGCCCAGACATCTCGGAGCGGACGGCACGCCGGTACGGGACGACGAGACGGGCGTGGCTCGCGAGGCAGGAGGGTCTGGTGTAGCGCAATGCAGTGCAGAGAGGAGTTCTAGATGCGCTCTACGACGGCCCCCTCTTCTAGCCGCAGAACCCGGTTGACGCTCCTCGGCACCTCCTCCTCGAAGTGAGTGATCAGGATGACGGCCTGCGTCTGGTCGAGCTTGTCGTCAAGGAAGCGCGTCGCCTTGTCGACCGTGAGCTTGTCCATGCCCGAGAACGGCTCGTCGAGGACGAGGAGCGGCGGACGCTTGACGAGGGCGCGCAGGAGGAGGATGAGCGACTGCTCGCCGGCGGTCAGGGCGGCGAAAGGCTGAGAGAGGAAGTCGGGCGTGAGGAGAGGGTGGTCGAGGTCGGCGAGGACGGCGTCGATGGCGGCGGCTTGCTCGGGCGTTGCTCGGCGGTACGAGTAGACCGACTCGAAGCCCGTGACGATCGCCTGCACGAGAGGTCGAGGCGCGAGAGAAGGAGGGGAGGAGGGGAAGACGAAGGGGCGCAGTGAGCGTCTCGTGGCAGCGCGACGAGAGAGGAGAGACGAGGGACGCACCTCGTAGGCCGAGAGCGCGTCGGGGCCATGCTTGCGAGGGAAAGCGTTGAAGATCTCGGGCGAGACGTGGCCGATGTTCTGTTGCACTACGGCGAGGGCGTCAGAACGTCGACGACGGTCAGGCCCGGCGTGAGAAGGAGGACGGGACGCACACGTCGCGGTCGCCTGACGGTACCGAGGCTTGTCGAAGAGCGTCACGTCCTCGTTGAACGCCCGAGGATGGTCGCCGAGAACGAGGGCGAGCAGGGTGCTCTTGCCCGAACCTGTTCCGGCGAGAGGTCAGTGAGGGCCCCTGCGCGACGAGCGACGACAAGAGAAAGAGTCGACGCACCGTTATGCCCCGCCAGCAGCCATCGCTCGCCCTCCCTGACCGTCCAGTCGACGTCCCGCAGGATCCTCCTCTCGACCTGCCCCTCGTCCGGCCGCCCGTAGCTCACGTTGACCGCCCTCAACTCAACGAGCTTCCTCCTCGCCTGCCCCACCTGCTGCTGCCGCGCCGCACGCTCTCCCGCCGCCTTGCGCTCCTCGGCGCGCCGTGCGCTCGCAGCGCGCAGCCGCTCTCCGGCGGCAAACAGCGCCCGGGCCTCGTCGCCGGCGAGGACGTCGTCGCGCGGGCCGAGCGCGAGCGTGCGGGGCCCGGTGGTGTCGGCGAGAGCGACGTGGGTGACGAAAGGCGGAAGGACGTCTTGCGGGCGCAGGACGAGGAGGACCCGGGGCGAGCGGGCGGCGTGCAGTGACGCGAGGAGGGTCGCGAGGTGCGCTCGAGAGGCGACGTCGAGACCGGCTGTCCGAGAGGAGAGTCAGAGGATCGTACTGGAGAAGACGAGGGAGGGAGGGGAGAGAGAAAGGCGCGGACGCACTGAAAGGCTCTTCGAGAATGACGAGCTCGGGCTTGGCGAGCAGCGCCCGCAGGATCCTCGCTCTTCGAGTCTGGCCGTTGCTGAGCGTGATCAGGGGCAGGTCGAGGAGCGAGTCCATGTGGAGGAGCGCCGCCTGGGCCTCGACGGCGGCATCGTCGGCGCCGGTCGCGTCGCGCAGGTGCCGCCGGACGGTGAGCTTGTCCTCGTCGCGGATCGAGTAGTACCGCGCCGTGTAGTCGTCGAACCCGCCCGAGCGGCCGAGGCGCGTCTTGAAGCTGACGAACTGGATGAGGTCGTCGACGTCGCGGTCGCGCGGGCCGCCTTGGTCGGCGGGGCGGTCGACGGGCGGCAACGAGGCGAGGATCGGGTGCGACGCGCTCGAGACCGGGTCGAAGCGCACTTGGTGGCGGAGGGTGGCGACGAGTGCGGCGCGGGTGGGCGACGACGAGGTCGGGGCGAGGACGGCCCAGCAGTCGGCGTCGCGGACCGTCAAGGACAGCGAGGGGAAGAGGGCGTGGGCCGGGTCGTTCGAGGGGACGCCGAACGGGTAGACGGCGGCCTTGTGGGCGCGAAAGATGTCGGGCGGCTGAGGCGAGAGGGCGAGGGCGGATCGGGACAAGGTGCGAGGACGAGGTCGGGCGCAGCTCGTCTTGGCGCGCAAGGGCGGTGCTGCCCGGGCGAGCATGATGTTGCTGGATGTCGTGGCAAGGGTCAGCGCTACGCCAAGGCTCGCGAGAGGGAGAGAGGGGCGCACCTGGGCCGACGTCAGGCGAGGAGGGTGGGGAGGAGAAGGTGGGCGAGCGCCGACTGGGCGTGCGAGGCTGGGCCGCGGGGATGTGGCAGGCGTATGAGCAGGTACAAGCTGTAGCAGGGCAGCTCTGCGGCTGGTGTTGTCGTTGTCGCTGTCGCTCATCTGCGTCTCGTCTCGAGCGAGCGCGACTCGGACGCGTCTCGTCTCCCTCGTCCCACACCTCGACCAGGGCTGCAGCCAGAGCCACTGCAGGGCAGTTCTCTACACTCGCTCCACCGCCACCACCTCCCCCGGCCAGCCCGCGCCCGACTCGCCTGCGCGCACCTCCTCCCGCTCCCCTTGTCCGGCCCCCCTCGAGCCAGCCTCCCTCCCCTCGTCGGCGCACCGTCCGGCCAGCTTCCGCCATGCACCGCCAGCGCACCGTCAAGGCGCCCACCTCCTCGTCCACCGTCACCCGCGTCGCCAAGTTCGCCCTCTCGCTCTACCTCCTCGCCGCCCTCGTCTACACGGCCTGCACCCTCGTCGTCGCACCCTCTGTCTCGTTCCTGTCCGGCGGCCGCATCCTCGCCCCGAGGTCCCAGGTCGTCCTCGACTCGAACGCCGACCTCGCCAACCTCGCCGCCGCCGCCGCCGACACCTCGCTCGCTCGCTCGGCCGCAGCGCTCGGCGGCGTCAACGCGACGGGCCCGTCATCGTCGACCAAGACGACCAAGCTCAAGCACGCCGCCCTCGAGACGGCCGGCGTCCGCGCCGCCGACATTCGCCAGGAGGACAGCTCCGACCCAGTGTGGGCTGCCGCCGAGGTCGCAGAGCGCAAGGGCAAAAAGTCCAAGGGCACCTACCGCCGCCCGGACGTCGTCATCGACAGCGCCGACCTCGTCCACAAGCGCATGCACGGCTTTGACGGCGTCGACTGGGACAAGGACCAGATGGTCTGGCACTCGCCCTCGGCCGACCTCGCCCACTCGGGCCCGCAGGCCGACGAGGCCGCCCTCGCCGCGTACGGCTCGACCCCGGGAGAGCACCGCACTCTGAGCGAGGACGAGTTCCTGAGCCTGTCGTTCGGCTCGAGCCTTCAGCCGAGCAAGGTCATTCCCTACTACTACCGCGCCTCGGACCCGGACCGCGTCGACTTCAACAAGGACGACATCACCATCACGACCCTCGTCACGAGCAACCGCTTCACCGTCTTTGAGCGCCTCGTCGAGCGGTACCGAGGTGCGCCCCCCTTCTCGTCCTCGCCTCGTCACCCCTCGTCCGTGACCCTGACCCGCCTCTCTCGTGCGCAACAGGTCCCGTCTCGGCGACGGTCCACGTCACGCAGGGCAAGAACCCGTCCGAGCTCCTCGCCGCGCTCGACAAGCTGTACACGTCGAGCCCGCTCATGAAGCAGTACGTCGACGTGCACCTCGTGTACGACCCGTTCGACCGCCAGTTCAACATGTGGCGCAACGTCGCCAAGTTCTTTGCCCGCACCGAGGTGCGTCCTCCTCTCTCTCCTCAGGTGCCCGTCCCGTCGGGCACGAGAATCCTGACTTGGTTCGCGCCTCGCGCAGTACGTCATGATGCTCGACGTCGACTTTTGGCTGTGCACCGACTTCCGGTCGCGCATGCTCGACTCGCCCGAGATCATGCAGCGCCTCAAGGGCGGCATGGCGGCGTTCGTCGTCCCGGCGTTCGAGTTCCACAAGCAGAGCGACGGCGTCGACCCGCTCACGTTCCCCTCGACCAAGGAGGTGCGCCCTCGTCTCTCCCTCGTCCCCCCTCGTCCTCTTACCGAACGAGAGTTGACGATGACGTGATCGGCCGTGCGCAGGACCTCGTCCAGCTCGTGCGCGACGACAAAATCGGCATGTTCCACAAGTCGTGGGCGCCCGGGCACGGCTCGACCAACTACACGCGCTACTACGATGCCAAGCCGGGCGAGGTGTACCGCGTGCACGGCTACACCCACTCGTACGAGCCTTACGTCATCTTCAAGAAGGAGGGCACGCCCTGGTGCGTCGGCGTCGTCCCTCTCCCTCCCTCCTCCTCTTTGCGCAACCGAGCGCCGAACTGACTCGCAGAACCTCCTACAGGTGCGACGAGCGCTTCATCGGCTACGGCGGCAACAAGGCGGCGTGCCTGTTCGAGCTGTACCTGTCGGGCGTGTCGTTCTACGTCCTGCCCGACGACTTCCTCATCCACCAGTCGCACGCCTACGCCGAGAAGGCCCGCAAGCACGAGCGGAAGTACAACCGCAAGCTGTACACCGACTTTCGCGAGGAGCTCTGCTTCCGGTACCTCAACCTCTTCCTCGACCAGATCGAGAGCCCGAGGGCGAAGGTGCGTCCGCGCTCTCTCTTCTCGTCCCCCTCCTGCGCCTCTTCCCTCGCCACCCGCCATGGGTATCGTTCGGGTCGCGAGAGCTTCGAGCGCGCACTCACACTCTCTTGTTCCTCGCAGAACCTCGCCATCGAGTGCAAGAAGATCAAGGGCTTCAGCACGACGGCGGCGCGCTACATTGCCGCAGCCGGCGGCGTCGAGCCGCCTCCCAAGCGCTCGTGATTCTCCACCGGCAAGCCCTGTGGCACCTCGTCAATCTCGTCGACTCGGCCACGCCTCGAGGTGCCGGCTCAACGACGACGCTGGCCGTCGTCCACTTTTGGCGCCCGCCCGCCCCTCTTCCTCCTTCCGCCCCCTCTGTTGCACCTTCCCGGCGACTTATACGTTCCCCTCGCCTATCTGTGTCGTTCCTCCCCTCGCATCCTTCGTCATCGTCGTCCTCGCCCTCCCTCATACCCTGTGGCGCTCGCCTCTCTCCTCGGTCTTGCTCCCCTCTCCCCTCCTCTCTCCCACCCCTGTGCGACCATGTCGAGCCGTAGACAGACGAGGCTTTGCGCACGTCGAGATACCCCCGTTTCCCACCCTGTCTCTCCGTGCGCGCGCTCGTCCCTCGCGACGGGGCTCCGGTCGACGGCGCGACTTCAGTCTCGGGACGGGCGCACTTCTCTCTTCTGTACCTGTACGAGAGCGAGAAAAAGGATCGCGATGCGGAGAAGGCATCAGGCAAGGCGCGCCGAAAGGTCTCGCGGGAGCGAAGCGGTCGAGGCGCAGGATCCCGAGGACGAACACACCCAGCTCTCTGCCTGTCCGGCCCCCAGCAGCGGCAGCCGCACAGCAGCTTGCGCCTGCACCCTCGCACGCACGAGCGCACCTCAGCATCGCGCCCCGCCAGGCTCGCCGCCGCGAGTTCACCGCCCCGCCTGCGCCCGGCTCGCCCTCACCGTCGACACCCCTCTGAGCGAGGCTTACGCACCTCGGCACCCCTCGTACAGCCTCGTACGGCACCCCGCCGAGCTCGCAACTAGCGCCAGAGCCGTCGCCGCCGCCCTCCGTCCTCATCGCCCCACGCCGTCCCGTTCGAGTGCCTCACCACTCGTTGACCCTCAATTCCGAGGTCAGCTCGAAGCGCTCAAGTCGCCGAGGAGTGACGCTCGAGTACGCCGCGCACCAGTCGAGTCGCGCACCGCCCGGTCCGCCAGCCACCTCGCCTCCCTCTCCGCCTCGCCTTTCAGCGTCGTCCTCCTCGAGCCCGACCCTCGTCCCCCGCTCGCGTAGCGCACCTTCGAGCGCACCTGTTCCCGTCGCACGCCCCGACCTCGCCACCGCACCTCGTCAGCCATGGGTTGCGGCTCGTCGTCGCTCAAGGACGTCGAGGGCGCCGGCGGCCGCGAGCCGAACGGCGAGAAGGCGCGCAACAACGCCATCGACAAGCAGCTCGAGGAGGACGCCAAGAAGCTGCGGCGAGAATGCAAGATCCTCCTGCTCGGTGCGTCTCTCGCCTCTTCTTTCGCTTCCTCGAGCGGTCAGAGCAGGACTGACTCGTCGTGTCCTCTTTCGCAGGTTCGGGCGAGTCCGGCAAGAGCACGATCGTCAAGCAGATGAAGATCATCCACCAAGGCGGGTACGGCCGCGACGAGATGCTCCTGTTCCGCCTGTCGATCCACAAAAACATCCTCGACTCGGCCCAAGGACTCGTACTCGCCATGCGCCGGTTCAAGCTCGAGCCTGTCGAGGACGTCAACCGGGCCTACGCCGACAAGATCATGGACCACCGCCTCGAGGCCGACACGTACTCGACCTCGAGCCCGAACTTGCCGACCACGTCGGCGGCGGGCGGCAGCAGCGCCGGCATCGACGGCGGCTTGAGCGCCGAGATTGTGGGCGCCATCGACAGCCTGTGGCACGACCCGATCATCCCGAGCGTGCTGGACCGGCAGAGCGAGTTCTACCTCATGGACTCGGCCCCTTAGTGCGTCACGCTCCCTCTCTCTCTCTCTCTCGAGGCCGCCATCCCTGACGCTCTCGCCCCTCCTGTGCAGCTTCTTCGACGAGGTCAAGCGGATAGGCGCGAGCGGATATGTGCCGAGCGAAGCCGACGTCCTTCACGCGCGAACAAAAACTACGGGCATCAGCGAGACCAAGTTCAAGGCCGGGCAGCTCAGCATCCAGTGCGTCCCTCGTCCTCACTCTCTCTTCACGACGCGCAGATCTGACTGTCGTCTCTTGCGCAGCATGTTCGACGTCGGCGGGCAGCGGTCTGAGCGCAAGAAGTGGTGCGTCCCCTCCCGCCTTCACTTTCCCAGCCAGATTGCTCACTCGCTCCGTCCTGCAGGATCCACTGCTTCGAGGCCGTCACGTCCATCATCTTCTGCGTCGCCCTGTCCGAGTACGACCAGGTCCTGCTCGAGGAGAATGGACAGAACCGCATGAACGAGTCGCTCGTCCTGTTCGAGAGCGTCATCAACTCGAGGTGGTTCATCGTGCGTCCCTCGCTCTCCCTTTCCCTCTCCTCTCGAGTCGAGAACTGACCCTGTCTGGGCCCGGCCCCCGCAGCGCACGTCCATCATCCTGTTCCTCAACAAGATCGACCTGTTCCGCACCAAGGTGACCAAGGTGCCGCTCGAGCGCTACTTCCCCGAGTACCAGGGCGGGCCCGACGTCAACAAGGCCGCCAAGTACATCCTGTGGCGCTTCACCCAGCTCAACCGGCAGCGCCTGAGCATCTACCCGCACCTGACGCAGGCGACCGACACGTCGAATGTGCGTCCACGCTCTCTCCCTCTCCCTCTTCGCTCTTGTCCTCGTGGCCGGCCGACTGACTCTCTCGACTCGCCTGCAGATTCGCCTAGTGTTCGCTGCCGTCAAGGAGACGATTCTGCAGAACGCGCTGCGCGACTCGGGCATCATCTAGTTCCTCGCGCCTGTCCTTGTCTCTCCTCCCCTCCCTCGTCCACATCTCAGCAGTACCCTGTCCCTCACGAACATCTGTCTCTCTCTCTCTCGACTGTATCACTGCGTCATGACTCGGGTTCCAGCCGATACCCCTACTCTATCCCCTTCCCCCGCCTCTCTCTCCCTCCCTCCTCGTCCATCTCGAGCGTGACCTGTGCGGCGGCGTCCGTACGTGCAACGTGTAACACGCACATACCCCCCCTCTCGCTCCTGCAGTGCGCCGCCGTCTCAGCCGCCTCGTCGAGAGCTCGAGAGCTCGCTGTGCTGCCCAAGAGAGCGTGCGGGCCTGGCAGCTCGCTCGCTCGCTCGCTCGCGTCGCACGATGGGCATCGAGCCGCCCTGCTGAAAGATGAGCGACCGGCGCGAGTCGCCGGGGTGGCCGCCGAGCCTGCGACGCCTGCGAGGGAGGGAGCGGTCCGAGCGGGCGCTCGGCGGGCGAGGCCGGCTCGTCGGCGAGGCCGATGACGCGGCAGGCGGTGTCGCGAGAGGGACAGCGGGCGGTCGATGTGTCGTCGAGCACGAGGGAGGTCGGGCGACGGTCGGATGAGGACGGAGGAAGGGGAGCTCAAGGCTGTCGAGGCGGTTGGGCCGGCGGGTAGCCCGGCGCGCCGGCGTGCGAGTACGAGCGCATGTGCGACGACGCGACAGGCTCGGGGACGCTCATGCCCGCGTTCGAGAAGTAGCCGGGCCCTTTGCTGCGCTCCTCGAAGAGAGGGAGAGTCAGAAAGGTGGCTCGGGGAGGGAAGAATCGGCCGGACGCACGACGTTGAGAGGCCTTGTGACTCTGCGTCGCGAACTTGGGCCAGGGCGGACGCCTCGGACGGGTTGAGGCCGCACTTGATGCAGGTGAGCTGCTTGCAAGGCGAGCGGGGGCAGAGTTGGACGAGGGGGAGAGTCAGTCTACCGGCTTCGGGCGGCGCGCGCCTCCGATTCGCCCCGAGATGAAGAGGGGGCTCACCTCGTTGGGTCGGTCGTCGCCTGCGCTGAACCCGACTGGAGCTGGACCGAGTGCGGCGCCTGCACGAGGAACGAGAGGTCAGCCGCGAGAAGGAGAAGAGATGGAGAACGTCGCTCGACGCACCTCGACTGAGTGCGACGCCGCAGATGAGGTAACAGGGACAGCACAGGCACTTCCCTGCAGGTTCAAGGAGGGCGAGGGGGAGACAGAGACGAGGTAAGCGCGGTCGACTCGAGGCTGGAGAGGAAGGGGACGCACACAGGCCCGACGAGCTCTTGTGCGGCAGGCGAAAGTCGTGGACACCACCCTCGTCGCAGGCTCCAGTATCTTGCGTGCTCGGCGAGGCCATTGACGGTGAGAGGCTGACGACGACGAGGCGGAGCCGGGTCGAGAGAGGTCGGACGCCTGGCGCAGGGCGGGTTCTGTCGCGAGGGGCGTTGGTGGCGGGACCTAGTCGAGGCAATGCACGAGCTGCTTGGCAGTCTAGTCGACAGGACGGCGAGGGAGCTCGAGAGCCGAGAGGATCGAGGCGAGGACGACGCGACTCTCCGGCTCGCTCCTGCGCTACCTCTCCCTCGACCTCGAGCAGGCTCGACTACAGCTCCAGGGTCACCGCGTACCCGACACAGCGCACCCGCCACCCTTGCCGGTCCACCCGACGACCACGGCGCCCCCACCTCGTTCATCTCGTCCGCGCACAACAACCCGAGCCGACACTCGCCCACGACCCTCGCCTGCTGCGTACGCACCCGCCACCGACCCGCACCACCTCCATCACGGCGACCGACCACACGGCGCGCTGCCCCCAACGAGGCGCATGCAGTCGTTCCCCCCGCCGCCGCCCGGCACCCTCCCCCACCCTGCCCTCAACGGCTACGCTCGCCCGAGCCCGGCCATGAGCCCATCAGGCGTCCCTCTACCCGCCATGGCCAGCCCCGCCCTCGCCAACCCGTCCCTCCCACCACGCCGCCCTAGCGTCCCCTCGACCTCCAACAGCTACGGCGCCCCGCAGCTCACCGCCCACCAGCACGCGCTCCTCATGCGCAGCCAGCAGTCGGCCAGGGTCCCGCCAGTCGCGAGCACGAGCGCGCCTGCCGCCGTCATGCCGCCGCCGCCACCTCCCCCGACCTTGCCCCACGACGGCGGGCCCGCGTACAAGGTGCCCGTCCACCGCTCGTACACGCGAGCGCGCGAGACCGAGCCGGGCGAGACGTTCCCGGCCATCCCGTCGCTCAAGGACCAGGAGCGGGTCAAGGGCTGGATCGAGCGCGACGCGGCGTACGAGACGGAGCTCGGCCAGGCCAAGCACGCCGGCCGCGTCGAGGCCAACGCCCTCCACGAGGACCTCATGCGCGAGCAGGACTGGCTCGGCCACCCGTCGCAGCCGGTCGGGTTCCGCCTGCGCACCAAGGCCCACAAGCACGTCGAGGAGGCCAAAGGCAAGCGCGGCCAGCTGAGGAAACCTGTACCCATGTGCGTGCTCTTGCCTCGTTCGCCCGCCCAACTCGTCGTCCTTGCGCAAAGTGACTGACCCTCTCGTCCCGACGTGCAGGGCCAAGTCGTACCTGCGCGAGATCGCTCGGGCGCCGGAAACCCTCATCCCGATCCGCCTCGAGCTCGAGCACGAGATGTACAAGCTGCGCGACACGTTCACGTGGAACCTGCGAGGTGCGTCGAGCGTTCTCTCTTTCGGTCGTCCTCTCCCGAGTGCGCGCACTGACCCTCGAGCCTCCTCGCGCGCAGAAACGTCCATCACGCCCGAGATCTTCGCCTCGCACCTGTGCGCCGACATGCGCCTCCCGCCCGATCCTTTCGTGCGCGACATCACGGCAGCCGTCACCAAGCAGATCGCCGACGCCCAGCTGAGCGCCAACTACGTCGACCACCTCGCCGACGGGCTCGACGAGGCGAGAGAGGAGGGACGGGCGTGGCTCGAGGCGAGGGCGAGACGGCGTGCGAGGGTCGGCAAGGAGCGGGTCGAGGGAGGAGAGGACGACGAGATGGGCGATGGCGAGCTGGCAGAAGGCGAGGACGAGAAGCCGCTCGAGGTGGCCGAGGTGCCGGTGGTCGAGGTCGGCGCGTCGGACGAGTTGAGGGTCGCCATCAAGGTGCGCTCGCCTCTCTCTCTTGTCTCTCTTTGTCGATGGCGGCAGTGGGTGCGCCCGCTCGAGCGACCGTCGCTGAACCCTCTGTTGACGCCCGCAGCTCGACATCACGCTCGACTCGATCCAGCTCGTCGACAAGTTCGAGTGGGACCTGAGCAGTCCATCCAGTTCGCCCGAGACGTTCGCCGAGGCGTTTGCCGCCGAGTTGGGCCTGACTGGCGAGTTCCGGTGCGTCCCTCCTCCCCAGACCTTGTCGCCGAGAGCGACCGGTCGACCTGACCCTCTTTCTCTCGCGCAGGACGGCCATCGCGCACTCGATTCGCGAGCAAGTCGAGTTCTACACGCGCTCGCTGTGCATCCTCGGCTACAAGAAGGGCGACGTCGTCATCGAGGAGGACCTGCGCCGCGACCTGCTCCCGCCCGTACCCGCCGACACGTTCCGCACCGACTCGGCGGACGACTTCACGCCGCTCCTCAACCAGCTCACGGCCGACGAGGTCGAGCGCTTCGACCGCGAGCACGAGCGCGAGATCCGCCGCAAGCGTCGCCAGACCAAGGGCCGCGGCGTCAGCCTCCCCGAGCGCGAGTCGGTCCGGACGCACCGCACCCTCGTCCCGCGGTCCCAGCCCGGCCACGTCCAGTACTACCGCGACGAGCGCGACAACAAGCACTACCCGCAACCCGAGCTGTCGCTCCCGTTCCCGATCGTGCCCAAGGCCGTCCCGCCCAAGCCGGCCGACCTCGAGACCAACTCGATGTCGCCCCTCAAGCTCCTCCTCACCAAGGACAAGGCGAGTGGCGCAGGCGGCCTCGCCGCGACGGCGGCCGCGAACCGGTTCAAGAAGGCGCACGAGGGCGCAGCAGGCGGCGCCGAGTCGCCGGCCAAGCCGCGCGTCGACAAGAAGCGGCCTGTCGTCAAGCCGTTGCCGAGCCTCGAGGAGCTCGGCCTGCACGAGCACATCATCGACGGGCAGTGGTTCTGCGCCAACTGGTGCGTCTCCCTCTCTCTCTCCCGCGTCGTCTCGGTCCCTCGCCCGAGAACGTCCGGCTCACCTCGGCCTCGTCGTCGCGCAGTGGAGTACCTGCGAGCGTCGCTGTCGGTCGTCGCAAGGGCCCGACGGGCAAGGACAGCCTCTGCGGTCCCTGTGGTTCGCCCTCGAGTGCCACCTTCTCAAATGAGGCGGCCGCACTGACCCTCTCTCCCTCTCCCTCGCGCAGGCAAGTACTTCCACCGCTTCAAGCGCCAACGGCCCTGCACCTACACGCGCGACCACGACACGCACCTGCGCCTGCGAGTCGACGACGACGTCAAGCACCCGAACCCGAAGGCGGCGCGCAAGCGTGGAGGAGCCGCAGCTGCCGCCGCCGCAGGCGTCGCCGCCGAGATGGCCGAGGCGGCTGCTCGTTCTACGCGCACGAGCGGCAGGGGCACGCCGGCGTCGCAGGCCCTGTCGCCGCAGTCGTCGGACCAGGACGACGACTCGGACGACGACGACGACGATGAACCCGTCCTCTCGCACCGCGCCAGGCGCCGGCGTGCCACCGCGCACTACGGCTCGCCCGACACGCCGTTCGTCCAGCTCGACTCGGACGACTCGGCGCGCAGCTCGGGCGAGGGCTCGCCGCCCGCGACGAGACAGCGCACGCTCCCGCCAGGGCAGCCGAGCCCGCCGCCGCCCCGGATGCCCACCATTCCGGGACCTGCCGCCGTCGCTGCGCCTGCACCTGTTCCTGCACCTGTGCGTCTCGCCTCTCCCTCTCTCTCTCGCACGTGTCGGCGCGGCAGTCCGCAGCCACGTCGAGCGGTCCCGCCGGCCTCGGCCCCCGAGTCGACGGTCGGCCGGACTTGCGAGCCTCGTGAGCAATCTCGGCTCACTCTTTCGCCTTTCCTCGTGCAGCAACCACTTCCATGGATGCTCGAGGCTGCGGCCGAGCTTCGCGCCAAGCAGGTGGACGACCGCTTCGAGATCATCCCGCGTCCTCGCCCGTCCGACCCGAACGTGCAAGAGTGGCGCATTCGCTGCCTCGACTGCCCCGGCAAGGTGCGTCCTCGTCTCTCCCTGCCCGACCCTCTCTCGCGATGCACAAGCCCGAGCCGTCGTCGTCGCCGTCGTCGTGCCCTGAAACTGATCGTGGTCTCCCATCGTGCGCCCGCAGCTGTACAACCTCGGCCCGGGCGAGTCGCTCGACGGCTTCCTCGTGCACTTCAAGAACCGGGTCCACCGCGCGAATGTAGATGCGCGCCTCCTGCGCGAGCAATGAGCCATCCTCGTCGTTCTCGTGCCTCGGCCTTGCTCTCTTTCTCGCTCGCTCAGCGGCCCGCTTCGTCGTCGAGTGGCTCTCAAGATTCATGTCGTCTTCGCTGCTGGTCCGGTTCCTCGCTGGCGGCTCGACGACGGCTCGTGCCTCGCCACGGCGGCGCGCGAACGCAATCGAGGACGAACGCTCGAGGGCTCGACCTGCTCGATCGCCCTGATTCGGACGTCGCTGGCTCTCGCTCGCCTCTTGTCGCTCGCGCCGACCTCTGCTGGCTCTCGCTCGAGGGTGGGCCGGGCCCTGTACGCCTCGTCTCGCAAGAGGAGCTTGCCGGCCCCCCTGTCGCCCTCTTTGAGAAGGTCGACTTGGGTCTGCCGCTCGCCGGGCACACTGTCTCGCATCAAGCTCGTTTGAGCGCTCAAAGACATCTCAGCCGGCTTCGGCTCGTTCTGTGGACGTGCAGGTGGCAGGTGCGGAGAGCGGAGAGCTCGGAGGAGGAGGGCGCACGAGCGCTCGCCGCGTTCAGGGCCAGCTTCCTCTCAGCACACGTCGGCCTCGAGCTGGGGCCGGCTCAAGGGACAGTCGCCAGCTGGAGCAGCTCTCGACGATGCGAGCGACGATGCGCAACTCGCTCCCTCGTCGGACGGCCGCTCGGATCGGCGACGGCGGCCGTAGCTAGAGCCTCGACGCCAATCAAGCAGCTGAGCGTGCACGCCCCGCCGGCTTTACGAACGACCGTGGATTCTTGCAGAGCGGGACTGGCGGGTGAGAGGCTCGAGATCCCGTGCAGCTCGTCCGGGAGCGTCAAAAGCTCGGTACGAGCGGGCTCGAGCGCTACTCGAGCAGAGAGCTTCTCTCTTCTCGCCGACGGACGTGCCGTACGCGTGTCCGCTTGGACGTCGGACTTGCGATCACAGAGCTTGACGTTACGAACGGAGCTGCGCCAGACGCTTGCGAAGGTCGATTGAGTGGGCGCGTGCGCGCCGTGCGAGAGCAACTTGGAGCGCGACGGTGGGCATCGCAGATCGCCTCGTTGCAAGCAAGCACTCCGCTGCGACTTGACATTGGCCAGGGACGTCGCCCGCAGACCCGGATCCGACGAGAGGAAACAAGAAGTGCCACGCGATTCCCTCGTCGCCGACGGCGAGGCACCGTCGGTCGATCACTTTGCCCCGCGCTCGTTCGTGCTGGGGGCGTGCATTTCTCGCCGACAGGTGCTCCGTCCAGGCCCTCCCCGTCTCTCTCTCGCAAGAGTCGAAAGCGCTTCCCCTCCCCGACCGCCGCCCCTCCTCCTCCGAGTCGTCCTGCACACGCCGACTCGCTCGCACCAGCGACGGTCGTACCTCCAACTCGCCAACCCCTTTCATCGTCGCCCGACGAGCTCCACGAGCAGTCGCGCCCGACGTTTCGGACCTCCTCTCGCACCGGAGGAGCGACTGCCCCTCCTCCACTTTCCCTCTCTCTCTCTCTCGCGTTCGCTCGCCCGCCGCACGCCTGCGCTCGTCGCAAGGTCGCCTCGCCTACACTGGCCGTCCTCGCCACGGCACTGCGACCGTCGGCGCCGATGTGGCCTCAGCCCGGCGCGTCAAGGTGGACGCAGCCTCCTCACGGCGTCGACGCTCGACACGTGTACATGCACGACGGCGCGAGCACCTACGACCCGTACGGCCAGCAGGTGCGTCCCCTGTGCACCCCCGAGCGCGCCACCTGTCTTTCGCGAGGGAGGCGGACGCTCACCTTCCTTTCCCCCACCTCGCTCCCCTCCCGTCGCAGTACCACGGTCACGGCGAGTACGGCTTCGCGCACGAGCAGGCGCATCGAGTCGACGGCGGGCGCGTCGTGGGCGGCCCCGCACAGCACTCGTCGCCGTCGTCGTCGGCGTCGCGTCCTCACGCTCAACACGATCACGCCTACCACCCGTACCGCCAGTCGCCCGCCCCGACGCCGACCAAGGCGATCACGTTCGTCGACGCCAACGAGCAGATCGAGGCGGCCCTCAAGGGCAGCTCGCTCGACGCGCTGCAGAACTGCCGGCCCAAGCGCAAGCGCATCCTCCCCGACCAGCTCGAGCGCCTCCTCGAGGTCTTCGAGACGACCGACTCGCCCACGTTCGAGGTCAGGGACAAGCTCGGCGCTGTACGTCCGCTCGCCGCCGTTTCATCTCGCACCTCGACGCTCACCTCCCTTCGACCCCGACTACAGGCCACGAGCATGACGAACCGCGAGGTCCAGGTGCGTCTCGTTCGCTCGTCGCGGTCGAGCGAGTTCCGTGTACTGATACGCAGTGTCGTGCGCAGGTCTGGTTCCAGAATCGTCGCGCCAAGGTCAACCGTCAGCGCCTGGCCTCGCTCGCCGTCGAGGAGGCGGCTCGGGCGGCGACGAAGCCCAAAGGCGCCGCCGTCGAGTCGGACACGGGCAGGTCGTCGCCGGGCGTCCAAGCAGCCGGGCAGCACCAGTGGCGCTTTCGTGCCGCGACGATGCTGCCGCCGCCCGTCCCGTCGCCGTCCACGTCGGCGCACGCCCATCCTCCTCGTCCTCTCTCCCTTCCCTCGCCACCGCCCACGTCACACCACGCCGTACATGGTCTCGTCGGTCACCCATACCCGTACTCGCCGCCGGACTACACAACGTACGCCGTCTCGCCCTCGCCCTTCCACCCTTCCCACCCGCACCCGAGCACGTCGGCGTTCGCGCAGGCGATCGGTCACCCGTCCAGCTTCGGCATGATCAGCCCGCCGCTCAGCATCACGACGCCGAGCCTCGCGTCGCCGGGCACGGCGTCGATGCTGAGCTACTTCCCGCGCACGCCGAGCGAGCTGTCGTCGCCGTCGGGCACCTTCTTCCGCCTCGCCCTCGACTCGCCGTCGTCGCAGCACCCTGTGTCGCCTTACTTTTCCGGCGCGAGCTACCAGTCGCCTGTGTCGCCGACGTCGCCGCTCGTCGACGAGCCCGAGCCGCGCATCCACCTCCCGCCCATCCGCTCGAGCGGACCTTGGCCGTCGCCGAGGGCCGCGCCGCCAGTTCGCCCGACCGACCGTCGATCGGTGAGCGACTCGGCGCCCTCTGCGGCGCCCGGGCAGGGCGAGCCCGCGACGGCAACGGCGGTGGCGGCGGCTGGCGAGCGCACGGCCCTCGTCCGCCTCCCGTCGCTTCACGGCCTCCTCAACCACGAAGCCGCACCCGCCGTCGCCCTTCCGACGCACGCATCCCTGCCGACATCGCCCGTCGACTACTTCCGCACCCTTCCTTCCGCCATCGCCAACTCGCCCGACCCCCTCGCCCTCGGCGCCTTCCCAAACGCGCGCTCGCCTCCCTCGACGTTCGCCAAGCCCCGTCTCGTCTCGCGCTACTCGACACTCGACATCCACACCCAGCCCTCGCGCTCGCGACTGAGCTCACGAGCCCCGACGCCCGCCGCCTCGGCCGACGCGCCCGTCGTGGTCAGCGACGAGTCGGCGGCACGCCGAGGCTCGCTGCACCGCACCTCGCTCGACACGGTCAGCGTGGAGGAGGAGCGGAGCATTCCGTCGTCGGTCGAGACGCAGGGAATTGGGCTCGGCATGCTCGTCGCGGCGGCGAGCGAGGTGAGGGCCAACGACGACGAGAAGGTGGCGCGACTGGCGGCCGCCAAGGGCATGCGCTAAGGGAGTTCGCGCACGCTCTCCTCTCCCCGTCTGTGATCTATGTAGCGTCCCCCTTCCTCATGTTGTGCTCGATCTAGATTTGCCCTCGCTCGTCCCCCTCGTCCGCCTCCTCCTCCTCACGAGATTCTCCTGCTGTGCCCTTCCCAACTGAGTGCAAATTACATCATTGCCGTTGTCTCTCGGCTCGAGTCTAAGTCAAGGAGAATTGGGAGCGAGAGCTGCGCGCTGAGGAAGTGCCCGCTCGACTCTGCGCTCGCGAGAGGGTCCAGGAGGAGGGACTCGATTTCTCGCTGTACAACCTCGCTCTTTCTCGGCGATGCGAGGCGGGATCGTCCTATCGAGACGAGTACTCGACGATGGGCCCGAATCTGCAGACGGCTTCAGGCAGTGCCCGCTCGACTCTGCGCTCGCGAGAGGGTCCAGGAGGAGGGACTCGATTTCTCGCTGTACAACCTCGCTCTTTCTCGGCGATGCGAGGCGGGATCGACCTATCGCGACGAGTCCTCGACGATGGGCCGAAAGCTGCAGACCGCTTCTGGCAGTGCCCGCTCGACTCTGCGCTCGCGAGAGGGTCCAGGAGGAGGGACTCGATTTCTCGCTGTACAACCTCGCTCTTTCTGGGCGATGCAGAGCGGGATCGTCCTATCGAGACGACTACTCGACGATGGGCCCGAATCTGCAGACGGCTTCAGGCAGTGCCCGCTCGACTCTGCGCTCGCGAGAGGGTCCAGGAGGAGGGACTCGATTTCTCGCTGTACAACCTCGCTCTTTCTCGGCGATGCGAGGCGGGATCGACCTATCGCGACGAGTCCTCGACGATGGGCCGAAAGCTGCAGACCGCTTCTGGCAGTGCCCGCTCGACTCTGCGCTCACGAGAGGGTCCAGGAGGAGCGTTGTCGGAGCACTTGCCGGCCTCGCTCTCGCGCCGGCCAGGATAGCTCGGGCTCGTCGTGGGCGAGTCGCCCAGCCCCTACACGCGACCTGGAACCAGACTTGCCGCACGCTGTCCAGGACGCTCGGACCTCTCTGCGCAGAACTTGCCCCGACCCGACGCACAAGCGCCACTTAACGCGCGCTTGCTAACGAATGAGCGGAATCAGGAAAGTTCGACCCGGCTCGGGCTCGGACGACTCGATTTGACCTCTTCCGCCCGGCCGGTCGTCAGGCCGAAATCGCTGACAAGTCCGAGGGACCACCTCCTCCTCCTCCTTCTCTCTCGCAACCCGTGCATGCTCTCGCGCTCCACCAGGCTCTTTGCACGCACCATGGCTACCGCAACGCCCAAGACCAAGGAAGTCCGCCTCGAGATCACGTCCGGTGCGCCCCCCACCCTCCCCGCTTCCTCCGCCCTCGCCTGCGCGCCCTCGCACGCCACACCGACACGCGCTGACCTCTTGGACGCCCACAGACTCGATCTGTCCATTTTGCTACGTCGGCAAGCGACGAATCGAGGAGGCCGTACGCCGTTCGTCGCACCTGCCCTTGACCTTTAGCATCAAGTTCGCGCCGTTCCTCCTCGACCCGACCCTGCCCAACTCGCCCGGCGAGAACAAGCGCGAGCGGTACCAGCGGCGGTTCGGCGGTGCCGACAAGGTCGCGGCGATGGAGAAGGCCATGTTTGAGCGCGGCCAGGCGTGCGACCCGCCGATCCGGTTCTCGTACGACGGCAACGTCGCGCAGACGACCGACAGCCACCGCATCATCGAGAAGGCGTACGAGCTCAAGGGCGAGGAGGGCCAGCTTGCGCTCGTCGAGCGGTGCGTCCCTCGTCCTCCTTCTTCCCCACCCTCCTTCCTCCTCGAGGTCCTGCCCTCGCACGAGCTGACTCGGCCCGTTCCCGCCCACGCAGTCTCTTCAAGACGTACTTTGAGGAGTCGGGCGACCCGGGCTCGCACGAGCTCCTCGCGCGCGACGCCGTCAGCACGGGCATCTTTGCCACGGTCGACGAGGCCAAAGCGTTCCTCGCGTCGGACGAGCTCCTCGCGTCGGTTGAGCAGGGCATCAAGAAGGCGCAGCTGCGCGGCATCAGCGGCGTGCCGTTCACGATCGTCAACGACAAGTACGGCATCAGCGGCGCGCAGGAGACCGAGACGTTCATGGAGGTCTTTGAGAAGATTGCCAAGGGCGAGCTCGAGGCGTAGCAGCGGCAGCGCGCAATGTACAGATGGACGTCTCTCGCTTTCTCTCGCTCTGTCTCCAGAGGGCGCACGAGAGGGAAAGAGAGGGTATCTACATTGCCGCCGCCCGCGACTCTTTTTCGCTCAACAGCGTCTACGAGAGGCCGCCCTCCTGATTACGCCCCTCGCTCACCACTGCCGTCCCTCCTTACCGTCGTCGTCGTCGATGCGAGTGTCCATGCGGGTCGGGGGTATGCGGCGTGGAAAAGTCGGGGAGGAGGAAGAGGAGGGAGGGGAGAGGTGCGAGGGCGAGAGGAGCTGGCGAGACGCCGAGCGTGGCTGGACGAGCGACGGTCGACGCGCTCATGCCGGAAGCTCAAACTTCTGGCCCCGCATGACCCTGTGGGCGAGGGAGAAAGGGTCAGGAGGGGTTCGAAGACGCGGGCCGACAGGAGACGAGGGCGCACTTGGTCCAGTAGACGTAGAAGAAGTCGCTGTACATGGCCGTCTGCACGAGGCCTGCGCAGACAGCGATCGGGTCGACCGTGTCCTCGGTAAAGTAGCTGCGCGGCGAGGAAGAAAGAGGGTCAGTCAGGGAGGAAGGGGACCAGTCGACGCTGCGACGGCCGGCGAGCTCGAGCCTCGCGTCGGTGCGGCCAGGACGTACCGGTAGACCCAATTGGGCACGTAGAGGGCGCGGTAGGCGCCGAGCGCAAAGAGGTAGTGGGTCGTGATGTTCTCGGCCTCGCCCGTGCGGCTCAACATGAAGAGCTGGGGGAGGATACCGACGGCCTCGAGGTAGATCGAGAAGGCCCACAGGATCTCCATGACGGTGCTGTTGGGCCGAAAGAGGAGCGAGTCAGGGAAGGAGAGCGGACGGGGAGAGGGACGAGGCGGTGACGCACAAGCGGTAGTTGAAGATGAGGGCGAGAACGGCGCAGGGTCCGAGGAGGTACTCGAGCCGGAGCGTGTCGATGGCTGGGTCCTGGGTCGGCCTGTTGGGAGAGACAGGGGGCGAGGTGAGCGAGCGGGTCGGGCTGGGAGGAGGCCAGGAGGAGGGGTGCGAGAGGACGGACCTGAACTTGAAGCGCATGAGGAAGAGGACGTAGGCGCTCGAGCCGATGAAGAAGAGTTTCATGAGGGTGTTGTAGTACGAGATGTGCGGGCCGGTGAGGAGGTCGACATAGCTGCGGGGACGGGGCGTGGTCAGTCGCAGGGGTGCGAGGGAGTGACGAGGGAGGGCGGGCTCACCGGGTGAGGAAGACGACGAGGTAGATGAGCTGGGTCTTGAACGAGATGCCGCGCACGCTCCTGCTCTTCTGGATCTTGTGCACGAGGATGAAGATGGACGCGAGGTGGGAGAGGTCGCCAAAGAGCCGAAAGATGTTCATGGCACGTGGTTGGGGTGGGTGCGGTCCTGGAAGGTGCTCGAGTGCTTAGGTGGTGGCGAACGCGCTCCCAAGGCCGGGTGCACGACGCGAGAGGGGAGGGACGTGGAGGAGGGGGAGATGAGACGAGCGGGAGCGCGAACGGCTGGCTGTGGCGAGGGCAGGGTGAGTCGTGGTGCTTGTAGGCGGTGTACAGACGACGTACATGAGGCTGTCCTTGCAGCTTGAGGTTGTGAGCAGCGAGACCAGAGGTCGGAGCCTACCAGTTGGCCCTCTTGGTCCTCGTCTCGTTGCCGCTCCAGCCTCGCTCCACCTCTGCGAGCGAGCTAGACGGCCGTGCACCCATCGCACACCATGCCCTCGCACCCGCAGTCGCCCCGCCGCGTCCCTCAACCCCTCCTCGCCCCTCTCTTGATCCCCTCATCCACCCCCACAACTCCGCTCGGCTCGCCTCTCCCCTCGCCAGCCAACGACCATGAGCGCCGCCCGCTCCTCAGATCCGTCCGCTCCTTCCGCGCCGACAGCCTAAAGCGCAGAACCTCGCGCTTCGGCGACCTCCTGTTCGACCACCGCGAGGACGGCCTCGAGCCCAATGTGCACGCGCCCGCAGCGTCACCGCCCACCGCCGCGCACGGCTACGACGCAGAGTTCCGCAAAGAGCTCGAGGGCGACGGCGGCAACGGCGTCAGGAGCTGGTACGGTGCGTCAACCCCCCCCCCCCTCCCCTCGCGTCCTTTCGACGCGCGAACCTGACTTTGGCTCCTTCGCCCGTCCGCAGACAACTACGGCTCGATCGACTGGGTCCACGACTCGATCAAGAACTCGATCCGCATGCGCCGCCTGCGACAGCGCAAGCGCACCGACGGCCTCCGAGGCCACCTCGCCAACGCCGTCGACGGCAGCCTCGGCTGGGTCCTCGTGTCCGTCATCGGCTTCTGCACCGCCTGCATCGCCTTCGCCATCACCCGCACCGAGATGTGGCTCTTCGACCTCAAGGAGGGCTACTGCGCCCCGAGCTGGCGCACCGCCAAGCGCTTTTGCTGCGCCGACGCCGCCACGGGCGCGTTCGCGCCGCACGCGCTCGTCGCCGGCGGCGAGCCCGAGTGCGCAGCGTGGAGGACGTGGGAGCAGGTGTGGGGCGAGTGGTTGGGGAGTGGTGACGGCCCGAGCAGGCTCGCAGGCCCGCTCATGTACCTCGTCTTTGCCGTGCGTCCTCCTCATCTCTCTCTCTCTCGTCGTCCGTCGAGGACAGGGATTGACAGCCATCTTACCCGCAGCTGTCGTTCTCGTTCCTGTCGGCGTTCCTGACGATCCACTTTACGGCGTCGACGTCCATCTACAGCGCCAAGGACTCGCCGTCCGTCCCGTACCCGCTCTCGCCCTCGGCTACCGCCCCGTCCTCGCCGTCCGCGAGCTCGAGGCGATGTTCTCGTACACGGTCAAGCCTGTACGGCGCAGTCGACGAGGCCGACCCGTCGACCGGCAAGGACGAGCCAGACGTCGCGCCTCTCCTCGTCCCTCGTCCTCGCAAGACGCTCTACTACGCCGCCGGCAGCGGCATCCCCGAGATCAAGACGATCCTGTCGGGCTTCGTCATCCGCGGCTTCCTCGGCTCGTGGACCCTCGCCGTCAAGTCGGTCGGCCTCGCCCTCTCGGTCGCGTCGGGCCTGTCGCTCGGCAAGGAGGGCCCGCTCGTCATGATCGCGTGCTGCGTCGGCAACATCGCGACCCGGTTCGTCAAGAAGTACGACCGCAACGAGGCCAAGCGGCGCGAGATCCTCAGCGCGGCGTGCGCGGCCGGCGTCGCCGTCAGTTTCGGCGCTCCCGTCGGCGGCGTCCTGTTCTCGCTCGAGGAGGGTGAGCTCTCTCTCTCTCTCCCTCTCTCACTCCCACCTATCGTCCTCGAGCGTCGACCTGACTCGGTGCCTGGCCCGCAGTCTCGTACTTCTTCCCGCCGCAGACGATGCTGCGCAGCTTCTGGGCCGCCATGATCGCCGCCGCCTCGCTCAAGTTCCTCGACCCGTTCGGCACGGGCAACATCGTCCTGTTCGCCGTCACGTACGACCGCGACTGGCACGCGCTCGAGCTCGTCGGCTTTGTCGCGTTGGCCATCTTTGGCGGCGTGTACGGCGCCTGCTTCAACCGGGCCAACATCCTGTGGACGCGCGAGGTCCGCAACAAGTCGTTCCTGCGCTCGCGCCCGATCGTCGAGGTTGCCATCGTCACCCTGTGAGCCTTTTCCTCCATCGTTCGTCGGCGGGTCGAGCTCGGCAGGACGAGCTCGCTCACGCTCGGACCTCCCCCTCGCAGGTTCACCGCCGCCATCGCCTTTACCAACCCGTGGGCCAAGCAGGGCGGCACCGAGCTCATCTCGACCCTGTTCTCCGAGTGCCACAAGGACGACAGCCTGTCGGGCGTGTGCGTCTCGACGCCTGACCAAGTTTGGCCGCTCGTCGCGAGCCTCGGCGCAGCGCTCCTCCTCAAGGCGGTCTGTACCGCCGTCACGTTCGGCATCAAGGTGCGTCTCAGTCTCTCTCTCTCTATCTCTCTCTCGCGCTCGCGTGCAGGGCGCAGAACTGAATCGCCTCGACGAGCAGGTCCCAGCCGGCGTCTTCGTTCCCTCGCTCGCGGTCGGCGCGTGCGCAGGTCGCATCCTGGGCCTCGTCGTCGAGTACCTCCACGCCCAGTACCCGTCGAGCATCGTCTTTGAGGGCTGCCGCGCCAACCTGAGCGAGCCGGGCCCGAGGCCGTTCGGGCAGGCTTGCGTCCTTCCGGGAGTGGTGCGTCCACCTCTCGCCGCTCTACTCGTCGGGCCTCCTTCCTCGCAGTCGGACAAGGTACTAACTCACGCTCGTGTCACCGTTGCAGTGGGCCATGATCGGCGCCGCATCAACGCTTGCCGGCGTGACGAGGACGACCGTCTCGCTCGCCGTCATCGTCTTTGAGCTCACGGGTGCGCCCCATCTCTCTCTCTTTCCTCTCTCGAACACACACAACTGACTCAAGAAGGCGAGCAGGCACCCTCACGTACTCGGTCCCGACCATGCTCGCCGTCCTGCTCAGCAAGACGGTCGCCGACAGGATCGAGCCCAGGAGCATCTGTGCGTCCTCGCTCTCTCTCTCTCTTTAAACGTCACGAGCCGTCACTAATCGTCTCTGTACCTGCAGACGACCTGGTCATCGAGTGCGTCAACCTTTCGCCAGCGCCCGCTCGGACCCCCTCGAGATCCCGACTGACAGCTTCGGACCTTTGCCGCCCGCCTCGCAGGGTCGCCGACCTCCCCTACCTCGACGCCAAGACCGAGTACATCCACGAGTCGGCCCCAGGCGACATTGTCGACGCCGACGCGCCGACCATCTCGCTCGTCGAGCCCAACACGCTCGCCTCGCTGCACGCCAAGCTCGCCGCCATGTACGCGAGCGGCACGGCGAGCGGCTTCCCGCTCGTCGCACCCGACGGCGTCGACGGCCCCGAGCGCATGTACGCCTACATCGCGTCGAAGGAGCTCGAGCACGGCATCGCCCGGGCCCGAGCGCGCGGCGTGCCCGAGACGACACGCTGCGGGTTCAGCGCCGTCGAGGCCCTCGCTCGAGTGCGAGTCGTGCGAGGCCGCGACGTCGTCGACCTTGGGTGGCTCGTCGACCAGGCGCCGCTCACGGTCAACGTGCGCAGCCCGATGGAGCTCCTGCACGAGGTGCGTCTCTCCCTTCCGCCCCTTGTTCTTTCCCCCTCCTCGAGCGCAACTCACAGTTTTGCCTACTCGCCCGCAGATGTTCGTCAAGCTCGGCATCCGCTACGCCGTCGTCGGCGACGAGCGTGGCCTGTACCTCGGCGTCATTGAGAAGAACCGCTACCTGCACTACCTGCGTTGGCTCGAGAAGCGCGCGCACGGCAGGCCGGCGTCACCTCTCGGTGCGGCTCGCCGAGACGAGGAGGAGGACCCACTGGTGGGCGAGGAGCAGGTGGCGAGGGAGGGCGCTCGCGGCTGAGGCGAGGAGAAGACCCCCTTTGGACAGAGATACCCGGCTCGCTCTTCCTTCAGCACCCTCTTCCTTTGATACTCCCCGTCTCTCTCTCTCTCGCACACTTTGTCTCTCTATCTAGACACTCCCGCAGCCTCCTGACGACCCTCTCGTACGCCTCTCGACCCGTAACGCGCTCGCAACATTCCCTTCTCGCCTTGCCGCGAAGCGCTCGGGCCTCTCTCTCTCTCTCTCGATTCTCGGCAGCCACGAGCTCCTCTCGAGAGGGAGACTTGGAAAGCGCGCGAAAGTTGCAAGAGAGACGAAAAGGGTATCGCTAAGGACGGGCAGCTGCGAGTGCAGAAACGAGGAGGAACGGAAGAACGACGGGACGGCGAGGGGGATGGACAGAGCGTAAGAGGACGAGAGACGACGGCAGGGGGACGAGGACATGAACAGAGGGGCGAAGAAGGTATGTGCAAGAAAGGGGCTCAGAGGCGAGGAAAGAGAGAGAGAGTCTAAAACTGAGGGGTGTCTGAGAAGAGGTCGGTGTACAGCTCGCTCAACTGCCCGCCAGCGCCGAACGACTGCGCCGCCGCCGTCGTCGGTGCGCCGCCGTTGCCCGTCGTGAACGCGTCAAAGTCAAAGTGCGACAGGTCGGGCGTCGGGTGGGCCTGCTCGTAGACGGCGACGGGCGGCGCGGTCGTCTTGCTCGTCGCAGCCGAGCGCTCGGCGCCCAAGGTGGACGACGACGCAGCGCTGTCGGCGCTTACAGCCGCAGGGTCGTTGGCGGGCGTCGGCGAGACGTCGTCGGCGGTCCGCTCGCCGGCGGGCGACTTTGCCGAGATGAGCGCGAGGAGGCGGTTGACGGTGCCGCGGTCGAGCTGGATCTGGTCGTTGCCCGCGCCGGGGAGGTGGACATGCTCGGCGATGCCCGTCGTGCCGGCGCCGCCGCTGAGCGACTGGAGGAGGGCGATCATGCCCTTGCGCGCGTCGACGTCGGGCTCGCGCGCGACGTGCGCCGCGACCGCCTCGATTGAGAGCGACTCGGCGCCGCCAGCTCCTGCGCCACCGGCGCCGACGTGCGCGCGCTGCTCGTCGTTGTCGCCGCCGTCGGCCGAGGGCGTGATACCGTCAAAGTCGGACGGGGTCGGGAACGCCTCGCTCGGGAGCTGCGGCGGGCTCGACGGCGGCAGCGAGCCGTAGTCAAAGTCGGTCGCGTCGGACGGCGCAAGGAGGTGGGCCGGGATGAACGGCGCGCGGCGGTTGACGTTCTTGCTCGCGCTCGGGCGCGCCTTGTCGTGCTCTTGGCCGTGCTGCCGCGTCGACGAGCGCGGCGGGCGCGACTTGGCGACCGAGTTGCCGGCGAACGAGTCGAGCGTGAGCGTCTGGTCGAGGTCGAGGTCGTGCTGGGCCGTGTGCGCGTCGGCAGGCGACCACGCGTCCGAGTCGCTCGCCGGCGTCAAGCCGACCTGCTGCCGCGCCGACGACGCGCCGCCGCTCTCCGAGCCGAACAGGAGCCCGGGAACGAGGCTGTCCATGAAGCCCTCGAGGATGGACGGCGGCTCGCGCCCGCCCGACTGCGGCGCCTTGCCCTTGGACCCGGGCGTCGCCGTGCTCGTGCGAGGGAGGACGCACGGGCTCGACGGCGCCGGCGACGACGGCGCAGTGAGCGCGTTGGACGACAGACGCGTGTCAAAGTTGCGGCGGAGCGACGACAGGATCGACTCGAACGCCTCGGGGTCGGTCGTCGGGACGCCGTCGGTCGCCGTGCCGGCTCGAGGCCGGGCGTTCTCCTTGTTGCCGCGCGTCGGGCTGTGCGGCTGGAGGAAGAAGCTAAAGTCGTCGTCGAGCGTCGTCGCGGCCGCCTCCTCGAGCTGCATGGCGTCGCTGACCGGGGCGGCGCCGGCCATGCCGCCGATCGAGCCGATGTTGGTGTCGTTGAGGATGCGGTCGAGGGCCGTGCCCGGGCTCGCCGACAGGAGGTAGCTCGGCATGCCCTCGCCGCCGCTCGCCGGGCGCTGCTCGACGCGGACCGGGCTCGGGCTGCCGTTGAGCCCGAACAGGCTGCCGAACGAGAGCGGGTTGGGCCCGCGCTCCTCGCCGTCCGACTCGTAGTCGGCGTCGACGTTCTTGCTCGACGTCGCCGCCGCACGCGCCGCCGCCGCCGACGTCGAGCCGCGAAGAGGCGAGGTCGCCGGGTACGGGACGACGGTCGAGCGGTAGCGCAGGCGCGGCGAGCGACCCGGCGAGCTCATGACGACGCCGGCGCTGCGGCCGACGCTGCGGTGCCCGCCGCCAAAGTCGAACTTGAGCGCCGGCGAGCGCGGGCCGACGTGCTTGGACGGCGACAGCGGCGGGATCACGCCGGGCACGACGCCGGCCGCGGCCTTGTGCTTCTTGACCTTGCGCTGCAGGTCGGCCTCGCACGTCGCCGTGAGTCGGCCCTGGAGCGGACGACCGCCCTTGGGCGCGAGCTGCTGCTGCTGCTGATGAGGCGGCGACGTCTCGGCGGCCGCGTTCTGGCCCGGCTTGTTGCGGTGGTAGCCGTTCTTGTTGTAGAACGTGCCGCACGCTGTATCGAGAGGAGGAATCGAGTCAATACAGGCGCGTCGTGCCGAGAGGAGAGAGAGAAAGAGGGCCGACGCACCGTTGCAGACGGTCGTGAGCGCGCCGTCGCTCCCCGTCCCCTCGCGCCAGGTCGTGCTCTTCTTGCGGCGGCAGTTCGAGCACCCGTTGGCGTCGCGCGGGTTCTGCTTGTTGGTCGGCGGCGCCGCGAGCGAGCTCAGGTCGATCGCGACAAAGTGCTCGCGGTCCTTGGCCGTGCGACGACGCGTCGTGCCGCCGCCCGTCGTTGAAGCCGACGCCGCCGTAGATGCGGGCGCAGGTGCGGGCGCGGGCGCGCTCGACGGCGCCGGGTCAGTCGAGGCCGGGAAGGGCGTGCTGGACGAGCTCGACGCTGCACCCTGTCGGCCGGGGAGGTCGAGACCGTAGTACTTGGCGAGCGTCTGCAGCGCCGGGAGGAGCTGAGGCGAGTCGAGAGGGAGGGACGACGGGAGGAGGCCGGCGAGGCCGTTGGCGCCGACGCCGGCGCCGGCCGACAGCGACGCGAGGAGCTGGTTGAGGACGGCGGCGTTTTGCGGGCCCTGCAGGTCGGCGCCGGCGGTGTCGAACGCCGAGTCGAGCGTCGGGAGAGGGGTAGGGAAGGTGGCGGGGGACGACTCGGCGGGGCCGGTGGCGAAAGGTGCGGCGAGGGAGGTGGTGCTCGGCGGCGCCGACGGGATGGGCAGGACGGGCGACTCGCGAGGACGCTTGCGCTTGACCGGGTCGCCGGTGCTGCTCGTCGACTGGCGAGGAGCCGAGGCGGCGGGCGGGAAGACGGCCGACTCGTGGCGCTTGGGCGGCGACGAGTTGAGGTCCGAGATCTGCACCGGGTTGTGGTGGTACGAGCGCAGGGCATCGAGGAACTGGCCCTGCGTAAAGGCGTCGCGCTGTGCACATGGGACGAGAGGTATCAGTACGGGATGAGGGCTGAAGAGGAAGGAGGTCAAGGCGCACCTCGGTGAGCTGAAGCCAGATCTCGAGCGTCTCCTCCGGCTCCTCGCCCTCGCTGTCCTCGTCCTCGTCGTCCACCTCAGCCGGTCCGCTCCCGTCGTCAAACCTCCTGCGCTTGCGCCTGCGCGCCTCGGTGCCCGACGGCCCGACAATCTTGCCGCACACCATCGTCGTGCCCTCCTTCTTCTCGGCGAGGGTCCACGACAGCATGCCCTTGCCCTCGACGAGACCTTCGCCCGGTCGCGACGACGCCGCCGTGCCCGAGACCGAGCTGCCCGGCGCCTGGCGCTGGTGCGACGACTCGTACGGGTCGACGGCCGAGACCGAGAAGTCCTTGGTCGGGTCGAACACGAGCTCGGGACTGTTGCGCGCGGCGTTGGTCAGTTCCAGACGCTCGCAGGCACGCCGAGTAAGGGGAGTGGACGGACCGAGAGATGCAGATGGCGCTCAAGCACGTCTTGAGCGTGATGCGGCCGAACTGGGCGGCGTCCTCGCCGTCTGCGCCTCGCCTGCCGCCGACGATCTGGACCCAGACGGGCGCCGAGAGCCGAGCCATGCACGCATAGTTGGTCGCCTGGGGCGAGTCTTGGGCGGGCGGGTTGGGCGAGGGCGCGAGGGCCGGGTCGAGGACGGCGAGGAAGTCGGGCGTCGGGGTCGAGGCGGGCAGGAGCTGGGGCGTCGTGCTCGATGACGACGGCGTGCCGAGTCGGGGCGAGTTGAGCGAGTAGAAGATCTTGACTGTCGGCGGAGAAAGGAAGGAGGTCAGGTCAGGTCGTGTGAGCGCGCCGCAGAGTCGGACAGAGACGAGTGGACGTACGGCTCATGGTCCTGCCCTTGCCCTTGCCCTTTCTCCTGGTCGCGGGCCTGGCCGATGCTGCCGCCCTTCTGCTGCCCTCGAGCCCGATCACGCCGGACGACATGGGCGCGGCGCTAGTCGAGGCGACGGGCGCGGCGGCGGTGGACGAGGCGGGGCCGGCGTGGTGGTAGTAGTCGCGGCGCGCGGGGTCGGTCGTCGGTGGGTTGGGCAGGACGAACGACATGGCGGTGGCGCGGTCGCGGGCGGTGAGGCGGGAGAGGGCGAGCCGTGTTTGTTGGCCGAGGCTCGAGGGAGCGGAGGAGGGACGACGCGACGAGGGCCGGGGGCGTGTCGTCGCTCTCTCGGGGCGGGCGGTGGCGCGCAGGTGGGTGCGTGACTCGACCTGCACGCTGTGGCGCGCGTCGTGGACCAGCTCGAGGGCGTGTGCCGGGGGCGAGTCGGCTGGCGGAGCGCGACCAAGGGTGACGAGGGACCCTTGACGGCGGCGAGGGCGGTGGTGGGTGGCCGAGGCGGGTATGGTGCACCGCGTGGACCGTCGTGCGAGTGTGCTGAGCTCGAACGGGGCCAGTGACGAGGTGGTGAGCGAGAGCGAGACGAGCGCGCTGTGCTGGAGCGACGAGCTTTCGTCGCCGCCTCTCGCTGGGAGCTCTCGACGGAAGGGTAAATCGTGCGAGATGATCCCTCGTGGCTCAGACTAGCTCTCAGTACAGCCTGAGCGGGTGCTGAGGACCTGCGGTGGCTCGCGCGCCGCTCGCTCGCCTCGACTTCGCACCTGCGGCCGCGCACCCTCTCTGCTCTCTTTTCTTCAGTGAAACAATTTTCTGCGAGCGACACAAAGTGAGCACCACTCCCACGCCTCTCGCCCACCCCCTGCAGGCCTCGCGCCGTCTCTCGCGCGGCTCCAGAGGGCCCACAGAGCTGACCTCGCCTCCTCCCCCTCCTCCCCTCTCTTCGCCTCGCCCCACAGGTTACAGACCGTGCCCTGTCCTGCTCTGCAGTCGACCGTGCGCGGACTGTCGTTCCAGTTGCTCAGATGGACGCGGGTCCTCCGCCTCCGGGCGCCTAGCTGCCGTCCTCGTCGTCCGCGACGAGGGCGGTGGTGGGAGCACGCGCCCTTGAACCTCGTCCGAGCCCCGCCAGACTTGCGCCGCCGCTTTGCTCTTCGGAGTAGGCGCTGCCTTGGCTCTGTGACGGCGGGTGGAGACGAGGCGGGTGTCGTCGAGGACCCTACACTCCCCCTTCCCCTCTCCCTCTCTGTTTGCGCTCTCCCGAGTTGGCGGCTCGCCTTGCGGCGCTGCTGCCTCTCTCGAGTCGCCGACCTAGTCTAGCTCTCGCAGTCTCGCAATGCACTCGGTCTCTGTATCTCTGCCCGGTCGCGAGAGAGTGGTTGCGCGAGAACGGACCTGCTCGGCGACTTGGACGGCGTGTCGACTTGCGCCCCTGGATCCGGTCGAAAGCGAGAGCTTGTGAGAGAGCTGGCATCTCCTCAGAGCGAGCGAGGGGTTCGGCATCCGAGGCGAGAGAGAGGTGGCTCGGCCTGAGCGGCGACGCGCTGAGGTCGCCCCGAGCTCCCTCCTCCTCCTCCTCCCTCCCCTCCTCCTCTCCTCTCTCCCTCCCACCCCGTACAGACCACAGCGCGAGCTCACCACTGCCCGCCATGGTCTCGTCGACGCCCGGTCCCGTCTACTCGTTCCTCCACTCGCTCCCCGTCCCCTCGCTCCCTTTCAACATCGAGCACTGGGTGCCCGGCTCGACCCCGCTGTCGACCACGCCCGAGGTCGTATACGCCATCACCTTCTACCTCGTCGTCATCTTTGGCGGCCAGGCCCTCATGCGTGGCTCCAAGCCCTACCGTGCGTCGCCCTCTCCCTCTCTCTCTCTCTCGACCCTTGTTGGGAGCGAGCGTGCCGGCCGTCGGGGCACGCGTCGTTCGCGTCGCATGGGCTCGCCGGGCGCGTTGATGGGGTCACAGAGAGAGCACGGGCGCAAGGGAGAGGGTGCCGAGGCGCTGGGGACGCGGTCGACGCGTCCGATCGGTCAACTCGACCAAACCATCGGGGCGCACGACGAGGACGACGTCTCGTCGCCGTGCACCCGTACAGCTGTACTGACCCTCTCTCTCTCCACCATGCAGGCTTCAAGCCGTTGTTCATGCTCCACAACTTCCTTCTCTCGGCGGGCTCGGCCCTCCTTCTCGCCCTCATGCTCGAGGAGGTGCGTCTCTCTTCCTCCTGCGTCTCTCTCTACGGCCCGTCCGGGTGCTCAACCTCGTCCCTCGACCTCGCAGATCCTCCCCATCGTCTGGGAGCACGGCCTCTTCTACGCCATCTGCCACAACGACGCCTGGACCCCTCGCATGGAGACCTACTACATCTTCAACTACTTCGTCCGTCCCTCTCTCTCTCTCCTCGTCGCCATCATTTCCGAGGGCCCTCACTGACTTTGATCCTCGCGCCCGTCACAGTTCAAGTGTACGTCCTCGAATGACTCGGTCGCACAAAGCGTTCGTCCCTGACCCTCTCCTCTCGCGTGTACGCGCGCTCGCCCCCTCCCGCAGACTGGGAGCTGTTCGACACGGCCTTCCTCGTCGTCAAGAAGAAGCCGCTCCAGTTCCTCCACGTGTTCCACCACACGGCGACCGCCGTCCTCTGCTACACCCAGCTCAACGGCCGCACCTCGGTGTCGTGGGTCGTCATCACCCTCAACCTCTTCGTCCACGTCCTCATGTACTACTACTACTTCATGACGGCCGCCGGCTACAAGATCTGGTGGAAGAAGTGCGTCCCTCGTCCTTGCACTCGTTCCTCGTCGACCTCGGTCACTGACTCCCCGCCCGCGCAACAGGTACCTCACGACGCTCCAGATCACCCAGTTCGTCATCGACCTCTTCACCGTCTACTTTGCGTCGTACTCGTACTTCACCGCGACCTACCTGCCGACGTGGCCGACCATGGGCTCGTGCGCCGGCACCGAGAGCGCCGCCCTCCTCGGCTGCGGCCTCCTCAGTGCGTCCTCCCTCTCGCTCCCTTTCTGTGTCAGTCGCGCACCGAGACTGACTCGACCTTGTGCGCCGCACCCTCGCAGCCTCGTACCTCTTCGTGCGTACCGACCTTCCTAAGCCGATCCTGTTCCCTCAAGCACCCTCTGACCCTCTCTTTACCTGCCGTACAGCTCTTCATCAGCTTCTACGCCAAGACGTGAGTCTCCTCGCCCGCTGTCTGTCCTCGTCGTGAAGCAGTATCTGACCCGGCGCCGCCCCCTCCCCTCGCAGCTACAAGCCCAAGGCCGGCTCGACCGTCAAGGCCGCCAAGGGCGCCGCCGCCGCCGTCGCCAAGAAGACCAACTAAAAAGAGCGTACTGCCTCGACTCGCTCGGCGTGCGCGCCGCTGCTGCTCGACGCCCTTGTCTCCCCTCTTGCCCTTACCCCCCTCTCTCTCTTCTTCCTCATCCTCCTCTCCCCGCAACCGCATCCAGCCTCTCCCTTTCTCCCCACCCTCCTCTTGGACTTGAAGTCGGCGTGCCCCTCTCTCATCTATACGATACCCCCCACCACCGCCGCATGCTTCGTCCCCTCCTTTTTTCGACTTTCTCGCCCTCTCTTCTCCTCTCCCTCTCTCTCTCTCCCACTCGTGTGCGCTCTCCTGGGTGTTCGTCCTCTACACATATGCAACAAAGCACTCTATTCTCGGACATGCCGTGCCTCATTGGCGAGCGAGAGAGAGAGAGAGAGCTGTCCTTCGAGAGCTAGCGAACCGCCTCTCGCGAGACGCTCTGCAGCTCGTGTCGCTCGCTCTCGCGCCCGCAGGAGAGATCAAGCGAAGAGAGAGTACTGTTTGCAACACAACCGTCTCCAAAGCCAAGCCCCTGCGCGTCCTCCTGCTCCACTCGCGCGCACTCACGCTCGGTCCCCCTCGCCGCCCTGCACCGCCGCCGTCGTCTCCTGCGCCTCGACCTGCATGCGCTCGTGCGCCTCCTGCGCACCCGCCTGCGTCGGCTCGCCGCCAAAGTCGCCGTCGTCCTCGTCGGGTTCCTCGCGCTTGACGACGACCGCGCCGGGCCCCGCACGAGGCTCGTTGCACCCGGTCAGGCGCCGCGGCGGGAGCTTGACGGCGGGCATCTCGGGCAGGCCGCGCAGGTAGGCCTCGTACGCCTCCTCGTCGGTCGCAGGCGGCGGCGCAGGGCCCGCTCCCGTGGCCGCCAAGCCGGGAGCAGACGAGGTCGAGGGTGCGGCGGCCGCGGCGCCGTGCGCGTGCGAGTGCGGGTGCGCGTGGTGGTGCGCGTGCGAGTGCGCGTGCGGGTGGGTGTGCGTGTGCGGGTGGGCGTGCGGATGCGAGTGCGAGTGCGGCGCGGCGGGCGGTCGACCACCGGGCACAGCTCCTGCAGCGCTCGGACCTGCGGCGGCGGGCGCCGGCGCTGGCGATCCGACCTGCGCATGCCCGTGTGCGCCCTGCACCGCCTCGTCGAGGACCCGCACGACGCCCTCGCTGCGGCGCACGAACGCGTCGAGGCGCACGAGGTGCTCCTTGGCCTGGGCGAGCTCGTCCCGGAGCGAGTCCCGCAGCGTCGCGAGGTCGCGCAGCGTGAGCGCCGTCAAGGGCGTGTCGAGCCCGGCGGCGGCGAGTGCGGCCGCGGTCGCGCTCGCGGCGGCCGAGGTCGAGGCGGACGAGGGAGGGCCGGGAGCGGGGAGGAGGACCGAGGGCGTGCTTGGCTGGTGGCGGTGCGCGTGCTGGTGCGGGTGGGCGTGAGGAGGGTGCGTCGCGTGCGTGTGCGGCACGGCGTGGTGGTGGTGGTGGTGCGAGTGCTGCGGCGGCGGCGCAGGAGGTGCTCCCGCCGCGACATGGTGGTGCTGCTGCTGCTGGTGCTGCTGCTGCGCCGCGACGGCGTTGGCGTTCGCCGTGTGCGTCGCGACGGCGGCCAGCTCCGAGAGCATGTTGCGCGGCGAGCCCTGGGGCTGCGACGCGTGCGCCGCCGCTGCTGCCGCCGCCGCCGCCGCAACCTCGCGCTCGCGCTCCTCGAGGACGGCCGGCGAGGCGGTCGCGGCGGCGACGGCTGCCGCCTTCTTCGGGGCCGTCTTGCGGCGCTTGGCGGCGGGTGCGCCGGCCGACGCGGCCGGGTCGGAAGGAGCGAGGTCGAAGTCGGAGCCGGAAGGAGGAGGGGAGACGGTGGTCGACCCGCCTGCGCGAGCGTGAGCCTCCATGACGGCGGCGCGATTCTGCGCAGCTCAGGGTAGCGGTCAGGAATGGCTTGAGCGAGAGAGAGGAAGGACGCAAGGGCCGGGACGCACCTGAGGGTTCGGGGCAGCAGGGACGCGTCGCCGGCGCTTGATCGTCGGCTTCTTGAGGTTGACGGGGCGATGCTGGCCGTGGAGCTTGTAGTAGAGGCCTGATTGTGCGTAGACGGTGAGTGTAGCAGCCGAGGCGTCGCGATCGAGGAGTGTTGCCGAGGGACGAGAGGGAGGACGGCGAAGGCGGTGGACGAGATGGAAGGGGTGGGAGGCAGTCAGTAACGGCTCGAACACGCTCTGTGACACTGCGCTGATGGTCCCTCGAGCTGCGCGACCCGTCCCTGCGGCCGATGCGTGTGCGGCGAGGGAGGGAAGACCCTCGTCGCCGACGCCCGGCCGGCTCTGCGCCCTCGCGACGAAGCCGCCGAGCGCGTTCGACGAGATCAGATACGGGGCGTTCCACGCCCGCCTGACGAGCGGTGACGACGAGAAAAGGGCATGCGCAGACTGAGACCTGCCGAGCAGGGTCGGCCTCGTTCGGCCGTCGTCGTGCAGCTCGCTCGAGGCGAGCGCGGTCGACGTACAAAGCTCCTTGAGAGCCCGCACGTCGATGACGACGAGTGCAAGGGGTGCACGGGAGGTAGAAGAGGGTGCGCCGGGCGAGAAGGACGAGGAGAAACGGTGCGACTCACCGCAGGCGTTGCAGGCGACCTGGCCCTCGCCGTCGCGGCGCCACAGCGGCGTCGTCCCTGCGCAATCATGCGAAATGAGTCGGTGGCCAATCGCCAGGTTCGAGAAGCCGTGCTTGAGCGCCAACGGGGCGCTCACGACGACCTCAAGCGAGTCGAGGACGGGCACGGACTCACTCGTTCCGCAGTTGGCGCACTCCATGACGCCGACGGCATCGTCCTCCGCCGCAGCTCCACCTTCTCCTCCTGCTCCAGCCGTCGCCGCCCCGCCGCCGGCGCCGCTCTCCTTCTTCCTCCCGCGCTTGTGCATGTTGCCGCCCGACCCGGTGCCGTACATGACGCGATTGTTGAACGCCGGGCAGCCCTGGCAGCACGTCTGGCCGCCCGAGCCGTTGCAGACGCCGCCGCCGGGGCACGAGCCGGCGGGCGGGTCGGCGTTGTGGCGCGAGGCGGCGGGCGCAGGAGGGGTAGGTGCGGCGGCAGGGTGGGCGTGGACGTGCGAGGGCCCGGCGACGGCGGGTGCGGGTGCAGGAGAGGGTGCGGCCGGGGAAGGACGAGGTGCGGGAGCTGTCGCGGTGGCGGTGTGCGGGTACGGGGGCGGGCCGTAGCCGGGCGGAGGAGGAGGAGGGACGGCGGCCTGCTGCGCCGCCCAGTGCGCCGCCATCTGCTGCGCGCGCACCTGCTCGGGCGTGTACTGGATCGCCTGCGGCTGCGGCGTCGAGTAATTGGAGCGCTGCGGCGCGGGCGAGCCCGACGTGGCCGACGACGGCGCGAGGAGCTGCTGCGCCGTGCCGACCGGCGCGAGGCCCGGCGACGGCTGCTTCTGCAGCGGCTCGTGCGACGAACGAGAACCGCCACGACGAGCCTTGAGGTACAGGCCTGGAGGGGAGAGGCCGAGTCAGGTGGCTGTGCGCGCGAGTGCGAGGACCGAGAGAGGGGAAGGGGACGCACCACAGGCGTTGCAGATCGAGTTGCCTTGCGGGTCGCGCCGCCAGAGCGGCGTCGAGGTGGTGCCGCACGCGGCGCACACGTTGGGCGGGCGGTCACGTTTGCTGACGGCCGCCTTGGACGAGCTGGCGGTGGCGGCGGCCTTGGCCTGGTGCGGTTGCGGCGACACGTCGGGGCCTCGCGGCGTCGGCAGGCGGCCGTTGAAGTAGGGGATGGGCGTGAGCATCTGGGGCTTGTCGGCGACGGCGGTGGAGCCGTCGCGGTGGCTGCGACTCGGCGAGGCCGGGGTGTGCTGGAGGGGAGGGGAGCCGCTCGGGCCACGAGGGAGGGACGAGAGGATGGCGGCGGCGGCGGCGTCTGCCGACTGGGACGAAGGCGACGCAGGTACGCTTGCGGCGGCGTTGGCGGCGCGAGGAGCCGAGGACGCGGCCGGGTCGGCCACGGCGGCGGGAGAGGGCGAGGCCAAGGGCCAGCCGGCGAGACGAGGGAGGCGCGCGGCCGGGTTGGCCTGGCTCGACGGCGGTTGCTGACTCGTCAACGACGAGATGGGCGGGAGCGAGATGGCGCCCTGGGCCGATGACGGGCGCGGGTGGTGCGAGTCGACCGTGGCTCCCGCGTCGTGCGGCGTCGACGGCTGGGGCGAGGGCGGGTCGGCCGACGCGGCAGGCGACAGGATGCTCTGGATGCGCATCATCTCGCCCCTGTTGGCGCGGCGAGACGAGAGGGGTTGATCTGGCGCGACGACCAGCTGATCTTGCTGACGACGAGTCCCGGGTTGGCGCGAGTCGGCGACGGCTGGAGCGGTTGTTGCGGCGTGTGCAGCGGACGAGGCGCAGGCACCGCAGACGACAGCAGAGTGCGGCCTCGCACGGACGACGAGGGAGGGTCTCGAGAGAGGGACGACGAGGCGAGCCGTCTACAACGCGCGCCTTCTGGTTGGCTTGAAGCGCTCCCTCTCACGTCCAATTCGAACTCGCCTCCACTGTCTCAGGCGTACGACGCGCGATCGTACAGTCGGAGATGAGATGCCTTCCTTCCTCGTCCTCTCCTCCTCCTCGCTCCTTGTCCTCGCTCCCTCGCGCCTCTTCGACCGATGCGGCTCAACGAGGCAGTCACGCTCGCCAACGACAAGCTCGTGCTGCGGCCGTACCGCCGCTGGCACGTCCCGCGGTACCACGAGTGGATGGAGGACGACGAGGTGCGCGAGCAGACGGCGAGCGAGCGCTTGACCCTCGACGAGGAGTTTGACATGCAGAGTGCGTCCACCAGTTCTCTCCTTTCTCGACGCCCACTGAACCTCGCTCGTGCGCAGAGTCGTGGCGGCTCGACGCCGACAGTTCGTCCTCGTCCTCTTTCCCCTCCTCCCCTCGCCACCGAGGAGCTGACTGCGTCCCTCGATACGCATACAGAGCTCACCTTCATCGTCCACCTGCGGTCCGACTCGGCGCCTCCCCCCTCCTCGGACCCTGCCGCCTTCCTCGCCGCGCACAACGACACCTCGCGCATGATTGGCGACGTCAACCTCTTCCTGCACGACGCCTCGCCGCCCTCGTCCCCCTCGCCCTTGTCCCCCTCGCCCTCGTCCTCCCCGTCCGCCGACCCTGCATTGAGCACGACACCTCGCCGCGCCGAGCTCGAGATCATGCTCCCGCCCTCGTCGTCCTCCCTGTACCGCCCTCGCTCCGGCCTCGCCCTCCTCACCCTCCAGCTCTTCCTCTCGTACGCGAGTCGCGCCCTCGACCTCGCGCCGAGCTCGTTCTTCGCCCGCATCGGGTTCGACAACGCGCCGAGCCTCGGCCTGTTCGCAAAGCTCGGGTTCGTCGAGGGCAAGCGCGTCGACGTCTTTCGCGAGGTCGAGATGCGGTGGGGTGCGGGCGACGGCGACGCAGAGGGCAGGAGGTGGCCGTGGGAGCGGGACGAGGCGTGGCGGTACGACGAGGTCGAGGATCCGAGAGACGAGGAGCGCGACTGAGCGAGGCTCGAGCGGGCGACGTATTGCGGCTGGCTCGCAACGCGACGGCATTCTCGACCTCTCTCGATAGACAGTCCGACGAGAGACAGAGCTACAATGCAAGCGGGAGAGGGACGGCCTTGGTACAAAGACAAGGGCACGAGCGAGTACAACGAGAGACGCCCGCTCACCACTCGCCGTCGACTGCGGGCGACCGAGGGGTCAGCTGCCGTACTGCGCAAGGGAGGGACGAGAGAAAGAGAGAGAACAGAGGACGCACAGCGCTGCAGCGTCCCGACCGCTTCGACAGCCTCCTTCTGGGCCTTCTTCCGCATGTAGAAGATCGGGCAGTCCTTCGACGTGCACAAGACGTCCTGCGATCGGCGAACGCGACAAAGATGAGCATTTTCTCGCGAGGAGAGTCGAGCCGGCAAGGGAGAGCGAGCGACGCACCTGGTGGAGCGAGCCCTGGCACCGCTGGCACTGGGTCCACAGCCTCGCAAAGGCCGTCTCGGCGCTCGCCGCGAGCGTCACCTGCCGACGGTGCAGCTCGGCCGTGCGAGGGCGGCAGTTGTGGCATACAGCTTGGTCTGCAGGTGGGGCAGGCGAGGGAAGAAGAGGTCAGTGCGCTGGACGGGGGGAAGGGACGAGAGAGGGACGCACTCGGCGTGCCCGGCTTGAGCGGCGTCTTGCACCCGAGGCAGGTGACGGTCTTGACGGCAAACTTCATGAGGCCGCCGACGGTCGGTGCGACGATCGAGACGGTGCGCGTGTGGTCGCCGGCGACTGCGAAACGCGGACGAGGGCAGGGTCAATTCGGCTCGCCGGCGTGGCGAGAGGGGGCGAGAGGAAGTGGGACGCACGAAGAGAGCTTGCGCGTTCGCCCATGATGGGCTCGAAGATGCGCATGAGCGGCTTCGAGAGCTGGTTCTCGAGGTAGTACTTGGTGTCGATCGGGATGTTGTTCTCGAGGACGTAGAGCGGGTCCTCCGACTTCTCGTACGCTCGTGCGTCCTTGGTGCCCTTGATGATGACGTCTGCGGCGAGGCGGGAGGTGCGGGTCAGGGCCTGGGTCGAGGAGCAGAGGAGAGACGAGGAGGTGGACGCACAGGCCACTCGGTCGCCCATGGCCGGCGCCGAGCCAGCGTCGCGCTTCTTCATGCGCTCGGCGAGCTCGACGTGCGCCTGCTTGGCCGCATAGTCGGCCTTGGCGAGCGCCTTGGTGATGACGAGCTGCGACAGGTCGACCTTGTTCTGGAGCAGGTCCGAGATGACCTGCTTGGCGTACGCCTCGGCGCCCTTGACGTCGCGCTCGATGAGCATCTTGCGCAGGCACGTGTCGATGACCGTCACGACGAGGCGGCAGTTGTCGCGGCGGACCGTCTGCGAGCGGGACCGACCGGTACGAGTCAGAGAGGCTCTCGGCGAGGGAGAGAACGGCTCGATGACGACAACGAGAGGGAGCAGCGCGACGCACCTCGATACCCTTGGTGTCCATCTTGTCGTACTTCTCGGGCCGGGTCCAGTACAGGCCGGCGTACCGCTTCTTGCTGATGAGGAGGTACGGGAAGTAGACCTTCTCGAACTCGAGCTTGATCGGCTTGACGAACTTGGACGTGACAAAGTCGGCCGCCTCGGCACCTGTGCGACGAGCGAAGGAGGGTCAGGCTGAGGGAGAGGAGGAGGAGAGGGGGCAAGAGGAAGGAGGGACGCACCGAGCTTCATAGCCGTCTCGAGGTCGGGGCAGCCAAAGCGCACCATGACCGAGTCGGTGTCGCCGTAGATGACGGTCGCGTCGTAGTCGTAGCCGTTGGCGGTGTTGTACCGGTCCTGCACCTCCTGCGACCGCCAAAACAACCAACCATCAGCTCGGCTCCTGCGAGGAGCGCTCGAGGTCGACGGCGGCGGCAAAAGGTGGGCGCACCTGCTTCGTCCGGTCGATCATCTCGCGACCGTACGCCGTGACCGACATCGAGATGGGCAAGCACGGCAGCTTGCCGACCGTCGCGCCCGTGAAGCCGTACACCGAGTTGGCCGAGACCTGCGCGAGGAGAACGGGCTTGGTCAGGTTCACGCTCGAGGCAGGAGGGACGGCGAGGGAAGAGAGAGCGAGGGCGCACCTTGAGGGCGAGCTGACGACCGTCGAGGACGGCACGCTTGAACGGGTCCGTCTCGTTCTTGAGCTCGGCGCGCGCACGCTTGCGGGCGGCGAGCAGGTCCTCGAGGATGGTCGGCAGGAGGCCCTTGCGACGAGAGGCCTTGACGAAGAGGTCTGTGCGGAGAGGGCGGCCGGTTTCATCAGTTTCCGCAGGCCGAGAGGGCCGGCCGAGGAGCCGAGTGAGAGGCAGAGACGGCGACGACGCACCTCCATTGGGCGTGCGGACGTAGTCCTCGTCCTCGACAAGGTTGAGCGACTGGGCGATGCGGGCGTCGAGGAGCGTCGTGTAGCACAGGTTGTGCGCCTGCATGATGGACGGGTACAGGCTCGCAAAGTCGAGCGTCGCGATCGGCACGTCGTAGTACCCTTGCTCGGGCTCGAGCACGGTCGCGCCCTCGTACTGCTCGTCCGACCCTTCCTGCTTGAGCGCCGGCACGACGTAGCCGACCTTGAGCGCTTGGCGGTACAGCTGCGAGATGACCTTGATCTGCTGGCCACGCGACAGGAGGTAGTTGAACGGGATGCCCGTGACGCGGGCCATCTCGGTGTAGTTGATGAAGCACATGAGCTTGTCCATGAGGCGTTGAGGCAGGTAGGCGTCCTGCGAGGCGAGGCGAGGCGAGTTAGGAAGGTCGCCGAAGGAAAGGGGGAGAGGGTCGTGCACGGGCGCACCTTGAGGCAGTAGACGGCGAGACGGCGTCGCGACTCGGCGTTACCGTTCTGCAGGTCCGTGATGACCGAGTGGTGGACGTCCTCCTTCTGCTCGCCTGCGTGTGCGACGAGAGGGTCACTCAGATGCCGTTTTCGCCCAGACGCGCACCACGCTCGAGAGAGGGACGGCCCGAGGACGCACCGAGGAAGTGGGCACAGACCGAGTTGAGCGTGTACGAGCGCAGCTTGTAGTCGCGCTGCATGACCTGGAGGATGTCGAGCTGGAGCCGGCCGTCCATGTTGGTCTCCTTCGAGTCGCGCGTGCCGTACGCCTTGCTCGAGAAGTGCGTGTCCTTGACCTCGGTCTTGACGCCTGTGCGGGAGGGCTTCAAGACGGATGAGCTGCTGTCGCTCGAGGAGGGACGGTCGCAGGCCGAGGGAGAGGAACGAGCGGCGCACCCTTGAGCCGGCTGAAGTAGGGAAACTCGGTGACCTTGAGCGCCTTTGCGCGGTCCATGAGGTACGGCAGGTCGAACTGGCTCGTGTTGTACCCGATGATGAGGTCCGGGTCGACCTCCTCGACAAACTTGCGCCACTGCGACAGGAGGTCCTTCTCGCGCTCAAATTCGAGCACCTCGGACCCGACGATGTGGGCGCACGTGTTGAGCGTAAAGACGTTGCGGATGAAGGGCTTGCTCTCGCCTGCGACGAGGAGAAGTGGAGCGAGTCAGGTCTCGCACTCGTCAAGAAGGCGAGGAGGAACCCGACGACGGCGCTCGCGGCCCTGACGCACCTTGGCGAGTGACCATGTTGGCGATCTGGATGACGGGGTCCTTGTCGGCCTCGGGAAAGATGCCCTTGCGGCCTGCGCACTCGATGTCGAACGACAGGATGCGGAGCGGCGCGACGCCGGACCAGTCGCCGACCGCCTCGTGCGAGATGAGGGCCGAGTGGCTGCGGGTTCGCTCGAGAGTGAGCTCACGGACGGAGGAGAGGGACAAGGAGAGAGAGGGGGGACGCACTCGCACTCGATCTCGTACTGGCAGCTCGAGATCTTGTCGCGTTTGTGCTGCCACCCGCCGGCCTTGATCTCGAGCCAGTTCATGCCGACGATCTGCGACGCTCGACTCGTCAAGCCATGCTCGTCGTAGGGAAGGGAGAAAGGTGGACGCACGTGGTGGTCGATCATGAAGCGCAGGGTGTAGGCAATGTTGCTCTCGAACGTGAGGAGCGACGAGCCGTCGAAGAAGTCGCGGTACGTCACCTCGCCGCGCTCAAAGCCGTTGCGGACCTTGGGGTAGTTCTTGGTGTCGACGGTCGTGATCTTGATGAAGGGGACGACGGCCTCGCCCTTGTAGCCCCACAGGTTGCGCTTGTTGGCGAGCGTGATGGACCGGATCGGGCGCGTGCCGTTGAAGTAGCTCGTCTGCTCGCCCGACACCGTGAAGAAGAACGTGAGCTCGTTGAACGGGTAGAGGGGAAAGGGGAACGAGACTCGGCGAGAGGGGACGCACGTTGAGGTGCTCGAGGAACGGGACGCAGTCCGAGTTGGTGAAGCCCTTGGGCGCCGCGACCCAGAAGTACGGCAGGAAGCCCTTGACGTGCAGGAGCACCGAATGGCCGGCCTGCGTGGAAGGCCATCAAGGACGAGGTCAGCCTCTCCGCTCAAGAGGAGAGGTGGACCAAGCGAAATGAGCGCCTACGCACCTTGCTGACGCCGAACGCGCGAATGGTCGGGCCCGCTCCAGGGGCCGAGTACTCCTCGAGGTCGATCTGCTGGAAAACTGTGGGCCGGAGGAAGCGAGAGTCAGGGTCGAGGCGACGAGGACAGGGACGAGGACGAGGTGGCGGAGAGGGGGCTCACCAAAGCCATCGCGCTGCGGGTTGAGCTTGGGGGCGGCAGGACGGCCCCACTTTTCCTGCTCGCCGGTCGAGGCTGTACAAAGAGGGAAAGGGAGGCGAGTGGGGGAGGTCAGGACTCGCTCGAGAGGAGGAGGACGACGACGCCGAAGGGGGAGCAGAGGGGGGACGCACTCTCTGCCTCGAGCCGCTCGAGCAAGGACGTAAAGTTCTCCTTGTCGTCGTCCTCGGGGCCGTGCCCTGGTGCGCGCGCCTTGCCCTTGCCCTTGAGGTCCACGGGCTGCTTCTTCTTGCGGGGCGAGGGCGACTTGGCGGCCCAGATGGCGCTGAGGGGCTTGGCGTGTGCGCCTGCTGCACTCGAGGGCGGTGCGGCGTGCTCCTCGTCCGGGAGCGTGTCGGTCGTGGTCGTGGTGGTGGTCGTCGCAGGCGGTGCGTCGTCGGCGGGGAGGACGGCGTCGGCGGTGGGCTCGCCGGCGAGGAGCGCGGGCTCGCCCTGCGAAAGGCGGGGGCGCTTGGCTGCTGGCTCGGCGTCCATGGCTGTCGCGAGTGCAGGCTGGTGCGAGAGAGGGGGAGGAGGGGGAGCGGCCGTGCTGGTTCGCCGCGGCGCGACGCGCAAGGCAACAATCTCCCGAGTCGAAGCTCTCTCTCTCTCTCTCTGCTGTGTGTGGGACGAGCAACAGCGACAGCAGACTCTATGTGCAACCGCCTCTACACCGAGAGAACCCGTCTAGCCGACAAACCTCCTCGCCCGCTCGACCGCATCCTGGCACACGACCTCCTTGCCCCTCTCCTCGGCCTCGTCCTCGCCCTGCCCGAGCCGCACGACCGCCACGTTGACCTCGTCCGTCTCGTGCGGCGGCTCGAGCGTCGCGAGCTGGCTGTCGAGCATCGACGCCTTCATAAAGTGGGCCGCGCGCGCCTCCATGCGCTTGAGCAGCAGCGCGCGCGTGCCGTGCACTGCGGGCGAGGCACTCAAAAGGGTCAGTGCGAGGACTCTCATGTGACGAGGTGCGAGGAGAGAGGAGAGAGGGGGGAGTGACTCACGGTAGACGAAAAAGGTCTCGATGTGCGGCTCGAGGTGCGAGTCGGACACGACCTCGCGCCCGTCGGGCAGGTGGAACCTCGCCTCCTCGCCCCTCAGGAGCTTGCGGTACTCCTTGGTGAGGGCCGAGCACGCGACGACGCACGCGGCGCGCTCGCGCGTGATGCCCTGGCCGTGGGTGCGCTCGAGCCGGGCCGCGAGGGCGTCCGGGTGGACGTGCTGCAGGGCGCCGGCGAGCTCGTGCGAGAGGGGCGCCGAGTGGACCTCGTCGGGCGAGGGCGGGTGCGAGGGACGGTCGAGGGCGGCGAGGCCGGGAGGCGAGGTGAGGAGGATGGCCGTCTCGCGGATGCGGTGAAGCCAGGGGATGCGGTCCTGCCGGCGCAGCACGGGTAAGTTGTACGCGCTCTGAAGGTGCTCTCGAGGGAGGGATGACGAGGCGCACCTCGTCGTTGAGCGGGTGGCCGTGCGACATCTTTGCGACGTTGGCGGCCGGGTGCAGGTCGTCGCCGTCAACAAAGGGGATGCCGAGCTGTTTTGCGATGGCGAGGCCGACCGTCGACTTGCTGCATGGTTGTAGGAGCCGGTTTGAGGGCAGGGCGAGGCGGTGCGGGTGAGAGCGAGGGTGGACGAGGTGGGTTGACCGAAGTCGAGGTGAGCGAGGGGGACACAGTGCAAGGAGGGCACACGAGGAGAGAGGAGGACGGACCCGCAGCCCGAGGTGCCCATGACGATGATCAACGCAGGCAAGGGAGCCATGGCTGTGCCGTGTTGACGCGAGGCGAGCTGGCGAGGTGGCTCGGGCGAGAGTGGGGTCCGAGGCGACGAGGGCGGACGAGGTCGAGGCGTAGGGGGTTCGAGGGCGGGTGTTGAGGGAGCGGAAGGCCCGGAAGAGCTGCTAGCGGTGCTCGCAGCTGGCCTGGCCGAGTGTGTGGCAAAGACGAAGAGGCGAGAGCGGCTCGTCGGCGAAAGCTCCGCCTCGCTCGCTCGCTCGCCCACCTCGGTCCAGTGAGGGCTGGTGAAGGGCAAGCGGGCCGAGTACACAGTTGAACAGCTATTAAGAAGCCCCGCGAGCCAGCAGGGGGCGTCGAGGGCGACATCTGCCACTGCCATCTCCGACTCCGCGCCGTCTCCGCTTCCTCGTCGTCCCTCGCCTTTGCACCCAGCGACGACCTCTGTACCAGCCAGCAGGCACACCATTCAACTTTGATTGCAACCCTCGACCCACACACCCGAGCCAGCACCCGCCCCTCTTCGTCCTCGCCTCGACCGCGTTTCCCCCACCTACGACCTTCGCCAAACCATGGCCGACGCTCTCCCTCCCCCGCGCATCGACTTGCTCGTCCATTCGCCCTCTCCAGCAGCCTATGTCCCCGTCCTCAAGCTCCTCCTCGAGCCCTCGCCGCCCCTCGAGTCCCTCCTCGCCCCGCAGCTCCACCACCGCATCGCCTCGCTCCCGCCCGCGTCCCGCCCCTCGTCCTACACCGCCCTCGTCGACCTCGCCGCAGACGTCGTCGCGAGCTGGGACGTCGACGACCAGGCCGCGTTCCTCGCCGCCCACCCGCGCATCGGCGAGACCAAGAACTTGAGTACCGCGAGCCAGGGCGAGCAGGCGCCAAAGCAGGGGCAGCAGGGCACCCCGGGCGAGGTCCTCAAGCGGCTCCAGGTGCGTCCTCTCGCCTCTCTCAGCCGCTCGAGCGGAGCACCGTCGCTGACCTGCTCCGCCCCTCCCCCTCCCTCCCTCCCTCGTCGCCCGCTTTAGGTCCTCAACTCGCTGTACGAGGACGCCTTTCCCGGTCTGCGCTTCATCACGTTCGTCAACGGCCGCTCACGCGCCGAGATCGTCCCCGAGATCGAGGTGCGTCCGCCTCGCCCTCTCCCTTCCTCCGCGCCTCTCCTCCCTGCCCGAGCGCACGAGCCCTGACCCTGCCCTCAACCCCCAGTCCCTCCTCTCCCTCTCCCTCCCACCTCCCTCCCCCTCGACCCCCGAGCCCCGCCTGTCGGACCTGCGCGCCCGCCTGCGCGTCTCGCCCGCCGGCTCGCTCGCATGGCGCAACGAGCTCGAGCGCGGCCTCGGTGACATGTGGGCCATCGCCAAGGATCGCGTGCGCAAGATGGGCGTCGAGTGAGGCGTGCGGCGCGAGGTGTACCGGCGAGGAGGTGGCTGTAGTCGAGGCGGGGCGGGGCGAGGCGGTTCGTGCAGTGCGAGTTGGTCGTGCTCTCTCTTCCTCTCTCGAGACCAGGCTCTGTCACTCTCGCTCGTCACGCAAGAGAGAAAGAGAGAGAGAGAGAGAGAGCACTGTTGATGACAAGGACACGGCATAAGGAAAGGGCTTCTACGGCGTCAAGAAGGATACAAAGGACGAAGGACGAGGAGAGAGGGTACAGCGCTAGCCTGCGCGAACATGACGGAGGACGACGATAGACGACAAGTGAAGGGAGGAATGGCGCTGCTAGTGCGGGAGGGAAAGACGAAGAGAGAGAGAGGTGGGGAGGGGAGAAAGTGTCCGTCGAGCGAGGGAGGGGGGCCCGTGCGCGCTCAGGCGACGTACGCCGGCGCCGTCCTCAACGCCTCGTCGTAACCAGGCGGTGCACACAGCCACGCGCCCTCGGGGCCCTCGCCGAGCGTCGCGCGCGAGTCCTCGCCGCGCTCCTCGCGCGCCTCGCGCTCCTGCCGCCGCTGCGCCGTCTCGCTCCCGGCGGGCCCGCCGTCGGCCGCGAGGCACGCCAGGCCCGGCTCGGCGACCGACCCAATCGTGACCGGGATCAGGAGCTCGCGCAGCTTGCCCGGGAACGCGAGCGCGCCGGCGGGCGACTTGGGAAGGTGCCGGGGCGAGCGCGACGAGGGGACGTGGAACGGGTTCGACGTCGACTGGCCCGAGACCGCGCTCGACCGAGGCGACGACGGCGCCGTAAAGGCGTTCGGGCGCGGCAGCTCGAGGTCGGGCGACTGGGCGTGGAGCGCGTCGAGCGTGTCGCGCAGGGCCGGCGTCGCGAACCCGACCTCGATCGAGAGGAAGAACCGGGTCGAGACGTGGACGTGCTTGCCGTACTCCTTGGCGACCGGCGGGCGACCGCGGAACGCCGGCGAGAACCACGAGCACTCGCCGTGCGTCGTCGACGGGACCGACGTCGGCTCGAGGTCGAGCGAGGTCGAGTAGCCGTGCGCCCACCCTTGGCCGTCGGCGCCGTGCAGCGGCAGCGCAATGTCGCGGATGACGACCTCGGCCTTCTCGCTCGGGTCGGCGCCGGGCCGCGACGAGTAGGGGATCCAGCCCCACCGCGAGACGATCTCCTCCTCCTCCTTGCACCAGGGCTCGACGATGACCTCCTCCGGGTACCCGAGCGCCGACAGCGACACGCCGGGCCCGAGCCCCCACTCGTCCTCGATCGCCTGCGCGAGCGAGCCCTGCGACGACTCACGCACGTACGTCTTGCGCACGAGCGCGAGCCGCACGTAGAGGTCGGTCGGCTCGAGGGGCCGGTCGACGATGCGCAGCGAGACGGGGATGCTGGCGTGCGCGCCGGGCGAAAAGTGCGACGTCGGGAGCGACGGGTGGACGATGTGGTAGCCCGTCTCGTTGGGTTTGGGCGACGACAGGGTGAGGGTCTGCATGAGAGATGCGAAGACGCCCTTGCGGTACTCGTGCGTGAGGACGGGGAGCTCGGGTGCTGGTGCCGGGAGCGTCGACGGGAGGACGTGGAACGGGACCGAGAAGACCTTGAGCCGCCGCGGCGTGCCGTTGGCGTTCTTGACCGACGAGAAGAGCGCGATCGACATGGTGTACGAGATGCGGAACTGGGCGCACTCGAATGACGGCGGCCTGTGCGAGAGAAAGAGAGTCAGGACGAGGTCTGAACGACGACAGAGAAAGACAGAAAGAGAGACGCACAGCCGGTCCGAGTTGGGCACCTTCATGCTGAGCGGCAGGACGTAGGTTCCTGGCGGCAGCCTCGTCTCGCCGTCGTCCTCGAGGTCGACGCGACCGAGACGCTGCGCCGCCGCCTTGCGCGCCGAGTCGGCGTCGCGTTTCCAGATGCGCAGGCCGCTCGACAGGTCGATGCAGAAGTCGGCGATCATGCGCTTCGACTTGACCGAGCCGTCGCCGTCGAGCGTCTCGCACATGCCCGTCACGCCGAGGTGCATGCCGCCGAGCGACGAGAAGGCGAGCCCGGCCTGCGACGCGATGCGCAGTCGCGGCGAGAACGAGATGCGCTGCGACGGGAAGAAGGCCGGCGGGAGCGTGTGCTCGGGCTCGTCCTGCGACGGCGACGACGCGCCCTGCGAGCTCGGCGCGGACGCGTTGCCCGACGTGAACAGGAGCTTGAGCGAGAAGTCGACGGCGTTCCACGGGTCGGTGCTAACGACGGGGAGGGACGGCGCCGAGACGGTTCGGGGGAGCGCGGCGGCGACCGGGGCTTTGGGCGGCGGTCGCGGCGGGAGGATGGACGAGAGGGTGGGTGCCGACGACGAGTGGGCGAGGGTCGACCCGGACGAGGCGAACGAGGGGAGGGGAGGCGGCGCCTGGTCGAGGTGCGCCGGCGGCGGGAGGCAGAAGGACCCGGCCGACGACGACGGCGTCATGGCGCACGACGTCGCATCGCTGAACGGCGAGCTCGGGAGCGACGGGAACGGCGAGCCGGACGCGCACGAGGAGGGTGACCGCGGGCACTCTGCGAGGTCGTCGCGCTCTGCCCAGGGGACGGCCGTGCGCGGGCGGGCCATGGCGGCGGCGGCAATGTCGGCCATGCTGAACGGCTTGGTGCTGCCGAACGCCGCCGGTGCGGGCGCCGTCAAGGGCGCGTCGTCGTACGCGGCCGGCGTGTCGCGCGAGGTCGAGGCGATCATCGTGCTGGTGCTGCTGGCGGTCGGGCGAGAGGACGGCGCGTGGTGCAGCGGGGCCGGGCGGTGGATGGGGCGAGGAGGCGAGAGGGTGTGAGGGGAAGAGGAGCAAGCTGGCATGGTCGTTGGACGAGGTGAAACGGTCGGGCGAGGGGTCGGCGCGTCTTTGCTCGCGAGTCCGGGGAAGTTGGTCGACGTGAGGGCGCTCTCTCGTGACGAGCTGGCGGCTGCTCGAGGTTGGACTGTGAGTGGACGGCAGCTGGCAGTAGCCAAGGCGGTCCTCGAGCCACAGGTCCCCAAGGGCGGGCGCGCGAGCACAAAGACGAGCGAGGACAAGGGCGGCGCGCTGAGGCCGCTCCTCGACGCGTCCGTACGGCCGTTGCGCACGCTCTTTCGCCCCACGATCACAAAGTCAACTCGCCGGTGCAGATCCTCGTAACCGCTCGAGCCGTTGGCTTCCACTCCTCCTCCTCCTCCTCGCGCACGCGCCTCTCTTTGTCTTCGCGCGCGTCCGCTCTTTGTCCTCGCTGCGTACGACGCGCCGCTCAGCTCGTCTCGCGAGCTTGTACGTGTCAATCCACCGCGAGCGCCTCGTGGGCTTGTGCTCGCTCGCAGCGCAAGTTGACATTGTGCTCGTCGGAGGAGGGGTGTGACGGCGCAGCGCAGCTCGGCCTCGCTCGTCTCGAGCGCATACCTCATCAACCTGCCGTCCATGCTCTCTCGTAGCTGCGGTGGACGAGTGCGAAGCGCGAGCTTGAGGGCGTGTGAAAGCCCTTTTGTCCTCCTCTGCGAACGCGCTCGCGCCTTGCGCTGCGCCTGCTGCGCTGTCTCTCGCTGCAGCAGAGACGCAAAGGAAGCGCAAGTGCAATGCAGTGAAGATGGGCTGTACGACAAAGGGGGAGAAAAGGCACGGAGAGAGAGAGAGAGCGCGCGAGAGAGGAGCCGACGCCGACGGCGAGGAACGTGCACGGCTCGACAGGGCTAAGACGCCGGCGCCGAGGCGCCGCCGTCCGTCGTCGCAGCCGTCCCAGCTCCCGCAGGCGCCGAGGACGAGGGAGGGACAGCACGGGCCGGCGCCGTACCTGCGCCCCTGAGGCCGGCGAGCAGCGCCACCGATGCGGGCGTCAGAGTCGGGCCGTTCTTGGCCGCATCCGCCTTGATCTTGGCGCTGATCTCGCTCCCGCGCTTCTCGCGCTCGTGCAGCTCGGCGAGGCGCTTCTCCTCCTCGGCGGGCACGATCGGCCGGTTCTTGTCGTCCTTGGGGTAAGGCCACGAGAGCTTGCTCTTGATCGTCTTGAGCCCGACCCTGCCGGCGCGGTCGAACGCGTCGCACGACATCTGCCAGGGCGACAAAGGGCGAGAGTCAGTCACGGCCTGGTGCGGGTAGAGAGGCAGAGAGGGAGAGAGAGGGCGACGGACCCAGGTGTAGAAGAGCTGCGTCTCGAGCTGGATCAAGTCGTGGTACCAGAGCGTGCGCTCGCGCGTCGCGTGCTGGTAGGCCGTGTTGGCTGCGAGGGACAGAGCGAGTCAGTGACGGCAAGGGAGGGAGAGGGCCGCCGTCGAGGACGCACTCTTGATGGCGGCGGCGACGCGAGAGCCGGCGAGGAACGAGATCTCGAGGTTGATGTGCTCGATCCAGCTGCTGACCTGGTACGGGCACCTGCAGGGCGAGAGGAAGAAGGGTCAGTGCTCGAGCCGCAGGGACGGCGAGGCGGCGGAACGAGGCGACGCACCCGGCCGGGACGATGACGAGGTCGCCCATGTACTGGTAGATCGGGTACGGCTTGACGCCCGAGCGCTTGAAGAGGGCCGCACGCTGCTTCTTGGTGAGGTACATGGTCGGCGACAGGAGCGGGTCGTCGTGCAGCTCGCGGAACTTGGAGTTGCTCGTGCCCTTTGGCTGCTGCGAGTGCAGCAGGTCGAAGCAGAAGTCGCGCAGCTGTCGAGGCAGAGAGTCAGTGTCGACTCGAGGCAAAGAGGCGGGCGTGGAAGAGGAAAGAGGGAGAAAGAGAGACAGGGCGCACCTTCCCAACGTCCTCCTCGCGGAAGATGTCCCACCGGACGCGCAGCGCCTTGTCCGTCTTGGGGTCGCGACCGCCCCACACCATGTAGCTCGCGATGTCGGTGTTTGACGCTGCGGGCGAGGCGAGAGGGGGTCAGGACGCTGGTCGGGCACGAGGCCGAGGTCGAGGACGCACTCCGGAGCTTGACCGTCGGCGTCGCCGCGTCGGTGTCCCACGAGGCGAGCAGGCGAGAACCGCGAGAAGGTTGTGCGGCGTTGTCGGGCGTGTGGCCGATGCAGTTGAGGACGCCGTCGGGGTGGAAGACGTTCGGGAGCGGGAGGAACGACAGGAACTGCGACCGGCACCGAGCAGAGGGTCAGTGCGGGTCGTCGAGCGGCATGCAGGCGTGCAAGAGAGGGAGAGGTAGGGAAAGGGTGGGACGCACGTCCTCGTAGAGCTCCTTGAAGTCGCCGTACCACTCGGCCTGCTTTGGCCAGTCGCCGACGTTGCGATACGTCTTCTCGGCGTCGTCGAAGCCCAGGGCACGTCGAGCCGCCTTGCCCTCGGGCGTCATGGCGAGGAAGAACTCGCGCACGGTCATCGGGGTCGGCCGCTCGGGGCTGCGGTTGTCGACGACGTCGATGACCTGGTCGCCCCACGTGCTCGCAAAGTAGCTCGGCGTGTACTTGGCGAGCCCGACCGGCGGACAGCGACGGACGAGGATCGGCTCGCCACGGCGCCACACCTCGAAGAAGAACGGCTCATCGAACGTCTTGTGCGCGATCTGCCACACTCGGTGCGTGTCGGCGTCATACTCCTTGAGGTTCGACTTGACGCAGAACTTGTCCATGATGTACTGGATCACCTTTGGGTCCGACGCCTGGAGCTTGTGCGACGAGTGCCAGTTGCGGGCGACCTGGCGCATGCGCTCGAGCTTGCTCGCGTCGAGCCGGGTGACCGACATGAACTGCGCCGGCCGGTGGCTCTCGCCGCCCGACTGGTCCTTGCCGCGCTTCTTGGCGATGCACTTGCGGCGACGCTGGTTGTCGGCCGTCGTCGGGACCGTGCCGCCGCTCGTCTCGAGCGCGTCGTACTGCACGAGGCGGTCGTAGCAGACGGTGCACGCCGTGCGGCCGCACGTCTGGCAGATGAACTCGGCGCCGACGCACGCCGTGTTGCACGTGTCGCACGTCGAGTGCGTGACGAGGTCGTTGCGGACCTTGATCGTGTTCGGGTTGGTCGCGTGGCGCCACTCACGCTCGAATAGCTTGACGAGATCTTTCGCGAGCCACGTCTTGAGGAGCGTGCTCTGCGTCTTGGTCATCGGCGACGTGTACGGCTTGTCGAGGTTGGGCACGTCGTCGGCCTCGACCGCTGACCGGAACACGGGCCCGGTCACGATGCGCCCGCGGTGGTCGACGCCGAAAGAGCGGATGCCCATAAACGAGCAACCGTGGCCGATGCTGCGCGCGATGCACTGCCAGCACCGGGTCTGGCCGTCGACCTTCTTCGACAGGCACGTCGTCGTCTGCAGGACGTACTCGACCGGCGGGCCGAGCGGCTCGTCGTCGACGGCGACGTCCGACACGACGGTCGACTCGCGGCCGCTCTTCTTCTTCTTGGCCGCCTTGGCGCCCTCGTCGTCTTCTGGCTGACGGGCGCGCTTGGCCGGGTTGGCGACGCCGTCGGCGGTGGCGGTGGCCGACGTGGTGGTGCGCCTCGAGGCGGCGACTGACGACGACCGACTGCCGAGCGCGCTCGTCTCGTTCTCCGAGTACGTCTCGCCGAGGCCCGGCGTCTCGGACGCACGAGCCGCCGACGCCGAGTCGCTCGCACCGGCGCCGACGGGCGTGCCGTCGACCTCGACACCGCGCATCTCCTCCTCGCCGTCGCCCTCGTCCTTCTCGCCGCCGCCAAAGTCATTCTCGATAAAGTACTCGTCGGCGGCGGCAGGCTCCTGCGCGGCGGGCGCGACAGCAGGGGCGGGCTTTGCCGCCGATCCGGCGGCGGCGCGCGCATCGGCAGCGAGCGCCTCCTCGACCCGCGCATTCTCGGCCTGCGCCTCGGCGGCGAGACGAGCGGCGACGGCCGGGCTGGGGCCCGTGACGGCGGGAAGGTCGTCGAGGTCGGCGCCGTCGGGCAGGTAGTGAGGAGGGGGGTCGAGCTCGTCGATAAAGGCGGGGTGCGGGTCGAGGAAGGAGGGCGTCGACGTCTGCAAGTCGTCCTGGAGGAGGGCTGCGAGGGTGTACTAGAGGTCAGGAACAGGGGACGAGGAGAGCAAGAGAAGATGAGGACGCACTGGCAGCGAGCTCGACCTTGAGCACTGGAGGAGCCGGCGGCGACGCCTTTCTCGGCTTGGCCTTGTGCGAGCGCGGCGGCTCGGCGTCGTAGTCGTCGTCGTCGAGCTCGTCGCCGTCCTGCGCGCGCACCTCGCGCAGCGCCGACGCCTTGGGCGCACGGCCCCGCCGAGCGCCCGTGGCGGGTGCGGCCGCCGCGCCGTCGATGCCGCTCGACGCCTCCCTGCTCCTCGAGCCACTCGCGCGTGCCGCCTTGGCCGTCCTCCCCCGCCCTCGACCCTTGCCCTTGCCCGTCTGCTGCGCCGACTCGGCGGGGAGCGGCATGACGGACCCGTCCGGCGCGAGGCCCATCTCGGCGAGCCGCCGCCGCACCTTGGCCATGCGCGCCGCCTCGCGCTTGCGGCTCTCGACGAGCTCGGCACTCGTGGCAAAGTAGCCGGGCTCGTTGTCGGGCGGGATGTCGGCCTCCGGGTCGTCGCCGCGCTTGCTGCGCGCCCACGAGACGGCGAGCTCGACAGGCGGGAAGTTGGCGAAGAAGAAGGGCTGGAGCGTCGTCGAGTCGGCAGGGACGAGGGTCGTGTTGGCGAACGTGTAGGCCGACAGCGGGTGGGCGAGCTCGGAGCGGGCCGAACTGGGCTCGGGCGGGACGTCGCTGACCGCGACGGCGGGGCCGGCAGCGCTCGTCGTGTCGGACGCCGCCTCGGACGGCGTCGCATCGCGCAGGACGGGCGAGGCGAGCGGCGTGAGCTCGCTCGCGGCCGCCCTCGCGAGCGCCTTGTCCTGGTCGACCTCGCGGTCGCCCTCGACCTTGGCCGACGGCGCCGTGTCGAGCGAGATGGCCGAGGTACCGAGCGCCGCAGTCGAGGTGGAGGGTGCTGTCGAGGTGTCGATGGCGGTCGAGGGCGATGCCGCTGCGACGGGGAGCGTGTCGGCCGGGGCGGCGGCGACAGGCGCACAAGTCGGCTCGTCCGGGTTGAGCGGGCCGTCACCCATGTGGACGTCGACGATGTCGCCCTCGGTGGCCTTGAGGCTGCTGACGCGCTCCTCGGTGGCGGTTGTGGTGGGCGGCGGAGCGAGCGGGGAGGCGGAGGAGGGTTGCTGAGCTGGCGGGTCGAGCGGCATGGCCGTTGCGGGCTCAGTCGACGTGCTGGAGGGATCGAGGGGCGTGGTAGATGTAGTGCTGGCGGTTGCAGCTGGTCCAGGGGCGTTGGCGGTGTCGGTCGTAGATGGGCCCGCGGTTGCGAGGGACGACGAGGACGCGGGACCCTCAGCCGGCGCTGCATCGTGGCAAGTGTGGTCAGATCGAGTGTACTGTGTGCGTGTGTGCGCCGACGCTGGAGAGACTCACACTCGACTGGAGCGAGAGGCTGCTCGAAGACCATCAGGCGGGCGAGGTTGGATCTGAGTCGCAGGAAGAGGAGGGCGGTGGTCGACGCTGTCGAGGTCGCGCCTCTGGTGGGAGAGAGTGCGGCTACGAACTGGCGAGTAGCTCGAGCCTGGCGAGACGAGGCGAGAGGTGGAGGGAACGTGGCCAGCCGAGGTACGCTGTTCCCGCCGAGCAGCAGCGCTCCCCTCGACACACAGCCGTCGTGCGGGTCTCTGCCGCCCCAGGAGACCTCTAGACAGCTGCTGCATGAGCCTGCGCGAGTGACCGGGCCCTCTGAGCCGGGTCCTCGCCTCCTCCTCTCGCTCGCCGTCGCACGCCGCTCTCGCTCGACCGTGGGGAAAACCTTCGCGCTTTCGCCTTGTCGGCATGCTCTGCAAGAAAGGGGCGAAGCTCGGAAAGAGAGCCCAACGGGTAGAACTGCAAGGCGGGAGCTACACAAAGGGAGAAGAGCGGGAGAGTGAGCCGCTCGTCACGCGAGGCTGCCCTTCCTCGTCCGCTCGACGATCGTCGAGTTCTCGGCTGCACAGAGATGCGACGTGTCAGTCAGGAGAACCTGGCGAGGGAGGAAGACCGAGAGGGAAAGGCAGGGCGCACCTCGGACCCTCTCCTCGTACGTCTCGCCCCGGTCGCCCACGAACGTGTACCGCTCCTCCATCGTGCCCCACCCCGTCGACCGCTGCCCCTCTCTCCCCGTGATCTCGGCCTCGCCCCGCTGCGCGCTCTTGGTGACGTGCGCCGCGCCCTCAACGCCGCCGAGCGCAGGAGGGACCGACAGCGCGCGGTCGTACCCGTACGCGGGCACGTCGGCCGAGAAGTGGTGCGACGAGGCGAGGAGGGTGTAGTTGGTCGTTAGGCAGAGGGGGAACGACGAGACGTCGCGCAGGAGGAGGTGGCCGTCGTGCGTCGACGTGTAGAGCGACGAGGTGGACTGCGAGACGCTCTGCGGCGGCGAAGGGGGCGCTCGTCAGGGAGGTGTCGCAGAGAGAGACAGAGAGAGAGAGAGTGGGGCGCACCTGATACGTTCCATTGTCGTCGAACCGCTGCTCGTTGTCGAACGCGACCTCATGCGCCACCTGGACCACCTTGCGCCCCTCGCCCGTCAGAAGCTCTGCCCGGATCTCGAGCGTCCTCTGCGCGCTCACGACCGTCCTCAGCGAGGCGCCGTCGCTCGAGGGGAAGCCGGCCGAGAGGATGAGGGGCGCGGGCGAGACGTCGTACGACAGGAGGCGGCCGGTCGTGCGGATTGGCGGGTCGGACGGGTCGAGGACGAGGTGCAGCGCGCCCGTGATGAACCTGTAGAATAAGCCAACGTCAGGACAACGACGCTCGAGAGGACGAGGACGAGGGAGCGACGCACCAGTTGTCGTTGATCGAGCCCTCGTCGCCTTGCCCGAGGACCGAGAAGCTGAACACGTGCGGCTGACCGTCGCTGAGCCTGCGTGAGCCAGAACGTCAGGGACACGCTCGCGGTGAAAGAGAGGGAGAGGAAGCGCACCAGGGCAGGGCCGGCGAGACGTCGATGAAGGCGGACGGGATGTCGAACGCGCGCAGCGAGGCGAGCGGGCGCCACAGGAGCGGGTTGGCCCCACCGGTGTAGATGACGGGGAAAGGGTACACGAAGCCGACTGCGGACGACCCTCGAGGAAGGTCAGGGTGCGTGCGCGCTGAGGCGAGAGACAGGGGAAAGCTCGAGACGCACCAAGCTGCCCGTCGATCCGGACCTGCACCTCGCGCAGAGGCCCTCTGCCGATGAGCCCGGCCTCGGGGAAGTAGTCGACCCATCGCTCGAGCACGTTGCCGTACCAGAACTCCTGCAGCGTCCGAGGATCAGGCGAGTTCGAGAGAAAGGCGCAAAGAGGAGGTCGGTGCGCACCTCGTCGGCTGCCCCGGTGGCGATGACGTCGAGCCAGGCCTGGGCCGTGTTGATCGGGAGAACTGTCTCGACCGAGGCGGGACCCGGGTAGACGAGCATCTGCGACGACGTGTTGCTGCGAGTCGTGAGCGGCAGGATGAGGTCGGCGGTCGAGGCTGGCGGGCTGTCGGGCGTCGCCTCGTAGAAGGTCGCGCTCAGCTTCGTCGCAAAGACGCCAGTGTACTTGTCGGTGATGACGTTGTCGAGCTGGAACATGAGCTGGCTGGCTGTGGGCGGCACCTCGGGGTGAGCTGACTGAACGGCGAGGCGAGGAGAAGGACTGGCGAAGACGCACTTTTGGCAAAGAGGGGCGAGAACCTCGTCACGTCCTTTTCGTACGTCCAGACGATGCCGTCGAGAGTCGGCTCGGCCGTGCTTGTGCGCCATACTGCGGGCGAGAGGACGAGGTCAGCTCGAGGACGACGCTCGGTGCGAGAGAAGAGGAGGACGGGACGCCCTCTCGACATGACCGAGGCTGATGGACGCGAGTCGGTCGAACTGGGTGCCGTTCGAGGTGACGGTGAGGTTGAGGACGATGCTGGACCAAGTTCCTGGCGGACCGCAGTCGAGCGGCGGCTCAAACGTGACGACGGCGGGTTCATCTGGCGAGGGCGACCGGGTCAGCTCGGTTGTGACTGTAGGTGAGAGAGAGGGCGAGGACGCACAGTAGGAGAAGGCAAAGCTGTGCTCGAGGAGGAGGAGGGTGCACCGCCTCGCTCGGTTGGGGTTGGGGAGGAGCGGCGGGTGGTGCACCTGGAGGTTCTCGAGCGGGGCTGGTCGGAAGCCAGCGTGGTGCAAGGTGGCCTCGGCAGGGGGCAGTCGCAGGCGGGGATGCGCTCGAGGGAGCTGGTTCGATGACGACGAGAGGCGGAGCTGGGTGGCAGGGAGGGCGAGTGCGAGTGCGAGCGAGGGCACGAGGGCGAGCCAGTGGAGGTGCATGGGCGTGCGAGCCCTCAACCCGGCAACAGAGCGACAGAGGGCGCGCAACGTTGATCGAGATCAGCGGACGAGGTGGGGAACGTCGAGCAGCTCGTCGCCTCCCTGCAGCCTACGCTGCACCTGCTACCGCACAAGGACAGCGCAGACATGCTCGACCTCGACCAGCGCGTCCTCAGCGACTCGCCCTTGAACGCCGAACCCTCGCCCGCCGCCCTCGTCGCCCACTTCCTCACCCCGCCCGCCGCCACCTTCCACCGCAACCATGGACCCTGGCTCGACCTCGCACCCGACTACGCCCTCGACGTCTCGTCCGACGTCCCCGGCCTCGACACCGACCCCGCCCACTCGAGCTTCACCTGCGCCCAACTCGCCCGCTTCCCGAAACACTCGCTCGTGACCGTCCTCGCGTGCGCCGGCAACCGCAGGCAGAAGATGTCGCTCGAGAAGGAGACCGAGGGCCTCCAGTGGGGCAAGAGCGCCCTCTCCAACTCGCACTTTGCCGGTCCGTACCTCGCCTCCCGGTCTTCCTCTTCTCGCGGCCACGGCGACTCACCTTCTATCCTCCGCAGGTGCGCTCCTGCGCGACGTCCTCGCTCAAGCCGGCATCAAGCTCGACGATCTCGACAAGGACGGCAAGGCCGACAAGCTCCACGTCCACTTCGAGAGCCGTCAAACGTGCGAGGAGGACTCGTACTACGGCGCGTCTCTGCCTCTCCGCATGGCCCTGTGCGTCCCAACTCCGCTCTCCTGTGCCTCACGCGGACCCTTCACTAGACCTGACGAAGCTTCCTGGCCCCGACACAGCGATCCTGAGCGCCCTGTCCTCCTCGCGTACGAGATGAACCGGGCGCCGCTCACCAAGGCGCACGGCGCGCCTCTGCGCATCGTCGTCCCGGGCATCATCGGCGCAAGGAGCGTCAAGTGGCTCGAGCGCATCATCATCCGCGACAAGGAGGTGCGTCGACCTCTTTTCTCCATCGTTCCGCAGCCTCGCCCCGCCTGACGCTCGAGCCCCAACAGAGCGACTGTTTCTATCAGCAGCGCGACTGTGCGTCCTCCTCAATTTCTGTGTCTCGCTGCATGCCGGCACTGACAGGCTGTGCGCCCGCAGACAAAATCCTGCCGCCCGACGCGACACCGGCAACCAAGGAGGAGCACCTCAAGCGCCTTCCCGCCCTGCAGTACGTTCCCGAGCTCTCCCTCTCCTCGTTCACGCCTCGTCCTGACGGTTTTCTCGGCGCAGCGAGTTCCCGCTCAACTGCGAGATCTGCGACCCGGTCGAGGACGCCGTCGTCGAGCGCTCGTCGTCGTCCTCGCCCACGGTCCGCGTCAAGGGCTACAGCGTCGGCTCCAAAGGTGCGCCGCCCCTCTCTTCGACCTCTCTACGACCCCCTCACTGATACGCTCCTCTCGAGCAGGCGTCCCCATCGCCTCGGTCCACGTCGCCCTCGTCCCGCTCCCCGTCCCGCACCACGACTCGCCCTACGCCGCCGCGACGCCCGAGCTCGCCGACTGCGAGGTCCACCAGGTTCGGCTGCATGCGGCGACGCTCCCGAGCGAGGCGTGGGTCGAGGCCGAGCTCGATGATGGGCCGGACGCGAGCGCGGGCGAGGAAAAGGAGAAGAAGAAGCAGTGGGGCTGGACGCTCTTCTCGGCGGCGGTGCCGCTCGCCGCTCTTCCTGCCGATGCGCGCGAGGCGGCCCTCGTCGCGTACGCGACCGACGCGAACGGCGAGCGGCAGGAGCTTCAAACGCACTGGAACTTGCGCGGCGTCGCCGAGGCGAGCTGGAGCGTCGTCAAGATCAAGTTTGCGCACGAGGAGTAGCTGTTTTTCGTTCTTCTGGGTTTCTCGAGATGTGCCGTAGCTCTGTAGCCTTTGTGAATCTGTTGCTGCTGTCCCTCGTTCTCGCTCTCGCTTTCGCTCGACCGACTCTCGAGAGGCGCAGAGGAGAGCAATCTGGATGGCAAAGACAGCCTCAATCGCGGCACCGCCGTCGCCCTACCTGCCCTTGAGTCTGCGGAAGTCGAGGAACGCGCCCTTCTCGACCCATCCGAGCCCGCCGACCTTCTTGAGCCGCGCCGTGTTCGCGAGCGCTTCGCCGAGCGCGTCCCACTCGTCCTTCGTCGGGCGCACCGACAGCTTGGGCGCCTCGGACGCGCGCAGGCGCCGGACCGAGAAGGTGTAGGGCGTGAGGCGCGACGTGAGGGTGTACAGGTGCGAGAGGAGGCCCGAGAGCGGCGAGGGGGTCGGGATCGGGTACGTGAGCGAGGGGGCCAGCGAGGTCGGGGCCGGGTACCTGCGACGAGCGACAGTGAGTACGAGGGCGGAAAGAGAGGAAAAGAGAGGGAGGAGAGCGTACCTGAACGCGAGGACAAAGGTGCGCAGCGGCGAGCTCTTGGCGCCGGCGGCGGGCGTCGCGATGTCGGCGAGCTTGAGCAGGGCGCGGTTGTTCGACGTCGTTCCCTGTTGCGCACGGTGGCATGGGCAGTCAGTTTGGCTCGCTCAGAGGGTCGGGGCGCTGAGAGAACGGGACGACGCACCTCGGGGAAGACGACGACGGGCCCGACCGCCTTTTTGACCGCCGCCTCGAGGCTCTCAGCCGCCGCACCCGGCTGCGGGAGCTGGCCGCTCGCGAGGATGGCCGACAGGAGCGTGACGCGGCGCCAGCCGGCGATCGTGGACGAGGAAGAGGCGGTCGGCGAGGCGGCGACGGGGAGCAGGAAGGTCGCGTTGTAGCGGAAGGCGAGGTACAGGAGGTCGAGGGGCGAGCACGAGTTGGCGATGATGACGTCGCCCTTGCGCGGGTCGAACGGGACAGCAGGAGGTGCGCGGACCGTCTTGCGGATCTGGACGGTCTCGACCTTGACGTGGACGACGCCAAGGACGAGGAGGACGAGGCGGGCGAGGCTGGCGTTGCATGCCCTGGTCAAGGCTGCGTGGACTGGCGGTACGGGCGACTGCAGGAGAGGGCGAGTCAGTGAGGGAGGCCCGCAAACTGATGAGAACGGGGAGGACTCACGAAGATGAGGAGGATGCCCTCGACAAGGACGGTTTGCGCGAGGAGGAGGAGGACGACAAGGAGTCCGCGCACAGCTCCAAGTAGAGCGGCAACGGGTACCGTGACGAGCTGGAGCGCTGGCGGTAGCGAGTTGGTGCCGGCGGGGAGGGGGACAAGGAACGGCGCGATGCCCGTCGACGGATCCTGTTTTTTGTGGCGACAGTCAGTGCAAGGCCTAGCAGAGCGGACACAGCCGACTCACCCGCCATCTCGAGAACTTCTCGGCCATGCTGACGAGGATGAGCGAACCAGAGCCGGCTCGTCGCCCTCGACCTCCACCACTCGCACTCGTCCAGGCTTGATGAGCACGGCGACAGTGACCATGGGCCCACCCGCTACACCGACCGACGACGCGCCAGCCTCTCGCGACCCGCCCTCGCCGCCCCTCGCCTCACCTCCTCGGACTCGCTCGTCGACCCACTCGTACCCGCCTCGGTCGGCCCCGGTAGAACGGCCAGTACCGCCACTCGAGCCGCCAGACCGCGGCAAGGCCGCCTACCTGTTCCTCCTCGGCGCTTTCTCCAGTGCGTCCCCTTCGACCCTCGTCCTCCCTCCCCCCACCTCGTCCCGACTTGACTCGCTCACCGCCCTGCCCCTCCCTGACAGTCGAGACGGTCGTCTGGGGCTTGCCGTCGTCTTATGGCCTGTTCCTCGAGTACTACCAGCGCGAGGGCGTCAACGGCCATGCCGCATCAAGCTCGTTGCTGCCGCTCGTCGGAACCGTCTCGTCCGGTGCCATATGTGCGCCCCTCTCTCCTTCTCGGTCTTTCCACTGCGACGAAAGCTGACCCACATTCGCATCGACAGACCTGCTCGGCCCGCCGATCAGCTTCCTCCTCAACCCGAGACCGCGTTGGCGCCTCAACATCATCCGGGCCGGCGCCCTCATCTGCTCCCTCAGCCTCCTGCTCAGCTCCTTCGCGACAGCGGTGCGTCCAGCTTCATCTACCAACTTCTTCAGGGCACGTACTGACAGCGAGCTTGCGCAGCCGTGGCAGCTGCTCCTCACGCAGGGCCTCCTCTACTCGATCGGCGGCGCCATGGCCTGTCAGCCCATCACCACGCTGTCCCGAACACAGACGTCTACTGACACGTCGTCTCGTCGCCTGCAGACTACTCGACCTTCTACTACCTCCAGGAATGGTACGTCGAGCGGCGCGGGTTCGCCAACGGCGTCTGTTTCGCCGGTACGGCCGCGGGAGGCCTCGTCCTGCCCTTCATCCTCCAGGCCCTCCTCGAGAAGTACGGCGCAGCCACCACGCTACAAGCTCTTGTACGTCCCCATCCCCTTGCGCCTCTCGTCGGCCTTCCTGACTCGCCCTCCCGCAGTCAGTCTCGACGTTCGTACTCCTCGGCGCCGCCCTTCCGCTCGTTCGCCCTCGACTCCCTCTACCGCCCAAGAGCGCCGACATGCGCCACGAGAAGAAGGAGGAGGACCCGCCTCGCGAGGACCGCGCCGTCGTCGACGAGCCGTCGCGCCCGCAGCAGCCTGAGAAGGTTACGGCCAAGCGCCTCTTCAAGAACATCAAGCTGTGGGTGTTCCTCGCGGCAAACAGTGCGTCGATGTCGACAGCGTCTCGTGAACGAGACTCCGTACTCACCCGTTCCTCTCCTGCCCGCAGTCGGGCAAGCGTTCGGCTACTTCGTCACGCTCCTTTATCTCCCGACCTACGCCTCGGTGCGTCCCCTCTCCCCTCTCCTCTGATGAGCCGATCTGACGATCTACTTTTGTGCAGGCCGTTGGTCTGTCGGGCGCAGAAGGCTCGGCCCTGCTCGCCTCGGTCAACGGCGCATGCGTCCTGTCGCGCGTCGCCATGGGCGTCCTGAGCGACAAGCACTCGCCGCATCGCCTCGGCTTTGGGACCATGCTCGCTTCGTCGGTCGCCGTCCTCATCCTGTGGGGCGTAGCCTGTGCGTCCGCCTCCCTCTTTCTCGGACTCGGCCACGCTCTCCTTAACAAGGGGCCGGCCGACTGACCGCGCAACGTGACACAGCCACCTCCCTGCCGCCTTTACTCGTCTTTTCGATCGTCCTCGGCCTCGCCGCTGGCGGCTGGACGTCGCTGTACTCGTCCATCATCAACAGCGTCGTGCGGGACGACCCGGCCCTCGCCTCGCACCTATTTTCGACCCTGTCCTTCACTCGCGGTCTCGGCGCCCTCCTCGTGGCGCCCATCTCGACGGCACTCATTGCGCACCCGCTTCACGGTGCGTCGGCGCACACGGCGTACGGCGCTGCGGGCGGCAAGTACGGCGGCGTCGTCCTCTTTGCCGGGCTCGCGATGGGAGTGGCGGCCGGGTGCGAGGCGGTCGAGGCGCTCCTGCATTGAGTCAGACGCTACTCTGTCTCTCGGAGAATTCGAGAGAGCGTCCTCGTGTACAGTAGAGCGCGAGCTGGCCCTCCTCGGCTGGGTCTTCGAGTCGGTCGAGGAACGAGTCGAGAGCGCTCTTTCTGCCGGCTTGCTCGTCGACGAGGCCACTCTGTACAGCCCTGAGACCATGCTCGAAGCGGGAGAAAGTACGGCGACCGCTGTGGGGCGCGTAAGCTCGAGTTCAAGGTCTGCTCGGCACTCGCGTCTCTCGTTCCCCTCCCACCCCTCGGCCCTCACGACCGGGCTCGCTCAGACTGGCTCGAGTCGGTACCTGCACATCTCGACATCATGCTTCTGCTTCATGCGCGCCGCCGCGAGCGGCCGCCGACGGCGCAGGGCGCGTCACATCTTCATCAGTGCCTCGCGTCGTCCGACCTCTCTCGACTGGTGGCAACGGTTCATGGGCCTGTGGGTATCGTCGTCGAGGACTATCGCAGCATCAAGGAGACTACTGGGCCAGGCGACCGCGCTGTACGGGCTGTGGGCGACTGGTGCGTCCCCCTCCTCCCCGCCTCCCCGTGCTTGGCACCCCTCTCCCTCTCCTCTGGCCCCCTCTGCCACCTCGCGGCGCGGTGCAGGGGTCTCGATGGACTGACCCGGTCACGTTACAGGCGGAACGGCTGCGCAAGGAGAGCAGGGCGGTCCTCTGGGCGACGCGAGGCGGGCTCTCGACCTCGAGGCGGCTCGTCTTGTCCCTTTGTACGTCCCGCGCACTCTCTCTCTCCCTTGCAGGACCATCATATGGGTCTGTGCTCCTCGCCGAGCCGCACACTGACCCTCTCGACCTCGCGCCGCAGGTTAGACGCGCCCTCGATGGCACCTCCCCTTTCTCGGCCTCGAAAGCTTCCCCTCGCGCCCTTGCTGCGCCGCGCGACGGCGCCCTTTCCTCTCAGAAAGCTCTCCTCGTCGCTAGCGAGCGTCCCCAGACCGCGCAGAGTTCTTGTTCGTCGTCGCACTCGTCCTGACGGCTCAGCGAGTCGAGCCGTCGCGGACGGGTGTTTACGAGGCTGCGCCCGCCCTCACGTGCCCCTGAGGGCAGCGGGCGCACTGTGGTGAGCCGCTCGCACGGCGCGCACCCCTGCGGAGTGCCCGTGCGCCCGGCCACCTACAAAAGACAGGGGGATCCTGCGCACCCTCGCTCAAACGCTAGCTCTTGATCTAGCAGGGTTACGGCCTTCTGCTCGCGCCAGATCGGACGACGAGGTGTCTGCGATGCAAGCGAGCGCGTTTCCCGAGCTACTTTGTCGTGTAGAGCGCGAGCTGGCCTCGTCGGCTGGGTCTTCGAGTCGGTCGAGGTCCGAGCCGAGAGCGCTCTTCCTGCCGGCTTGCTCGTCGGCGAGGCCACTCTGTACAGTACCGAGAGCACTCTCGAAGCGGGAGAAAGTACGGCGACCGCTGTGGACAGCAGCGCCGTGCTCGTGTTCGACCTTCTCGCTCGCTGTCGCACTCTCTCTCTCTCTCTCTCTCTCTCTGTCTCTCGCCGGTGGCTAAAGGACGAGCGCAAACAGGACAATACAACACGCTGCCGCTCACGCGAAGAAGTCGTCCTGCTCGACGAGCTGCTCGGCCTTGGTCTTGCTCTTCCAGCTCGCGTCCTTCATGGCCGCGTCCTGGGACGCGAGCGCCTTCTTCTGCGGCTCTGCGCCCGCCGTTGTCGCCGCCGCTGCTGCTGCCGCCTCCTCGGCGCGCTTGCGCTCCTTGCGCTGTTTCCGGTTCTCCTTCTTCTTCGGCTCGCCCTCGCCCTCGACGGGGGCGGCCTCCTCCTCGGCCGCCTCGACGACCGCCGGTGTGGGCGCACTCGATGCCGCAGCCGGCGCGGGTGCGGGCGCCGCACGCTTTGGCTTCTTGGCGGCGCGCTCGTCGACGACGACCGGGGCCGCCTCGCGCTCCTGCTCCTCGTCGGCGTCGTCCCGGTCGCGCTTGGCCGAGCCCGCACCGACATCCTCCTCGCCCTCGATGCCGAGCTCGCCGAGCTCGACCTCGGCGGGCAGGTCGCCCTTGTCGAGGCGCTTGCGGATAGCGGCGCGCAGGGTTTGGCGCTTGGTCTCGGCCGGGGTGGCGTCGGCGGCGAGTGCAGACGGGGCGACAAAGGGCGCATAGACGCCGTCGGGGAAGAGGGCGACGTATTTGTCGGTCTTGGGGTACCGCTGCGAGGGGAATGGAGCGGGGAGGTCAGGGCCGGCGACGAGGGCAGGTCGGGGAGGAACGTGGGCGCACGAGGACGTAGTACAGGTCGACGCGGGCGTCGAGGAGCGTGCTTTGCGCCTCGGAGCTATCGGGCTTGTCGGCGAGCGCCTTCTTGGCCTGCTTGATCTTGCGCAGCAGCTTCTGGCGCTCTGTCGGGTCAGGCGCGCGGTCAGGCCGTGGTCTCGGGGTGCGACAGCGACAGGGGGAGGGGACGGACCGAAGAACTTGACGCCACGGTACCGCTGGACCATCTTCTTCTCGACGTTGGACTGCTCGGCCTTGACGAGCTCGCCCTCGAGGAGGGCGAGGCGGCGCTCGCTCGTGGTGCGAACGTCCGGGTTCAGGTCCTCCTGCGGTGGAGAGGCACTGGTCAGGGAGTCGCACACACGAGAGACAGGGAGAGACTGGGGACGCACGCGGGCGAGGAGACGCTTGGTCTGGCGGAGCTGAGCCTTGAGCTTCGAGACGGAGCCTGGTTCGAGGGGGGAGGGAACGGCGAGAAGGGTCAGTCGGGCAGGCTGGGCGGCCATGGGAGGAAGAAGAGACGCACCTGAGGGCACACCGCCGTGCTGCTCGTCGTCTGGCCCGTGTGAGCCCCGTCCCGAGCCCTTTCCTCGTCCTCGCGCTGATGAGGAGCCGCGTGCACCTCCCCTGCCGCGAGCAGTGCCGCGCGACGGTCCCGGATTGCTGTCTGCCATGGAGGTGGGTGGTATGAGCGTGACCTGCTGGCGGCTAGCAGTGTCGAAGTGACAGAGTCCAGCTCGAGCTCTCTCGCCCGGAAGAGGCCCAGCTCTCCTCGACCAACTCAGCCGCTCTCGGCCTGCTACGCGCCAGTCGCGGCCAGTTGAGCATGGCAACCACACAGGGCACCCTCTACGCCCCGCTGTCGCCCAGGAGCAGCTCGAAGCGGCCCTCGCCCCCGCGCGACCTCGACTCGGCGTCACAGAACAAGCGCGTCGCCCTCACCAGCCCTGCACCACCACCAGCACCACCAGCGCCACCACAAGATGCAGCCGACAAGCACCGCGCCGCATCGGGAGGTCCTGCGCCAGGAGGAGGAGGTGCCGGCTGTCGGCTCTTGTGGAGGGGGACGCTCACCACCCTCGACCGCGCGCCCTTGCATGGTCCGTCCAGCTCTCTCGCTGCTCTCCTAGCACCTCCAAACTGAACCCCGACGCGCGCGCGCAACCCACAGGTGTCGCCCTCATCGCCCACCTCTTCGCCGTCCCCTCCTCGCTCCACTCCCCACTTCCGCCCGCCTCGTCCCTCTCGCCCTTCGACGACCCGTTCTCGTCCGCCTCGTCTAACACGGCCTCGGGCGCCGACATGTGCCTCGGCCTCGAGATGCTGCGCGGCAGCCCCATCGCCATCAAGGGCCACGTCCGCGTCCGCAAGGTCGGCGATTCGCCCGACAAGGCGGCAGCGTCGTCCTCGTTGGCGGCGGGCGGTGCGGCGCCCAAGAAGGGCAAGGCGCGAGCGAGGGACGAGGACGAGCTCGAGCTCGTCGACGTCGAGACGCCGACCGACGTTCGGGTCTACGTTGACGCGCGCTGTCCCGCCACGGTCGAGTGGTTCGAGGACTCGTTCTGTCGCGAGGGAAGGGCAGGGTACGGCGTCACGCTCGATGCAGGAGGTGCGTCCTTCTCTCTTGCCCCTGTGCGGCAGGACCGTGCACTGACTCGGCCTTTGTCGCCCGCAGGCGAGGAGGTGATTCTCTTTGCGGCCCTGCCTTCCCTCTCCGACGAGCAGGAGAACCTCGACCCGTCATTCTCGTCCACGTCGACACCGCCATCGCGTCCGACCTTGACGCTGCTCCTCGGCCGTCGTGCCCGGGCGACCGTGAGGAAGCCGAGGCCAGACGACCCTCTCCCGCGAGGTGCGCCCTGCCTCCTCTCTCTCTCTCTCTCTCTTTCTCTCTCTCTGCGACACATCTGACTCTGTCATGCGCGCTTACAGAGAGCCTGTTCGCCAACAAGCTGCGCAAGACGGCCTCCCTCCCCGCGTCCGCCTTCTCGATGCCCTCCTCGACCGACCTCGCCCCGCCGCCGGCCAAGAAGCCCAAGCGGCAGACGGCCAAGGACAAGGTCATCGCCTCGCTCCTCGGCAAGAACGACGAGATGGCGCCGCCGCGCTCCCGCCCTCGCGCCAACTCGTCGCAGCCGCCGAGCATCGCCTTCCCGCCGCCGCCTCCTCTTCCCTCGGCAGCGAGTCGCCCGTTCGCCCGATCCGCCTCGTCCCGCTTTCCCTCGACCGCCTCGACTTCTTCGTACGCCTCGCTGTCCCGACAGGCGTCCCTCCCTCCCCTCGCCGCCGCCAATGTCGGTCGCCGAGCCTCGACCTCGGGTCCGACCGGCCGGCCCTTCCAGCGCACCCTGTCGCGCTCGTCGATGCTCCTCGACTCGCCGCCTGGGTCCGACGACGACTTTCCGCCGAGCGCGCCGCATGCGCAGCGCCCGTCGCGCTCGGCGAGCCGCGCCCCGAGCCCGACGCCGTCCCTGTCGAGCGTACTCGGCGACGCGGACGAGCAGGACGACGATGCCGGCGGCGAGGGCCTCGATGCTGTCGCCGACCTGCGCAGCTTTGGTGCGCCGCCGAGCGCAGCGAGGGGCGGGCGGGGCAAGGGCATGGCGCGCAGCTCGAGTTTGCCGGTCGGGCAATTCGCGCTCGGCGGCGGCGGGGCGTCGGCGTCGGCGGGCCTGGGCGAGAAGAGCGGTGCAGCGAGGAGGGCGCAGAGGGAGGGGACGGCGCTGCCGAGTGCCGGGACGAGGGAGGGCAGCGCGGTGCCGGATGGGGCCAAGGAGGGCGCGATCGAGACGAGGAACAAGAACGTGCGTCGGCCTCTTTCCCCTGCCTCACTCGAGGCATCGTCACTGACCCATCAACCACCGCAGACGGTCAAGAAGCTCACGCTGGCGCGCATGACGGCGCTCGGCTGCGGCAAGGCGCACGCCGAGTTTCGCGACGTCTTCTCGTTCACGACTCGCGGCGTCGGGTTCGCCATGGTGCGTCCTCTCTCTCTCTTCTACTCGTCCGTCGCTCGTCGGCGCTGACTGGCCTCCCTCCCCGCAGCGCTCCACGTTCAAGACCGCCGTCCTGTCGCCCGCCGAGCGCGAGCTCGCCTCGTCCGTCATCGACCAGCACCTGCGCCTGTACCTCCCCTCGCCCTCGTTCCCGACGCCCTCGCCGACGCCCGACCTCGCCTCGACCGTCGTCAAGCAGGAGCCGACGCCGGTCGCCCTTGCCCTGCCTCGCATGCCGAGCCCGCACAGCCTCGGCGACGGGCTCGACGAGGCCGTGTTGGCGGCCGCCACGGCTTCTCAGCCGCTCGCCGCAGTCGAGCACGGTGTCGATGTCGACATGGACGAGACGCAGCCGCACGAGGAGGACGCCGAGCCGACGCAGCTGCACGAGGAGGAGCGCTCGACTGCGAAGGCGGCTGTCGGTGCGCTCAGAGGCGGCGAGGACGAGGACCTGGAGGACGAGCGGGACGAGTTCGTGCTCGTGACGATGGCGGCTGGCCTGCAGGTCAAGAAGGAGGAGCCTGTCGCGTAGCGCTCTCGAGTAACGCGATCCTCGAGACTGTGCAGCCGTTCCAGCTTCGGCGTCGCGTCAGAAAGGGTCGCCTGGCTGCGCCACCGAGCCTGCGCACTGAGAGATTCCAGCGAGCACTCTCTACTCGCCCGAAGAGGTAGAGGCTGGCTGCCGCCCGTCGCGACCGGGGCGGTGCGGTCGAGGAGAACGGCGCGCCCAGCTCGCGCTTCACCACACGCCTCTCGCCCGCTCGAGATGGCACTCGAGCAACCGCAGGAGCCACAGGCGGCACCAGAGCGGCGACCGGCACCACGGCGAGGCCGCTCGCCTCACTGGATCCTCCTCATCTCGCTTCTGGCCCACTGCGCCTTCACACCGGCCATCTTCGACATCTACTTCAAGACGCCGGTCGTCGAGGTCTCGCAGAGGTTCAGCGTCGAGCAGGAGCCTGGCGCCTTGGCCAAGCGTGTCGTCCTCTTTGTCGGTGCGTCCCCTCCCTCCTCTCTCCCCCACCTCGACCACGCGAGCTGACCCTCTCCCTCCACAGGCGACGGTCTGCGAGCCGACAAGCTGTTCCAGACCTACCCAGATCGGCCGTTCGCCCTGTCCGACCCTTTGCCCGCATCTGTACCCGACGACCCGCATGCCCTCGCCGACGACCTCGATGGCTCGACCACCCCTGCGCCCTTCCTGCGCACCCTGATCCAGTCGGGCCACGCTCAGTGGGGCGTGTCGCATACTCGTGTCCCGACCGAGAGTCGGCCAGGGCACGTCGCGTTGATCGGCGGCATGTACGAGGACGTGTCGGCCGTCACCCGAGGATGGTCGACCAACCCGGTCCCGTTCGACTCGGTCTTCAACCAGTCGTCGCACGCCTTTACTTTCGGCTCGCCCGACATCCTGCCCATGTTCAAGCTCGGCGCGAGCGACCCGGAGCGCGTCGCGGCGTTCAGCTACCACGAGGAGGCCGAGGACTTTACGGCCGACGCCGTCCACCTCGACCTGTGGGTCCTCGAACAACTGCGCGAGCTCGTCCGCAACGCGTCGAGCGACTCTGTCCTGTACGCCAAGCTGCACGAGCCGGGCGTCGTCTTCTTCGAGCACCTCCTCGGCCTCGACACGACCGGGCACTCGTACCGCCCTCACGGTCCCGAGTACCACCGCAACATTCGTGTCGTCGACTACGTCGTGCGCGAGACGGTCCAGCTCCTGAGCGACTTCTACGGCGACGATGGCGAGACGGCGTTCGTCTTCACGGCCGACCACGGCATGAGCAGCCTCGGCAACCACGGCGACGGCCACCCGGACAACACGCGCACGCCGCTCGTCGTGTGGGGCAAGGGCGTCAAGCGGCGCGCCGACTGGGAGGAGCCGGCGGACCATGACGAGTACTCGCAGGGGTGGGGCTTGAGAGGGGTCAGGAGGGACGTCGAGCAGGCAGACGTCGCAGCGCTCATGGTGCGTCCCGCCTTTCTCCTCCTCGTCGCCTGTACCTTTCTGACTCTCCGAGGTCCTCGCTCGCAGTCGGTCCTGGCGGGCATCCCGTTGCCGGCCAACTCGGCGGGTCGGGTCCCGCTCGACTACCTCGACGCGTCGCCCGAGCTACGCGCACGAGCCGCCTTCGCCAATGCGAGGCAGCTCCTCGCCGAGGCTAGCGCCAAGAGCGGTGCGTCGAGCGTCACCCTCTGCTCGAGAAAAGCCGCCTGACAAGCCCTCGTCGTCGCGCAGAGCTCAAGAAGCAGCACGCCGTCAAGTTCCGCCCTTTCCCCAAGTTCGTCGACTCGCCCGCCGACGGCACCTTTTCCGCCAAGCACCACGTCAGCAGCATCATCGACCTGCTCGCCGACGGCAACTTCATCATGGCCGAGAAGCGCAGCGAGCTGCTCTCGGACCTCTCGCTCGAGGCGTCGAGCTACTTCCAGAAGTGCGTCCCCCTCGCTCTTTCGCCCTCTCAGGTCGTTCCCCTACTGACCCGCTTCCTTCCCTCAGGTACGACTGGATGCTCTTGCGCACCCTCGTCACCCTGGGCTACCTCGGCTTCATCGCCTTCACCGCCCAGACGATCCTCGTCAGCTCCCTCGCCCTTCCTCCCTCGCCATCATCCCGCTTCCCCATCGCGGCCGGCCTCCCGATCGGCGCCTTCCTGTCCCTGTGCGCCCGGTTCGCCGTCGAGCGCGTCCCGACGTCCCACTACCTCTACGCCCTCCTCCCTTCCGCCTTTTGGATCGTCGTCCTGCGCGACCCTGCGCCTTTCCTCGCCCTCGTCCGCACGACACGTACTTCCTCGATAAGCCTCTCACGGCTGTGCGCGTCGGCCGGCGCCGTCGTCCTGTCGATCCTCGCCATGGCCTACGGGTACTCGGACCGTCGCGCGTTCGCCCTCATCGCGCTCGGCATGGGCGCCATGTGGCCCCTCGCCATGCTCGCGCCCGGCGTACGAGCGACGCGTGGGCCTGTCCTGTCGAGGTGGGCGGCGGCGATGACGGCGTTGGCGGTGTTCCCGATGTTGCCGGTCGAGAAGGGCGAGAACCTGAGCGTCGTGTACGTCCCCTCTCGTACCTCTTTCTCTCGCGCGCCTCTCTCGCACCCTGACTGACTCAGATATCTGCAGGTCGAGTGGAGCTGGGCTCCTCATCGTCATGGCGGTCCTCGCGCTTCGACTGCTCAAGGACGACGCGTCGCCGACTTGGGCTCGCACGCGTCGGTTCCTCCTCGCCGAGGTACGCTCTCGTGCCCCTCTCTCTCTCGTATTTGAGGAAATTCCTCACCCAAAGCTTCACGTGCGCAGGTCGGCCTCACCGCAGCTTGCGTCGTCGTCACCTGTTCGTCCGCCCTCAGCCTACAGCGCAAGCAAGGCTTGCCGGTCCTCAATCAGTACGCCGGCTGGTTCATACTCGGTGCGTGAGCTCTCTCTTTATATCTCACCCGTGCGCAATACTCACACCGTCGCTCGCACCTGCAGCCGCCTCCTCGTCCCTCCCTCTCGTGCACGGCCGGCCTCGCGGCCAGCCCTACCCTGAGCGACTTGCTGTCCTCCTCTTCGCCTTTGCGCCCTCCTTCGTCATCCTGTCGCTCTCGTACGAGGCCCTGTTCTACGGCGTCTACGTTGCCGCCCTCATCGCCTGGGTCCAGCTCGAGTCGAGCCTCGCCGCAGAAGAGCCCAACGACGACGGCCGCATCAAGCTCGCACACGTCCACGTCAGCCTCTTCTTCCTTGCCTTCCTGCACCTCGGCTTCTTCGGCGTCGGGAACGTCGCGAGCATCTCGTCGGTGCGTCCACTCTCGTCCTCCTCGTCGCTCGCCGAGACCGAGGCTTACCTGCCTCTCGAGGCGCCCGCAGTTCTACCTCGAGCCCGTCTACCGTCTCATGACGGTCTTTGCGCCGTTCCCGATGGTGCGTCCTCCCTTTCTCTTTCTCATCGGCCGGGCCTCGTCCGCGAATGACGAGCCGACGACCTTCTCGAACAGGGCGCTCTCCTCCTCTTCAAGCTCCTCATCCCTTTCGTCGCCCTCGCCGCGGCCTCGAGCGTCATCAATCGACGGCTGCATCTTCCGCCGTTGTCGCTCTTCCTCGTCGGCTCGGTCCTGTCCGAGCTGCTCACCATCTTTGTGCGTCCGCCTCCCTCCCTCTTTCTCCCTCGTCTCTAGCCCTCTCCCGCCCGAGCGCCTCCTCTCGCAGAGTCGCTCGAGACTCTCTCGTACCCTCGCTCGATAGTGCGACCCGCACTGACACGCTCTCGCCCGGCGCAGTTCTTCTTCCGGGTCACCGACGAGGGCTCGTGGCTCGAGATTGGCAGCAGCATCACCAACTTTGTCATCTGTTCCGCCCTCGGCCTGTTCAGCTCGGCGCTGTTGGCCGGCGGCGAGTATCTCATGGCGGGCACGACTGGATAGAAGCGAGGGCGAGCGGGCGAGCGGTTTTGGTGCGGTGCAACGCGAGCATGGTTCACCGTGCGTCCCTAGCCAGGCGTCGAGAGTCGAGAGCAGCTCCTTCGATGGACGAGAGCAGGGCAAACATCGCTGCCCCAGCAGAAAGACTCGGCGAGAGACAGAGCAGAGTCGAGCGACGAGGAGCGAGAGGCGAGGACGGCTCGGGGCTGGCCAACGCTTCGGCAGCCGCGAATAGCAAGGTCTCTGACAGCTGCGGGCCGCAGTAGCACGCTTCACAGCGAGGGAGGGGCGGTGAGCGGGAGTCGACGAGGCGAGCAGCCGGGTCGCTCTCCTCCTCGCTCAACCACCTCCACGCACGGCTCAGCGTCGCCTGCCGTTGCCATGGACCGCTTCCAGCGGCTGCACCGCTTCTTGCAGCACGCCCTCAGCAACCCAGCACCGGCCCACGACCCGCAAGTGCTCGCCAAGTTGCAGCTCAAGCTGGAGCGAGCCCGACCCGCCTTCCTCGCCTTCCTCGACACGCCGGCCAAGGACGCCAAGCAGCGGGAGCAGCTCAACAAGGGTGCGTCCCAACTCGTGCCCCTCGCCTGTCCCCTGAGCGTGTGCTGACCGAGCCTCTTCATCTCCCCCTCCTCGTCCCCCTCCCTTCCCCTTTCCTCAGGCTCGTTCACCTACGTCGCGACGGGCAACTCGTACCCGGCCAGCCCCGCACTCGCCAAGGAGATCCTGTTCCTGTCCGACGCCATCGATGCGTCCGAGGAGCTGTGCGCCTCGCTCGTCGCGTGGAGCATCAGCGCCAAAGCCCGCCCCGGCCGCAGCAAGGCCGAGAGCGGCCTCCTCGTCTACCTCGACGAGCGCGCCTCGCTCCTCCTGTGCCTGCACGAGATCTGGCGCGGCGCCATGTCGGCCGACGAGCGCGTCGTCGCCTCGGGCATCCAGCGCGTCCTCGAGCGCGAGGTCCAAGAGCTCACGCGCGGTCGCGGCGCCGAGGTCGAGCTCCGAGGAGCGGCCAAGGCCAAGGGCTCGTGGGTCGAGAAGGTCGTCGGCGCCCTCGAGGCGTGCCAGGCGCAGGCCGACAAGTTGCGCGCGTCGCTCCGAGGACCTGTCCCGTCGTCCAACGCTCTCGTGCCGGCAGGCCAGAGCCCGTCGTTCCCCGACGAGACGACCGAGATGCGCGTGCAGCGACTCGAGGAGGAGCGCCGCCTCATCGCCCAGCTCGTCTTCTTCATCGGCGCCAGCCGCACCGCGAGCAAGGACGAGCTCCACCTCCTCGTCCGCCAGCTGTCGACCGCCACCCTCGCCGACAGTACCGTCACCTACCTCCTCATCTCGATCCTCGCCGCCCTCGACACCTCGAACGAGTCGACCGCCCAGCAGGCCTACCCGCTCTTCACCGACTCGTCGTTCGTCACCCGCATGAAGGCCGACCTCGCCTCGAACTGGACATCGCCACAGCTCAAGGCCGTCGTGCAGCTCCAGTGGTCCCTGTTCCTCGACACGGCCGCCCGCATGGTGCCCAACTTCGAGACGGACGGCGGCGAGGCGGTCGACAGCCTCACGTGGGCCGCCGTCGACGCCGGCGTCTTCACGTTCCTCGGCCGGTCGGTCCTGTCGTTCAAGCGCGACCAGGAGCTCGACGAGATCTGGAGCGGCATCGGCGGCGACGCGCCCGCGCTCGGCGGCGACGTGCCGGTCGACCCGGCGTTCCAGGACCTCGTCCTCGAACTCGTCGAGCTCCTCGTCGTCGAGGTCATCGCCAACCGCATCTCGATCCTGCGCAAGCTCCGCAACCGCGAGGAGGATGTCGTCTCGACCTCGCACCGCGGCGGCGGCTTGCGGTCGTCGCGCGGCGCGGCCGAGAGCCAACCCGCCCAGCCCCGACACGACCTCGAGGCGTTCTTCCTCCTCATCGCGACCCTGTACCGCAACAACCCTGACGGCGGCCTCAAGTTCTGGGAGGAGACGGCGTCGGACGCGTCGACCTCGGCCGTCGTCAGCACGACGAGCAGCCGCCTGTCGGCCTTCCTTCGCTGGGGCAGCGAGTGCCGCCCGCCCGCCATGATGCGCGCCTACTACGAGATGGTCGCCGCGCTCGCGTCGGGCCCTCGGTGCGCCACGTACGCGTTCGAGTTCCTGTCGCTCGGCGGGTCGGTGGACGGGCACGCGCAACACGGCGCGTCGTCGTCGTGCTCGTGGGCAGCGCTGTTCGGCGCCCTCGAGTTCTACCTCAACAACCTGCCCGACCGACCGCTCGAGGCCGGCGCCAACGCCGAGGGCGCCATGGGCGAGATGCCGCCCGAGGAGGTCCCCCTCCTGCGCTCCTTCATCCGCCTCCTTCGCCAAGTCGTCGCCTACTCGGACGTCGCCCGCGCCACCCTCGTCGACAGCCAGCGCCACCGCCCCGTCCCGACCCTCCTCGCCCTCGCGAGCCGGTCCATCCCGATCGAGCTCAAGGCGAGCCTGCTCGCCGCCATCGAGGCGTTCGCTCGCCCCGGCGGGTCGTTCGGCGTCGACGTCGCGCGCAAGACGTGGGCCGCGCTCGAGCAGAGCCAGATCCTCCCGACCTGGGCCGTCTCGGAGGGTCGTGACGTTCGCGGCGGCGCCGGGTTCGCCGGCTCGCGCTCGTCGGGCGCGCTCATGCGTGGGCCCGACCCCCTGACGCTCGAAGGCGGCATCATCACCGAGCTCGAGGAGGTCGAGGCGCCCAACAAGGTCTACCCCGAGTCGACGGCGTTCGTCCAGCTCCTCAACACGCTCATCCACACGCCGGTCACCGGCGAGCCCGTCCGCCGCGGCGCCGAGCTCGACACCAACACGATCCCGGACGGCCTCGGTGCGCCCAACCGTCCGCCCGGCGTCGACCCGTACCTCAAGTTCGTCATCGACGACGTCCTGCTCAAGGCCGGCCAGCGCGAGTACGCCGACCCGCGCGAGCGGTGGAAGGTGACCGACGTCTGCCTCGCCTTTGTCGAGAAGTGCCTCGTCAGCTTCGACGTCGGCCCGTTCCTCGCATGGGCGGCGAGCGGCGGCCGCACGTCGGCCGGTGGCGCCGCCTCGCCGCTGCAGCAGCTCGTCGCGCACCCGGGCTTCGACGTCCTCGCGCGCCTGCTCGGCGGCACGGCGCTCCTCGAGACGGTCCTCACGATCGTCACCGCGGGCTACGACTCGATCCGCAACAACCTCGCCGGCACGCCCCTCTTCACGAGCTGCATGCTGCGGTGCCTGCGCATCCTGCGCCGCACGCTCGACATCCAGGCGCCGTTCCTCGAGGTCGTTCTCCCGTCGCTGTCGGACAGCTCGGTGCACGTCCCGCAGGACAAGGTCGGCCGCCTCAAGGCGCTCACGCCCATAGACCAGGCGTTCCTGTACAACTCGGAGGTCGTCGTCCAGGTCGCCCTCCTCGTCGCGTGCGAGGAGGACAACGAGATCGCCCTGTGCGCCGTCCAGCTCCTCGCCCTCGTCGCCGGCTCGCCGTTCTTCGACGTGCAGCAAAAGTTCCCCGAGCAGTCGCGCACCAAGATGAACCGGCTCGTCGGCCTCCTCCAAGCGTCGCCCGAGACGCTCCGCATCCAGGAGGCGTTCGTTCTGCGCCTGAGCGACGACGTGCCCGAGTCGGAGCTCGAGGCGCCCGAGTGGCAGCCCTCGTTCGACGACGCCGTCAACGCCGAGGAGAAGGCGACCAACGCCGACGGCCTGCGTCGCGCCATCCGCACCGCCATCCTCGACCTCTTCCTCGTCAACACGCGCACCGACAAGACGGCGCCCAACGTCGCCCACCTCCTCCTTGGCTTTGACGTCCAGGCCCGCTCGGACGAGATGACGATCGACGACCCGGAAGCGGCCGACACGGTCCGCACGGGCCTGCACGTCGTGCTCGACCTGCTCGCCCAGAACGTCTCGGACGACGACACCGAGGTCCAGGTGCGCTCCCTGTCCTCTTTCTCCCTCCACACTCGGCGTCGCAAAGCTCTGACCCTTCGCCTCGCCCATCTGCAGGTCTCGGCCCTCGCGCGCCACCCGACGCTCGCCGCACAGTGCTACCGCCTCGTGCGGCAGCTCTGCATCCACCCGTTCACGTCCGCCGTCGTCTCGCGGTACCTGCGCAATCGCGAGCAGTTCTTCCTGCGCCAGTCGCTCGCCCTCCCGTTCGCCGTTCCGCCGGCGTCGCAGGGCGCCCTCGGCGCGGTCCAGTACGGCGACGGCAAGCAGGTTGTCACGTCGTCGGCGGCCGTGTGCGCCGTCCTGCGGTCCGAGGCCGAGCTCCTCGAGTCGGCCGCCCTCGAGCTGAGCGTCCTCACGACGGGCACCGACGTGCGCCGGGCGGGCGAGCTCGTCGCCGCGTTGCTCGAGACGCCCAACGTGCTCGACGACGACGTGCCGGCGTTCCTCGAGCAGGACGGCGGCATCGAACAGGGCCTGCCGCGCATGCTCGAGATCTTTCACTCGTTCGACTTTGCGTGGCACGACTCGATCTCGCCGGCCGAGTACCGCCTCAGCCTGTTCGCCGAGCTGCGGTTCGACTCGTGCCTGCGCCGCGACGCGAGCGGCTGCGAGACGTACGAGTTTGGCGCGCTCCTCGCGCTCCTCGGCGCCGCGCGGCGCGAGCTGCAGAACCGCGGCCTCGTCAGCACGCCGCAGCAGCAGGACGAGGTCAAGCGCGAGACGCGCGCCATCGTCGAGACGCTCGTCGTCGAGAACCACCGCCGCGAGATCCAGTTTGCGCGGTTCCAGGCGCTCAAGGCGTGGCGCAACCTCCTCGACATCGTCCTCGCCAAAGCGTTCGACCTCGTCCCCGTCGAGAGCCGCCACTCGCTCGTCCTCGACCTGTTGTCGGCCATCCTCCTGCCGCTCGCCGCGTCCGAGGTCGACGCGTCGATCAGCGAGCTCCTGAGCGGCGCCGCCGTTCTCCTCGCGACCAAGCTCCGCGACGAGACGGTCGGCGTCCTCTTCGTCGAGTCGGGCGAGTCGGTCCAGTCGGTGCCGCCCGAGCGCCTGCACGCCGTCCTGCGCGCCGTCCTGCAGGCCATCCTGCAGCCGGGTGTCGCGCCCGTCGTCCGCGGGAACCTGTACGCCGTCGTCCTCAACTACGTCCAGTACTCGCACAAGCTCGCGGCGATGTCGCCCGCCCTGTCGCGCACGCTCGACGACTCGGCGAGCGTCGCTGGCTCGGCGGCTGCCATGGCCGTCAGCGACGACGTCTTCTCGCTCGACGGCGTGTCGACGGCCGGCGGAACGGCGAGCGGGCGCCGCACGGGCCGCAAGACGGCGCTCGAGCAGGGCAACTTCTCGATCTTCTCGTCGGCGCTCGAGCGCCTCCTGCCCGTCGTCTGCCGCGACGCCGCAGTCGGGCACGAGGTGTGGCGCACGGTCGCGTTCACGGTCCTCGACGCGCTCGTCGCCATTGCCGACGAGGGTCGCGCCACGAGCAAGGTCCTCGGCCTCCTCGCCAAGCAGGGCTACCTGCAGAACTTCATCGCCGCGCTCAAGGACGCCGAGGCCGACCTCCAAGCCACCCTGCAGCCTGATCCTCGTGCGTCCCCTCTCTCGCGCCCCGGCCTTGCCCTCGAGGAGACCCAGCTCACCCACTCTCACCTCTCGCAGCGTCGCTCAACGCCCTCTACGTCTACGAGGCGCAGATGTCGTTCCTGATCCGGTTGGCGTCGACCCGGGAGGGGGCCGAGAAGCTCCTCGCGGCAGAACTGCTCGGCCGCCTCGCCGAGTGCGAGTTCCTCGGCGCTCGCCCCGTCGCAGACACGTCTTCCATGGGTGCGTCCCTCTCTCTCTCGTCCTGCATCGTCTCTGCGGCACAGAGCGTCACTGACGGTCGGACCTCCCCCCTCGCAGAATTCGACGGCTTCATCCCGCCGGCGACTGAGCGGCATCATCAGCTCCTGCTGCCGGCCCTGCAGCTCGTCGTCAACACGCTCGTCTCTTTCGGCGCCGAGACGGCGGTCGCGACTCGGCAGGCGCTCGCCTTTCTCGCCGGGCAGCGCGAGAACCTCCTCATCGCGCTCAAGGACTGCGCGGCCAACCAGACGACGGCGCTCTTGCGCGAGGCGCACCTCATCATCACCCTTCTCGGCATCGTTCTCCCGTCTGTGCCCGACGACGACCTGGTGCGCCCTCGCTCCCTCGTCGTCTCGCCTCCTCGCCGAGGTGTCCCTGACCCCCTCTCGCGCCCCGCAGTCGACCCTTTCCTCGTTCGGCGGCCTGCACTCGGCGCTCCTCGCTCTTTCGGCCAAGATCTGCGGCCCTCAAGACTGGGTCGCGCGCGTGACGCCGTCCAACGATGTCGAGCGCGAGGAGGACCAGACGCTCGTGCTCGGTACGTCGTCGACCGCGTCCTCCTCTCTCCTTCTCGTCCTCTTTCTTGTGTGTGGCCTTTCTGACTCGGGTCCCGGCTTCTGCAGCTCTGCGCAACAACTCGACCATCTTCGGCGACAAGGTCGACACGCTCGTCGAGTCGGTCGAGGCGGCGCTCCTGACGTACCAGAGCGTCGCGACCCGCAAGCGCGCCGGCACCAACGCCTTCCGCCCCGTCCTCCTCCCGTCGCTCAAGTACGGAGAGCACGGCGCGTCGGGCCAGTCGCTCGGGTCGCTGTGCGCCTTCCTGCGCGACGCGTCGCAGGTCCTCTCGGCCCGGCTGCAAGAGCTCGACACGCTCGCCGACATGCTCGACGGGTTCGACTCGAAGCCGCTCGACGAGATCGAGGACGTGTTCGAGTTCCCCGTCGAGGACGAGGCCGAGGGCGACCGGCGAGCCAAGATCGGCCAGGAGCTCCACTCGCTCCAGGACAAGTGCCGCCTCAAGCTCAACGCCTCGCTCCGTGCGTCCCCTCGTCCCTTCTGCCTCTCGAGCTGCCGACACTGACACGGTGCGCACCCGCAGACGTCCTCGAGCTCGCGCTCCTGCTCCTGTTCCGCCACGCGAGCTTCTACCTCGACGCCGACCGCACGTCGGAAACGGGCGCCTCGTCGCGGCCCGACGTCGGCCTCGGTCTCGCCGGCTCGCTCAAGGCGCGCAAGGACCCGGCCCTCGCCCTGTCGGTGTCGCAGTTCGACCTCCCGGCCCTGCGCGAGGACCTCGCCGACGAGTTTGCCCGACTGTCTGAGCGATTGACCGCGTTGCAGTTCGTGCGTGGCTCTCTCTCTTCAGCCTCTCTCCCCTGGACGTACTGACCATGCTTTCTCTCTCCCTCGCAGTCGCAGCAGAACGTTGGATCGGGTTGGCGGCAGCGCGAGGCGTTCGTCGGCGTGGTGGTGCGGCGGCTGCAGGACATGCTGAGCGGGCAGGCGTAGACGTTGGGCCGCATGCGTGCGTGTGTGTATGACTGATGAGCAGTGCAGTCCTCTCTCGCTGTCCTTGTCTCCCGCTGCCGTCGCGAGAGTCGCTCGACGAGGCGGTGCACGGCGACGAGCTTGGACAGACTCTCGCTCGAATCGGCTCTCTTGCGCGAGCGTGGAGCTTGGCTCTGGGTACGAGAACGTGTACGGCGCAACGCAAACTGCAGCGAGAGAGAGAGAGGGCGCAGGAGCGCAGCGAGTGAGCGTTGGGCGCGCGGAGCAAGCTCTCCTGGTCCAAGTCCTCTCGCCTCGTCTACACGCCCTCGGCAAGACCAGCTGTCACCTTACACGACTCTACGAGCGGCTACGACGACCTAGGTGAGCTCACCGTTCCTCCCGAGCGCAGTCCTGTCGCGCTCGAGTGCCCTCCTCCCCCTCATCTCGAACGACGACGACTCGGCGTCTCTGCCACCGACACGGCCCGACTGGGCGAACGAGAGGGTTCGCCATCCTCTGTAGGACGTGTACTGATCCTTTGCGCACCGTCTCCCCCGGCTCTGCCCGCCCTCGTCCCCGTCGCACGCCCGCCCGCAGACCAGCCTTCTCCGCTCCCCGCCAACTCGCCTTCCTTTCACCTTTCGCCATGGTCCCCAAGCCCGTCTGGCATGACCGCCCCGTCGAGAAGACGTACGACCCCGAGGTCAAGACCGACGCCGCCGTCCCCGAGCTCGAGACGCCGCTCGCGACCAAGGTGAGCGGCCGCTGGTGGAAGGGCGACAACAAGCCGACGGTCCGCACCTCGGCCGGGAGCAAGAACAAGGACCAGCTCGACAAGGCGTGGAAGGCGCGAGCCGAGCGCAACCAGCGCGACAAGGCCGTCAAGCTCATCGAGAAGTGCGTCGCCAGTTCCTCTGCCTCGCCTCCTCCCTGTTGCCCCAGAGCTGATCCGGGTGCACCTCTTGCAGGGAGATCAAGGAGGAGAAGGTCGCCGACCTCGAGCGCAAGAAGGAGATCACGAAGCAGCGCCGCGAGCGCGAGGCCGAGAAGCTTCGCCTTGAGCAGATGGCGGCACGGGTGCGTCCCGCGCCTTTTCTTTGCGATTCGGTCCTCGCACCCCGTACACGCATTCTGACCTGCTCCCTTTACCTCTGCAGATGAGCGCAAAGAAGCTGCAGCGCATGAAGAAGCGCCTCGGCCGCAGCAAGAAGGTTGCCGGCTGAGCGTTTCTGCGTTCCCTCGTCCTGCGGGCGGTCTCTCCCCTCCTGTTGTACCTCCTTCCTCCTCCTCTCCTGTTGTAATGGGTACACCGGGTCAAGCTCACGTCTCGTCAGCGAGCCGCACTGGACCCGTTCGTCTCGCGTTGTCGCTAAAAGGAGAGGTCCGAGTCGCTTGCTGTACAACCTCGCTCTTTCTGGACGATGCAAGGCGGGATTGACCTATCGAGACGAGCACTCGACGATGGGCCGAAATCTGCAGCCCGCTTTAGGCAGTGCCCGCTCGACTCTGCGCTCCCGAGAAGGTCCAGGAGGAGGGACTCGATTTCTCGCTGTACAACCTCGCTCTTTCTCGACGGTGCAAGGCGGGATCGACCTATCGAGCCGAGCACTCGACGATGGGCCGAAATCTGCAGCCCGCTTTAGGCAGTGCCCGCTCGACTCTGCGCTCACGAGAAGGTCCAGGAGGAGGGACTCGATTTCTCGCTGTACAACCTCGCTCTTTCTCGACGGTGCAATGCGGGATCGACCTATCGAGACGAGTACTCGACGATGGGATCAAAGCTGCAGACCGCTCGAGGGAGGAGGAGGAGGTCCAGGAGGAGGGACTCGATTTCTCGCAGGGTATCACGCGAAGCTACTGCGAGGCTCTTCCACCGGGACGAGGAGAGACCGCAAAAGCGTATCCAAAGCGAGAGCAAGCTGTAGAGGAGAGACGACCGGAGCCGCTCGAGCCGCTTCCCTCGCCGCAAGCTGCCAGCCGCTCACCGTCGCTCCTCTCTCAGTAGCTGCTCGCGAACCGGGATGGATGAAATGGCATGCACGCTACAGGGAGAGGACACTATATAAAAGGCTCTAAGGGAGGCTAGAAGAAGGGGAGCCGCAGACGAGGCTGAGGAGGGCCATGCGGACGAAGAGGCCGTAGCGAGCCTGGCGCCAATAGGCTGCCCGACGCTGGTCGAACTGTCGGTAGAGAGAACTGTCAGAGCTGCGCTCGACTCAAGACGACGAGAGAAGGAGGAAGAGGGACGTACGTCGACGGCCGTGTCGAGCTCCTGGTTGCGCGGGAGCGGGTGCATGACGATCGTGTGCTCCTTGGCGTTGGCGAGGACCTCGTTGTTGATGACGTACGCGTCCTTGACCGACTCGTACTCCTCGAGCGTGTTGAAGCGCTCCTGCTGGACCCGGGTCACGTACAGGACGTCGGTGCGGCCGATCACGCTCGCGAGCGAGGTCGTCTCGAGGACCGGGACGCCCGCCTTCTCCGCCTCGGCCTTGACCGACTCGGGCATGGAGAGCGACGGCGGCGCGACAAAGATGAGCGAGATCGAGTACAGCGACAGGAGCTTGACGAGGCTGTGGACCGTGCGCCCGTTCTTGAGGTCGCCGACCATGGTGATCGTGAGGCCGTTGACCGTGCCGAGCTCCTCGCGGATCGTGTAGATGTCGAGGAAGGCCTGCGTACGGGAGGAAGGGAAGGAGGGAGGGAGAGATGAGGGTCAGACAAGATCTGGAAGGGCCCGCCGACCACCAACGGCGAAGAGAAGGAAAGAAAGGAGAGGGGGCGCACCTGGGTGGGGTGCTCACCGATGCCGTCGCCGGCGTTGATGATGGGCACGGGCGAGTAGCGCGCGCCCTCCTGCGCCGAACCGGCCGCCGGGTGGCGGAGCGCCATCACGTCCGAGTAGCACCCGAGGGTGCGGACCGTGTCGGCGAGCGACTCGCCCTTGACGACCGACGACGTGCCCGGCGTGACCGTGATGGTCGAACCGCCGAGGCGAGCCATGGCCGCCTCGAACGAGCACGAGGTGCGGGTCGACGGCTCGTAGAACAGGTTGGCGAGTACGCGGCCGCGCATGATGTCGATCGGGATGCCGCGCTCGGTGAGCATGCGCATCTCGGATGCGACGCCAAAGAGCGTGTGCAGGTCGTCGCGGGTAAAGGCGCGGACCGACAGGACGTGGCGGCGGTGGTAGGCGCGCGCCGACTGCGACAGGAGCTTGAGGAGGCTGGCCATGGGCGTCGACGGGACGACGGCCGACGACGTCGGGGCGGCGAGCGACATGAGGCTCGGCTGCAGCATGTGGTCGGACGCCTCGAGGAGCGGCGACCTCGAGCCGAGCTTGGGCGACTTGGTGGCGAGGGCGGTAGGCGCAGCCGACGGCGTCGTCGGCGACGCGATCGACTCGCGCGAGGGGAAGCCGAGCGACTGCATCGACGGGCGGGTCGCCGAGACCGAGAAGCGCGCCTGGCGGCGCTCGGTCTTGCTCGCGCCGGCGAGCGACGACAGGTCGTGGCCGGCGAGCGAGACCTTGGACGGGACGCCGTCGAGGAGGACGGTCGTGCCGCGCAGGACGACGCGGTGGACGGTGCCGGCGAGTTTCTTGCCCTCGAGCGGCGACCAGTAGCTGCGCCTCGGGACGATGACGGTGCGGTCGATCTCGACCTCGACGTACGTGTCGGCCGGCTGCGGCGGGAGGTCGAAGATGGCGCGAGGGTTGTCCGACATCCTCGACGTGAGGTCGTCGAGCGACAGGCGACCCTCGGTGACGGCCGACAGGAGGAGCTGCATGGCCTCTTCGTGGCCGGCGGCGGGCGAGTACGGCTTGTCGAGCTCGGTCGCGAGGCGGTACGGGAGGGCGCCGACGGCGAACACGTCGATCGTCTCGAGGTGCGCCCACAGGGCGGCCTGGTCCTTGGCCGTCGGGAGGCACGTCGCGCCCGGGTACTGCTCGCGCGCGAGGAAGAGCGAGTAGACCGAGACGTCGCACGTCACCTTGAGGTCCTTGTCCTTGGACAGGCTGATGAGCTGGATGTCGTTCTCGGTCTGGACGTTGGTGACGTGGACGCTGCGGCCGTGCAGGCTCGCGAGGAGGAGGACCGACGCGAGGTCGGTCGTGCGCGCGTCGGTGACGATCGGCTTGTTGAGCGGCCACGCCTGGAAGTGCGCAGCGACCGTCGACACCTTGTCGGGCGAGGCCGACAGGATCGACGCCGACAGGAACAAGGTGCGGGCGGCGCCGATGAGCTCGCTCGTGAGGTTGCCCGCGTTGTCGGCCGTGGCCGCGATCGACAGCGAGTAGTCGCACGCCGCCGTCGCCGCGTTGTCGCGCGCGATGTCGAGCGAGGCGCGGTCGGTCACGCTCGACTTGGCGCCGGTCGGGAGGACCTGGACCGTCATGAAGCCGCCGGCGAGGGCGGCCTTGGTCGCCTCGGCGAGGTCGGTCGAGCCCGGGATGGCGACGCCGGGGACGAAGCACCTCGTGTTGATGAAGCCGGGGAGGACGACCGTGTGCGACGACGTCTTGTAGTCGACGTTCGAGATGGCGAGCGACGGGTTGCGCGCGAGGGCCTGGATGAGGAGCTTGGCGCACTTGACGTTGGTCACGAGCGGGACGGCAAAGTCGACGGCCATGCGACGCGACAGGTAGCCCTTGGACATGTAGCTCGCCGGGCGGCGGTACCGGTTCTTGGACGGCAGGTTGACGTACAGGTCGATCAGGTTGTTGGCGATGTGCTCGCGCAGCGAGTACTCGGACTTCTGCGCGGCACGGTCGTCCTCGTCGTCGAGCGCCTCGAGGTACTTGACCGGGATGCCGTGCTCCTGGAGGAAGTCGGACGTGCCGCTCGTCGCGAAGATGTTGTACCCGAGCGCGTGCAACTTCTGGATCGACGGGAGCATCTCGAGCTTCTCCTTGTACTGGCCGATCGAGAACAGGATGTTCTTCTCGGGCATGCGCATGCCGGTCGACAGGAGCGCCTTGAGGTACGCCTCGTACTTGTCCTTGCCGAAGCACGCCACCTCGCCGGTCGACGCCATCTCTGCGACGGCGAGCGCGAGGGTAGCCCGTCGAGCGAACGAGAGTGCGAGAGACGAGAGAGAGGGAGGGAGGGAGGGAAGGAGAGGGAGAGTCAGTGCAAGTTCGGCGACGAGGGAGGGAGGAAGAGGGGAGAAGGGACGCACCGACGCCAAGGATCGGGTCTGCGCCGGCGAGACGGCCGAACGAGAACTGCGGGACCTTGATGCCGACGTAGTCCTTGGGCAGGTTGAGCTCGGGGTAGGGCGTGACGGGCAGGCCGAGCATGATGTCGGTCGCCATCTCGATGGCGTCGACGTTGGTGACCTTGGACACGAAGGGGAACGAGCGTGCAGCGCGCACGTTGCACTCGATGACCTTGATCTCGTTGTTCTTGGCGAGGAACTGGATGTTGTACGGGCCCGAGACGTTGAGGGCGGCGCCGATCTTGGCCGTCGCCTCCTCGATGCGGCGGACCGTCTCGGGGTCGAGGTCCTGCGGCGGCAGGATGAGGGTCGCGTCGCCCGAGTGCACGCCGGCGTTCTCGACGTGCTCCGACACGTAGTGCATGACGAGCTTGCCGTCGCGCGCGACGGCGTCCATCTCGATCTCCTTGGCCTCCTCGACGTACTTGGTGACGACGACCGGGTAGTCGCGCGAGACGGCGGCGGCCTGGTTCAGGTAGGCGTCGAGGTCGTCGCCCGAGTAGACGACGTTCATCGCGGCGCCCGACAGGACGTACGACGGGCGGACGAGGACCGGGTACCCGACCTTGTTGCAGAACTCGTGGGCGGCGTCCATGGTCGACAGCTCCTTCCACAGCGGCTGGTCGACGCCGAGCTTGTCGAGCATGCGGCTGAACTTGTACCGGTTCTCGGCCATGTCGATCATCTCGGGCGAGGTGCCGAGGACCTTGACGCCCTGGCGGTGGAGCGGGAGCGCGATGTTGTTCGACGTCTGGCCGCCCATCGACACGACGACGCCGGACGACGTCTCGGCCTCGTAGATGTCGAGGATCGTCTCGAGCGAGATGACCTCGAAGTACAGGCGGTCGGCCTCGTCGTAGTCGGTCGAGACCGTCTCGGGGTTGTAGTTGACCATGACCGTCTTGAACCCGCGGTCGCGGATCGTGCGGATCGCGCGCACGGCGCACCAGTCGAACTCGACCGACGAGCCAATGCGGTACACGCCCGAGCCGAGGACCATGATGCCCTTGTCCTGGAACTCGACGTCGTGCCCGGCGCCGTTGTACGTCATGTACAGGTAGTTGGTGAAGGCCGGGAACTCGGCAGCGACCGTGTCGATCTGCTTGACGCGCGGCGTGATGCCGTAGTCGAGGCGCAGGCGGCGCACGGCGAGCTCGTTCGAGTTGAGCATCTTGGCGATCTGGGCGTCCGAGAAGCCGTGGCGCTTGGCCGTGCGCAGGAGCTCGACGGGGAGCTGCGCAGCCGTGTACTTCCTGCGAGGGCACGACGACGAGGAGAGTCAGGACGAGGTCACTCGAGCTCGACTTGAGAAGGTCGCGACGAGAGAGAGAGAGAGAGGCAGGGACGCACTGGACGGTCTTGTCGATGCGGACGACGTGCTCGAGCTTGCGCAGGAACCACTTGTCGATGTTCGACAGCTTGTGGATCTCGTCGACGGTGCGGCCGTTGTGGAGCGCGTTGGCGATGGCGAACAGGCGACGGTCGGTCGGCTTGGCGAGCTCCTCGTCGATCTGGTCGTCGGGGTAGCTGTTCTGCGAGCGCGAAAGAGAGAGAGAGTGTGTGTGTCAGTGTCAGGTGCGGGTCGCAGAGGAGGACGCCGAGGCAGGGCACGAGGCGGGCGAGGGAGAGGAAGAGGGAGAGGCGCGAGCGCACCTTGCTGAAGCCGGCGAACGACGGGTCGATCGAGCGGATGGCCTTCTGGAGCGTCTCCTCGAACGTCTTGCCGATAGCCATGACCTCGCCGACCGACTTCATCGACGAGCCGAGGGCGGTCGACACGCGCGTGAACTTCTTGAGGTCCCACCGCGGGATCTTGACGACGACGTAGTCGAGACTCGGCTCGAAGCAGGCGCACGTGTTCTTGGTGACCGAGTTCTTGACCTCGTTGAGCGGGATGTTGAGGCCGAGCTTGGCGGCCGTGTAGGCGAGCGGGTAGCCCGTCGCCTTGGACGCGAGCGCCGACGAGCGCGACAGGCGGGCGTTGACCTCGATGATGCAGTACTCCTGCGAGTACGGGTTGAGCGCGTACTGGATGTTGCACTCGCCGACGACGCCGAGGTGGCGGATGACGTTGACGGCCGTCGTGCGCAGCATGTTGTAGTCCGAGTCGGACAGCGTCTGCGACGGCGCGACGACGATCGAGTCGCCCGTGTGGATGCCGAGCGGGTCAAAGTTCTGCGCGAGAGGGAGAGCGAGAGGGGGTCAGTCGTCGTGTTGCTCGAGGGCGAGGGCGAACGGGCGAGGGAGTGGAAAGGAAGAGGAGGAGGGGCGGGCTCACCTCCATGTTGCAGACGGTGATGCAGTTGTCGCGGCAGTCGCGCACGACCTCGTACTCGATCTCCTTCCAGCCCTTCATGCTGCGCTCGACGAGGACCTGCGACGAGGTGGCGAACGCCTTGGTGCACAGCTCGACGAGCTCCTTGTCGTTGTTGGCGAAACCCGACCCGAGGCCGCCGAGCGCGAACGCGGCGCGCACGATGACCGGGTACCCGATCTCGTTGGCGGCCGTGACACAGTCCTCGATCGACTCGGCGGCGGCCGACTGGGCGCACTTCTCGCCAATCTCCTCCATGGCCTGGGCAAACAGCTCGCGGTCCTCGGTCGTGATGATCGTCTCGATGGGCGTGCCGAGCACCTTGACGCCGAGGCCCTCGAACTCGTCCTTGAGCTTGATGCCGACCTGGAGCGCCGTCTGGCCGCCGAACGTGACGTAGATGCCGTCTGGGCGCTCGTGCTCGATGACCTTGCGGACCGAGTCGGCCGTGACGGGGAGGAAGTAGACCTTGTCGGCGAGGCCCTTGCTCGTCTGGATCGTCGCGATGTTGGCTGCGCAAGAAGAGGGAAGGGGAGGAGCGTCAGGAACGAGGTCTCGAGCGAGAGGGGACGAGAGCAAGGGACGCACGGTTGACGAGGATGGTGTAGATGCCCTCCTCCTTGAGCGCCTTGATGGCCTGCGAGCCCGAGTAGTCAAACTCGCCCGCCTGGCCGATCGAGAGACCGCCCGAGCCGAGGACGAGGACCTTGCGGACCTCGACGCGCGGCGACTTGGCCGCGTTCTCGGCAGCGTCGCCGCCCGGGAACGTGACGGCGCCCGTGAGCTGCTCGCCCTTGGCCTGCTGCTCGAGGCTGCGCTGGATGGCGCCGATGAACGTGTCGAACAGGAACTCGGTGTCGCGCGGTCCGGGCGCCGACTCGGGGTGGAACTGAACCGAGAAGAACGGGCGCTCGGTCGAGTAGATGCCCTCGTTGGACGAGTCGTTGGCGTTGACGAAGAGCTCCTTCCACCCGTTCTTGAGCGACTTGGGCTCGACGGCGTAGCCGTGGTTCTGCGACGTGATGTAGCACCGGCCCGAGACGAGCGACGTGCACGGGATGTTGGCGCCGCGGTTGCCGTACTTGAGCTTGAGCGTGCTCGCGCCGCTCGCACGGGCGAGGAGCTGGTGGCCGAGGCAGATGCCGAAGATGGGGAACCGCGCCGCCTCGAGGGCCTTGGCGAGGATGGTCGTCGTCGTCGTGAGCGTCGCCGGGTCGCCCGGGCCGTTGGACAGGAACAGGCCGTCGAACGGCTCCTCCGAGGACGACAGGTAGTCGTAGTCGTACGGGACGACCTTGAGCTCGACGCCGCGCTTGGTGAAGCAGCGGATCTGGTTGTACTTCATGCCGACGTCGACGCACAGGACGCGCAGGTTGCGGCCGGACGGGTGGCGCAGAGGCTCGACGCCGGCGTCGGCCTTGTACAGGACCGGCTGCGGGACCGAGACGGCGGCGACGAGGTTGTCGGCGTTCGGGTCGTGGTACTCGACCTGCTCGTACGCGGCGCGCCAGTCCTGCGCGGCGAGGCGGGCGTCGGCGCCCTTGTTGCGCTGGCTGAGGCGGCCGATGGTCGAGCCGCGCTCGCGCAGCTTCTTGGTGAGGTCGCGCGTGTCGACGCCATAGATGGCCGGGACGCCCTCCTCCTTGAGCCACTCGGCGAGCTCCGAGTAGGCGGCGTGGTTCGAGAAGTCCTGGCCGGCGCCCGAGTAGTTGCTGACGATGAGGCCGGCGACGTGGATCTTGTACGACTCGAACTCGCGCGGGAGGTCGGCCGGGTTGGCGCCCTTGGTCGGCCGCTTCGGGACGCCGTACGAGCCGATGAGCGGGTACGTGAGGACGAGGATCTGGCCCGAGTACGACGGGTCCGTGAGCGACTCGGGGTAGCCGACCATGCCTGAGTGGGGGAGAGAGAGAAGGTCAGTCGGGTGATCTCTGTCGACAGGGAGAGAGAGGGCAGGGACGCACCGGTCTGGAAGACGCATTCACCGGCGATGTTCTTGTCGGCGCCGAAGCTGTAGCCCTCGTAGGCGCTGCCGTCGGCGAGCTCGAGGAGCATGCGCTCCGTGTGAATGGCGCCGACGGCGCCCTTGAGCTCGGCGTCGGGACCCGGGTACGCCGCGGCGACCTCGTGCGACGGCGGCGAGACGATGGGCTGGACAGGGCGACCCGACAGGCGGCCCGAGGGCGAGGGAGGGCGCGAGGCGAGGGCGACAGCCGACGCCTGCGGGGCGGTGAGGTCGAGAGGAGGGGGCGAGGTCGTCATGATGGCGGCTGCGGGGTGGGTGGATGTGCTGGAGGTGACCTTGCGACGGGTACCGATGGTGGACTGGACGGCGGAGCTGGACGAGGCTTGGCAAAGGCGAGGTCGAGGTCGGCCGGGAGCTCGAGAGCTGGCGAGGCGGTGGAGCGAGTGCGGGGGTGGTGGGTGTGTGCCGAGCAGCTAGTGGGGTTTCCCTCTGGAGCTTCTAGCGACCACCAGGGACCATGCAGCGGTTGAGAGGAAGGAGGGAGAAGGAGAGCAGCGAGCGGTGCAAAGGTTCGAGCTTGACGAGGATCGCGGGGAAGGCAGCCTCATCGCCAGGCGAACGACGGCTCCAGGGCGCGCTAGGACAAGGTGCACTGCATCTCCAACGCCTCGACACGCAGCTACGCCAAAGTCGCGTCCTCCAGCGAGCCGTGCTCGCCGCGGGCGACGCTGCGAGCCGCTCGAGGTCAGAGCTCTGCACCTCCTCACCGTCGTCGACCCCGCCCCCCCACCGCTCGCCTGGACCCACCGACTGGACCGGCCGAGTGCTGAGGTGAAGGCGAATCAGACGGTGCAGGTGCCGAGAGTGTACGAGCGCGAGGCGAGGAGGCGAGGGGGACGGGGCGACGGCGAGGCGAACTTCGACGGCGAGATGCCTGCTGGACGATGTGGGCTCGCAGAGACGCAGTGCTAGCGGTGCACAGACGTGGTTGCAAAGCTTTCTCCTCGCAGAAACCGCCCCATTGGGTGAGGTTGGTCCTCGAGGAGAGGGAAGGAGAGAAAGCAGGAGTGCGAGCGCCCGCCGCGTAGTCGACGGCTGAGCAGCGGGCCGGCCGCGCGCGAGCCTTTTGTTACGGCCGCGCGCTCCTCTCGTCAGGTTCGACAAGCTCGTACGGCGCAGTCCAATGCAAGTGCCTAATGTAGAGAGAGATGGAGAGAGAGAGATGCAGCTACGACCCGACCCGCCGCTCACAAACTCGACATGAGGTGGCCCTGCGCGGCTCGCCCGAAGCACAGTCAGTCCTCCGTCCTCGACGTCCGAGGCAGAGGAGAGAGAGAGAGCAAAGGGGACGCACCATGAGCACCTCGGTCTCGGCCGTCGCAATCTTGAGCACGACCTCCTCGAACCGCCTCGCAAACTGCCACCCTTCCTTGCGGCCGAGCTCCTCGTGTGCGCCGACCTCCATCTTCCACAGCGTGCTGTCGCGCTCGGCGACGACGCTCGTGTTGCGCGGCGTGCGCGACAGGAACGACATCTCGCCCGCGACCGTGCCGGCGACCATCGACTCGGTCATCGTGTGTGCCGAGTTGGCGAACGTGTAGGTCGCGCGCAGCATGCCCGACTCGATGACGTAGAAGCTGCGTTAAGCGATGTAGAACGGTCAGGGTCATGTCCCGAGGATGGCCTGGGCAGGGAGGAGGAAGGCGGACGCACGCGTCGGGCTCGGACCCATGCGCCCAGAGCTGGGTCCCTCGCTCGACGTTGACGCGCTTGAAGTACGGCACGAGACGCTGCGTACGGTCGGTGTGAGCACGGTGGACATTCGAGAGAAGGGAGAGGACGAGGACGCACGAAGCAGTAGTCCTCGTTGAGGTCGGGCGAGTAGGGCTGGAAGGCCTGGAGGAGGATCGGCAGCGGCTGCTGGAAGTTCATCTTGGACTGAGGGACCTCGGCTGCAGGTACAAGAGAGAGTCAGTGAGGCTCGACGTGCGTCGGTGAAGGAGACGAGCGACGTACCCCTCGAGATCGTCTCCCTCGCCGCAGCTCGAAGGTGGTTGGCGCGAGGCGACGAGGCAAAGCCCTCGATGTCGCTGTCGAGGTCGGCCTTGGGCATCTCTGCGCGCTTGTCGAGTCGATTCAGTGACCTTGGCGCAAGAGAGAGGGAGTGAGAGGGCGTCGGACCGATCTGGGAAGCGATGGCGACGCCCGAGTGCGTCGGGCCGGTGTTGATGGCCGGCGGGCGGAACGTCTTGGAGTACAGGCTGCGCAGGAACGCGTTCTCGCAATGCTGGAGGACGAACGAGGGTGTCAGTCGCGGTACTCAGGGCCGGGGCGAGTCGTGAAAAGAAGGCGAGCGCACCTCGAGGGCGTCGTTGAGGTTCTCGAGGACGACGACCTTGTTCTCGGCGTGGTCGCTCCACAGGTCGACACTGCGAAGAGCGATACCGACGGACGAGTCGAACGGGCAGCCGCACAGGACGAGGACGACGCCGCGCTCGTCGAGGAGGCGCTGCATGCGGACGAACGCCTCGGCCGCCGAAAAGTCGACACCTGCGTAGGCAGTACCCTCGTCAGTACGCCGAATCGCCTTGACGAGGCCCACACCGAGAGGAAGGAGGGATCGGGACGGACCGCTCGCCATGGAAAAGTCGACGACGAGGAACCGGATCGGGTTGTCGCTCCAGCTCGCGGCGTCGAGCAGCTTGCGCACGGTCGCCTCGACGTTCGAGATGGTGCCGAAGAAGAGGAAGCCCTGGAGCTTGACGATGCGGATCTGGCTGCCGACGTCGGCGAGCCACGCGCTCTGCTTCGGGTGCCGCCGCACGGTCGAGTGCGCCGACGAGCCGCTCAGGATGGACCGGATGGCGCGACGCTGCGACGACATGACGACGAACGAGACCTGTGGGAGGGGTCATAGAGTCAGTCAGGTGGCGGCAAGGGAGAGAGGGAAAGAGGCAAAGAGTCGGGACGCACACATGCAAGGACGAGGCCGACGGCGAGACCGATCGTAAAGTCGAACGCCGTCATGGTCAAGATGATGATCCAGATGGTGGCGTACTCGAACGACGACACGCGCGAGTACGTGTCCCAGACGGCCTCCTTGACAAGGTCGAGCGCGAGGACGTAGATGAGGGCCGACACGACGCAGACAGGGAGGTACCCGATGAGGCCCGGGCCGGCGAGGAGGACGCCGAGGCTGCCGCCGGCGAGGAGGAAGCCCGAGATGCGGGTCGTGCCGCCGTTCTGGATGAACAGGACCGAGTTGACGTAGACGAGGTAGTTGGGGACCGACCCGAGCAGGCCCGACGCAAAGTTGGACACGCCGTGCGCGACGAGCTCGCGGTCCGTGTCGACGTTGTCCTCGCCGATCGAGATGGCGAGCGAGGGGACGTTGATCGGGACGTGCAGCAGGCCAAAGAAGACGAGGGCGAGCTGGGTCGGGATCGTCTCGACGAGGGCGCCAAAGTCGGTCTTGCGCAGGTCTGTACGGCAAAGAAATGTCAGGGAGTCATGCTGAGAGGCAGAGGGAGAAAAAGGAGAGCGTACTGAAGTGCGTGATGTACTCGTACCACTCGTTGTCGACGCCGTCGACCTCGAACACCCACCCGAGCGCGCGCAGGCGGTCGACCGGGACCCGGGCCGACAGCGCGACGATGTAGAAGACGGGAGGGATGGCGAGGAAGTAGGCGGGGAAGATGAGGGGGTGCGAGAACTTGGCCGTGATGAGGCGCAGGCCGAGGGCGAGGACGAGCGGGATGGTCTGTGCGGCGGGTCACGAGGTCGAGTCAGTATCGGCGAGTGCGGTTGACGCAAGAGAGAGAGGGTGGGACGGACCCAGAGAGGCAGGATCTCGAGGTCGAAGAAATGCCGGACCAGCTCGAGCGAGAACCCGCTGCCCTCCTCGAGGCGAGCCGACACCTGGAGGCCCGTGACGAAGAGGAACGCGCCGACGCCGCCAATCGTGCCGACGAGGATGTGGCGCGGGAAGAACTCGCTCAGGCGGCCGAGGCGCAGGGCACCGAGCGTGCCGAACGCGAGGCCCGTCAGGATGGACGACGTGGCGTACGCGAACATGGTCGTCGCGACGAGCGTCTCGTCGTCGTCGATGTGCTTCTGGAGGACGCCGACGATCGAGTGGTAGAAGGGCTGCTCGGGAGGGCGGGAGCATGTCAGACCACGAGTGCGCTCGAGCCGCGTCGACGAGGGGAGGAAGGGGAAGGGGACGCACCACGACCTCGATCATCATGGACCCGTTGCCCGCCGCAAAGATGGACCCACCGCCGGAAAAGACGAGTTGCGCGATGAGCGACGAGACGAAGAACATGGACACGCCGATGCCGCCAAAGTTGGCGAATGCGGGTACGCTCGTCGGGAACGTGATCATGCCGTACGAGATGGCGTCGAGGATGTTCATGAGGGTACTGTGAGGCGGCGGGAAGAGGATGTCAGGTCGTGGAAGAAGGCGAGGCGCAGAGAGAGAGAGAGGGAGCGCACCCGAGGATGACGGCGGGAATGCTCGTGAAGGCCGTCTTGCCCGCGTCCTTGACGTCCTCGGCCGTGATCTCGCGCCCCTTCTGCTGCACGAGCTGGAGCGCCTCGCTGACCCTCGCCTTTGCCCGCTTGGCCAGGCTCGGCTCGCCTGCCTGCCCTCCCGCTCCCGCTCCCTCGCCGGTCCCGCCCTTGCCACCGAGCAACGGCGTATGCTCGTCCGCCTCGCCGTTGGCGTGTGCATGCCGCCCTCGCGCCGTCTCGAGCGAGATGGCGGACTCGTCGACGAGGCTCGACGCGCCTTCGTCGAGCAGCGCCTCGTCGTCGCTGTCGCCGCCGCCGACCTCGTCGCCGAGCGCGTGCGAGCGCGCCTTGCGCTCCTGCGACGCCGACCGTGCGCCGTTGCGGCCGTGAGCGTGGGCTTGGTGCGCCGAGGCGCTGCCGGTGCGGTCGCGGCGCTCGCGCTCGGCGCTCAGCATGCGGGCCGGGGTCGGCGTGCGCTCGTCGCTGCCCGTGCTGGTGCCGATGGCCTGCACGACCGGGTCGGCCTCGAGCTCGTCTCGAGGCGGCGGCGACAGGAGCGCCTCGGTCGTCGGGAGGACCGGGTGCGGCGGCGCCGTCGGCGAGGTGGCGGCGGACGCGATGGGCGACAGGCGGGTCGAGGTGACGGCATCCTTGGACGTGGTGCCGAGGCGCTGGGCGAGCTCCGAGGGACGGTTGAGCGAGATGCCCGACTGCGGGACCGGGGTGGCGCTGGTCGGGGTCGGCGGCGACTCGGGAGAGGTGGGAGCGAAGAAGGGGGAGGTCGGCGCCTGCGAGGTCGCGAGGGGTGGGGTCGGTGCGGGTGGCGGGAAGCCCGATTGAGCGGCGAGAGAGAGGCTGGCGAGTCGTGCAGAGCCTGCAGAGGGGTTGAGACGTGAGCGATAAGGTACTGCGGCCTCCGCGAAGAGGGATCTGGGAGACGGAGGAGGGGCGGACGACGCACCGTCGCGCAGTTCCTCGCGGGTGGCACTGTAGCTGCCCCAGCCACCGAGGCCGTTGTCGCTGCCGCCCTCGCTGTCGGACAGGGCCGAGTCGGACCTGGCCGTCTGAGTCGAGCCGTACCGAGGCGGGATGGGCTTGCCAGCGACGGACGACTTGCCGAGCGAGGCGCGGAAGGCGCTGCGAGAGCCGTGTGAGCCCAGAGAGCCGTGGGACCCTCTGGACGCGCTCCTGACGCGATTCGAGGCTGCTGCGGGAGGGCGACTGATGGCGGGCGGGGGAGAGTGGTTCGAACGCGAGGCGGGCATGGCGGAGCGGCGGACAAAGGCGAGGGTGTCGCCAGGTGGGTGCCGGTGAACGTCCGAGTGGTGCACGCTAGCCCTGGGCGGTACAGGGCGGCAGCGGCGTGTCGAGGGACAGCCTCGCCTCGGGGAGGTGGCCACCAGCTCGTTGCACCGCCCAGCTCGCTCTCACCCTCAAGGCCGGTCCTGCATGGTCTCGTACTGTGAGCACACTCTCTCACAATCCAGCGCCAGTGCTCGAAGCACCGCGCGAGCCGTCGTCGCCGCCCGCCAAAGTTCATCAGCTCACTCGGGGTTCCTCCCTCCCCTCCTTCCACAGACGACGAGCTTGAGATCGAGGACTTTGCGTGGGACGACGACAAGAAGGTGCGCCCTCGCTGCCCCATCCTCGACCACCCACTCGAGCGAGCTGACCCCTCTCTCCTCCGGTCCTCGCGCCCACAGGTCTTCCACTACCCGTGCCCGTGCGGCGACCGCTTCGAGATCTCGAGGGTCAGCACCCTCTCTCTGTCTCTCTCTTCAGGCGCCTGCAGCTGACCACACACATCGACAATCGCAGGCGCAGCTGGCCAAGGGCGAGGAGGTGGCGACTTGCCCGAGCTGCAGTCTCCTCGTGCGCGTCGTGTACGACATGGTGCGCCGACAGTCCTCCTCTCTTCTGCCATCAAGGCTATCAGGAGCCCTGACCTTCCCGCACCCGCGCAGATGGACTACGAGGACTATGATGAGGACGAGGAGGACGAAGGCGAGGCGGCCGAGTCGGAGCCCATCCCCGTCCTCTGAGCGCTCAAGTCGTTCCATCTGCCCTCGCGCACGACGACCAGGACTGCAGGTCAGGCCGGAGGAAGCGTCGCGAGGCAGCGGCCGGGCCCTGGCGCCCCTGCGGCTCTCGAGAATGTGCGCCGCCGGGTCAGGCCTTGCTCGGCTCGTCAGCCCTGTGCGTCTCCGCTCGCACCTCTGTACACCAACTCAAGCACCCGCACTGACTCTCAGACGTCCACAGTCACGACAGCGTCCTGCCCTCGCACTGCAGCACGAGCCGCTCTTTGCAACGCAGTCGCCCTTCCTCCTGTTCCTCTCGCGGCTGTCGCTTGTTGTCGAGAGGAAAGCGCTCAAAAAATCGAAGAGAGAGATAGAAGACAATCGTGTTGCACTGTACAGTCTGCTCGTGAGCGCCTCAAGGCGGCAGCTGCAGCCCCTCCCTGACGACCTTGCCCCTCGGCTTGGCCGGCCTCCCAATCTGGACCGCCTCCCTCCCTTCCTCGTCCAGCCTCGACAGCTCCGCCGCGCTCCCGATCGACCGCCCTCGCCCGTGCCCGCGCCCGTGCAGCGAGCGCTTGAACAGCTTCGCGAGCCGGGACGCCTGCCCAAGCGTCCTGCCCTCGTCCCGCTCGTCGCCCGACCGCTGCTGCGACGCCAGTCCGTGCCGTTCCGAGCGACCTGGCGTTGGCGACGCTGCCCGCCAGAGCGCCTCGCCGACGCCCCAGGCCGGCGCCCGCTGCACACGCTCCTCGAGCGCCGCACGGACCCTCGCCTCGCCCGGGCTCGCTCGCGCAGGGTACGGGAACGCCTCGTACAGCGCAACGCGGCCGGCCCCGTCACCTTCGCCCTCGCCTGCCGACGTGAACGACGAGCGAAACGACGTCGCCTCGGTGACGAACGGCGGCGTGACCGAGCGCGCCGTCGAGAACGAGGGGCGCTGCGGCGGGACGGCGAGCGTCGCGCCGCCCCCAGGGCTCGTCGCGTTGAAGGAGGGAGGGGGCTCAGGGCGGTGTCGAGGTGGAAGAGAGGGGCGGAAGAGCGCGTCGTGGCCGCCGTCCGAGTAGCGCGAAAGCGAGCTCTGCGCTCGAGGCGCGTCGTGGGACGACTCGCGCACCGTGCCGCACTCGACCGACCGCAGCGAGATGTTGAGCGTCTCGGTCGAGCGTGACGGGCGAGGGCGGCCGAGCGACGTGGCGTGGTCGCGCTCGTCGAGTGGCGGCCCGCGCTCGAGCCTCGTCGCCTCGCCTTGGCGCCGCGCTTCGTCGTCGAGGTGGGGCCACGCGGGCTCGGGCGCATGGGCGCGTACAGGCGGACAGGTTGGACGAGTAGGGTGGCGCGGGCGGTCGAGCGACGGGTCGTCGGGCGCGGTCGTCGGGCGAGGGACGAGGTGGACGAGGTGCGGGGCGCAGACACGAGCGGCGAGAGCATCGCGCTCTTTGCGGATCATGTCGGCCTCCCATGACAGGGCCTCGGTGACGGCGGCGCCGTAGCTCGACGAGCGCGAGAGCCGCGCGACGGCGTGGGGGAACTCGAAGAAGGTGCTGCGGGAAGGACAGGTGTCAGTTCACGCCAGTCTGGATATTTGCAGAGAGCTCGACGCACCCGATGAGAACGCGCATGCGAGACTCGTCGTCGACGACGCCGGCTTGCAGAAAGAGGAGGTCGAGATCGTTGACGAGGTCCTTGACGCCCTCGCGCCGACGCCCACGCTCGCGAAAGCTGCGCGCGTTGAGCGCATTGACGGCCGCCGCTGTCGCCCATCTGAACGAAGGGAATCGTGAGTGACGGAGGGAAAGGGTCGCAGCTCTCGCTTCGACGGCGCGCCGTCGAAGCGAGAGAAGGGACGAGCAAGCCGACGCGGACGCACCTCTGCCTCGTCTGCCCGCCCCACTTGTCCCTGCACCAGCTCGCAGCCGCCTCGAACGTGTACCGCTCGGCTCCACCCGCCTCGTGCGCGAACGCAAGCGACGCCTGCGCCTCGAGCGAGAGCGAGAGCGCTTCGGCCGCCTCGTGCGCGTGCAGAGGGATGCCGCGCATGGCGAGCCACGCTCTGAGCCTGCGTCCAGGAGAGGAGGGTGAGCTTATCGATCAGGATGCCCGGTCGACGAGGGAAGGAGAAGCGGGCGCACCTCTGCTCGTGGCTCGACCAGTCGGAGCTGAGCCTCCCCGAGAATTGCGGCAGCGCCAGTCCCTCCATCGACTCGTCCATCTTGCGACCCGCTCGGCGTTGTGGTCGAAGCAGAGCAAAGAGGCGAGCGGGCGAACGGAGCTCGGGCGACGGACGCGGAGGACGCGGAGGGCGAAAGGCGGACGGACGTCGGGAAAGGAGGCCGCGCGCGAGGTGCGAGCGTCGATCGAGGAGGCGATATCGACAGACGGCGGCACCGTCGAGCAAGCTGGCGAGCGTCGAGCAGAACAGCACAGGCAGCTGCGTCGAGGCACACGAGCTGAGAGAAGCGGAAGCGAGAGACAGGAAGGAAGAGAGCTCTCTCGACGACGGCGCGAGATTGAGTCGTTCCACCGGGAGCGCTACAACAAGGGAGGGAGGGCAGGCGCTCTGAGGAGCCGTGCGCAGACAGAGAGAGAGACAGACCCGAAAGAAGAGACAACAGGCGCCGGCAACGAGCGCGCGAAAGACGAACCGCCTCCTCCTCCTCCCGCCCGCTCTACCTCGACAGGTCGAGGAGCGGCTGCTTGGCCTGCTTGGCCGCCCGCTCACTCGCGACGAGCCACTCTTGCCGCTCGTCGTGGTCCATCGCGCCCCACTGCCTCGCGTCGGGCTTGACGACCGTGCCTGCTCGCGAGAGGGACGCACCCGGCGCGCCGACGGGAGGGAGCGGCGCCGTGTACGAGCGCTGAACGAGGGCGGGCGGCATGGGGCGAGACGTGGGGTTGCGAGGTGCGGCGACGTTGGTGGGCACGACCGGGACAGGCGGTGCGTCGGTCGGGGTGAAGCCGGCGCTGGCGAGGAGCGAGACGGCGGGGAAGGCCGACGACGTGGGCGTTGCAGGCGACCCGGTACCGAGGACGGCCTGCTCGCGGATGCGGGCGAACGAATTCTGCGAGGGCGAGCAGAGTCAATACGGCGGTCCTCCTTGGCGAATGAGAGGGAGAGAGGGAGGAAGAGAGAGACGCACGCCGGCCTCCGTGATCGACTTGACCCAGCTCGCCGCCTCCTCGGGCACCTTGGTCGCGACAAAGTGGCACCACTCGGCCGTCTCCTCAAAGTGGGCCCGAGTGAGGCGCGACTTGAGCGCAAAGACGAACGGTCGAGGCGCCTTGAGCCGGGTGGCCTGCTCGGCCGACACGAGGAAGACGTCAAAGTTGGACAGCTGGCACAGAGTCGTCGTGTCCTTGCCCTGCGTGGGAGAGGGAGGAGGACGTAGGTCAGTGGCGAGGTCGGCGAGCGGAATAAGGTGGGAGAAGTGGGAGGACGGACCTTGTCGGCCTTCGAGTAGCTGAGCGTGCCGTCCTTGAGCGTAAGGAAGCGCTTGGACCACTTGCCCTTCTTGATCTCGAGCTGGATCGCGCCGGTCTTGGGCGCCAAAGGATGCGAGCGAGCCTGTAGGGGAGAAAGGCGACCGGCGAGGTCAGACGATGCCGGCCGGCGAATCGAGAGATGAGAGGTCGAGGACGCACATGCGCAGACAGGATCGGCCACATGGTCGTCCTGCGGAAGAAGAGCGCGTTGCCCTCCTGGTCCCAGGACCGGGTCACGTCGGCGACGAGCTCGTACTCGCGCACGGGCCGCTCTGCAGGTCCGTCGACACGTCAGTTCGGCGTCGAGGAAGGGGGAAAAGGGAGGACGAGCGAGGACGCACCGATGCCCATCGTGCGCCAGGCCTCCCACAGCGCCCACCCACCCTCAGCCGCACCGGGCGTGTCCCTCGCGAGCGCGCCCTTGGCCTTGGCGAACGCGACGACCTCGCCGGCGAGCGTCTTGTCGGTCACGTTGACGCGCACGAACTGCTCGCACGTCGCGTCGACGTACACGCGCGTCTCGACTGCCGCAGGAGGCGGCGGGTGCGCGCTCGACATGGTGCCCGACCGCGAGCGACCGCTGGCCGCCGAGAGGGTACCCGAGCGCGAGACGGTCGCGGCGCTCGAGACGGCCGACGACGAGCTCGCCTGGCGCTGCATGGCGGCGCCGGGGTGCAGGTCTGGGTGCAGGCTCGGACGACGGGAAAGAGCCGGCGTCCCGGCGGGCGAGGTCGTCGGCGAGCTCGACTTGCGCGCTGCGAAGCTCGGTCGGCGGTCGAAGGCGGGCACCGCCTGCTGAACGGACGAGGACGAGGTCGTCGGGACAGGAGGTGGCCGGAAAGTCGGCTTGGGCGGCGCGCCGAGGGCGATGGGCGAGCGCAAGGGCACGTCGCCTGCGGCGGCGCTGAAGGGCGCTGCGCTCGTTGCGACGCTCAGGCCGTCCGGCTTGCGCGACCGAGACCTCGAACGAGGACGCGACTCGGCCTTGGGCGACGGCAGGGTGAACGGCGACCGCGCCGGGCGAGGCAGCGGTTGCTGCGCGACCTCGGGCGAGTCGATCGTGAGCGCCGAGTCGGCCACCATCGGGTCGAGCGGCGTCGACGGCGAGCGGCGCAGTGCGTCCGAGCGGCGCTCGAGCGAGGCGTCCGAATGCGGGAGGAGCGCATCGTGGCCGGCCGACTGGATAGTCGCGACGGTCGACGCCGAGTTGATGGGCGACAGCGGCGGGCGGACGTGCCGCGGCGGGAAGGCCTGGTTGCGCGACGACGAGCGGACGACGTGCCCGTCATGCGAGGTCGGCGGCGTCGTGACCATGGCGGCGGCGTGCTCGAGCTCGAACGGGTCCTCGCGCCGGCGTCGAGCCTGCTGGCCCTTGCCCTGCTCGCGCCGAGCCGGGTCCTGCGCCTCGCGAGCCTTGCGCTCCGACCGGCTCTTCTTGGCCGCCGTCAGGCGCAGGCTCTTCTGCGCCGTGAGCGCGCCGGGCACGACGACGCCGAGCGGCTTGTCGTCCTCGTCGCTGCTCGCCGTGTTGGAGCCGTACTCGTCCTCGCTCTCGTCGTCGTCCTCCTCCTCGTCCGACGCCGCACTCGTGCTGTGGAGCGTGCTCGGGCTCGTACTGAGCGGCGCCGGCGTCGGCAAGGCGCGCTGCAGCTCGGGCTGGAGGCGCATCGGGAACGCGATGATGTCCTGCGGCGCGAACGTCATGGGCGACGCCGGGCGGTCCCACGGCAGGGCCTGCTCGAGCGCGACGGTCGACAGCGAGCGGCCCTCGCCTGCTCGCTGCCGCGCCGAGCTGCGCTCCTGCGCGAGGCGGGTGCTCGGGAAGACGGCGCTCGAGACCGGGCTCTTGCTCGACGGGATGTCGAGCGGCTCGTCTGCCGTGCGCATGAAGCCGCACAGCGAGAGGCGCGGATCGTGGCCGTCGGGCAGCGACGGCATCGGCGGGAACATGAAGCCCTGCTGGTGCGCCGGCGCCGAGAGGGACGAGGTCGGCATGGGGACGTGGAACGGCTCGTCCTTGACGTCGACGACGGCGAACGCAGGGTACGACGGCGTGGCGAAGATGGACGTGGCCGGGGTCGACGAGCTCGGGAGCGCCTCGGAGAAGACGGACGACGGGTGCGCCGGCGAGATGGCGTCGAGGGTGCCCGCCGACGACGGCTCGCTCACCTCCTTGATGACGAGGGCGTTCGCCCGGGCGATGTCGATGTCGTTCGGCGCCGGGGCGCGCTTGGCCGAGGACGAAGCGGCGAGGTGCTCCTTGGGCGTCGGCGGCACGGGCGGCACCGTCTCGTCGGGTGTCGCTCGCCCGCCCGTGTTGAAGAAGGTCGACAGGCGCTTCTTGAGCTTGCCCGTGCCGAGCTGGTCGCCCTCGGTGAACGACGACGTGCGCTGCCGGCCGGCGAAAGGCGCGTGCGGCGACGTCAGGCCGGCGAACGAGGCTGGCGACGCCGGCATCGGCGGGCGTGCCGCTTCACCTCGAGGCGACGGCGCCGAGGCGGTGAACTTGGCGGCGAGCCTCGGCGTCGACACGGACCGGCGCGCGAGCTTGGGCGGCTGCGGCGGGTGCGGGCTCGCAGGACGGCGAGCGGCCGAGTTCTCCTTGTCGCCGCCGCGCTGGCTCGAGCGAAGGAGGAGCGCCGACAGCGCCGCCTCGCTCTTGCGCTTCGACAGGAGCGGTACTCGAGGCTGCTGCTGCTGGTCGCCGATGACGGGCGACGAGCCCGTGTTGCCGCTGCCCGCCGAGTCGCGCAGGACGGCCTCGCTCTTGCGCTTCTTGAGGATGCCGAAGCTCGACAGGCGCCGGAGCGTCTTGCCGAAGCTCGACGCGTGTGACGGCGGGACCTTGGGCGAGCGGTCCTCGGCGGCGGCCGGTCCGACGGCGGCGCTGTCCTTGCGCGGCGGCACGGGCGCCGGCTGCTCGTCGGCGAGGATCTCGAGCTCGTGCGAGTGCGACTCGGGCGACGTGACAAAGGTCGACTCGGTGATGGGCGCCGCCGGCGAGAGCGACCACGGGGCGACCTCGTCCTGGGGCGAGGGCGACGGCGCCGCACCTCGACTCGAGGCACGCGAGCGCGAGCGCCGCGACGGGAGCGACGACGAGCGCGCCGAGTACTGCGTCGCCGTCGGGCTCGGGCGCCTCGAGAGGCCGGTCAGGGCCGGGCTGCTCGCGCCGCTGCGGCTGCTGAACTCGGCGGCGGCGAACGGGCTCGCGAGCGCCGGGTGCGCCGAGCCGCCGATGTTGGCCAGGATCGGGTCGATGGGCGAGGGCAGGGCGCGCGGCGTCGCCGTCGGCGGGCTCGTCGCGAACCAGGACGCGGCCTGCGACGGGTGCGGCAGGTCGGGCGGGAACTCGTCGACGTCGCGAGGCCCGCACGACGTGTTGGCGGCCGAGCTCGCGAGGGTCGACGCGCCGAACGACTTGTCCGAGAGCGTCGACGACTCGGAGAGCGACGACGAGCGCGAGCTGCGCCCGCCCATCTCGCCCGGTGCGAGCGTCGGCTCGCCGCCCTCCCCCTCGCCCGAGAAGAGCCCGAGGCCCTGCACGCTCGCGCGTTGCCCGAGCTGCGCGAGCTGCTCGAACACGTGCTCGTCGTCGGCGCTCGCCGAGCGGGACGGTCGCGCCGTGCTGGGCGCGGACGCGAGCGCCGGCGGGACCGGGAAGGCCATGACGGTGCTCGAGCTGCGCCGAGGACGAGGGATGGACGACGGGTCGATCTCGTAGCCCGAGTCGAGCGGGTCGACCGACGGGAAGTCGGCGATGTCGAACGCGTCCTCGGACGAGGTCGTGGTCGTGTTGGTCGCGAACGAGGCGAGCGAGTGCATCGACAGGTCGCCCGGGAGGGGCGTGTGCGAGGCTTGAGCCTGTCCACGTGATGCAAGGTCAGGCTGATGCTCCCCGATTGCGCTCGAAGGGAAGAGAGAGAGGAGGAAGGGTGGGGACGCACCTGCTCCTCGACGACTGCGCCGAAGCCGAGCGACTTGATCTCGGCGAGCTTCGAGTCGAGCAGCATGAGCGAGTGCCGCACCCTGCTCGCGCCCTGGGCCTCGTCCTCGTGCCGATCCCCCTCGCCCTCCTCCTGCTCGAGGACGTTTCCCTCTGCGTCCGCCGAGCGCCCCGCAGCCGTGCCCTTGTGGCCGCCATCGAGGCGCAGGAGCGGCGGCGTCATGCTGCGGGGCAGCTCTCGCGCGGGGACGAGCAGCTCGTGCACGTCGGGGAGGGCGAGCTGGCCCGCGGGGAAGTCGGGGGTCGAGGGCGACAGGACGACGGCCGGGCTGAGCGGCGGGGCGGTCGAGGCATCGTCGGCGGCGGCGTAGGCGAGCCCTGCAGGGTTGAGCGGCAGGCTGCTGAGCGGGGGAGGTCGGGGCTTGGCCTTGTTGTTGCTTGATGAGGTCGAGGCGGACGAGGGCAAGGGGAAGGCGAAGGACGACGCCGCGGCGGTGGTGGGCATTGCTGGCGAGCGGGTCGCTGTGCAACTAGAGGGCAGTGTGCTCCTCGCTTGTGCGCTGCAGAGCGAGAGAGGGTCTGCGCGAGAAGGACGAAGGCGTGAGCGGATCGGCGCCAAGGCACGGACGACGGACGGGTCGAGCGCGAGTGACGAGAGACGCACGGCGGCTGGTGCGAGGCGGTGGTTGCGCTGGAGGCTCAGCGTGTCGGCGCGGAGCTCTGTAACGGACGAGGAAGAAGACGACGAGCAGGCCAAGGTTCGACAAACACCCCGCATTCTGCCCGGACCGCGTCGAGCCGCGCGCCAGCTGCTGCTGCCCTTGGCTTCCGGCGATGCTCGATGCTCAGCCGTTGCGAGAGGCCGCGAGTAACTACCATCGCCAGAGCCGCGTTCATTGTCGGCATTCCAGGGGCGCGCAATCGAGTCTGCGAATCCCTCGGCGAGCGAGAAGAAAGTCGACCTTCTCAAGAAGCTGCTCGCTCGCAGCTCTCGCTCTCTGCGCAGCGCAGCGCAACCCGAGGAACCCATGCAATGCCCGCACTACTGAGGACAGATCTATAGAGAGAGAGACGTCACCGCCCAAACATGGGGTTGTTGACGTTGAGGAACCGCATCGCCTCGAGGCGGTCGTCGTCGTGGACGTGCGTCGTGTTGCCGCGAGCGAGCTGGAGCGTGACTCGGTCCATGCCGTACTGCGGCCAGTAAGGTACTGCGTGCGGGAAGAGGCAGGGTCAGTGTCGGCGAGCGGGCAAGGGAGAGGGAGGGAGGAGAAAGAGGGACGCACGACCCGGTCCGTTCGGGTTGAGGTTGGTCACAAAGTTGCTGCGAGGCGAGGCCGACTGACGAGGTAAGTCTCTTGCTCTCCTGCCTGAGGACGAGAGGAAAGAGAGGGACGTACACGAGGTAGCCCGTCATCTGCCACGACAGGTGGACGAGCTCGTCGTCGGCTGCGTCCGGGTGCCCGAACCACGCCGTCAGGTCGGCGCCATGCTGAACTGCAAGTGCGAGAGGACGTAGGGTGTGAGTGAGGGACCTTGAGAGACAGAGGGGGAGGGAAGAGAAGGCGACGCACCTCCAAGCCTCGGCGACGCTCCCTCCCTCGCCTCGCGGTACACATAGTTCCAGCTGTCCTCGCCAAAGTCCTTTGGCGTCTCGCGCAAGAAGTGCCGCCGCGGCGCCTGGAACAGGATGTCGCCGACGAACGCCGCGAGGCGCTTGTAGCCCGGCGCGAGGCCGAACGTCGTCGAGCCGGTGTTGAAAGGCGAGCCGGTCGCGGGTTCGGGAGGGTAGAAGGCGAGGATGGGCTCGAGCAGTTGCTCGACGGCGCCGTAGGTGAACGAGAAGATGTCTGTCGAGGGAGCAAGAGTCAGTGCTCGTCCTCGAGGACCGCTCAATCCGAGCGAGCCGAAAAGAGAGAGCTTGAGACGCACCCCGCACGACCGCAAGGAACTCCTCCTCGCCGTCCTTGATGCCGTCGTCGACGAAGCGCGTCCCCTCGTCGACGACGGCGCCCATGATGACGGGCACCTTGTCAAAGTCGCCCCGGAGGATGCGCTCGCTCGGCCGGATGTTGAGCCAGCCGCCCGACCCTCGCGCGCCGTCGCCGCCGCCCTCGCCCGTGCCCCACTCGCCTGCAGGGAGAGAGAGAATCAGGTCGCGCTCGTTCGGGAAGGAGACAGGAGGCAGGAGGAGGAGGACGCACCCTCGAGGACCGGGTAGTAGGGGAACCAGGCGTTGACAGGGCTGTCGTCGGTCAAGCCCCTCGCGGCCTGGTACATGTCGGCCGTGCTGAGCTCGCGCAGGCACGCGACGAGGGCATCGTTTTGCGGCGGGCCGCGGTCGCGCTGGACGGGCGAGGGGCACTCGGCGGGCCCGGGGAGCGGGTGCAGCGTGCGGGCCGAGGCGTCGTGAGGCCAAGGAACGGGGAAGCTGTGCGGGACAAGGGAGAGGAAGAGTCAGTCGGGCGAGAGGGAGAGGGGAGAGAGAGAGAGAGAGGACGGAAGCTCACGAGGTAGGTGCGCCCGAGAGCATGAAGGCTGCGGCCAAGAGAGACACCTCATCAGTGACGGCTCGACCGAGTCGAGCGTCCAGAAGGAGAGAGCGAATTGCCTCGACGCACCTGCCCTGAACAAGCCCATGCCGCTGCTGTACAGCTGATGCAGCCCGACGCTCATGGCGCCCGCCGAGTGCCCGACCATGGTCACCTTGGTCTTGTCGCCGCCAAACTGCTCGATGTTGCTCTGGACCCACTTGAGCGCGAGGAGCTGGTCCTTGAGGCCGACGTTGAGGTCGAGCTCCGAGGGCGCGCGCGTCGGGATGTGCGGCGGCGTCGGTGCTGGGGCGGGCTCGGGCGGCGACGAGGTGAAGCCGAACGCGCCAAGGCGGTAGCTGAGCGGGCGCAGGGAAGAAAAGGGAGGGTCAGGTCAGGCTCGGGGGCCGAGAGAGAAAATGAGAGAGGAAGGTGAGGAGACGCACTTGATGCTGACGAACACGAGCGGCTCGTCGAGGTCGAGGCCGCGCTTCATGAGGTCGCGTGGGTCGTACTTGTCCTCGGCCGACGTGCCACCGACGAAGCCGCCGCCGTGAATCCAGAACATGACGGGCAGGAGCGTGTTGTTCGGGCGCTGCTGCGGCGCAAAGACGTTGATCCTGGTCGAACGAGAGGGTCAGTGCATGGGCTCGTGTAGTGTAGGAGGGCAAAAGGTGTCGACGCACTTGAGGCAGTCCTCGTGGCCGTCAAACTCGTCGTGCGGCCCGTCCTTGCGGTCGTCTCGAGGCCGCGGGCGCACGCACCCCGGGTCCCACCGGTCCATGAGGATCTCGCGGTCGTCGTCGGCTTGTGCGGTGACAGGTTCGAGGGGCCGACTGGTGCGGAAGCGGAGGTCGCCGACCGGGGCTTGGGCGTACGGGAGGGCCTTCCACGCCCAGTACTGGTCGTCGGCGTGCTCCTGGTGGGCGCGGTACGTGCGGCCGGCGATGCGCACTCGCGGGTCGACGTCGACGTAGGCGACGGGTGGGCGTTGCGGGTGCCACGGGTTGTAGCGCGCCGAGTAGTCGTCGAGGTGCGAGTGGAGCTCGGAGTAGTCGAGGTGGCGGTGGAGCTTGTACAGGGCGACGGCGACGACGAGGACGGCGAGGATGCGGCGGGTCGGAAAGCGGTTGACGATCTTGGCCGCTGCCGAGGCGGGTTTGGTCGAGCGTCGCGCTGGGTACGACGAGGACGAGGGTGCGAGGTGGGGGCTGTCGTCGTGGTCGTGGTCGTGGTCGTGGTCCGGGTCGAAGCTGGTGAGCGGGATGGTGGCCTCGTCTCGTCGGCCGTTGCGGGTGTCGCCGTTGGCGTCGTCGCCGTCGTCTTCTGGTGCGAGGATGTGGAGGGACGAGTGTTGAGGGCGAGAGTGATGAGGTGGGCGAGGGCGACGGAGGAAAGAGGGGAGCATGGCCGGTTTTGAGGGTCACGGGTGCATGCAGCAGGAGTGCTGGGTTGGTGTCGAGAAGAGTACAGGCCCGTACGGGGGAGTGTACACGACGAGGAGCTCGAGGGAGATGAGGAGGTGGTCGTCTACCTCTCGCTCTTGGCTCCCGACCCTCGACTCTCGCCCCGGTCAAGCACGCGACGATCCACAGTGCCTCTCGCCCTACCACAGCACACGCCCCGACCCATGGCGTCCCTCTTTGGGCGACCCACCTCGGGCTACCATCTCCCCGCCGACCACGACGCCCACTCGCTCGCTCAGCCCGATTACGACGCCTTTGCCGCTCCAGACGACGACGACGACCACCACCACGACTCGGAACCCGCCCGCCACCCTCACCCCAACTCGCACGACCACGCCGCACCCGCCTCGTCCGCCCGACCCGCCACCACCTCCGGCCCCGCAGCACCCTCTCGCACCCACTCCATCCCCGGCGGGTACGACTTTGAGCCTCAGCAAGAACCAGCTCGCGCACCCGCCGTCCCGATCCGATCCCGCCCCTCGTCCCTGTACGGCGGTGCCCCCTCGGCCTTGCTCGACCACGCCGCGACCGACAACGACGACGACGACGACGACTCGCACCGCTACGGCCGCCCGCACGGCGCGGCGTCATCATCTGCGGCGGCGGGAGCGGGCTCGGCGACGGGCTGGCGAGGCATTGTCGCCCGCTTACGCGGCCAGGGCCCACCAGGCGCCAGGTCCGCCCACGACGGCGCGGGCGCCGACGCGCGCGAGTCGCACGGCCTCCTCTTTTCGCACGACGAGAGCGAAGAGACCGACTCGGAGCAGCAGCAGCGCACGTCGAGGTTCGGCGCGCCCTCGTCGTCGTCGTACCCGCCGCCGAGCCTGCACCACTCGCACATGCCGCTCCCGGCGCGCCCGCCCCAGTTTGCGGCGCCGTCTGCCTCGTCGGGCGCAGGCCCAGCGGCAGGAGCAGGAGGGCGGGTCTTTGGAGGAGGGCAGGGCAACGACGGCGTGTTCGCCAACCTCGCCGCCAAGCCCGACAACCCGAGCGGCGACATTGTCGGCGAGGGCCCGGGCAAGGACGAGGTGCTCCCCGTGCGTCCGCCTTTCTCTCACCACCATCCCCACAGAACCGCACTGATCCAACCCCCCTCTTCTGCCCGCAGCCGTACGAGGCGGCCCAGCTCGACCCGTCGCCGCAGTACTGGGAGACGACCGTCATCACGCCCGGCCTGTACGGGCCCGACGACATCCTCGTCGACGGCCTCCCCGTCGGTAACCTGTTCAGCTTCGCGTGGAACTTGCTCGTCAGCATGTCGTTCCAGTTTGTCGGTGCGTCCGGGCAGTTCTCCTCATCCCCCTCCCTCGTCAGCCGGTACTGACCTCGCCGATCCTGTTGTCCCACAGGCTTCATCTTGACCTACATCCTGCACACGACGCACGCCGCCAAGAACGGCTCGCGCGCCGGCCTCGGCGTCACCCTCATCCAGCTCGGCGTGCGTCCCTGTCCCTCTTTTTTCTGCAACGAGTCTCGGTACTGACCCTCGTGCGCTCCCGCAGTTCTACCTCAAGCAGCGCACCGACCACCCCGAGTTCCTCGACGACGACCCGCTCTCGTCCGGCGACGAGACGGGCCTCAACGGCGCGCTCGGGCCCGCCGACACGGACGCCGAGCGGTGGAGCTGGTGGGGCGGCGGTTTCGACGACACGGCGACCGGCGGCGCCGCAACGGCGACGCTCGCTGCGCTCGGGAGCCTGCCGACCCAGGTCGGGAGCGCGTTCGGGTCGATGCTCGACGCGAGCGACCCGGACGCGGCCGCGGCGGCGGCGAGCGCGACGCCGTTCCCGACGCTCATGGGCGACGGGGTCAGCGACGCCGAGATGATGCGCATGAGCATGGCGGCCAACGAGTGGATGGCGTTCGCCATGGTGACGGTCGGGTCGTTCCTGCTCATCGGGAGCTGCCTCGCGTACTGGCGCGCGTACAGGTCCGTCCCTCTCGCCCTCTCTCTCTCCTTCTCTCGCCTCGTTCTCGTACTGACTCGAGCTTTCGTCGACGCAGGTACTCACGGGCGATCCGTGACGGGCAAGGCCCAGGAGCGGACAGCGAGAACGTGGTCGCGTTCTGAGCGAGCGAGGGCCCGTCCGTCGCACCCTCTGTGTCACTAGCCTCTGCGCGCGCGAGATCCTTGAGTAGTCGCTGCTGCACTTTGTAATCGTACCACGACTGCAACGTGCCCGGCAGCTGTCGTTGCGGAGCGACACCGAACCTCATCATCGGACGACGACACGCTGCGGCTCTCACGGTCTCACGCATGTCTGGTCCGGGCAGTCTGACTCCCGTGAGCCTCTCCCACTACCTCACTGCGCGCACACGGCCCTGACGCAGCCCCTCACCGCGACCCTGCAGGCACCCACTCCTCCTCCTCCCTCCGCACCAACTCCCGCCGCCCGCACCCACGCCCCGCACCCGATGTCGCGCCCTGTCGCCGAGGACGCCCTCATGGACGACGAGGGCAGCGCCGCGAGCAGCCGCAGCAGCAACGCCGGCGACGACGACCTCCTCCAGGACGACTCGGACCGCGACCCGGTCCAGTCGGCCAACGAGGACAGCATGCTCCTCGAGAGGGACGAGGTGCGCCCCCGAGTCTCTCCTCAGGGTGTTTAGCCCGCCCTGGTCTGACCTGCTTCCGTCCCGACCACAGCACGCGACGACCCCGTCTCGCCCTCGCCCCGCCCTCGCCCCCACCTCGTCCTCCGCCTCTCACCTCCCCTCGCCTCCCGGCCCCTCGGCTCGCCGCAGCTCTGCCCGCACCTTTGCGCGCTCGACCCCGGGCGGCGGCGGGCGCAACACGCGCCTCGAGCGTGCGTCGGCCGCGTTCGTCGAGGGCGGCGCCAGCGCGTTCGAGCGCGAGAGGGAGAGGCTGAGCGGCCGTGGTGGCGGGAGCGCGGCGGACGAGGCGAGGAGTGCGGAGGAGTGCGCGTGGAACAAGGTGCTCGACAAGGAGTACGCGGGCAAGAGTGCGTCGTCGGTTCCCTCCGCCTCGCTCGGACCGGACGGGCGGGCCCTGAGGCTCGTCCTCCGCCTAGCTAGGCCTTACGGTTCTGGACTGACTCTCTCGCGTTGTATCGCAGTCACCTACGACCCGTTCCTCCACCAGCTCAACATGGACGCTCGCCAGGCCTCGAGCGCTGCTGCCGCCGCCGCCACATCGTCGAACGGCACCGCCGGAGCTCCCTCGGCGCCCGCTGCAGCCGCTTCGACACCCTCGGCAGCCACCGCAGCAGCTTCGACCGCCTGAGCAGCCCCTCCCTCTCCTCGTTCCCTCGCAACCCTTCCTCGCACCCCTCGCAAGACCCGCTTTCTCTCTGTGCCCCTCTCGTCGTACCTCCTCCTTTCCTGTACAACCCTCCTTCTCCTCGAGCTCTCGATGGGCCGCCTACAACGCGCTCAACGTACCGCAGCGCCTCGCCCGCAGAGAGAGAGAGAGGGAGAGGGCAGAGGAAAGGACATCTCAAGTTTCTCGCTATCAAGGCTACGCTGCGTCCGCCGCTCCAGCCGAGGCCGTCTCCATCCGACTCGCGTTCACGTCCGCCGTGCGCGCCTCGGCGTCACGCTTGCGCTGCTCCCTCTTCTCGCGTCGCCGGCGCCGCTCGTCCTCCTGGCTGTCGCCATCCGACTCGTGGCGGTGACGACGACGCTCATGAGGGTGCTCATCGTCGCATCGATGCTTGTGATCACGATGCCCGCTCGCTTGGCCGTGCTTGTGCTCGTGGCGGTGCGCCGAGCTGCGCTGCCGACGGCTCGAGCCCGCGCGCCTGTGATGGCGCTTGCCCGGAGCGTGCTCCTCGGTCGTCGTGCCGTCATTGTCGGTAGAGGAGGACGAGGTGGACGTGGAGGGAGGAGAGGGCGGGGCGGCATGACGAGGACGGTGCGAGGTGCGACGGGCTCGAGCGCGAGGTGCGTCCTCGGACGAGCTCGTCGTCGACGTGCCGCCGGCCGACTCGTTGTCGCTCCCGCTCGAGGACGTCTCGTCGTCTGTCGAGACGGCTTCGCCGGCGGCCCGACCTCGAGCGTGATGACGGCGTGGCGGTTTGCTCGCCTGGTGCTCCTCCTCCTCAGGCGCCTCGCGTCGTCGACTCGGGTGACGATGCCGCTTGCCCGGCGAGAACATGAGGGGGACGCCGAGGGCGTCCTTGCGGCTCGGCGACGGCGCGATGACCGGACGGCGGGCGGCGAGTGCGACGGGCGGTCCGAGCGGCTCGCTCGAGGACAGCCACGCCGCCTCCGGGTCGTCGACGGGCAGTCTCGCCCTCGCAGCGTACGCCGACACCGTCGCACGTCGACTCGCCTCTCGTCCGGCCCCGGCCCCGCCGAGCCACGCTCGCCTATCGTCCTCGTCGGCGCTGCGCTCGAGCCCCTCGGCCCGCAGCAGCGGCGTCTCGAGCGCCTGCTGCAGCGCGCGCACTCGTCGCGCCTGCGTTGCTCGGGCACGCTGCGCCGCAAGCTCGGCGCGCAGTATGACGACGCGCGCGTGTGGGTGGGTCGAGCGCAGGTCGAGCGTGACGAGGACGCAAAGGGCGAGGGAGGCGGCCAGGGCGACCGAGAGGACGGCGATGATGCGGGTCGAGTGGCTCTGGAGCTCCGTGAGGCATAGAGAAGGATAAGGGCCGGTGCTGACGAGGAAAGGATTTAGTCGCGGGCTGAGAACGCGAAAAGAAGGAAGGAGACGCACCAGGACTTGAGCGGAAGGAGGACCTCGCCGAGGACGGCGCCCGAGAGCCCGAGACAGACGACCCACAGGACCTTTGAGAGCATCTCGTTAGCCTCTGAGACGAGAAAGAGAAGGAGGAAAGCGACGCACAGCGAGGTACGACACAATGCCTCGAACGAGGTCCCAGATTCGCGTCGTCGGCGGGGGCAAAAACCGAGCGTACTGCGTGGGCAAGACGTCAGATCATCCACAAGGCGTGAAGCTTGACGAGAGGACGGACCGCAGTGATCAAGCTCGTGCAGACGAAGGTGAGGAAAGCTGCCGCGGTAGAGGCGACGAGGACGATGTGTCCGGTCTCGAGCGGCGCGTCGACCGTGAGCTGTGTGGGAGAACGTCAGTTCTCGCTCAGAAGCGGTGAGAGAATCAGGGACGTACCCGAGCCAGAAAGACGACGGCGACGAAGGAAGCGGTCGACGAGAGCGCCATGGCGAACGACGCAGCGCGCGCAGGCAAGAAGACCGAAGAGACGTCCTCGCGAGCTGCGCCATCCTCGAGGTAGCGCATCTTGGCAGCAGCAGCGGGAGCAGGCAAGCGAGCCCAGATGAGGAGCGGTCGACGAGCAAGCCGCACCGCGGACGCTCCGTCGGCGTCCGGCGAGGAGCGACGCTCGAGCCTCGTCTCTCCTGTCCGTCGTGTCTCGCTCTTTCCGGCTCGCCGCTCTCGTCGACTCGCAAGCAGGGGCCGGTGACGAGGAACTGCTTTGCGTCTCGAAAAGGCCGCTACGAATGCGCCGAGAAGAGGAACCGATCGAGAGAAGGAGCGACGGTGCAGAAGTGCGAACGAGGATGCTGCGGGATTGTGCAGAGGAGGTGCGGCTGCAGGTATAAGGGCTGGAGAGGATCGAGGGGCGTCGAGATCTGCAAGAGTGACGACGAGGAGGAAAGGTGAGCGAGGGTCCAACTTGAGAAGGTCGAGGGTGAACGGCGAGGACGCACTCTAGACGGTGAAAGTGGCAGTGCCGGCCGCCTTGCGACTGCTGCTGCCGAGCGTGAGCTTGAACTCGCCCTTGGGCAGGATCCAGCCGCCCTGCTTGACGCTCCACACGGCGAGGTCCTTGTTGCGGATCTGGAACGTGACCGTCTCGCTCGCGCCCGGCTGGAGGAACGGCTTGGCGAACCCGCGCAGCGAGCGCACAGGCATCTTGTTGGGCGTACCCGACGGGAACGAGAGGTAGAGCTGCGAGCGCGCGCGAGGGAGAGAGAGTCAGTGAGGTGCGCTCGGGCGAGCGAACGGACGCGAGGGGCGAGAGCGAGACGCACCTGAGCAACCTCGGCTCCTGCGACGTCGCCCGTGTTCTTGACCGACGCCGTGACCGTGTATGCGATGTCGTACAGGCTCGAGCTGTTCTTGCCGTCGACGAAGAACTTCTCGTTCGTCTCGCGGACCGGGGCCGGGTTCTCGGTCGCGTTGGCGGCGACGGCGAGGCCCGACAGCTCGAACGACGAGTACGAGCCGCCGTACCCAAACTCGTACAGCGGCGTGACGTTCTTGTGGTCGAAGTACTTGTAGTCGAGGAAGACGCCCTCGTCGTAGACGACCTTGGGCTGGTACGACACCGAGCCGTTGAAGTAGGCGCCCTGGTCGTAGTCGGACACGTCCTTGGCGATCGTGAACGGCAGCTTGCCGCTCGGGTTGACGTCGCCGAACAGGACCGACGCGATGGCGTGGCCGCCCTCCTGGCCCGAGTAGTAGGCGTACGCGATCGAGGTCACGTTCTCGTGGTCGTGCCAGCTCGACATGTCGATCGGGCCGGGCGCAGTGACGACGACGACCGTGTCGTTGTGGCGCTCGGCGACGTACTTGATCAACTCGTCGCCGCCGTTCTGGAGCTGCGCGAGGCGGGAGGCAAGGAAGGGGGTCAGTGCGGCCCTTTCCTCGAGAGGGGCGAGAGCGAGAGACAAACCTTGAGGGTCGTGCGGTCGTAGCCCTCCATCGCGACGGCAGTGACAAAGACGACCGGCGTGCTGGCGTAGGCGAGCTTCGAGTCGAGGTACGAGATGTTGGTGCCGAGCTGGGTCGTGATCATGCCCTCGGTCGGGTCGCTGCGACGCAGGGGGACTCGGTCAGTTCATGGCCCTCGACGAGACGAGGAGAGGGTGAGGAAACAGTCGACGCACTCGCTGCCGTAGTAGTCGACGGCGATCTGGTCCTTCGAGCCGCGCTCGATGAAGGCCATGAGCGGGTCGATCGAGTACGGCTGCGGCGAGCCGCCCGAGCCGTACCCGTTCGAGTTCCAGCCCTCGTAGTTGCTGCTCGGAGCGTAGAAGGGGACGGCGTTGAGGTTGGCGATGTAGCCGTACGGCGCCGGGCGGGCGGCCGAGCCGACGAGGAGGAGGTCCCGAGGCTTGTTGAGGGGAAGGCCGCGAGTGTCGTTCGACGAGCGAACGTTCTTGAGGAGCGTGATCGACTCCTGCGAGAGCTTGAGGGCGACCGAGGTCGACTCGTTCGTCGTCGCCCAGCGGTCAAAGTCGATCGACGGGAGGGAGCCCTGGTCGAGGGCGTAGTAGCCGGTCAACCAGCGCAGGATCTTGTCGTCGAGGACGCCCTCGGGGACCGTGTTGTTCGAGATGAGGGCGGCGAGCTTGTCGCCGAACTGGTTGCCGCTCGCGGACGAGAAACCGACCCAGTCGAGGCCGCCGAGCGCCGAACCGACGGCGGTGTGAGCTGCGCCCCAGTCGCTGATGACGCCGCCGTTGAAGTTGAGCTGTAGACGAGGACGAGACAGGGCCGAGGCGAGATGGACTCAGTCAGGACGCGTTTAAGAAGGTCGACTAGGGAGGGAGGACGAGAGAGGGGGGCGCACCTCGGTCTTGAGGAGTTGATTAAGCAGGGCATCGTTCTCGCACGCAGAGGTGCCGTTCAGAAGGTTATCTGGAAGGCAAGGCAGGTCAGTGCCGGGTCGAAAAGGCCGAGAGAGTCGTCGAGAGGCTCGCCCGAGCCTCTTCCGGGGCAGGGCATCTCCTCCTTGCGAGATAGGCAAGGGAGAGGACGTACAAGAACACATGAAGGCGCCCGAGCCGCTGCGGATTGCCTCGGCGAACGGCCAGACGTACAGCTCGTGCAGAGTGGCCTGGTCGATGATCGAGTCGGTCGTCTGGTTCAGGTTGTTGTCGAAGTACTGTAGGGAGGCGCCTCGTCAGTACGACGAGTAGGAGAGAGTGAGAGAGCGACCCAGACGTACGCCGCCGCCGGGTGCGCCGATGCGGAGCCACTCCTGCTCGTTCTGAGAAGGTCAGGGAGTGAGAGGGTCAGTGCGCGCTCTCCTGAAACGGTCGAGGAATCAAATTCTGCTCACGCCGACAAAGTGCCTGTGCGTCGAGAGAGGGTCAGTCGAGGTACGAGGGCAGGGGAGTGGGTGAATCGCGGACGCACTTGACGAGGCCGACGATGCCCTGGTCCTGGAAGCCCTCGACCGTGACACGGACCGCCTCGCCGGACAAGTAGGGGTCGGCCGTGAAGCCCTCCCAGTTGCGGCCGCCGTACGGGCTGCGACCGAGCGGGCCGACGACGATCGACAGCGGGTGGCTGCCGCCGACCGAGGCGTACTCCTTGGCGAGGGCGGCGGCGCGCTGGTAGAACAGGTTCATGTCCCACGTTGCGGCGGTCGTCACCTGCGCCGGGAACTGGGTCGAGTACCGGCTGTTGAGGCCTGCAGAGAGAAGGTCCATCAGTTCATGCTGCAGCTCGTCGCGCCCTCGAGAATCCCTCCTCGCCCTGCGGCGCCGCGCGAGCCACCGGCCTGCTCCCGCCGCCTCTCTGCCGCCTCGGGAACGGAAGGGAAAAGTCGACGCACCAGTAGGACCGTCGGCGAAGCAGAGCTGGAAGGGCTCCTCGCCCTCGCCCGGGTCGAGCGGGTACGTGCGCGCCGAACAACCGCCGGCATCGGCGCCGAGCGCGGTAAAGTTGATCTGGACGGCGAACACGAGAGTCAGGTCGACGTCGGGAGGGACCTGAAGTCGAGGAGGAAAGGAGGCGACGCACCTTCTGCTCGAAAGTCAAGCCGGCGACGACGGCTTGAGCCTTCTCGAAGCCCTTGATCCACTTGTCACTCGTGAAGCCGTTGGCGGTGAGGCGGGCGTCCTTCCAGTGCGACTCGGGGACGCTGTCGGTCTTCTTCGAGGCGCCGCCGTTGTTGCGAGTCGAGAGACGAGGCGAGGAAGGTGCGGGTGCGGCCGTCGCCGCGGCGGCGAGGGCGAGGAGGATCGAGCTCTTTGTGAGCATCGCTGTCGAGGTGGATGGAGAAGAAGCGACGGGAGGAAAGAGAGCGTCGGGCGAGAGCAACGACGGGGCGGAAGCCGGCTCCCCAGCTCCGCCCCGAGCGGTCCCCCACCAGCTGGCGCTCAGTCCACCGCCCAGGATCGTGCGCGGCGTGCCGGTGGACCTGCAACTCGACGAATCCCGAGCGCTCATCGTACCGGCCCACCGGCCAACTCGGCCGCATCGATGCAGTCGAGCGCTTTAGCGCATGTCTCGACGAGGAAGAAGGCGATCGACGAGCGTGGGCTGCAGCCCAGCAAATTGCCGCACGGGCGACAAAGAGCCGTGCCCGACCGCGAGGTGTGGTGCGCAGCTTGCAGCAGAGCGAGCAGAATGCGCCGGTCGGGCCTCGCACAGGCGGCGAGTCGGCCGGGTGGAGGAAGGTGGAGGAGCAGCGGGGGAGAAGCCGCGGCAGAGCGGCTCGGCTGCAGAAGAAGCTCGTCAGGCTCAGGTCGAGAGGGGACGGCGCTCGTCGAGGGCAGAGAGAGAGAGAGAGGACGCACAGAAGCAGGAACCCGAGACGAGGACCGAGCGAAGCCAGCCTCGCTGTTCTCCCGACCGCCCGCATCTCGCTCGACTCGCACCGCGCCTCGTTACAACATTCATGTCACGCACGCCCTGCCCATATCACCTCCTCAGGCGTACTGCGACGCCAAGCCGGCCTCGTCGGCGAACTTGCGCCCGATCCACCGCGAGACAAAGAGGGCGACGGCGGCGAGGAGGAAGACGCTGTCGAACAGGCGCGAGAAGACCTGGAAGTCGGGCAGCGTGTCGAGGAGCTGGGTCGACGATGCGGTGGGCGAAGAAGGGAGGGAGATGAGGGAGGTGAGGAGGTAGACGGCCTGCGAGGTGGAAGGTCAGTCGAGGACGACGCGGGAGGGACTTTTGGCGAGCGCGAGGACGTACCATGAGCTGCGCGAGGAACAAGAGCATGAAGGATGCGCTCATGCCCATCGAGGTCGCCTTGAAGATCTGGTGACGGCGAGTCTGTCAGTCAAGGTTCGGCGAGACGGGCTCGGGCGAGGAGGGAACGAGAGGCGCTCACTCTCGAGACGCTGCTGAGCACGTTGCGCATGTTGGCGAGGAGGATGCCGCCGATGAGGACGAAGCCGAGCATGCGGGACCACGTCGCGACGTCGAGCTCGACGTCGAGCCCGACGGCGACTCGAGTGAGGAGCGAAGTGAAGAGGTCGGTGCCCTCGACAGGCGTTGGCGGGAGCTCGCCTTGACCGCCGCCCTCGACAGGTATCGCCGCATGCTGATGGCTCTTGCGCGTGTAGCCGAAGATGAGGTTGATGCAGGACTGCGGGAAGGGCGGGTCAGGTCGGCGCTCTCGTCGAGTGTGGCGCCGGCCAGAAAGAGGGCGAGGGGACGCACAGTAAAGACGCGCCACACGCAGTAGAGGCTAAAGAGCCATCCGACGGCTAGCCACAGCCGCCCTCGCCAGCTCCTCCCCCTGTCCCTCATCGCCTGCCGCACCTTGAGCCGATGCACGTCCTGCGTCATCTGCCGCTCCATCTTCTGCATCGCGCTCACCTCGAGCTCGAGGCTCTTGAGATGCGTCGCCGCCGGCGACGTGGTCGTCCACCGAGACAGGAGCGACTGGCCCGCCGCCGATTCCGCCTCGCGAGCGGCTGAACCTCGGGCGAGGGCAAGCGAGCGATTGCGCTGCTGCAGGTCGAGACGGGTACGGGCGAGAGCGCGCTCGGCCTGGGCGATCGACGAGTCGGTGACGGGCTCGCTGCGCACGGCGCGAAGCTGCGTCAGGTTGCGCGGGAGGGAGGGACGAGGCGAGAAAAGAGCGGGGCGCACCTCGACGATACCGAGCGCCACTCGTAAGCCTCCCACGCCGTGTTGACCGCTCCCCCTCCAGATAAAGACGCGATGAGGATGACGCCGGGCACGCAGATGCGCGAGAGGAGCTCGTTGACGAGGCCTGTCGGGGCGAGAGACTGGTCAGTGGGTTCGACGGACAGACTCGAGGGACGACTGCGACGGACCGAAAGAGTGCGAGCCTTCGACGACGTGCTTCTCTGCGACGAGGGACCCGACGCGGTAGAAGACGAAGAGGTAGAGGGCAAAGGGGACGAAGGTGAGGAGGAAGGTGCGGGCGAAGTTGGACCTCGACCGGTGGGTGAGGAGGAGGCACAGGCCGAACGGGATGACGAAGACGATGAGGGAGAGGAGGGCGAGGAGGCTGAGGGACCAGTTGAAGTCGCGTGCCCTGCAGGGAGAGAGACAAGGTCAGTTCGAGGGGGAAAGGGAAGGAGGAGGGATGGCTGTGGACGCACCGAGCGCTGACGACGTCGCCGAACAGCAAGAGGGTGAAGAGCATGCCGCTCTCGGAGAACGACAGGCAGAACAGGGCCGTCGAGAGCCTCGTGTAGGCCCTCCCTGCGACGGCGGTCCCTCCTCCACCAGGCGTGAGCGACCCTCGCCGGCCGTCGCCGCCCCAGCTCGCGCCCCTGCCACCTGCGCCTGCCCCACCTCCTCCAGGCGCGTGCAGGCTCTCGCGCGCGGCTGCCGCCATGGCCTTGCCCGCGCCCGCGCCCGCCCCACCGCCCGCGCCGAGGCCAAAGTAGCCGTCCTCGGCGTCCTCGAGCTCGAGGGCACCGCCGTCTGGCGAGTCGAGGTCCGTGGCGAGGCCGTCCTCGCGGATGACGCTGCGCAGGTCGGAGAACAGGGAGAAGTTGACGTAGTGTCGACAGGCGATGAAGAGGGCGAGGCGGACGAGCGAGAGGAGCGCCGTCTCGACGAGTACGGGCGAGCTCGTGGGTGGAGGTGGTAGCGGTGCGGTCCCTCCTGCAGCGTCCATGGTGCGCCGCGCGCCAGGGTGGGTGTGGGAGGAGAGCGAGCTCCTTCCCGCTCCTCCTCCTCCTCGAGCTTCGGTCCGCGGAGAAACGGCAGCCACGCGAGCGTCTCTCGAGGGCCTTCCGCTTTCGCTCGCACGCACGAGAAGCTGGCACGGAACTGCTGAAGTTGCTGCTGCTGCTGGGGGAGACTCAAGCTACACGGCGCCCTCACTGACCCTCCCGCCCTCGCGCGAGCTCCTCCCCGGCCTGCTCGTCCTCGTCCTCGCCCTCGTCCCGCACGGGCGGTCCACCTGCTGGCTGCGTCGGCGTCGGCGTCGGTCCGGGTTGCTGAGGCGCGCGAGGCTGAGCGGCGGGTGCGGCGGCAGGGACTGGAGCGGCGGGATGGCGACCTTGGTGCTCGGGCCGCTGGCGAAAGTACAGGAGCCAGCTGCGGGACGAGGGCGAGGGTCAGGGTCATGCGCAGGACGCGAGAGAGTCAGAGAGAGAGAGAGTGACGCACGCGAGGAGCATGCACAGCGCCACGATGGCGACCGTCCCTCCAAAGTCGCCCTCGTCGTCGAGGAAGAACTCGTCGTCCTCGTCCTCGTCCGCCGCATGCCCTCGCCCATACCCTCGCCCGTCCTGAAATTCGCGCCACTCGAGCGGCTCCTCGGCGCCCTCGAGCGCGCGCTGCGCCGCCCGGACGGCGCGCCGCTGCGGCTGCGGCTGCTCGTCGCCGGCGAGGTGGTCAAGTTGCGCGGCAGGCTCGCGAGGTGCGGCTCCTGCGCCGCCTTGTGCCGCCTGACCGGCGCCTCGAGCTGCGGCGGCGCGAGGAGGGGCAGGCGCAGCCGGCATCGGCTCGGGCTCAGGACCAGGGTCGATGCCCCACGAGCGCTGGACGTCGCGCCACGCCCGGCCGAAGCTCCACAGGCCGTGCTCGGCGTAGCCCGCCGCGACGCCGTCGACGTCGGGCTCCTTGCCGAAGAGGCTGAGCGCGTTGAGCTCGTCGCCCGGGTGGAGGAGGGCGTGCTTGAGGGCTCGAGCGTACAGGCCGATGAGCGACAGGGTTGCAGGGAGGGCGGCATCGGACGACGTGTCGTAGGCGGCGTCGTAGTGACGCTTGGCGAGGTGAAAGTCCTGCGGGAGAGGCCTCGAGTTAGCCGGGCGCCGAGGGACCGAGCGCCTCGAGGGCGATGGCGAGGACGAGGGAGAGGAGGGGCCAGAGAGAGAGAGAGGGAGCGCACCTGCGGCACGCCCTGCCCGGTCTCGTGCATGTAGCCGAGGTTCCACATCGACATGGCCGAGAAGCGGGTCGTCGACGCGCTCTGGTAGCACCCGGCGGCGCGCTCAAGCTGCGGCACGCCGTCCTCGGTGCCGAGGCCCGAGAAGTAGTAGTCGCCCATCTTGACGAGCGCGTCGACGTTGTCCTGGGCGGCCGATCTCGTCCAGTAGGTCAGGGCGAGGCGGTCGAGCTGCTTGACGGCGGGCGACGGCGAGGCGGGAACGGCGTCGAGGAGGGGAACGCGGATGCGCTGCTTGTCTGCGGGTACAGGGAGAGCTCGTCAGTAGTCTTGCACGAGTAGGGCGGGCGAGGAAGAGGCAGGGAGGTCGACGAGAGGAAGAGGAAGGAGGGAGAGAAGGAGGACGAGGAAGAGGGGAAGGCGAGGACGCACCCCGGTCGAGGATCCACGCGACGTTGTTCTGCGCCGCCTCGTACCCTCGCTCGGCCATGAGCCAGTAGCCGAGGAGCGCCGTCCTGCGGTCGCCCTTCTCGCGCGCGCGCTCGGCCTCCCACCACACCTCGTGGTCCCAGTCGCCGCGCTCGGCGACGCGCTTGTAGAACGACACGGCGACGGGGCACGTGTCGCCACCGCCGGCGGCCGTCGACCTCGCGGCGAGCTCGGCGAGGTAGTAGTACGCCTGGAAGCCGTCGGCCCACCGCTTGCCGTCGAACCGGATGGCCGCCTCGAAGTAGGTCGTCGCCGAGGCAAAGTCGCCGACGCCAAAGTGGTACTTGGCGAGGTTGACCTGGGCGTCGGCGAGGTCTTGCTGCGCCGCGGCGACGAACAGGTGGACGGCCTTCTTGAGGTCGCGCTCGACGCCGAGGCCGTCGCGGTACATGATGCCGAGCGCGTTCGACGCTTCGCGGTCGCCCTGCGTGACGTGCGGCCTCGTCAGTAGGTGCGCGAGAGGCAGTACGAGAGAGAGGGAGAGAGAGGAGGGGCGCACCTGCTTCATGCCGCGCTGCAGCCAGAGGAACGCCTTGGCGTAGTTGACGGCGACGCCCTCGCCGCGAAGGTACATGCGGCCGAGGTAGCCCGCCGCGAGCCCGCCGACCATGGCCGCATGCTCGTCGACGCGGTCGCTGCGGCGGTCCTTGGCGGCGTCGTAGTACCCGACGCGCGGCGGCTCGCCGAGCCGGCCCGGGCGCGCCTTGGGGTCGGTCGTCGCGTCGCGCCCGTCCGAGGGCCACACCTTCTTGGCCAGGCGCAGGAACCACTTGGACGCGCGGTGAAAGTCGCGCCCGCCGTCCCACAGGCCGTCACTGCCGCCGCCGCCGCCGCCGCCGCTCGAACCTCCTCCCGCCGCCGCCGACGAGCCGCTCGACGCCGCAGCGGGCGCTCCTGCGGGCACGAGGCGCCCTCGCGGCAAGCCCCGCACGCCACCGAGGCCGCCGGCGCCAAAGCCCTGGTAGTACAGGCGGCCGAGGCGGTACATGTACTCGGGGTCGCCCTTGTCGGCGTGGAACAGGTGAAACTCGACGAGGTCGTCCCACTCGTGCTGCGTCTGGGCGTTGCTGCCGCCGGTGACGAGCGACGAGCGCGATGACGAGGCGCCTGGCCCGTACGCGCCGCCGTCGTGGTCGGTGAGGCGGATCTTGTGCGGCGGGAGGTGGCGGCCGCCGGGAGGGCCGGCGTTGAAGGCGCGGATGGCCGAGTCGGCGGCCGCCTTGTACCAGGGGAGGGCGTCCTTGCACGACTGCTTGGTGCCGATGCCGGCCCAGTGGCGGTAGCCGACCGTCATCGAGGCCGGCGTGTGGCCCGACAAGGCGGCGAACGTGTAGTGGAGGAGCGCCTGCACGAGCGCCAACATCAGTCTCGACGAGGAGCAGTAGAGAAGGAGAGAGAGGGGACGCACGCTGCCCTGCTGCCCTTTGCCCTCGAGCCCGCCGATCGCCTGGCCAAAGTTGCTCGAGTACAGGAAGCCGAGTTTGTACTGCGCCTCGGGCGAGCCGTAGCGCTCCGACGCCTGCGTGTAGGCCTCGGCGGCTTTTGCTGCGTCGGCCGAGATCGACAGGTGGCCAGTCTGCAGGCGGGAGAGGCGTGTCAGGCCGAGGTGGGACGAGGGAGGGAGGAGCGGACTGAGCGACGCACGAGGTACAGGTCGCCAATGAGGACGTAGCCCTTTGCCGAGCCCTGGTCTCCCGCCTGCGTCGCGAGCTCGAGCACCTCGCGCATGCCCTCGGCGACCTCGTCGGCTTCGAGCACGACGCCGCCCTTGAGCTGCGCTGCCGCGAGCCGCTCCTTCCACCCTCGCTGCGCGCCGCCTGCACCTGCTGCTGCGCCCGCTCTCCTCTCGCCCTTAGCTCCACCGTTACCGCCGACGACGGGCACCTTGTCGAGCGCAAAGCTCTCGATGGCGCCCTGGAGCGCGCGGACGGCGCCGCGAACCGAGTAGTCGCGCCCGCCGGGTGCGCGGCGGTGGGTCGAGCCGGCGTAGAGGGCGCCGAGGCGGGAGCGGACGGCGGACAGGGCGCGGCCGGTGTAGGTGCCGGCGAGGCGCGACTCGAGGGCGTCGAGGGGGGAGGAGGACGAGGGCTGGACGAGGTGGGGCGAGTAGGGGGTGGGTGGGGAGGGAGGCGAGTGCGCCGTGAGGGTGTCGAGGAGGGAGAGGGCGAGGGCATAGAGGTCGTCGGCGTGCGCCTGGGTCGGAGCGCTGGTGGCTGCTTGCGCGGTGGGCGAGTCGGGCGAGAGCTGCGGGTGCGAGGCGAGGACGAGGGGGAGCAAGGTCAGCGACGAGGGTCTGATCGCGCCTCGCTCAAGCTGCCCAGGCCTTCGTGCGCTCTGCTGGGCGTAGCTGCCGGGCTCCACTGCCGTGCTCGGCGAGCTGGGTGCGAGAGCTGCGAGGTGGGACGAACCGGGTGGGCGTCGCCGGGTCTTGGTGGGTGCTTGGGGTTGGCGGGCTGGTTCGAGAGGTGCTGGCCGGTCGAGAGGCCAAAGGCGAGCTGCTGCTGTTGCGCGAGGGCTGCCGGATGACGAGGACCGGGGGAGAGGTCAGTGGGGGGAAGGGAGGACGGCTCGGCGCAGGGGAGGGGATGCCGGGGCGCACCTGGTGCCGAGAGCAACGCTGCCCAGCAGCACACTGTGACGGCCTTCATGGCGTGTGCCGCACTCGCGAAGAGGTTCGTCGCCAACCTCCGCACGCAGCGATCAAGCTCCCCTCGACCTGCACCTCCTCCTCCTCGCACCTGCTAGACTCAGTGAGTGCACAGTCTCGCTCCCAAGACCTGCCCCAACCCGCGCCAGACTGACCCATGGTCCCGCCCGCCTCGCAGTGGACGTGCCAGAGCCTCCTCAAGGCGCCCAGGCCGTCGAAGCCGTACGCCACTGGAACCGCGTGCGTGCCTCCCTGCAGCCTTCCCTGTGGGCCAGCACTGACCTTGCTCGACCCCTTTGCCCCCCTGCGACGCGTCCACCCTCGCCCCCTCCCCTCGCCCTCCCCCGCCGCGTGTTGTCCGCTCGTCCGCCTCGTTGTCGCCCAACACAGTCGTTCCAGGCACTGCTCGGTCCGCCCACCTTCCGGATCACTCTCGCAGAGACCGTGACTGACCCACCCCTCGCGACCCGCAGACCGCACCACGCCCTTCACCTTTCAGCGCTGGGGCAGCACCGCCGCCCTCTTCGTCATCTTCACCCTGCGCATCCTCTGGGTCCAGGCCTACTACATCGTCGCTTATGCCCTCGGGTCCGTCTCCCCTCTCTCTCCCTGTCTCGATGCGCGACCCGTAAAGCTCACCCCTGTCCCCTCGTCGTCGCAGCATCTACCTCTTGAACCTGTTCCTCGCGTTCCTTACGCCCAAGTTCGACCCGGCGTTGGCGTCCGACATGGCAGAGACGGACGCCGAGGAGGGCGCGCCCGGCCTGCCCTCGAGCCAGAGCGACATCCACGACGGCGAGTTCCGGCCCTTCATCCGCCGCCTCCCCGAGTTCAAGTTCTGGTCCGTCCCCTCTCTCTCCCTCTCTTTCTCTCGCACACGGTCCCTAACGACTATCCCGCACGCGCAGGTACTCGGCGACCAAGGCCGTCTCGTTCTCGATCATCGCGTCGTGCATCCCCGTCTTTGACGTGCCCGTCTTCTGGCCCATCCTCGTCATGTACTTCTTCATCCTCATGTTCATCACCCTGAGGCGCCAGGTCGCCCACATGCGCAAGTACAAGTGCGTCCCCTTCCTCCACGTTGGCCCTCCCCGAGCGGTCCTCAACGGCGTCGCTGCCGCTTTGCGCGGCAGACGCGATGGCGCGCGCTCCCTCGTCGATGGCCAACTGACACCTTGACGAACCGCAGATACCTCCCCTTCGACCTCGGCCGCAAGAGCACGTACGGCCACAACTAGACACTCGCCCTCTCGGCCTCTCTCTCGTTCGGGTTTTCTCTCTCTCTCTCGGGTCGCTCGACTCGTCTCTCTTCCTCGACGGCAGCGGCGAGAGTGGCGGAGACGAGTCGGAGCGTGGTTGCGCAATACAAAAACGCGGCTATACAGCATCCTCTCCTCGTCGGTCTGAGCGAGCGAGAGCGACCGAGAGCGAGAGCCCTGCTCGACCGCCCTCGCCCTCAGCGCTCAGCCCGCCCCGCCCTTCCTCCTTCGCCCTCGCTCCTCGCCCTCGTCGCTCCACCGCCCGCTAGACGCGCTGCTCGCCGAGCTCGGCGAGCCGGCCGACCCGCGCTCGAGGTCGTCCGAGAGGAGGGCGGCGCGCTCGACGGACGGGACGACGGCGAGGGTGGGGCGTTGTCGGGTACGCTGCGGCGAGGAGGACTGTCAGGTGAGAGGGCGGAGGACGAGCGCGGAGGAGAGAGAGGGGAAGCACAGGCCGTTTGCCCAGACTGCGCTCGTCTCGTCGGTCGCGCCGCCTCTCTCTCGCGGGCGAGGGCTGACTCTGCCGCCACCATCTAGAACACGCTTCGTCTGTCAGTGCCGGACTGACAAGGAGAGAGAAGGGAGAGGCAGAGTGAGGACGCACAGGTAGATGGCGATGCCGAGGAGGAACGCGAGGACGAGGCCGCCGAGCCCGAGGTACAGCGTCTTGCGGTCGCTCGTGCCCGTGATCGACGTCGGATCTTGTGAGGAGCTGCGTCACGAGAGCTACGTCAGGGCGGGCATGACGATGAAGAGAGAGAGAGAAATCGAGCGGACCTTGCTTCGGACAACGAGTCCGAGTCGCCGCTCGTCGCTGCGTCGACGGTACCAGTCGCCGATGCGGTAGGCAGCGCGGTCGCACTGCGAGAGGATAGAGTGAGTCGAGAGACGGCGCGAGGAGGTAGAGAACGTGCGCTCGACGCACCTGGTCGCGCTCGAGCCGGCGGTCAAAGCGGCCAGCGCCTCAGACGTCGCACTCGATTCGGCCGCCTCCTGCTCCTCGTCCACACCGCCCGACGCGCTCGCTGTCGCCTTTGCGCCGCCGCTCGTCGACGCTGACGCTTCCCTGCTCGACGTCGAGCCGCCCTCGTCGTCGGCCGCGCTCCCTCCTGCCGCGCTCGAGCCCGTCACGCTCGCCTTTCCTCCACCGCCCGCCTTGCTCGACGTCGGCTCCGCCTTCGACGCCGTGCCCGTCGGCTTGGCCGACTCGCCCTCGCCGCCCTCGCCATCGTCGCCGCTGCCGCCGCTCGAGCCCCCGCCACCCTGCTGCACCGCGATCTGCGCCGTCTTGCCCGACGCGCCCGCCGAGTCGTACACCCACACTTGCACCTTGTCTGCGTCCGCCCAGCTCACATCAGCTCCCGTCGAGCGCCCAGTGCGGCGTGCAGTGGAGCAAGAGAGCGAGGGGACGCACCGCCGACTTTCAGCTTGTCGGGCTGCCACGAGAAGCTCTTGTCCTTGATCGACTTGGTCTCGAGCGTCTCGTGGCTGTTGACGAGGCTGTGTGAGAGGAAGAAGAAGGTGTTAGGGCTGGACGGTGAAGCGGCTCGAGGTACGCGAGAGAGGACGCACATGCGGACCGTGAACGTGCTCTTGCCGGTGCTGCATCGTGCGCAGAGTCAGCCGGTCTCGCTCGTGGCCAAGGAAGAGAGGGAAGGAGGACGCACTTCCACGCAAAGAGGACCCGCTCGTCGGTCGTCCAGATCGTGCCCGGCGCCGTGATGGCAAGGTCGCCGGCGTCCCCAGCGCGCGCGAGGGCCGCGCACAGCAGCACGAGGAGCAGCAGCGAGAGCAGGCGCATGACATTGCTCCTCGACGTGGCGAAAGGGAGAGAGAGAGCTCGAGAGGCGAGGCGTCCGGAGACGGACAGGGCTCGGAGGGACGGACAGGAGCGAGAACGCTCTCGAGCCTCGCCGCGGACGGTCCGCGTTCGAGCTCGCCGGGGTGTCTCGTCAAGAAAGCCCCGCACCGTCACGCGTCTCAGAGCTCAGGGCGAGCTGTGTCGTCCAGCGGAGGAGGGGTCGAGGACAGGCGGCGCGACGGCGAGGGCCGACGCGGCAGGGGCCTGGCGGGATAGCAGCGTCGCCCGATGCACCCAAGGTTGTGCTCGAAGGCACAGCCGCAGCAGAGCGGGACCGCGCAGGCTGTCGCGGTGGCAGCGCCGCCCGCCCGAGAGTGCGAGCCAATTCGAGGAGGACGAGTCGGCGAGCACCGCTCGTGCGGGCGTCGGTCATGGCCGCGAGGGCTCAGAGAGCATGCCTGAGAGTGCAGATGGCAGGCAAGCCATGGCTGGGCGCAGTTTCGGGGACTGGGGAGGCGACGAGGAGGAGATGCTGATCGGGCTCGGCTCTCTCCTCCACCGCTCACCGCTGCTCGCCAGGATGGTCCTTGCCCTGCTCAGACGCGAGTCGCTCGACTGGGGTGCGCACCCTCTCGCCCTTCCCCTCTTCGCCCGAGCCCGACTGACTCTCCCTCCCCGAACAGCGACCGACTGCCCGCTCACGACCCTCGTCCTCGCCCTCGTCGGCGCGGGATGGCTCGGGAGCTACGTCCTCAGCTTTGCCAGGATGCTCGTCGACCTCGCCCGCCCCGGCATCCCTGTGCGTCCCCGCCCCTTCCTCTCTCGTCGGTCCCTCGCTCACCTCCCTGCCCCACCCCTCGCACAGCTCAAGCGTTTCGGCGCCAACAAGGGCGCATGGGCCGGTGCGTCCCCTCACGTGTGCTCTCCTACCCCGAGCACGAACTGACTCGTGTCCCGCAGTCGTGACGGGCGCAACCGCCGGCATCGGCCGCGACTTTGCCCTGCAGCTCGCCGGCGCCGGCTTCAACGTCTTCCTCGCGAGCCGCACCACCAGCAAGCTCGACGAGATTGCGCAGGAGATCAGTGCGTCCCTCTCTCCCCAGACGTCACAGGACGAGCGGTCCCGCTCACGCCCGTCGCCCCTTTCACAGCCGCCAAGTACCCGTCGGTCAAGACGCAGGTCCACGCCATCGACTTCTCGGACGCCAAGGCCGACTATGCCGCGCTCAAGACGGCCCTCGACCCGCTCGATGTCGGTGTCCTCGGTGCGTCCTCGTCCCGCCGCGACATCGAGCCAAGCCTGCCCGCAACCTCGAGCTGACCTTCTCTTTCGCGTCGGCGCAGTCAACAACGTCGGCAAGAGCTACGACGAGCCGACTTTCTTCCAGGACCTCCCTGACCAGGACATGATCGACATCGTCGAAATCAACGTGTGCGTCCTCGCCCTCGTCTCCTCTCTCGAGCGTGCGAGGTGACTGACCCGATCCCTCTCGCGCCGCAGCAACGCCGCGCTCAAGGTGACCAAGATCGTCGTGCCTGGCATGGTCTCGCGCAAGCGTGGCCTGATCCTCAACGTCGGCTCGTTCGCGTCGCTCATCCCGTCGCCGCTCCTCGCCGTCTACTCGGGCAGCAAGGCGTTCCTCTCGACTTGGTCGCAGGCGCTCGGCAGCGAGCTCAAGGGCACCGGCGTCGAGGTCGAGCTCCTCAACACGTACTTTGTCGTTCGTCGTCCACCTCTCGAGCAGGCGGGTGCGGCCGGACAACCTGACCTTCCCTCCTCGTCGTCGTGCAGGTCTCGAAGCTCAGCAAGATCCGCCGCAGCTCGTGGATGATCCCGACGCCCAAGACCTATGTCCGTGCGTCGACGTGATTCTCTTCTCTCTTTGCGCCTGGTCGAGCGGTTCCTGACCCAGAGGTGCGTGCGCTCGACCTGCAGGTTCGGTCCTCTCGCACATCGGCGTCCAGGGCGGCGCCGTCGGCCAGCCGCACATCTCGACGCCCTACCACGGTCACGCTCCTGTCCAGGTGCGTCTAGCTCCCTCGTCCTGCACGTCCTCGAGCCGATCCTTGACTTCCCTCCCTCGCCCGCCTGCAGTGGGTCGTCGACCACTTCATGTCGGCCGGCTTCTGGCTCAACTACAACCGCAAGCTGCACCTCGACATCCGCCGTCGTGCCCTGCGCAAGCGCGAGCGCGAGGCGGCCAAGGCGGTCAAGGCCGAGTAGCGCAAAAAGGGTGCTCGAGGTCGTTTCGGCCGCCGGGCGAGAGGGAGGGGCCGGCGACGGCTCGGCGAGCCGCACGTGCTCGAGGAGGCAATGTGGGCGCCCTGCAATGCCGCAGGTCTGCGCCGTCGTCGCCCTCTTCTCGGCCGGTACCTCGAGGAGAAGCGCAGCTGGGTTTCGCTTCCCGCCGACCCGGCGCCGCACGCACTGCGCGTCCCACGCTCGTCGAGCGTCTCTCCCTCGGCTGTCGATCTCGCACGAGCGCTGCACTCTCGCCTCGGAGCCGAGAACCCCTCTTTCGCGAGCGAGACTGTCGAGACGGATCTCGCGTCCCGCCTCGGCCTCTTGCGCGGCAGGCGCCCTCAGCTTTTCACGCTCGTGGCAGCTGTCGCTCTTTTGTCGACTGAGCTGCCCCGGCTGCGCGTACCCCGGCGGCGCAGCTCCAACCCGCTCAAGCGCCGGCGGACGGATCGAAGGAGGGTCGGTGCGCTCGTTTTTACGGGCTACGAGTGCCTCAGCTGCAGGTCTCTCCTTCTCTCTGTGCGACTTGGAGCTCTCTGCGCCGAGTCTAGTACACCTGGCCGCTGCTCGTGCCGGCTGAGGCGCGAGCGGCCGAGGCTCAAGCTTGTACTTTCGCTTGTCGCGGATCGATGGACGTGGGCAAGGGCGCGATCAGGCTCTGCCGGCCGGGCTTACAGTAGCTTTGAGAGGAGCTCGTGCGGGGCAAGCAGCTACACAGCGGGGGGGCGAGGCACCTCCGCCGAGGATGCTCCGAGGACGGGCTCGACCCTCGTCTCGACGTTCTTGACCTGCAGCACAGCGACAGAGTCGCGCTCGACTCTCTCGCACACCCTGTGCTCCCTCACGTACCCCCCCCCGACATGCCGCCCCGCCGTCGCCGTTCACCCGCCTTGCACGAGATCCACGCCGGATCTCGCCAGCCGCACGGCCACTTGCCGGCTTCCACCTCGACCTCCCTGCCCGACATGGGCGCACCTTTACCTCGCCTCGACGCCCGAGACGAGGCGAGTGCCGCTCGACCGGTGCGCTCGCGAGCCGGGAAGGCTGTCGCCTCGTCGTCGACCTCGACCTTCCTCACGGCGTCGCCGCCTTCTCGCGGCACACCGCCTACACGCGCCAACTCGACGACCCACACCGCTCCACGGCCCGCCAACGCCTGGATCCTGTACCGCTCGGCGCGAACCCACGAGTTCAAGGCGAGAGAGGGCTGTCCCGCCGTTCCGCAAGCCGACATCTGTGCGCCGGGCGCTCTCTCCTCTTGCTCTCGATCCCTGGACTGACCCTTTTCCTGTCGCAGCCAAGGTGATCGGGCAGCTCTGGCGAGACGAGACGCCCGAGGTGCGGCGGTTCTGGGAAGGCGAGGCGCAGAGGGCGAAAGCGCGGCACCGTCAGCTCTACCCTGGTGCGTCCGCTCTCTCTCTCGTTCTCGCACCCAGACCCTCTCGCCAAGTGCAGCTGACGAGCCTCGCCCCGACAGACTACGTGTACCGCCCTGTGCGACGAGCCGCCAAGAAGAACAAGCCGCAAGGACAGCTTCCCTCGCCAGCACCTCTTCGTCCTCCTCCCTTGTCCCCGACCGAGCTCCCCTGCGTCCTGCAGCCCGTCAACGCGTCCCTCTCGCCGCGAGAACCCGCCGATCCGCCCTCGACCTCGACAGCCCGGCTCGAATCGCGCCGCCCTCACCTCCAAGCCGACGTCACCCCGCACCTCCGCTCGACAGACCTCCCGACGCCGCCCTGGCCGCCTGCCGACCTGCCGCCTTCCTCGACCTACTTCACTCTGTCCCTCGCCGGCGAGCCGAGCGCCCCGCCACCGTGCGCTGCCGACCCGTCGCCCTGGCCCGCCGAGGACGCCGCCGACCTCGCACTCGGCGTCGCGGCGCTCAACACGAGCAGCGGGTGCGACTCGCTGTGGACGACCTGCGAGGGCCTGTCGCCCGACTCGCAGCCGCCGCCGCAGCAGCCGTCGGCGTTCGAGGCGGCGTTTTACCCTTCGCCGCCGCCGTCGACGACTTTAAATGGGTTCGACGACGCGTGGCTCCAGTCGGTGTGGGCACAGCAGGACGTCATCGAGCTCCCCTACCAGTACTAGCACCCTCCCTTTCTCTCCCTCTCCCTCTCTCCCGCCTCTCGCGCCGCCACGAGCCGCCGGATCCTTCATCGCTCGCATCGCCGACCGAGCCCGCCCTCGCCCTCGCCCTCGAGCGCACCTCCCCCCTCCTCTATCCTGTTGTCGTACCCGAGCCGTGCATCGCAGTACCTTGCACGACTCGTCGAGCGAGCGCAGAGAGGCTGTCGGGCGCAAATTGCTGATGAGAACGCCCGGACGGCGGCGGCCCGGCCCGCTCTCGCTCGCTGCGCGCGCTCTGGCTCGTCGCGCACGCCTCGCCGAGGAGCAAGCAGCAGTAGAGGAGCTCCACAAGCTGCGTGTGCGCCGCGAGAGCGTGTTGTGCGGCGCGCAGAGGTGATGAGACCTGCGGGAGCGAGCGAAAAGGCGCAGAGATCGTCGCTCGTCCGGCTCGAGTACGTTCGACGCGGCGAGGCCCGGGACGAGGTCGGCGGCGGCGGCACGGCGGGGTCGGGGACGTGGTCGTTGAGGTACAGAGCGCTGCAGGCGAGAGCGAAAGTGGCCCGTGCGCCGGCGGTGCGTGCGCGAGATGAGGGAGAGCGCGAACGAAGAAGCGAAAGCGGACGAGAGCCAAATCCGGGGCGAACGACGAGCGTGCACCAGGACCGCGTCCGAGAGAGCCAGCTCGAGGACACGTCGTGCTACAGCATACCCGAGCCTGCGCGAGCAGTGCGCGCCGAGGCGACGAGGTCGAGCGGGAACGAGAGGTCCGAGCCAGCTCGACGACCGAGAGGCGCGAGGGCCGACGCTCGCTCGCTCGTGTACGAGGAGCGGTGGCAGCACGTCCGGTGCCTCGCGCACCGCGCAGGGAAGCTGGCGAGGGCGGAGCAGAGCGAGAGCACAGCGCCGTCAAGCTGGACGAGCCATGGCCCACAGCGAGAAGGTGGCGCCGACTCGTGCTGCGGTGCCTGCGTCGGCGTAGCGCACGAGCCTCGGCGCGTGCACGAGTGTGCGAGGAAGCGAAAGCGGCGGCAGGTGTCGTGCGAGGGTGCTGAGACGACGTGGGGCGAGCGAAGACGGGTTTGCGAAGGGCTTGGGCAGGGCAGACGCCGGCGGTGAGGGTCTCGGTCGCCCAGGCGGGGCACAGGAAGCTGTCGGGAGACTGCGAGAGGCAAGGGAAGGCTGCGGGTCAGCTATGGCCTGCGGGATCGGACAACGTGCGAGGGAAAAGGAGACGCACCGCGAGAGACGAGGCCGTGGCGGCAAGGAACTTGATGGCTCTCGCTCGAGCGTGGCGCGGTGCAGGGATTAGCCCGTGCGAGGAACGGCCCCTGGGCGGGAGAAGGGCGAGAGGGAGGGAGAGCAAGAGGCGAATGCGAGGAGGAGACGGGCCCGCCTCGTCCTCGTCGCACTCGGTCCACCCGCCTCGAGCTGGGCAGCTGCGGTACTGCAAGCACAGCCACGCTGCTCCGGCTCTCCCTAGTCCTCGAGCCACGCTCGCCAGCCGCCGCCGGCTCTTGCCCTTCCTCCTCCACTTTGGCCGTCGATTCCATCTCGGCACTCGCCGAGCAGCCCTCGTCGTCTCGTCTTGTCCCGCCACGAGCTCATCGTCAACCCCCGAGCGCACGGCGGGCGTGGCCTCGCGACAGCAGCACCCGCCAGTCTCTCGCTCTGCTCCCTCGCTTTGAGAAGGCTCTCCGCCTGCTCTCGCGCTCGCTCGCACGACGCTCTCGCGACTCTCGCCCAACTCGACATCGACGGGTGCGCGACGCGGTGGCCATAACAGCAGGGCCCTCGGCGCACCTCCCCCGTCCCTCCCTCGTTCCCCCCTCGACCTTTCACCCGCCCGACCTGTCGAGATGCGGCGGCACCATGCTCCCCGGAATGTGCGCCGCCACCTCGCCCAGGTCGCTCACGAGCACGGTCCACGCCCGCCGCAGCGTCGCCCACAGCTTCCGGTCGGCCATCTCGAGCGCCGCCGCGTCGAGCCACACCTCGCGCACGCGCATCAGCCGCACCAGCAACGAGTCGAGCGCCTCTTGCTCCTCGTCGCCGCCGGCTGTGCGCCTGCCCACCGCCAAGCCCTCGCCGCCGACACTTTCCCCCTCCTCGACGAGTCGCCCTCTCGCGCCGCCGCCGCCGCCGTGCTGCGGCTCGCCGAGAAGGCCGCTGAGCAGCTGCGCGACGCTACCGTCGTACAAGTACCGGTGCAGGATGGGCCACGCCGCGCGGTGCGGCACGTCGACGGCAGACAGCGGGAGGAGGAGCGTGTCGGCGTCCGCGAGGGGGGCGCCGGATCGCGCGAGGCCGTGCAGCGGCGGGCACTGGAGCGCCCACACGCAGCCGTGCACGGGCGTGCGGTACCGCTCGCCCGTGTCGGAGAAGCGCAGCTCGAGCATGTGCGTCGGGAGCAGCGGCGCGTGCGACGACGACGACGAGGGCGACGGCGCGAGGCGAGGAGGGCGGCACCGCACGAACGGCGGCGACGGCGCGCTCGACGACGGCGGGGCCAAGTCAAGCTCGGTCGTCGCGTTCTCGGCCTCGAGGAGCTGGTGGGCTGGGTCGGGCGCACGAGCGGTGTCAGCGCGTCGTCGTCGAGGGAGAGAGGAGGGAGGGAGACGAGGTGGACGGACCGGAGCGCTGGAGCGAGGCGAGGACGGCTTCGGCGCTCGCGCCCGCTTGCTTCAGCTCGTCGTCGAGCTCGAGGTCGTCGAGCCGCACTGGACGGAACTGTGGGTCGGGCGGGAGCGTCGTCGGGATGCGCAGGCGGCCCGTGTCGGCGCACACGAACGGAGGGAAGCCGGCGCCGGCGGCGGGAGGGGCAGTGCGCGTCGAGCGCTCGGTGGACGCCATCCGTCGGCGGTGACGACAGGGCAGACCAGCTGCTTAGGGCGTCGAGTCGGGCAGGGCGGCGCAGGTGGCGAGGATGGAGCGAGCAAGTTGGCGACGAAGCCGGGCTCTCCTCTCGCGCGACGTGGGCGAGGGACCGTCTCGTCGGCGCTCTCTCTGCCGCCACGGCTTCATCTCTGCTCGCCGTGCATGCGGCTCTCGAGCTCGCCTGTCTCTCCCCCCCGGCTGCCACGACCACGCCACCCACCTCGTTGCCGTCCGCAGCTCGCCCTCGCAGCCCTCTCGACCCTTCGACCTCTCTCGTCCGCCCCCGCATCTCCGCCTACGCTCAACAGCGACGACACGACGACTGTACAGGGTCCGTTGACCTGCTCGACCATCATTTGCCGCCACAGCCCGTCGACCGCCCTCTCGAGCCTCGCCAAACCCTTCGTCCACGTTTGCCGTCGACCGCGTCTCTCCCTCGGCCGACCTCCCTCCCTCCCCTCTGTAGCCCTCAGCCTGCAACGCGCACCGTGCCTCGCTCCACCTCGTCTGCAGCACGAGAGCCGAGAGCGCGCTCGCCGACCGAGAGCCGTCGCTCGTTTGCGAAGGCTCCTCTCGCTCCCTCGCACTCGCCTCGCTGATGCTCTCTCGCCCGCACGTCCCTCGACACCCTCTCTCTCGCCCTCGTTCTTCGCCGCCTCTCGACAACCCTCGCCCTCTCTGCGCCGCCGAGCCGACCTCGCCCGCTCTGGCCCTCTCGCTCGCGACGCTTTTCTGGCTCTCGCGCGGCGCGCTCAAGAGGTACTGCGGAACCTTGGACTCGTTGCGAACAAGCTACGGTACAACAGAGAGATGTGTGCGGCGAGAGAAGATAGTGTTGGTCGGGGAGAGCGTGAGGAAAAGGTAGACAAAGAGAAAGAGAGAGGGAGATACAAAGTCGACGAGCGCGCGCTCGACGAGAGAGCGCGCACGACCTCTCACGCGCCGTCCTCCTCCTCCCACGTCTCCCTGAGGCGCTCCATGTCCTTCTCGGTCGCGACGCTCAGGACCTCGGTCTCGCCCTCGGCGCCGTCGCCCGTCTGCGCGCCGGCGGCCACCTCTGCCTCGCGACGCAGTTTGGCGTCGCGCCTCGCGAGGTTGGCGAGGGCCTGGCCCGGCCCGAGAAAGATGAGGCGGCGGACCGAGTGGGCCGGGGTCGGGAGCGCAGAGAGGCACGTCGACCAGCGCACGGGGCGCGAGATCTGGGCGACCAGGCCCGACACGAGCGACGACGGCGTCGTGATGAGCGAGCCGTCGAGGCCCGACACGAGGGGCGTCGAGGGCGTGTGGAGCGCGATCGACGACGAGGTGAGGGCGGCGTGCATGCCGGCGGCGGCGGGCGCCATGAACGAGCAGTGGAACGGCGCGCTGTGAACGGCAACGAGAACGACGTGTCAGGAATGACGCTTCGAGAGACAGAGAGAAAGAGAGAGGCGAGGGACGTACGAGACGGGGAGGTCGGCGGCGCGACTCGCAATCTCGAGCTCCTTGAGGACCTCGCTCGCGCGCAAGATGCCGTCGCGGCTCCCGGCGAGCACGACCTGGGTCGTCGAGTTGAAGCTCGCGACCTCGACCGTGCCCTCGCTGCCCGTCGCCGTGCTCGGGCGCTCGGCGCGGATCTTGGCGATGACCTCGGTCAACTCGGCGTGCGAGTGGCCCGGGTTGAGGACGAGGGCCGACATCTGGCCGCGCAGGGCCGGCGGCGCGTCGAGGTCGGGCGAGAGGCCGATCGACGGGAGCGACAAGGCGTAGTGCGTGAGGAGGCCGTGCAGGCGCGTGAGGCGGACGCCGTCCGTGAGCGAGATGGCGCCGGTTGCGACGGCGGCCGAGTACTCGCCCGACGAGTGGCCGAGGATGAGCGACGACGTGGCGCTCAAGGGCAGGTTGTACTGGCGCTGCGAGGGGAGAAAGTGTGCGTCAGGTTGGGCGCTCGTGGTCACCTTGAGAGAGGGAAGAGGGTCGAGCGCACCTCGAGCGTGCGGAGGAAGGCGGTCGACGTGACGAGGATGGCCGGTTGCGCGTTCGACGACCGAGTGAGCTCGTCCTGTAGAGCGGAGAGTAAGTCTCGGGTTGCGGCAGAAGGAGAGACCGCGAAGAAGGAGGGACGCACCTGCGGACCCTCGAAGACGACCTCTCGCAGCTGCGGCTCTCGTCGCCTCGCCGCCTCGGTCTCGTCGAGCATGCGGCCGAGCTGACCAAGCTCGCCGTCGTGCTCGTGCAGCTTGAGGCCCTTCCTCCACTCCTCGAACCCGGCGAGCGCCTCGTCGGCCTCGGCCCACACGTCCTGCGCCGGCTTCTGCTCGCGCAGGAACGCGCCCATGCCGACGTACTGCGAGCCCGAGCCCGGGAACAGGAGGGCGTGGCGCGGACGGGTCGTCTGGGCACGGTAATTTTCGAGCGGGATCGGCGGCGAGAAGTCGCCGCCCGACCACAGGGCCTCCATCTCGAGGCGGTTGCGGCGCGAGCGCTGCACCTTGACGCCGTTGCCGTTGGCGTCGGCGGTCGAGGTGCTCGCGACGCTGTGCGAGCGGGTGCCGGGTTTGGCGGCCGTGTCGAGGCCGCGCGAGGGCGGGAGACGGGCGTCATGGCGGGACGGGTTGCGGTAGCGCTTGAGGTAGGCCGGGTCGGACCACGCCGGGTTGTCGAGGGCGTGTGCGAGGGTCGGAGTGGACGGCTGGGCAAACAGGGAGGTCGAGGGTGCGGGTGCTGGCGAAGGAGGAGGGGGAGCCGAGGCGGTCGAGAGCGAGGCCGGGTAGTGCGACGCCTGGCGGGCGCAGGTGCACGAGGGGCTGCTGCTCGAGGGGAGCAAGCCCGTACGGGGGAGGGCGGTGCGCATCATGGCGGGCGGGTCGGTGCTGGCTGGCGACGAGAGGGAGGTCTGCGCCTGTCGGAAGAATGCGCGTGAGCAAAGGGGGGCCCCGGTTCGTCCTCGCTCTTGAGTCGTCCTCCTGTGCCCGCTGCAGCCTGCTCGAGGACCACCCTGCGAGCCCTGCGCGCTGCACTGCCCGCCCACGCCTGTGCCAGAGCCAGGCGAGGCCGACGCTCGACTAGCGGCGACCAGCCGGGACGACGCCGGTGGGGGGGAACGCGAGGCCGACGACGGACGACGAGGGGAAGGAGAAGCTCACCTTGCGAGCGAGTCGGTGCTGGAGTTGGCGGTGCAAAGTCACAGGCGGGTGCTGTCGAGAAGCGCGAGCGGTGGTCGAGGAGAGAGAAGTCAGGAGACCCGGCAGCTTCCGGAGCTGGCGCGCGCCCCCGAACCGGTTCGACCTTCCACTTCGCTCCGCTCGCTCACGCGCTCACCACACTGCTGGCACGCGCTCTGGTAGCACCTCGTCCGCACCAGCTGCGACTCGCCCCCGAACTTGCTCTCGCGCTTTCGCCCGGCCCACCTTCGGGCCGCAGTGCCGCACAGACCGCCTCGCACCGCGGTCGCTCCTCAGTCGAGTTGCTCGTACGAGGGCCCGTGCGTCGTTGCAGGAGGAGAGAAGCCGACACTTTGGACGCGGTCGCTGCTGCTCGCCCGCTCTCGCGGCCCGGGTTTCGATGCGCGACTGCCTCTGACGCACTCGACGTCGCGTGCGGAGAAGGCGACGTCCAGGCGAGCGCGAGAGAGATCGAGCCGCTGTACGCTCCTCCCTCGTCTTCTGCACCTCTCTCGCCGTCGAACCAGCGCTCCCTACGGCCGCACAGGTGCGCAACACGTTCCTCCGACGAGACGAGCGACGAACGACGAGCTCACCTCCTCCTCGTTCCCCCACATCGCAGCTCTTTCGCCTCGCTCGACCACCTCACCCTCAAGCAGCTTCCCGCTCCGCGCTAAACTGGCGCCTCCCGACTCGTCCTCGTCGAACAAGAAGAAGGGCCACTCGCCGCCACCTCCTTCCGACCTCGAACCGCACACCAAGAAGCCGCGCAACGACATGGGCGGCGCACACGAGCACGGCGACAAGGACTTTACCGGCGACGGCTTCCCCGACGACGTCCAGCCGTGGAACATTGCCAACGACGCGTGGGAGGCGACGTTCGTCCCCCGCTCTCGCTCTCGCACGGCCCTCTCTCTCGGGCTGATTCGCTGACCCGTCCTCCTCCTCGTCCTCCCGCAGCTACAAGGGCTCGTGCCACTGCGGGGCCGTCACGTTCGAGGCCAAGGGCGACCCGGTCGCGTCCATCTGCTGCCACTGCACGACGTGTCAGGTTGTCCACGGCGCCATCGCGCAGCGCGCCGTCCTGTACAAGAAGGACTGCATCAAGTTCCCCAAGAACGTCCTCGAGTACGTCGCCTTCTACCAGACGCACGACAAGGTGCGTCCCTTCTCTCTCTCTCTCTCTCTCTCTCTCTCTGTGCGGCTCGAGGCGAGGTCGACCTTCCCAAATTCGCAAACTGACCTCGACTTCCCTCTTTCTTCCCCCGCTACAGAAGGTCGGCCGTCACCTGCCCTGCAAGGTGCGCTGCAAGAACTGCGGCACTTTGATCGCCGACGAGGGCCGCAACCTGTGGCTCGCGTTCCCGAGCCTGTTCGACTTCTCGGACCGCGACGGCAAGGAGCCCGAGGCGTTCAAGACGCAGGACCACATCTTCTACGACCAGAGGGTGTTTGACATTGTGCGCAACGAGGGCGGCAACGTCTCGTTCTGGGCCGGCGCAAAGGACAAGAGCGAGAAGAGGTGACAGGTGTCGACGAGGGCCAGGGCTCGCCTGTAGATAGCTTCGCAACGCAGATCTCGTGTACAGTAGACTGTCGAGCACAGCGAGAGAGTGCTACAGCGCTCGAGTGGCGAGAGGTAGAGCTTCTCAAGCCGTCCTCGCCTTCGACTTTCGCGCTCGCTCGACGCTCAGGCCTCCTGTTCTTCCTCGCTCGGCTCGCCGTTTCTCTCGATCGCCATCGCGTTCGCCGAGGGACACACGAAAGCTTGTCTAGCACTGCAGAGTGTCTACGTCTCGAGCGCTCGCTCCGTCTGCTGGAGGAGCCGCGCCATCGGGACAAAGTACTCCTCGCAGAACTGCGAGAAGAAGAAGTTGAACTGGGCGTCGTGCGGCTTGACGAGGCTGCAGGTGCTCGAAAGGGTCAGTTACCGGTCGAGAGAGAGGCGAGGGGGCGAGAGGGAGAGAGAGAGAGAAGAAAGAGGGGAAAGAAGGAGCGAGGGGGGACGACGCACTTGTGGGCGATTTCGTGCGCGACCGAGTGGTAGGTGCTGATGAGCGGCTCGGCCATCTTGCCCTCGACGACGAGCTTGTCGTGCCACGCGGCGTAGAAGCGGTAGTTGAGGTAAATCGCGCCGCCGCGGTTGAAGGCGATGAGGCTGTGGGCCGAGGGAGGGGAAGGGCTCGACGAGGGTCAGGTCTCGTCGCAGGCGAGAAGGAGGAGGCATGCAGAGAGGGACGTACGGGCCCTCGAGGTCGTAGAAGACGTGCAGGGCACGAGGGTCGAGCGCAAAGACCTCGCCGACGGGTCGCAGGACGCGGTTGACCATGCGCAAGAGCGCGTCGTGGTGCTCGGCGACAAAGCCGGTCCTGCTCGAGCACAGTGTAAGCGAGAGGTCCGGACGAGGCGAGAGAGGGGAAGAGAGTGAGGGACGCACGGGTCGGGCACGTCTCGGCTCGCGAAGAAGCGCAGGCCGCCAACGTCGGCGACGAACGACAGGTTGGCGGCCGCCGTCGCGTCGCAGTACGCCTCGCTCTCCTTGACCTCGGTCTTCTCGACGGCCATCGAGACGTTCGAGGCCGACTCGGGGCGAGAAGCCTGCGAGGGGAGGAGTCGAGGTGAGCGTTTCGAGCCTCGAGGGGTCAAAGCGGGAAGAGGAACGTCGGCGACGCACCTGAATCGCCCTCGTCAGGTTGGCGCGGATAGCGTCGGTCGAGGTCGGCATGGCCTCGGGTCGGTGCGGCTGCGGCGACATGCCGGGCGGGCGCTGCGAGACGGCGCCGGGTCGAGGCGAACTCGCCGGCGGCGTCAAGCTCGGTGGTGGCGGCAGCGGCGAACCCGACCGTGAGCTCTCGCCCTTGAGCTGTCGACGCAGGCCGGAGAGGAAACCGCCGCTCGGCTGCTGCTGCGCCGCCGCCGAGACGGCCTGGGGCGACGACGAGGACGACGGCGGTGGTGGTGGCGCCGTCTGGCGCCGTCTCGGGTACTGCGACGTCGACAGAAGCTGGTTGGCGGCGTTTTCGAGGTGCGGCGGCTCTTGGGTCGTGAGGAGGGTGCGGAGGAAGTCGGGGTCGGCGTCGGGGAACATGGCCGACAGGTCGCGAACGGCGGCATCAAGCTTCTCGCCGGACTGCGGGAGGGCCACGTCCGGTCAGGCATCGTCTCGAGAGTGAGGAGGAGAGAGAGGCGCAGACGCACAAGAGCTGACTGGGCCTTGAGCTGCGCCTGGAGCCGCTCCTCGCGCATGCGCTGGTCGGCCGCCTCGCGCTCGGCCTTGCGGGCGTTCATGATGCGGTCGACGTTGAAGCCTCGGCGCTTGAGGTTCTTGAGCCTGTGGGAGCGACGAGAGTCAGTGCCGGCGCAAGAGGAGGAGGGAGAGAAAGAGGCCGGCGCACGTCGTCTGAAGGATCGTGAGGAGGAGAAGGGCGTCGTTCGGGCGAGTCTTGACGAGGAGCAGCTTGTTCAGGCCCATGGCGACCTCGAAGAAGTCGACCTCGATGCTCTGCGAGATGTACAGGTGCGCGTCGCCGTTCTGCGCGAGCTTGGCGCAAGCCGACGCCGTGGCCGTGCTCCGCTTGAGCCCTTGAGCGCTGTTGAGCGACCGTACGAGTTCGATCGAGCGGACCTCGAGGACGACGAGGTGCTTCTGGATCCAGTCCGGGTCGTGCTTGAGCTCGCCCTTGCCGTATTGCTGCCGCCGCTCGGACAGGAAGAGGAAAGTGCGCTCGGCGACCGCTGCGGGCGAGCGAGGGCGGTCAGTTTGCGGGTTCATGCCTGAGAAAGAGGACCGATAGACGCACTGCGTCTCATCTCCTGCGCGCGCCTCGACCCGCTGTCGGCCTCGCCCGCCGTGTGGTAGTTCTCGGTGATGAGGCGCGAGATCCGACGGGCGCCGAGCTGCTCTGCGAGCGCCTCGAGCGCGTCCTCCTGCGGGCACGCGAGGATGTCGCCCTGGAAGACCTGGAAGGCTGTCGGGGGAAGGGCGAGTCAGTGAGCCGCTCGTGCGAGAGACAGGTGAGGAGGAAGGCTGAGCGCACCTGCAGGCTCGTCGTTGATCGCGAGCTCACTCGCTCGAGCGAGCTGGTACACGAGCGTCGTCTCGCCGGCCTCGTCGTCCTCGTCGTCTTCCTGCTGCTCGAGCAGAGCACGGGCAGGTGCGGCGGTCGTGCTCGACGAGATGCGCTTCGAGCCGAGGAAGAAGGCCGACAGCTTCATGCGGCTGCGCAAAGTCGACGACAGGGACCCATAGTTGACGGCGACGAGACGAAGAACTGTGGGAGCAGAGGGGTCAGGCGTCGGCCTCAGGCCGGAAAGGAGAAAAGAGAGGGCCTGAGCGCACCTGAGAGGTACCGCTCTGCCGAGCCGGCGAGGTCGTAGAAGCGCGACGGGTCCGAGATGAGCATGGTCGTGATCTCGGCGGTCGACGGGCTCTCCTTGACGCCGCACGCGACGAGGAACGGCTTGGCGGCGGGGCCAAAGTCGGGCACGGTCGAGAAGAGGCCCTTGAGGCCCGGCGGCAGGACCGTGTCCGAGGTTGAGAAGTACAGGTTGAGCGGCGGCACGACGTCGATCTTGAGGTCGGGCTTGCGAACAGGGACGATGGCGGCCCACCGTAGCGCGTCGAGCTCGGCGGTCGAGAAGGAAGAGACCTGGCCCGACAGGTACGCGAACACCTTGCTCGCCTCGGCGAGCGTCTGCGGCGGGTTGCTGATGAGCGCCGCGACGAGCTGGCCTGCAGGCGGGTCGCGACGAATACCGAAACGCGTCTCCTCGGCGGCGTAGGCCGGGGCGAGCGTGGCGAACCCGAGCAGGGCGGCGTCGACGTTGCCGAACACCTCGGTCGGCTTGACGCGCACCTCCTTGCCCTTGTGCCGCGCCGGGACGAAGGCGAGGTCGTGCTTGGCGGGCGAGTCTGCGGCGGCGAGGAGGAAGGTGGGCAAGGACGAGGTCAGGGACGACGCTGTGGATCGTCGAAGGGGACGAGACGCACAGGATTTGCCGTAGCCGTGCGTGAGACAGCCGTCGAGGAAGTACCGCAGCGCCTTGTCCTGCTTGGCGACGTCGGCCGAGTGAGCGGCAATCTCGAGGACCTTCTCGACGACCGGGATGCGCTGCAGGCCGAGGTCGAACAGGAGCTTCGCTGCGCGACACGACGAGCCTCGTTAGTGTCTGCGTGAATCTGAGAGGCCGAGAGAGAGGGTGAGACGCACCCTCGTCAGACCCTGGTCGCCACCTCGACGGCGAGTCGGTCCAGTCGACGAGCGGGAGCCCGAGCTCTCGCAGCGCCTCGGCCGGCTCGTACAGGTCGGCGGCGCGGTACCGGACCGTCTTGGGCTTGGGCACGACGCCGTCTGCGCCGGCGGGCTGCTCGACCTTGGCCTCGCCCTCGCGCGGGAGCCACCTCGTCTGGCGCAGGCGGTCCTTCTCGGCCGGCGAGAGCGTCTCCTGGACCGTGACGAGGTACTTGACGAGCTGAACGTGCGACCAGTCGCCGGCGCCGAGGAGGCGGGTAAAGACGAGCTGGAGCTCGACGTGCCGCCGGACGCCGAGCGCGAGGAGGAGCTTGTCCATGTTGCCCTTGATCGGCGCGCCGCTCGGGAGCACGGTCGTCGCGAGGTCCTCGAACAGCGAGACGTTGGGCATGTAGGCCTGGTCGGGCTGCTTGAGGCCCTGGCGGGTCGGGATGAGCGGGATGGTCGAGACGAGCTGGACGAGGTCGCGCTGCTGGACGGCCGGGACCTGCTGCCACCCTTTAGCGAGGACGGCGAGGACCTGCAGGCGACGTTACACGTCAGACTCGTCGCTTCTTGAGCACGAAAGAAGGGGAGAGCGAGAGGGAGACGCACCGACTCGACGAACACGGGCGACGCCGTCACGTCCGTCTCGCTCTTGGCGCTCTTGCCGCGCATGGTCGGGCCGACGAGGAACCGCACCCACTCGAGGAGGCTCAGCTCCTGGAACCCAAAGATGCGCACGAGGTCGGCGTTGGCGACCGAGCGCGACAGGTCGAACGGGAGCGTGTGCTCGGGGACGGGCATGTCGGCCGGGACGACCTTGGGGACGAGGAACGTGCGGAAGGCGCCGAGAGGGTGAATGCGGACGTCGGTCGGGTCGCTGCTGGTAGGCGAGGTCGGGACCGAGAGCATGGCGGCGTCCTTGAGGCGCTGAACGAGGCGAGGATCGTACGACCGGTTCGAGGCGAGCGTCGTCCACCACTTGAAGAGCGCCGTCGCCTCGCCGACCGTGAGCGGGTGTGCGCCGAGGTCGGCAAAGATGTCCTCGAGCGAGATGTCGCGGATCAAGTCGCGGTCGCGCAGGACGGCGAGGAACCGGGGCGCGTTCTCGGCGATGAGGGCGGGCACGACGGGGATGGCCTTGATGAAGCCGGCAAGTTGCGGCGACGGGAGGCGGAGCTTGTGCGCCGCTGTCGGGCCGACGCTCGAGATGAGGGTGACGGACGTGTTCGGGTTCGACTGGAAGAAGGTCGACTCGGCGAGGGTACCGACGATCTCTTGCGGCGTCGACTTGGTGAAGGTAAAGAACCTGTGTAAGGACCGGGTCAGTGTCGAGTATCAAGAGGAGGACGAGAGGAGAGACGGCGAGAGACGCACTTGACGAGGTGCAGCGCACGTTCCTCGAGCTCCCTCCTCGTGCCTCGTCCACCTCGCCCTTGTCGCCGACGCGCCGCCAGACCCTCTCGATGTCGTCCATCTCGTGCTCGTACACGGTGCGCGCGAGGAGCCCGCCGGCCCACAGGAGCTCGCGGTTCCAGTCGGCGACGTACTTGGCCTGGAAGTCGAGCGACTCGCGCTCGACGGTCGGGATGAAGCGCGCGCCGACCGAGCCGGCGAAGCCCGTCGTCTGGACCGTCGCAAACCCGATTGCGACGCGCCCCTGCGTGCCGAGGTCGGCGGGAAGGAGGCCCGAGAAGACGCGGCGCGCGTCGGCCTCGAGCTCGTCGTCGGTGCCCTGGCCCGTCGACCCGCCGTGGCTCGCGTCAAACTCGGCCTTGCCCGTCCAGACGAGCGAGTACCGCGTCGTCTTGGGCAGGGCCTTCTTGGTCGCGCGCAGCGTCTCGGCGGCAAAGTGCGGCGAGGGCGAGACGACGAGTGACGCGGCGACGGTGCGGAGGAACAGGGTCGCGTGGACGTGCGCAAGCGGGTCTCGTGCGGGCTTGGCGGCGACTAGAGGTGGAGGCGGGGTCGACGAGGAAGGGGAGGGAGCGTGGGAGGCGGTCGACCGGCTTGAGAAGGCCGACAGCATCCTGCTCGCGAACGACGACGTGCTCGTGGCGGCGGCGCTCGTGAGGCTCGCGGCCGTGACGAGGGGCTTCTTGGGCTTGACGAGCGAGCGCAGCATCCACCCGCTGACCTGCGCCCGCAGCTGGAACGGCGCCTCGTCGACGTGCTGCAGCCGCAGGAGCTTGAGGGGCGAGCTCTGGGCGAGGTTGTGCCGCAGGTCGAGGGCCCGGGACGGCGCGAGCGTCTTGTCGACGCGGAACAGGAGGTGGCCGTCGAAGTAGAGCGACAGGGTGCGCAGGTTCTGGGTGAAGCCGAGGCACGACGTGAGGAACCGGGCAAAGTCGTTGGGCTCGGGCATGGGCGCCGGCTCGCGCAGGTCCATGAGGAATGTCGTCCAGGGTCGACCGTCGGCCGACAGGTTGGTGGCGCCCGACTCGTCAGTCGCGCTCTTGACGTAGAGCTGGTCGCCGCCGCCTTTCCAGAAGAAGCCGACGACGCGCGACCCGGACGACACGACGGGCTCGTCGCAGATGCTGAAGAGCGAGTAGAAGCCGACGCCTGTGAGGAGGAAGAGAGTCAGAGTCTGAGAAGCGCAGGTGCGAGGAGGAAGAGAGCCCGACGTGCCGAAGGCGCCCAATTTCGCCTCGTCTGGGTTGCCGGACGCGATCTCCTGGAGGCGGGCCCAATCCTCCTTGCGGAAGACAAAGCCGTCGTTGCGGACCATGATGGACGCGACCTTGGTGTGGGCGAGGTTGGGCAGGTCGTCGGGCGAGTAGTGCGGCTGAGCGTCGGCGGACGAGGTTGAGCCGGTCGTGGTGCGAAAGTGGAGCTCGACGGTGGATGCGCCGGCGTCGTCCGAGTTCTGGAGGAGCTCTCGAAAGACGGTGTGCTCGCCCGAGTACCTGCATTGCGAGGCAGAGGTGAGCCGCATGCGTGGAGGAGGAGCTTTACATCGACAGGGCAGACCGTTTCCGATCTCGCCGATGGCGTCAAGAGCTACCATGGTGGTGGGTGGGGGAGAGAGGAGGAGGGGGAGGGCTCACCGCGCGAGGATCTTTTCGACGAGGGCGCGCTGGTTGACCGAGACCTGCTCGTCTGCGCCGCCGGCGAGAAGGGCCTGCAGGTTGGACGGCGGCATGGCGGTCGAGCTGGCGGGCGACGAGCCGAGGTGGTGGCGGTGCTCGAGGCGCGAGAGGTCGTGGAGCGGGGCAGCGGTTGGGCTGTGGTACTCGGTGTGCCCTGGTGGGCCTATAGAGCGCGACTGAGCTGGCTCTGAGTAAATCGAGCCGTGAGCCGAGGTGTGAGACGAGGTCGACCTTGGTCGTCTCGCTCGACGAGGGCTTCGTGTCACCGGCTCCACCTCGACATCGCCCGCAGGCTCGACAGCTAGCCGCCTGGCACTGGGACTACCTCTTCGACACTCGCGTCCACCAGCCGGCACCGCCCGACACCGACACGAGCCGCCGCACCTTCATCTCCCCTCGAGGTGAGCCAGCCTGTCCTCCCTCGTCTCGAGCCTCGCAGGACATGATCCACAGTAAAAGGATCGAACGCACACCTCGTCTCGACTCGGTAACCCCCACGCCTCAGCTGCGTCGCTGCTTCTCGCGCCCGGCACCTCTTCCTCCTCCCGACCCTCCCTTCCCCCTCCCCCTTCCCCCAGACTCGCGTCGTGCATTCATGGCACTGCCCAGGCCGACACCTCTTGCGGTGTCGATCCCTACCAGGGCAGCGCTCGTTCCACGACGCACATCCACCCCACGCCCTCCTTTCCCTCCTCGCGCCCGTCACCGCGCCTCGTCTCGCGCTGTCGTGCTCTCGTCCGCCGTCGTGCAGCCGCTCCGCAAGGTTCTGCGTCGTACGCCGTCGGTCGTGGGTACGTCGGGCGGGACATAGGGGGCGCCGTTCGACGGCGCAGGAGCGGCATCCGGAGGGCCGGCCGTTTTCAGACCTGCGCCTCGCTCCCCCCTTCTACGAGGCGCGGCGTAAAGGCAGACGCCGACATCCCGATCCTTCCCTTCCCTTCGTCGCTCGTCGACGAGTCCGCGGCTCGCCAAACCCGCCCGAACGAGACCCACTCGGCGCGCGGTGACCGCCGTGCTCGAGGCCCTAATCACGCCTCGCCGGGCACAGCGTCCCTCCCCACCGCCGAGCCTTTACAGCGGGCTCGCGTCTCCGAGACGACGGGGCGGGCCCGAGGTGGCGCGGCGGACAGCGAGGGTCGGCAGGGGGATCCGAGGTCGACCGCCCGAGATGGGCGCAGCGCGAGCCGGGGCGCCGACGAGGCGAGCGCGCGCCATGAGAACGAGCGTCGCTGCTCTCAAACAGCTTCTGATCCGCGACGACGAGCCACCCGCACGACCCGAGCCATGCGTCCAGAGCAGCACTGACCGTCTCTCGCCCGCGCAAACAGGGCTCGCCTCGACTCGTCATGGCAGGCGCCGGCCTCTCGGCCAACGTCTCGTCGGTCCTCGCCTGGACGATCCTCCCCTCGTTCCTCGCCAACACGCTCCTCACCCTCTTCTACCGCCTGTCGCCCTCGTCTCGCCCGACCGTCCCCGCACGGGCCGCCCCGGCCGACCTCGCCGCCGCGCAAGAGCGCTCGCAGGCGCACCACCGCCGCGCTCGCGTCCTCCTCGTCGCCGCCTACCTCGCCTACTCGGTCCTGTCGGTCTACGTCGCGCAGCAGCGCGGCGCTGAGCAGAACTACTACGCGCTGCTCGGCATCGAGCGCGCCGTCGTCGAGGCCGAGGGCGCACCCGCCGTCAAGAGCCACTGGCGCCGGCTCGCGCGCGTGTACCACCCGGACAAGGTCGGCAAGGACGGCGAGAGCTTCTTCGTCCTGTTGCGCCAGGGCGTCGAGGTGCTCGAGCACGACGGGCGCCGGTGGGCCTACGAGCGGTTCGGGCCGGGCGTCACAGAGTGGGGCAAGCTCGTCACGCCGAGGGAGTTTCTCATCAAAGGCGCCGTCAACTCGGCTGTGTGGTGGGCCATGGTGGCGGGCTCACTCGCCGTCTTTTCGTTCTTCCGCAAGAGCGAGCGCCGGTACAACTTTGTGAGCCTTCCTGTCTCTCGGTCTCTCTCTCCTCGTTCCGCAACACACACTCATCGTCTGTCGTCTCGTGCGCAGTGGCGGTACCTGTCGCTTCTCCTCTGCGTCTCGCTCGAGTTCCACCTCCTCCTGCGCTCGACGCCCTCGCCCACCTTTTCCCTCGCCTTCCCCTCTCGCCTCCCCTACGAGCACGTCGCCCTCCTCCGCCAACTCTTCATCTCGGTCTCGATGGCCATGTCGCAGCTCGCGCCGCTCCTGTCGCCCCCCTCGCCCTCGACCGCATCCTCGTCGACCGAGGAAGCCGCCCTCGCCGCCGCGCTCGCGGACGCCGAGCACCTCCGCCCGCTCCTGCAGCGCCTCGCCGCCCTCTCGACCACGACCGAGCGCGAGGTCGCCGCCCTGCAGCGCCTCGAGCTGCGCCCGCTCGTGCCGGACCACCCGGCGCCCGGCTCGAGCGCGAGCGACGCCGAGAAGCGCACGAGGCGCGCCGTCGAGGACAAGATGGTGCACGTGTGGGAGGACCTGCAGGTCAAGGGCGCGAGTGGGACGGCGGGCGTGTGGACCGAGGCGGTGCGGCGAGGGCGAGCGCGAGACGCGCGCGAGAAGGGCGGGCCGGCGCAGGCGGGCAAGGGCGGCGAGGGTGTCGAGGCGGCGCCGATCGTGGTCGTCGCGGCTGAGGACGGGTCGCGGGACAAGCCGGACGACCTGCCGGCGGCGCCGACGCTCGAGACGGCGGCCATCCCTCCTCCTGTCACCCTCCTTGCCTCCCCTCCCGCCTCGCCCAAGCTTGGCTTCCCCCTCTCGTCCATCGACACGCCTCCTTCCTCGCCACACACGTCGACAGTCGAGCTCCCGCTCGAGGACGACGCGCCGGCACGAGCGGGCGAGGAGGACGGCGCGCTGAAGCCGCCCGAGCGGGAGGCGGCGCACAGGCTGCCGACGCCGCCGCCGGAGGACTGAGGAGGGTGGGCCGAGTAGATGAGCATCTCGAAGTGCAGTGCAAGCTGGTCCTTGCTCTCCTTGTCGCCATGCGTCGTCCTGCAAGCTCGCGAGGAGAGCTGCACCGCCTCGTCCACATTCCTCGCCGCTCAGCTCTGTCAGGTCGGCTCTCTGAGCAGCGTAACAGCAGGTCAAGGAGCCTGTACACCACGAGAGCCAGCACGCAGCCGCACGCGGTGCTCTCGCGGTTGCACGCACCTCGCCGTCGTCGTCGTGTCGGTGGTCGAGCGTTTGTGCCGGCCCTTGTCCTCGACCTCGGCTCTCGACGCGCGTTCGAGGGCGCAGGTGATCGCGGTCAAGGGCTCTTCTGCGCCTCGACCATCCCGCCCAGCAGCACACGCGCACACGGTCCTCCAGTCTCGAGGTTCGTCCCCCCACCGACCTCATCTCGTCGCGCCCCTCCTCCTCGACTGACCCCTCTGGCGATGCGTTGCAGGCTCGCACCCCCTTCCAGCACCCCTTCACTACCCATCCACACGCGCGCACGCCGCCCCGACAACCCCTCCTCACCGGTTCCCTCCGCCCTCGCCCCTCGGGATGCTCGAGAACCGCCAACTCGCCCGCCCGCGCGACATGGCCGCCCTTGCCGCCTATGTCGACGCGTCAGAGTCGTGGGACGACGATCCCGACCTCGACCTGTCCTCGGCCAACCTCCACCACCCTTCCCCCCTCGACCTCACCCTCCAGCCGCCGTCCGACTCGGAGCCAGCGTCGCCCGCCATAGACCACGACTTTGACGACGACGCCGTCAGTGACGGCTTCTTCGAGCGCGTGGCGGGCGAGTGGGACGACCCGCCGAGGACGCGCGACGAGGACAACGAGTCGTCGGTCGACTCGAGCAGGACCACGTCGACGACCGGCACGCTCAAGGGCCTCATGCAGGGCCTCTCGCTCGACCCCGAGGCCGACAATACCCTGTCGTTCGACCTTCCTACGCCCTCCTTGTCGCCACCTCCACCCGCACTCGAGCTCGACGCGACGCGGCGCACGAGCAAGACGACGACCCTGCGCGGCTCGTCCCCGCTCTCGGCCCTCCTGTCGTCCTCGCGCTCGCCCAGCGCTCGCCACAAGGTCCATCACCTCGGCTCGACGCCCCTCGGCCAGGCGCAGGCCGTCGACGCCGACTGGGACCAGGACCTCGAGGGGCTCGACGCCCTCCAGCTCGGCGGCTCGGCGTCGACCGAGGCGGGCCCGCGCGCCGTCGTCGTCAAGAAGGGCAGCTTCTCGAGCCACATTAGCCTCGACGACGACGATGACGACGATGGCATGAGCGCGTTCGACGACGACGAGCCGGCGGCGCCGAGCGTCGCCCGCAAGCGCATCTCGATCGCCTCGTTCACCGACGCCGAGGACAACGGCGACAGCGAGCACGACTTTGAGCTGCCCTCGACGCTCTCGCACGTTCAACTCGCCCCGACGCTCGCCAACCGGCCGAGCAACGTCAGCCTCAGCTCGGTCGCCGAAGCCGCGCCAGCCGCGCCCGCGCACGAGCCGACAACGCCAGGTCTCGTGCCGTCGAGCCGGCCTCCCCATCCTTCCTTCACCGCTGCATCATTCGCCGCCTCGACACCGGGTCCGCTCACGCCGTCGCGCTCGTCGGACGACGACGGCCCGTCCTCCTCGGCCCTCGACGACGACGACGACGCCGACTTCTTCGAGGACCTCGTCTTGCCTTCGTACTTCCTCGCCGGCACCGCCGTTGACGACGCCGAGCGCAAGCGCGCAGCGACGCCGCCGACGAGCGAGGGCGAGCCCGACTCGGACGTCGCCGCCGCCGCCGCCAAGGTCGACCTGCAGTCGATCCTGCGCGCCAAGCTCGAGGCCCGCGTACTAAGCTCTCATGGCTAACGTACTAAGCTCTCATGTTTCACGTACTAAGCTCTCATGTTTGAACAATAAAATTAATATAAATCAGCAACTTAAATAGCCTCTAAGGTTTTAAGTTTTATAAGAAAAAAAAGAATATATAAGGCTTTTACGCGCGTCGCTCTCGGGCTCGACAGCTGCCGGCGCAGCTGTCGAGGCGAAGGACGAGGAGTGGAGCGCGCGCGAGATGCGCGAGCGCATGCGGGCGACGAGCGGCGCGAGGGCCAAGGAGGCGCAGCAGGCGCGCGAGGCGAGGGACGCCGGGCGGTCGGGCAGCCGCATCGGTGTGCTGAGGAGGACAGCGAGCGACGGCAAGGTGCCTGTCGCTCAAGCGCGACGAGGCGTACCGCCGCCGCCGGCGAGGGCGTCGACGGGCGTGCCGCACGGGCCTCGCTCCTCGCTCCCGCACGCGACCGGCGCCAGTTCCCGGTCGAGCATCCCGCAGCCGGTCCGGCCGGCGTCGGCGCACGGCGTCGAGCGCCCGCCGTCGGTCGCGTCGTCGCACTCGACGGAGGGCGGCAGCGGCGGCACGACCCGTCGTCGAGGCCCGCCTCCTGCGCCGTCGGCAGCCAGTCGAGGGCGCGGACGTACTCGGGCGCCGAGCTTGCGCACGGCGCCGTCCAGCACGGACCTGCGCGCCGGGAGCAAGGGCCGGCCGGCCACGCTCGACCTGCCCGCCGCCGCCCCGTCCTCATCGACGGCGCTCAAGCGCAGCCTGTCGCCCGTGCCGATGACGCCGGCGACACCCTCGAGTGCGGCGAGCCGGCCGTCGCTTCGGCCCAAGCGCAGCCAGCAGCACCTGTCCGCCGCCGCCGCCGCCTCGTCGGGTTCCTCGGCCCGCACGATCGACCGCAAGCGCTCGCTGCAGAACATGTCGGCTCTCGCTTCGCCGACGCCGGGCGCGCCCGTCGCGACGTCGACATCGGCAACGCGCTCCCGGTCGCGCCAGAACTCGTTGCGCTCGCCGTCGCCTGCCGGTCCTCGTCCCTCGTTCGCCGCACCGACCGCCGCCTCGTCCTCTCGTACACGCGAGCGGGTCCACTCGAGCCCGGCACCGCTCGTCTCGGCCTCGCCGGCGGCCATGCCGACCTCGTCTTTCCCCTCAACCTCGTCCTCGACCTTGTCGCGGACGCCCTCAACCCTGTCGGGCAGCTCGTCCAGCTCGGCTCGACTTTTGCGCCCGACTCTGGCGTCGGCGTCGAAGGTGCGCACGGCGAGTCGGCCCAGCTCGCCGATCAAGCCGCACCTCTCGCCCTCGCCTCGTCTGCCGTCGTCGGCGCCGTCCGGCTTCCTCAGCAGCCTACGCCTCCCGTCCACCGCGACGACGCTCTCGCGCCCGGTCAGCAGCCTGCGCACGGCGGCCAAGGCGTCGTACGGCGACGGCACCGAGCTCGACGCGTTCGATGACCTGCCCGTCTCGAAGGAGCGCGAGCGCGAGCGTGTCGTCCCCCCCGCGATGGGCCGCAAGAGCAGCGGGGCGAGCACGGCGACGGTCAAGAGCGGCGCGGGCAGCTGGGGCCGCAAGGAGGGCCTGCGGCTCGCGCAGAGGACGAGCACGCTCGCGCCCGAGAAGCGCGCCGTCGGCGCCGTGCAGGGTCGCAAAGAGGGAGCTGCGACGGCGGCGGGCAAGGCCAAGGGCAAGGAGCGCGAGGTGGAGAAGAAGGCGGGCGACCCGGAGAAGAAGCGGCCCAAGCGGAGGAGGGAGCCGCACCTCATCCGCCACCTCGGCCCGACGAGCGCGATCAAGGGTACGTCCTCTGTCTCTCTCTCTCTGTGTCCTCGTGCGCTCGTGCTTGTCACTAATGACGCTCCTCTCCCGCAGTCCAAGGCGAGATGACGTACAACCCGGTCCTGCAGCGGTGGGAGGGCAACGAGGCCGTCCTGCGCGAGTTCGACAAGGCGCTCACGACCTCGACACGCCCTGCCCTCATCTCGCCTTTCTCGTCCGCCATCGGCTCGCCTCATCGCGGCTCGTTCGCGCCGGCTCGTCCCTCGGCGACCCAGGTCGCAGCCGACCCTCCCCATCCCGCCAAGCTCGTCCTGCCGCCCGGCGCCACCCCGTCCGCCTCACGCGGCACCGCCAAGGTCGTCGGCAACATGGTGTTCGACCCGGCGACGTGCTCGTGGCACGCCGTCGACGGGCCCGACGCCGAGGACGAGCTCGAGCTCGACTGGGGCGGCGGCACGTCCGGCGGCGAGGCGGCCGACGACGAGAGCGCCTCGGCGGGTGCGCTCGGGGCGTCGAGCGGCGTCGATGGATGGGAGCTCGGCGAGCGCGAGCGCATGCTCAAGAACCGGGCGAGCTTCGTGCTCGAGGAGGGGAGCGACGAGGACGGGTCGTCGAGGGTCGAGGTGGAGGACGCGAGGGACGGTGACGGGGCGAGGCGTCGTGCCCACATGACGAGGAGGCAGATCCTGCGCGAGAGCGAGGCGGCCGAGGCGCGCTCGCGGGTCGAGCTGGCGCCATGGACGATGCGCGAGGTGGACGAGGGGAACGAGCGCAAGTGGCTGTGGGAGCTGCGGGCTGTGCGTCCTCCTTCCGCCTCCGTTTCCTTCCACGCCGACCTGACTGAGATATGCCCGCAGCTCGTCCTCGACATTGCCTGAGCGCCACCGCTGAGCGACTTCTACATCTCCTCCTCGACCTTCCCACCTCGCCCTCCTCCCTCGTCTCCCATCTCATCGCCTCGCCGTCTATCCCCCTGCCCCACATCTTGTTGATGTAACACTGCCTGTCTTGCCGTTCCTCCTCGCCTGCCGCGCGCGAGCCAGAGAGGGCCGCAAGCCGTCCTCCGCGCTCGCCCGCTCGCAACGACCGCGCTCGTTGGCCTGCCGCGTCGACCGCTCGATGCTGGGGCACCGCTTCGGCGAGCAGATCTCGGACCGGCGACGCCGGATCGCGCTTCTTGACCGCGCTCGTGCCCCGAGGCGGACAGGAGCAGGCGGACTCGCCGCGGAACGTCCGCCTCGCGCTCGTTCGGCTCTCGGCTCGCTCGTTCTCCTCCTGCCTATCGACTTGCATTCGCTCAAGAGCTTTGTCGACGGTCGAGATGGACGGCGGCACCCTCTACGACCCTGCGCCCTCGTCCCGCTCGCGCGCTCGCGCCTCGTCCTTCTCCGCGTCGTCCGCTCGAGCGCCCGCCGACTTTGCCTCGTCGACTCGCTCAAGGCGCCAGTCGGTGTCGTCGCTCGGCCACCCGAGTCGCGCCGCCATCAAGTCGTGGGCGGCGCGAGCCCAGTCGGACGGGGAGGCGCCACTCGTCGACCTCGGCAGCGGGTCGTCGAGCCTCGACGCGCCGTCGAAGCAGGACCCGCTCGATGCTGCCGCCGACAAGAAGCTGTGGCGCGACGGCCGCCAGTCGAAGCAGCAGATGGAGGCCGAGTACGGCGCGCAGCACAACACGACCGATTTCGACTCGTTCCTCGCTCAGGTGCGCTCGCAGCCCTCTCCCTCCGACGTCCACTTGGAGAACTCGCCCTGACTCTTCCTGCGCCCGCGCCCGTGTCTGTGCAGCTCTACGACCTCACGCACGCGATTGACGCGCTCGAGAACGACATCGACGACGCGTGTCCTCACCTTCTTTTCCTTTCTTGCCAGTCGTCAACTCGCCCTGACCTCAACGCGCCGCAGATCGTCTCGCTACGCAACATGGTCGTCCGGCTCGACCCAAAGGTGGACGTCGGCCAGGTCTCGCTGCGCGCCGACCTCGACTCGCTCGCGGCGCTCACGACCAAGACGGGCAAAGGTGTCGTCGCCCTCGAGACGTGGCTCGGGGCGCTGCAGAAGTGGGGCAAGCAGGTGCGCGAGCTCGTCAAGGCGGGCCAGGTCGGCGAGACGATGAAGGAGGTCGGCGAGATCAAGTACCACTTGGCGAGCGCGAGGCTCGTGCGTCTTCTTTTCCCATCTTCCCTCTCTCTCGCCCTCCTCGACGGTCGCACTGACTCTTCTCCTCACTCGCAGGACTTTGAAGACGCCATGGAGCGGTCCGTCGCCTCGTCTTTCTCTCGTCCTACCTCGCGGGCTCGACCTGACCTCTCGCTCTACCTGCAGGATCCGCGAGGGCGCCTTCAAGGAGAAGGAGCGGCGCCAACGTACCCGTATCTGGATGGCGCGCCACATCCGGTCTCGCGAGCCCTACATCGAGGACAAGGACGTCAAGGGTCTGCTCAAGGCGGCAGAGCTCGGCTCGGCGGACGGCGTCGCTCAAAGCCACGTCACGTCCTACGCCGGTCTCTTCGCTCTGCAGAGTGCGCTCCCTCTCTCTTCCTCTCTCCTCTCTCGAGTGTCTCTGACAAACGCCGACCCTGCAGACCCGTTCACCGAGCTCGCCGAGCTCACCAACGCAAAGCACGCTCTGCCCGACTCGCTCGACCGCGAGATCGTGGACGAGGTGACGGGCAAGAGCGCGCGTAAGGCTCGCAAGATCGTCATGGGTACTGTGCGTCCGTACGAGCCAGCGTCCACTGCGGTCGTCACTGACAGATCACCCTGATCGTGCGCAGACGACCTCGTCCCGCACCTCGAGCAAGCGCGCCTCGGCCAAGAAGCCCTCGGGCAAGTCGTCGTCCTCGAGTCGCCCTGTCGCCACGTCAACAGGCACCTGGGGCTCGCGCTTCGGCCTCCTCGCCGGCACTCGCGACCGCACGAGCAACGACCCGTTCGAGCGCAAGTTCAACTACATCCAGCAGGAGCAGTTCGGCACCGAGAAGGACCTCGAGTACGGCTTCGCGCGGCAGAAGCAGCAAGAGCGGATCAACCGCCGCAAGAAGCTCACTATTGCGCTCCTCCTCGGTCCGTCCCCTCGTCGCCTGCACGGACCTTTCGGCGGCCTTGGACTGACTTTCGCTCCCTCCTCCTCCTCCTTCCTCGTCTCTCGCAGTCGTAATCGCCGCCCTCATCCTGTTCGTCACGCTCGCGACGATGCGCATCCCGGACCAGCAGATCTCGTGGGACCTCGACCTTCCCAAGTCGCCCGAGGTGGCGCCTTTCCCTTCTGCCGCCCTCGGTAGCCCTCCTGCCGACATCGACGAGCACACGACCGATCCCGCGAGCGACCTTGTGTCGCACATGAGCAGCCTCGCCTCGTCCCTCTCGTCGGCCGGCGCGTCCATCGGCTCGGCCGTCTCGTCCGCCCTTTCCGCCGCCACGTCGTCGCCCACGTCGGCGGCGCAGACCCTCAGTTCCTCATCGAGCTCGTCGGGTTCGTCGGCAGCGACCAGCATGGCGGCGGCGACGTCGACGACCGTGTGGTGGACGCCGCCGGCGACGCCTGCGTAGACTTTGAGATGGACGAGGTTGCACTTTAGACTGTCTTGCTTTCTTCCCTGCCCTCGTCGTCTCGTGAGAGCCACAGGAAAGCTCGCAGGCGATGATGCTCGCAGCGACGGCGAGCAGAGAGCGAGAAGTGCGTCGGAGAGAGGGTTGAAGAGGGCTCGTGCACAATCAGGTCGGCGCTCTGCGTGTGCGGCAAACGCTCTGGCGGGTGCGAGTCATCGTCGCGCCCGGCCTGGCTGCTCGAGAGTGGTCCTCAAGCGTGCGGGGAACCGTGCGCGCAAGACTGGGAGAGCGAGAGCGTGAAGGAGCTCGGGCAGCGACTCGAAGAGGAGGCCAAGGTTTGCGCTGTTCAGGCGTGTCGGCGGCTCCCTCTCGCTCGCGAAGAGGCTGAGCACACACGGACAGAGAGTTTGCGAGAGGAGTAATTTGCGGGAACTCGTCTCTCGGGCTGCCTCGCAGGGAACGGAGAGGGAAAGGGAACGGGACCCGCCTGCTGGCGTGACTCGTGGGCCCGTACCGAGCGGCACGACGCATGTGTACAGCTCGAGCTCGCCGATACTCCTGAAAACCACATTGGACAGCAACAGCGCGCGTTCCGCAGAATCGGCGCCCATGTGGCAGGGCCGCGAGGGCGGCCGCACAAGGACGAGAGCGCGATCAGGCCGTCTGCCCCGCTCGACGGCAGACCGCAGAGACGGGCGGAGAAGAGCCGACGTCGACGCGCGGCCACAGCAAGGCCGGAGCAGGTGCAGCGAGCAGGAGGAGAAGCACGAGAGAGCGGCCGCCAGGGCTGGGCCTGGGGCGACGCAAAGCGGGGTCGGGGGCGAGAGGAGCCAAGCCAGACTCGAGCGTGACCAGAAGCGCTCAGCGAGAGGCTGTGGCGACGTGGTGCGAGTCGAGAGAGAGCGCAGGAGGAGAGGCAAACTCTGAGGTGCAGGTGCTGCTCCCACCATCGTCCTCCCCGCGCTCACCCGCCCCGCCGAGCACTTGGCTGTGCTTGCGAGCTGCGCACACGTACCTCTGCCGTCCATGGCAAAACCAAGCGTGGCTCCCGAAGCGCCAGACGAGGTGCGTTGAGCCCTCTTCCCTCCCTCGCCCGCGGCCGACGAGACACGCTCCGCCCGCCTCATCTTCAATTGCCCGTCCCTCGTCACTGACCCCTCGGGTGGACTCGGCGACTTCAGCAGGTCCCTGAAGACGATCTTAGTGCCCTGCGCAGCCGCGCAACGCGACCGTACGAGGCCGCCGTCGCGTGAGTCTCGCTCCCACTCCGCCCGCACCCACATCCCACTCGCCCCGGCCAAACACCCGCGGCTCACACCGTTGCACCGCACCGCAGCTCGATCGTCGCCACTCGTCATGATCACCTCGCCGACCTGTGCATCGCCATGCGCGACAAGGACCACCCTGTCGAGTTCGAGGCGGGCCTGAGAGGGAGGAAGAGGAGGAAGGTCGCCCAGGCGGCTGGAGAGCCCGAGCCGGCGCTTCAAGGACTCGACGAGTTCCGTGCACGCTTCAAGGACCCCGTCAGGTGCGTCTCCCACTTCTTCGCCCGCCGCCGGCGTCCACCACTGACCTCGAGCACGCCGGAACAGCCTCGAGCAGCTCGACCTCGCCCTGCCGCCCATGTCGCCCAGCCCGCCTCCCTCTTCATCCGCGCCTGTACCGCCATCGAGCTCGACCATCGCCGCGCAGTCGCCAGCAAAAGCCGCTCGAGCCGACTCGGTCGTCAACGACTCGGAGGAGGACGCAGAGGGCGAGGAGGAGGACGAGGAAATGGCCGTCGCCGAGTCGCTCGCGCCGCCCGGCGTCTCGGTCACGTCGACGATGGGCACCGGCGCGCCGTCAAACGGCGGGCGACCGGCCGACCCGTCAGCGGCGGCGGCCGCATCCGCCTCGACCTCGCGTCCTCAAATATCCTTGACGGCCCCGTCCACCACGTCCTCGACGACAGCTTCCCCTGCTCCCACCCTCCCTTCCGACCGCCCTCCTCAGCCGTCGACCATCGCCCCCTCTCTCCTCACCGCGGCGTCGACGCCTCCCACCGGCACGAGCCCGCAACCGCCTGCGCCCGTCGCGCCGTGCGCGGCCGTCCCGCCGTACCAGTCGCTGTTCGGCATTCACGAGGTGTCGTCCGACTACACGTCGGTCCTGCCGCCCGTCCCGCACGACATCCTCCGCAACCGGCTCAACACGTCCCTCCTCCTTCGGTCCAACACGAAGAAGGCGGTCAAGTCGCTCGCGCCAGCCTCGTCGGCGGCGTACGTCCAGCCCGACCTCCACAAGCTCCACGTTCGGGCGCAGCACATGGGAGCCAAGCACTTCCTCGGGCTGGGCAAGCGCGTCGTCAACTCGCTCCAGACGCGCGAGTGGGACGTCGGCATCGACGAGGCGCGCTCGGTTCGCGCGTTCGAGCGCATCGAGCAGCTCAAGAACGACAAGCAGTGGAGCTTTCGTCAGCCCAAGAAGCAGCGCACCGGCGTCGTCCCCAAGGCGCACTGGGACCACGTCCTCGACGAGATGGTGCGTCCCTCCTCCCTTCCTCTTCCTCCCCTCGCCCCGGTCTCCTCTACCCTCTCGAGTTCCTCACTGACTCGTCAACGGCGTTCTTCTCCTGCAGCGCTGGATGCAGATCGACTTCCGCCAGGAGGCGAGGTGGAAGGTCGTCTCGGCGTACAAGCTCGCTCGCGCCTGTCGAGCGTACCACCGCGCCTCGCCTGACGACCGCTCCTCTCTGCGCGTGCGCACGAGGCCGGCCCGAGCGCTGAGCGACGAGGAGCTCGCGGCGCGGCTCGAGGGTCGTGACCTCGAGGAGGACAAGGTGGACGAGGTGGACGAGACGCAGGAGGCGATGGACGTCGACGTGTCTGGGGCGGATCGGCATGACGCAGGGGCGGAGAAGGACAAGGGCAAGGGCAAGGAGGTGGTCGAGGAGGACGCGGCCGCCGCGAGCGGCCCGAGCGCCGACGCCGCCGGCGAGGTCGACGAGTCGACCCCGGCTCCGTCCACTGCCGCGCCGACGGCGGCCGCCTCGGCCAACACGACGCCTGCTCCAGGCGCCGTCCCTGTCGCGAGCGCGCCGCAAGGGCGGGGCAAGGCGGGCGGCAGCACGGGCAACGAGTCGACGCCGGTCCCGCCTGCGGGCTCGGTCTCGCGGCAGCAGGCGGCGCACCTCGAGGCGCAGCGCGCGCACGCCCAGGCGCAGCACGTCCAGAAGCTCATCTTCTTCCGCAACCCGATCTTCGACGCCGGGATCGAGGAGACGGTCGTCGACCCGCTCGTCCTCGCCGCCCTGCGCGACGCCATCACGCCGCCCGTCGGATCGTCCTCCTCGTCGTCGTCGACCGCGACCGCCGCACCGGCGTCGACCACGCCCGACGGCAAGCCCCTTCCCGCCGACGACCCTTTCCTCTCGTACACCTTCGCCGCCCTGTTTCCCGACCTCCCCATGTACTCCGACTTTGTCGTCGCCAACGACCCGGCGCTCGACCGTCGCGTCGAGGAGTCGTCGGCGTGGTCGGGCCGCCTGACGCACGTCACGCGCCTGCTCGAGAGCAAGCCGCTCCTCGTCAGCACGCTCGAGCCCGGCCGGACCCGCACGACTCGCGGCTGGCGCCCGTCGACCGCCGCCGACATCGAGGACGTCAAGGACCCGCTCGACGGCCGCGAGTCGATCCCGCCGACGGCGTCGGCCCTGTTCGCGAGCCGCAAGCCCAAGGACGCGACGGTCGGCGAGGTCCTGACGCGCCCGGCCGAGGTCGTCCCGCAGCCCGACGTGCGCGCGACGTCGGTCCTGTGGCTGCCCGAGGAGGACGCGACACTCCTCGCGCTGCAGAAGCAGTTCGGGTTCAACTGGACGCTCGTGGCGCAGGTGTTCAACCAGACGACGCACCGCCCGTCGTCGGACCACCGCCTCGCGTGGGACATGTACGACCGGTGGGACCGCCTCGTCGGGCCGGGCAGCAAGAAGACGCTCCCCGACGGCACCGAGATCGTCAAGCCGCCGCCCGAGTGGATCCCGCCGCTCGACAAGCTCACGGGCCGCCCGGCGCCCATCATCGGCGACGGCAGCAAGAAGAAGGCGCGCCACGTCGCCATCCTCGACGCGATGAAGAAGGTCCAGAAGAAGCGCGAGACGTGGGCGCAGAAGCAGCCAGGTGCGTCCCCTTCGTCCTCCTCGTCGTCCTTCTTCCCGCTCGGACCCTCATTGACTCGTCTCGCCTTTTCGTCGCAGGTCCCGGGTTCCCTCGCCGCATCAACATGAGCATGCACGACTCGCACAACCTGCCGCCACGCCCGTCGTGGGACCCGATGCAGTGGAGCATGTACAAGGCCGAGCAGGAGCAGCAGAAGGCGCGCCTGCGGCAGCAGCAGGCCCAGCAGCAGGCCCAGCAGCAGCAGCAGCAACAGCAGCAGCAGCAGCAGGCGCAACAGCAAGCTCAACAGCAGCAGGCTCTCGCTCAGCAGGTGCGTCCCTCGTCCTCTTCCCCTCTCTTCCCGCGAGCCGCCGATCCTGACTCGAGCCACGTCTCGCAGAGCGGTCAGCGCTACCCTCAGCCCGGCACCTTCCCGACCGGCCCTGGCCAGCAGCCCTCGCCTCGTCCTCCCTCGGCCCTCCCGCCGCAGATGGGCCCGGGCGGCGCGCACGCCTCGCCCAACGGCCTCTCGGCCCAGCTCCCCGGCTCGCCGACCGGCGTCCACCCGCTCGGCGGCACGTCACCGCTGCCGCTCGGCGGCCCGAACGGCGCCGCAGGAGGAGGAGCGGGCCCGCCCGTGCCGCCGCAGCAGCTCACGCCCGAGCAGCTCCAGATGCTGCAACAGCGCCAGCGCGAGCTCCTCCAGGCGCAGGCCCAGGCCGTCGCTGCGCAGCGTGCCGCTCAGGCTCAGGCGCATGCGCAGGCTCAGGCGCACGCGCACGCCCAGGCCAACGGCGGCGAGTGAGCGCTCGCTCGTCGGCGGCCCGTCCTCCCTCCCTTCCTTCTCTCTCTTCCCTCCTCGTCCGTGCCTTAGTCGTCCGTCGCAGTGTGGCGCGTGTAGCGAAATAAAGCGATCCCTTATCTCTCGAGCAGAGAGTGAGAGCTTGGCGAGAGCGAGCGACCCACGGAGAGAAAGAGAGGCCCGTGCGAGGAAAGGTGCCTCTCTCGCTCTCACTCTCGCTCTCGCGCCGCAGCAGCTCTCGAGACGCTGCGAGAATGTACGACAAAGGTCTATTGCGCTCGTGCCCTGGCTCAGTCGGTGACGACCGTGTCGGCCCTGCCGAACGAGAGGAAGAACTGGCGGAAGAGGGCGACTAGCTGGGCCATGTCCTTTACGCCGCCCATCTCGCGGATGCTGTGCATCGAGAGGATCGGCGCCCCGATGTCGACGGTGCGCAGGCCGATCTTGGACACGAGGGGGCCGACTGGGAGGGAGTGGGCGCGAGAGAGAGAGGAAGAGGAAGGAGGGAGGGTCAGTGCGTGCGAGGGGCAGGGGCGAGAGAGAGAGAGGCCGCAGAGAGAGCGTCGACGCACTCGTCGAGCCGCACGCGCAGTCGTTGCGGACGACAAACTCGGTGAGCGGGACGCCGGCCTCGGCGGCGACGCGCCGCAGGGGGAAGACCGTGTTGGACGTCGTCGCGTAGCGCTGCTTCGAGTTGGTCTTGATGACGATGCCCGAGTTGATCAACGGCCTGCGAGAGAGAGGGAGAGTGAGTCAGGACACGGGCGAGGGCGAGAATGGAAAGGGAGGAGAGGGGACGCACCGGTGGTTCTCCTCGTGCTTCTCGACGAACCCTGGGTGGACCGAGTGCGCGACGTCCGTCCTGCAGGCCTCGAGGGCTCGTCAGGTGCCGTCTCTTGTCAAGAGAGAGAGGAGAGGGACGCACGAGAGCAGGAACGACTTGGCGAGCGTGCGCTGGTACGCCTCGGCCTCGGTCTCGCCGTCTCCCTTGAGCGCGACCGCGACGCGCTCGATGACGCTCTCGATAAAGTTGCTCTCGGCGCCGTACGCTGAGACGGAGCCGACCTCCTCGTTGTCGAACAGGGCCATCATGGCGACGCGGCCGTCCGAGGGCGTCGAGGTCGACTCGGACGCGGCGATGAGGGCCTCGGTGGCGGCGAACGACGAGAATAGGTTGTCGAGCCGGGCCGAGAAGATGAACTCGTTCTGTGGGAGACGGTGGGTCAGTCAGGGAGAGGGAGGGAGAGAGACGGGCGAGAGGAGGACGCACAAGAGCGCCGCCGATGGTCGCAGGCTGAACGTCGAACAGGCTGAGCTCAAAGTCGTGGATCTGCGCCGGCGTCACCTCCTCGCCGAGCTCAGCGCTGAGCTGACGCGCGACCGTATGCAGGAGGACCGGGCTGTGGTGGCTCGTGATGTCGAGCGGGTCGGCGAACGAGACCTCGCCGGCCGTGGCCGAGCCGCCGTTGTCGCCGAGGAGCGTCTTGTTGAGCTCTTTGCTCGCGAGGGCAAGGATCGGGACTTGCTGCGTCTCGGGGTTGTAAAAGAACTTGTCGTTCTGGGTGCGCTCGAGGTGGATGGCGATGGTCGGCATGCGCAGGATGGGCTCGCGCACGAGGACGAGGTGCGACGTGTACGTGTCGGCGCTCGCGCCCTTTGCGCCCGACAGGGTGACTCGTCCTAGAGGTACAGGCCGAGAGTCAGATGGGGAAAGAGGACGCGTAGAGAGAAAGGGCCAGGGACGCACCTGCGAGGCCCAAGTCGCGGTCCATCCAGGTGGCCCACAAGCCGCCGCCGTACGTCTCGACGCCGACCTGGGTGAAGCCGACCTTCTCGCGCTTGCTGACAGGTTTGAGGATGAAGCGTGGGCTGTCGGTGTGGCACCCTGCGACCGAGATGCCGAGCGGCTTGGTGCCGGCGTCGGCGGGGACGGTAAAGGCGATGATGGACGACTGGTTGCGGGTGACGAAGAGCTTGGAGCCCGGCTTGATCTTGTCGGCCCACGAGTCGCGCTCGTGCAGCCTGCAGGGAGGCGAGCAGGGTCAGTTCGGGTCGGGCGGTGCGGGGGAAGCACTGGAGGAGGGCTCGCTGGCAGGGCTGCGCGGTGGACGAGGGCAAGAGAGAGAGTGTGCGCACCTCGAGAAGCCGGCCTTTTCGAGCTTGGCGACGCAGTTTGCGACCGCGTGGAACGGAGTTGGGCTCGCGTCAACGAAGGAGAGGAAGTTGCGGGCCGGGGCGAGGGCGGGGCTGTTGAGCGGGTTGGCCATGGTCTGCAGAGCACGACAGAGGCGCTAATCAGCCAGTCAGTCGAGTGCCTGGTGAGGTTGCGGCCGAGAGACTCACCATGAGGCGAGGTTGGTGGAGGAGGAGAGGGGAAGCTGCGGCCGACGGCCCACGCGGCTCGCTCGGACCTTCCCGGCCCTTTCTCGCACTGTGAGGCTCGCAGTGAGAGCAACAACAAGGGATCCGAGTCGCAACAGGTCTATCGGTCTACAGCCTCGCGCCCACTTCCACCTCTACCGCCCGCTCGACGACGACTCGGACGGCCCGCCGACGAGCACCTCGACGACGCTCCCACCGAGCACCACGCCCGCCCTCGCACACGCTCGTCCGAGCCTCCTCGCCTGACCGACCACGCCCACCTCCCCGCTCCCCTCCTCGACCCCACCCGCGCACGTCTCCCACCGCCCGCCGTCCCCAAGCACGACCGCCCGCTCCGCCGCGCCGCCTCTCACGTCCACCTCGAGCTCCCGCAGCGCACTCTTGAAGCCCTCGGGCCCAAGCCCGTGACCCTGCGCCCGCTCGTGCTCGACCCTGACCGCGCGCGCGCCGACCCAGTCGCCGAGCAGCTCGAGCGTTGCAGCGCCGGCAGCGCGCTCGTCGGCCGTGTGCGGGCCGCGCAGGACGAGCGTCGCGAGGTGCGGCGTCGAGTCGTCGAGGGCGAGGAGGAAGGCGGGCGTGAGGATCAGGGCGGGCGACGAGAGGGTGAGGTGCGTGAGCGAGGAGAGGAGGGGTGGGAGGGCGCAGAGTGGACGCTGCGGACAAAAACACGAGCGAGCGTCAGTCCCGTGACCCACACGAGAGAAGGGAGAGGGAGAGAGAGGAGGGACGCACGTGCAGGTAGCCCGTCGAGCGAAACTCGACCGTGCGCAGCCGAGCCCGAGTTGCCGGCGTCAACGCCGACAGGGCCGCCGCGGCATCGGCCGAGAAGGACCGCAGCGAGAGGTGCGACAGCGCCGGGAGGCCGTCGAGGAAGGCGCTGAGGCCTGTGGGTGACGAAGAGTCAGTACGCCTCGTCGATCGTGCTGGGCCGAGGAGAGGCGAGAGACGGCTTCGGCGACGCACCCTGGGCATGCCCCTCAACCTCCATGACGACCCTCTTGACGCCCCTCCCGCCCTCCCTCCCCTCCCTCCCCTCGTCCCGCACGTCCCCCTCAGCGCGCTTGAGCCCCATCCGCCCGAAGACCTCGACCGCCCTCAGCCCCGGCCCCGCGCCCCGCACGCCCTCGTCCAGGTCCGCGACGCACACGGGCCGCGCCGCGCCACTCAGGACCATGAGCCGCACGCCGCCGCCGTCCGCCGCCGCCGCCGAGCTCGAGCTTGAGAACGCGCCCGCCGAGAGCGCCTCGCGCGAGAGGAGCGCACGCTGCAGCGCCGCCGAGCCTGGCGCCGGACACGCGACGACGAGGTGCTCGAGCGCAGGCAGGGCGTCGAGCGTCGCGCGGGCCGTGCGCTTGAGGGCGCGCTCGTCGGCCGGGTCCGAGCGCGTGCCCGCGCCCGCGGGACGCGCATCGACGACCTCGAGTACGCGCACGAGGGCGCCGAGCTGCTGCGCCCTGTCGCCGTCGCCGACCGTGCGCTCGAGCTTTGCGAGGCTCGCCGCGCCGCGCACGGTCGCGCACTGGTACGCGTTGGCCCTCGCGGCGGGGACGAGCGCGCGCGCGATGGCGGTGCACGTCGGGTCGAGGCGGAGCGGGGCGGCGGGGGCGAGGTGGGCGTAGGGGTCGAGCGAGGATGGGGCGGGAGGAGGGAGGCGCGGCGAGAGGGCGAAGATGGTGCTGAGGAGCTCGGGCGGGAGGGTGTCGAGCGAGGGTGAGGGGCGCGCCGAGGGGGTGCGGGGGCGAGGGAGGGACGAAGTGAGGCAAGGAGGTGGGTGGGCGGCAACGATAGGGGCCGACATGGTCGAGGCTGAGGAAGGGGAGGGCGGGAGGGAGGGAGCCATCTGGGGCAGGTCAGCTCCCATCCATGCTCGAGAGAGGGTCGGAGAGAGGAGCCGATGCTCACCGATGGGCCGTGGGACGAGTTGAAGAACAGGCGAGGCAACGAGGACGACGCAGGATGCGAGTCGACCGAAGCGAGGGTCGTGACCGAGAGGGTGTTTCGGCGAGCGCGCGGGCAGGCGATAGGTGGGCAGCACGAGATGTCGCCGGCCAAGGTGCTCCTGGTGGCTGTTGGTGCCTCGACGACGTGGGTAGGCGTTGCTCGACGACGACGACGACGACGACGACGACGACGAGAAAGGCGAGGGGCGACCGGGCGCGAGATAGCGAGCGCGAGCCCCTTGAGCACGCTCGAGAGGTGCCCGTCGAGGTCGGAATCTCGATGTCTCGGACGTTGACAACTCGCCCGAGACGGTCGGGCACGCTCAAGGGGCCGAGTCGGGGCGTCGGCCAAGGCCGCTCATCTCGACGAGGACGAGGGCGAGGTCGACGAGGACGAGGGGAGGGCGAGCTTGTGCGCACGGCAGAAGCGCTCGAACGAGGATGGAGGTGGACAGGTGACCGAGATGCGCGAGCGCTTGCCCGTGTCCTTGTCCCACGCCTGCACGGGGAGGAGAAGAGGGTGAGCTCTTGCGGCTCGAGCGCGCTCGACGAGGAGGGAGAAAAGGGGAGGGACATACGTAGAAGCTCAGCTCGTGCGAGTGGAGGAGGACATGGTCGAGCGTGAGGCCCAGCTCGACGAGGGCCTCGGCGTGAGGCGCCTTGGGCGCGAGCTTGAAGTCACCGACGATGGGCGCTGTGGGGAGTGCGAGGTGAGCTCTGGCGCGCACAGAGGCGAGTGTAAGACGCACCCTTGAGGACGTCGGCGCAGTGGATGCGCAGCTGGTGCTTGCGGCCCGTCTCGGGCTCGAGGCGCACGAGCGAGAAGAGGCGCTGCGGGGCAGGCAAAGGGGAGGTCGGGTCAGTGCGGGGACGACGACGCGGCGACGAGGGAGGGAGAGAGTGGGACGGACCGACGCGGCGATGCACTGCCACCGAGTGGAAGCGTGTACGCCCTCGCCCTCTGGGCACAGGCGCACCTTGTCGTGGTCGAGCCGAAGCGGGCGGTCGACGGTGCCCTCGAAGCCCTCGCGGAGCTGGCCATGGACGACGGCGAGGTAGGAGCGGGCGACGTCGTGCTTGGCGAGCTGGGCGCTGAGGGTTTTGGCGGCCGTGCGCGACTTTGCGACGAGGAGCGCGCCCGTGGTCGACTGTGGGATGCGGGGACGAGGGTGAGCGAGGGGTCTTGAAGGCTGAGGAGAGGACGGGGATGCGCACCTTGTCGAGGCGGTGGACGGTGTAGAGCTCTGGCGACTCTGGGCGGGCTTTGAGAGCTATTGGAGGAGAGGGGAGGGTGAGCAAGGGGGGAGAGAGAGAGGAGCGGGGGTGGGGAAGAGGGAGCGAGACGGACCCTCGACGAGCTGGTCCCAGTGCTGCCTCGCGGGCGAGCCGTGTTGGCCCTGTAGGGCGACACCGGAAGGCTTGTCGATGACCAAGTGGCGCGCGTCCTCGTAGATGATGCGGGGCGTGGGAGCAGGTCGAGGAGGAGGAGGAGGGCGAGCTGGTGTGGCCGCTCTCGGTGGTGGTTGCGGGCGGGGTGGTTTGAGGCGAGTAGCTGCACGCTGTGGAGCTCTGTGCATGTCGGCTGGACCGGTCTAGCGAGCTGGCGGGCACAGTCGACGCGACAAAGGGGGAGAGCTCGCCTCGCACCTCGCGCTGCTCTCCCGTCTCACGCATCGCTCCCAGGCTTGAGCCCACAGCCGAGCATGCTCCACA